ACTTGAGAAGACTTGACATGTTTTTTGAAAATACTTTTCTCTTTTCATACACATGATTCATTTTACAGGAACAAACTGGAGATTGTCCCTCCCACTTGTCTGTTTTTTACTTTTTGCAACTGACCATAATGATTCGTATTAAGATCTTGACAAGACATTTTTTAAAATTAAAGTACTTTTTAAGTATAATTTAGTTTAAAAGTCATAAAATTTTAAAAATTTAAGCTGTATTTGGTACTTTGGTTTAAAGACTTGAAATTACTTGGAGCTCAAAGCAGACGACTTGGACTTGACTTGGACTTATGGGCCAGTAACTCCAGATTTGACTTGGACTTGCCTGTCGTTGATTTGGGACTTGACTCGGACTTGAGGTCAAAGACTTGAGATTTAATTGAGACTTGCAAAACAACGACTTGGTTACATCTCTGGTAAAACCATGAACTAGTGTTGCGTCGATACTAAAAATTCAAACTTGATTTTGATATTAAGGAATCAAACTTGATACTCAAAACTGATTCCGATACTATGATGATAATAATAACAACACTTTTTCTTTAGACAACAGAATGTAATTTTCAATATTAAATGGTAGTACTTTCTTTTATATTCCCATTTGGCCTTATATCTGTGTAATCCCTCAGTGGTCCAGGTAGGTTCCATAGTGGTCCATGGGCATATACTAGTCTATGTGCTCTAATACTTGTTCTGATACAGCTCAAGATCATTCAAAAGCTATTCAGGAAAGGTTTGGTTACATCCTGTGAATGTGACTTTCTTAGTATTGATACCTGCTCAAATGAGTGTCTAGTTTCGGTACTAGTTTCAGTATTGATTAGTGTCTGATTTTCAATACTTTTGACAAGAGTATTCTAATGTGAACCATCAGCTTCAGTGAAAACAACCAAAGAACAGTCCACAAAATGCAGTTCCAAAAGTCACTCAGCCAAACACCATCAAATATTTACACACATCGATCCAGTTTGGAGCCAAAGTTTTCAAAGTCTGCAATAAAATAAATAAATGTTGCAATAACAAAGTTTTTCGTCTATGTTCAAATCTGTAAATCCCCAAAAGTCAAATCCACAAATGCTTTTCCCTCGTTTTACTCAGTGACAAGATCTACACCTGGAAGGGCAACTGACACACCACAACATCTGGGAGGGCATCTGACACACCACAACATCTGGGAGGGCATCTGACACACCACAACATCTGGGAGGGCATCTGACACGCCACAACATTTGGGAGGGCATCTGACACACCACAACATCTGGGAGGGCATCTGACACACCACAACATCTGGGAGGGCATCTGACACGCCACAACATCTGGGAGGGCATCTGACACGCCACAACATTTGGGAGGGCATCTGACACACCACAACATCTGGGAGGGCATCTGACACACCACAACATCTGGGAGGGCATCTGACACACCACAACATCTGGGAGGGCATCTGACACACCACAACATCTGGGAGGGCATCTGACACACCACAACATCTGGGAGGGCATCTGACACACCACAACATCTGGGAGGGCATCTGACACACCACAACATCTGGGAGGGCATCTGACACGCCACAACATCTGGGAGGCATCTGACACGCACAACATCTGGAGGGCATCTGACACGCCACACATTTGGGAGGGCATCTGACACACCACAACATCTGGAGGGCATCTGACACACACACAACTGACACACCACAACATCTGGGAGGCATCTGACACACCACAACATCTGGGAGGGCATCTTACACGCCACAACATTTGGGAGGGCATCTGACACACCACAACACATCTGGGAGGGCATCTGACACGCCACAACATCTGGGAGGGCATCTGACACGCCACAACATCTGGGAGGGCATCTTACACGCCACAACATCTGGGAGGGCATCTGACACGTCACAACATCTGGGAGGGCATCTTACACGCCACAACATCTGGGAGGGCATCTGACACGTCACAACATTTGGGAGGGCATCTGACACATCACAACGTTTGGGAGGGCATCTGACACGCCACAACGTTTGGGAGGGCATCTGACACGTCACAACGTTTGGGAGGGCATCTGACACGTCACAACATTTGGGAGGGCATCTGACACGCCACAACATTTGGGAGGGCATCTGACACGTCACAACATTTGGGAGGGCATCTGACACGCCACAACATTTGGGAGGGCATCTGACACGTCACAACATTTGGGAGGGCATCTGACACATCACAACGTTTGGGAGGGCATCTGACACGCCACAACGTTTGGGAGGGCATCTGACACGTCACAACATTTGGGAGGGCATCTGACACGCCACAACATTTGGGAGGGCATCTGACACGCCACAACATTTGGGAGGGCATCTGACACGTCACAACATTTGGGAGGGCATCTGACACCACAACATTTGGGAGGGCATCTGACACGTCACAACATTTGGGAGGGCATCTGACACGGCACAACATTTGGGAGGGCATCTGACACGTCACAACATCTGGGAGGGCATCACACAGAAGCTTAGTCTTACCAGTCTGTGATGTCCCAGGTGAGGAGTTGGTCCTGGTTTAGTCTGGTTATGATCCGGGTTTTCGGCCGGAGTGGAGGGAGACAGCTGCTCCACTGACCCATCTCTTGGCTGAGTCCAGATTTATCCCTGATTTAGTCCTGGTTTAGTCTGGGTTTAGTCCTGGTTTAGTCCTGGTTCAGTCCTGGTACAGTCCTGGTTTCGCCCTGGTTCTGGTTCAGAGGCGTGTCTCAGTCCCACGTCTCAGAACAGAACAAAGCTCTCTTGTTAACTTAAAAGATTCTTTGTCCCATAGTTCCACAATATGTGTGTCAGATGTCCTCCCATCCTCCTGTACCCCTGTGCGTCAGATGTCCTCCCATCCTCCTGTACCCCTGTGCGTCAAATGCTGAACATATTTTTTAATTCTGTTTTATGAAAATACTCAATAAAGGCATGAATTATGTAAAACTCTCTGAGCCACAGAGAGACAGAGAGAAACATAAGCAGAGATAGATATATTGCATATATAGGGGAGGAGGAAAAAAGAGGGAGAGAGAGTGAGAGAGGGAGAGGGAAAGGAAAGGAAAGGGAGGAACAGATGCACAGAGAGAGGAGAAGAAAGAAGAGAAAAGAAAGAGGGGGAGTGGGAGTAGAAGGGAGAGGAGAGGAAAAAGAAAAACAGATGCAGAGGGAGGGATAAGAAAACAGTGGAGAGAGAGATGGAGGAGGTAAACGGAAGACCAGAGGATACGAAAAGAAATAGAAAGGAGAAAGAGAGAGAGGACAGAAAAGAGGGGGAAAGAAGGAGAGAGTAAGGAGAGAGAGGATAAGAGTGAAAGAGAGTGAAAAGAAGAGAGGGAGCGATCAGAAACTGAGAGAGTGGACAAAGAGGAAAGCGCGATAAAAGGAGAGAGGGGAGAGAAGAGACAGGGAAAAACAGAGGACACAGAGGGAAGAGAAAGAGAAGGAGAAAAAACAGTGAAGAGGGAGAAGCAAGAGAGAAAGAGAGGTAACAGGGATAATCAGACATGTTTTTATAAGGGAGGGATGGGGGGGGCAAAATGATGGAGAGAGGGATAAAGGGGAGACGGGGAGAGAAAGGAGGGAAGTAGTAAAAGAAAAAAATATAAAAAAAGAAAAGGAGAGAAAGGCTGAGAGACAAAGGAGGGGTGAGAGAAACAAGGAGAGGAGAAGAGAGCACAGAGAGACAAAAGGGGAGAAAGAGTGATAAAAGGATGGAAGGATAGAGAAGAGAGGGAGAGAACTAAAAAGAGAAAAGTCAGGGAGAGAGAAAGGAGAGAAACAGAGAGATCAAAGAGGAGAAGAGGGAGAGAGGAGGGAAAGGATAAAGGCACAGTAGAGGAGAGGAGAGGGAGGCTCAGGTGTGGGCAGTCGTTGCCATGGCAGCAGTCTCAGGTAAACAGGAAGAACACAAAGCGCTTTCATGTCAGGTCAAAGGTCACTGAGCAGAGGTCTCTACTGAGCATGTGCAGAAGTGTTTAACAAGGTTCAAAAGCCAGAAGGTTTAACAACTGAAACAGGGTTTTAATAATACTTTCATTACAAAATACAAAATCTTCAGCTAACTCAATCACCGATTAATCAACTAAACAAGCTAATGATTTATCACTTTTTTTTCAATTTTAAACCATTTCTTATTTTTCCACTTACGCTGGAGATGCTTTCTGTCGTCACAACCTTCAGGGCAAACAGTTAGTTTTTTAAATACAAATATGAGTCAAGGAAAAGTGAATGAGCTAAAAATGTCAGAAAGAAAAGAGAACCAGAACGGAACTTGAACTAAACCAGGACTAAAACCAGGTCTAACTCGTAACTGTCTGTTGCAGATTTGACTTTAATGATGGGCTTGTGTCTCAGTAATAAAAGGTTTGATTCTCGACAAACATGAGTCAGAGAGGGAAGGGGGGAGGGGGCATATTATACTTTTTGGGGTATTTAGCATTAAACCTGATTGTTATTCATTATAAACCTCAATATTGATCTAAAATAAAGAGCAGAAGTGACAGGACAGGCCCGCCTCTTCTCCATCAGACCAGCATTTTTTGGGCCCAGTAGATCATAGGCAGTAATAATCTGTGCAATGCCTCAGTGGTCCAGGTAGGATCCATACCAAAAGAAAAAAATTATTCTGGACAAATGTTTTGACGACTATCATCACAATGCCATGACAGTGCATTCTGACAGACCTAAGTGAATGCTCCAATGTTCCCCTGCTTCAAATACTGTGTGCAGGGATAGGGGGTAGGTGAAAACAGATTTTTAGAGCACTTGAGCATCAACTGCATGACAATAAAAGATTACTCAAATATCAGGAAGCGATCAAATATAACTCTGCTTCAGATCATGAGGAATAAACACTGTTAGAACAGGGTTAAAACTGTTATTAGTCCATTTGACAGAATACATCCTATAACCAGTACTATTCCTAGTAGTAGTAATAGTAGTAGTAGTAGTCAAGTATAGTACTCACTCAATGAAGTAGCTTGCTCCCTCCGAAGTGAAGCCCTCCTCCCAGCCTCGAGGCAGGTCTGAAACAAAACAAATATCAGAAAGTACTTTTAAATGGTACTTAGCATTTGACAAATACTAAGGCTACAATAACCATAAAAATACAATATAAAACAATAACTGCTGCTACTACTCAAATTACTACTACTACAACCACAATTACTACTAGTGCACCTACTATTACTTATACTGTAACTACTACTACTGCAACTACTATTACTATACTATTACTACTACTGCAACTACTATTACTATACTATTACTACTACTGCAACTACTATTACTATGATATTACTACTACTGCAACTACTATTACTGCAACTACAACTACTGTGAACCTATTATTATTGCAACTAGTATTGCTATTGTTATTACTACCATTATAACATAGGAAAAAGGAGCTAGGAGACAGGAGCGAGGAGACAGGGGTAAGAAGATAGGAGCTAGAAGACAGGAGTGAGGAGACAGAAGCGAGGAGACAAGAGCAGGTGAGGGAGCAGTTGGTTAATCCCGTATTATTCACACGAGTGAACTGTAATCTGTGTTTGAGTGTCACTTTAACTAAAGGAACTGGGAGACAAGTCAGGAAACAAGTGAGGGGACAAGTGAAGAGCTAGACCAGGACTAAACCAGGACTAAACCAGAACTACACGAAGACTAAACCAGGTCTTACACAGGACTAAACCAGGACTACTCCAGGACTGAATCAGGACTAAACCAGAACTAAACCAAGATTAAACCAGGTTCTACACAGGACTAAACCAGAACTACTCCAGGAATATCTCAGGACTACTCCAAGACTAAACCACGAGTTTTACAGGAGGATTACATCCTGTCCCCGGTCTTGGTCGTGTCCTCCCGAGCCCAGAGACCCCTAGGTTTTGCAGGGTACTGTCCGGGCTGAGGACTCACCTGAGCGGATCATGTGTCCGGAGTTGACCGGGAGCCCGGTCCGCGGGTGGAGCCAGGTGGTGGTCCGCGTGCGGTCACTGAAAACAACAAACACCTGTTACACCGGGGCCTCGGGGGCGCGCAGGAGGCGGGGGCGCGCACGGTAACGGAGGAACCGGCGGGAAACGGCGGGAAGCTGTGGGACTCACCTGATGAAGAAGACCCGACCATCCGCGCGCACGCCATAAGCCCAGTGCTTTGGCAGGTCCGCCATGATCCAGAGTGCACGGGAGCGAGCACAGGCGCGCTCACGGTTCACAGGGACACGGAACTGGGATGAGCCGGACTATCCAGGGACTAAACCTGTACTAGACCCGGTCTAAAGCCGGTCTAAACCGGGTCTAAACCTGGACTAAAGCTATGGACCTGGTCCATGGCTCAGTCTAGTTACTCCATGCGCGCTGTCGCTCTGCCGCTCCGCCGCGTCCCTCCGCGTCCTGCCGCTCCACTCGGAGATCCCACAGGTGCGTGGTGCGTTCACGTTCGGGCAGGTCGCGGTCACGGTGCGTTCACGTCCGGGCAGGCCTCGGTAATCACAGTGTTTGTGCGATGAGGCGCGTGTCATTACGGTGCAGGTTTGGAATGTTCATCTGTCACCGAAAGGAAGACACGCGTGTTACGGATATGTCATCCGTCGCAGCTCATTCAGCAGAATAATGCGCTCCTTTAGCAAATTTAAACATGAGCCGCAGCGGAGCCACTGTCACTCTTCATCATCTGGTCTTTTATAAGAAACACAACAGTCAAATTCACAAATGTTTTTCCCTGACCCTTTCAATCAGTAACCAGGTCTAATCTCCCGCTATATTAAACCAACCATACCACAATATCTGGGAGGGCTTCTGACACACCAAAACATCTGGGAAGGCATCTGATAGATACACCACAATATCTGCAGATTAACTAGAGACATTTGACCTGCCCTCAGGGATATAGGAGGGCATCTGGCACACGGAGATACGGGAGGATGGGAGGGCATCTGACACACAGGGATAAAGGAGTATTATAGGACAGACAGGCAGAGGGCGCTGCTGCCGCTTCTCTGTACGTGTGAGGCCGTACGCGTGCGTGAGTGGGTACGTGATTACGTCACAGCGGCGCAGACGCAGAAGCCTTTTAGGTGTCGCGTGTGCCTCTCTCTCTTCCTCCGCCGCCATCATGGGTCGCATGCACGCTCCCGGGTAAGCCCTAAATCCGACCAAAAAATGCCCAAAAAACGACTCTGTCCCCGGGTTTAGGGAGGAATCTGCCGTGGAAATGTGTTAGGCACCTCCACAGATCGAAATAAAGAGGAATTATGTGAAAAATAGAGTTTAAAGTTTATAAAACCTCGGTTCCGCACAGGGTTAAACGCGTGTGGACCTAGGAGCCGCTTAGCTTCTATTCAAAGCAACCAGTCTCATCCAGAAAACCGTTTTTATCACAGTTTAAACCTTTACAGAAGTCTCCAGAAATGTGTAGATGATCTGTATATAATGTTAAAATTGCGATAAATGAGTTCGTTACTCTGTTCCGAATGAAGCGGGAGCAGCGCAGTGCCTGATCCGAGGCCAGAGCTGCTAACGCTCGCTGTAGCTCAGACTGTCCGCCGCTGGAGGAGAGCATACAGGACAAATACTGGATCATTGTTGGGATTGTACAGTTTGAGTCTGGGCGGTTTAGTAGCATGGTTTACGTCTGTCACAAGTGTTTTGTACACTTAATGCGTTATATCAACTCTTATTTGCATAGAATAAAACATCCACATCTTCGGTATTAGACTTAAACGGTATTAATCACAATCGAAATTGCCAGTTCTCGATCTCACTTTACAATGGCAGAAGTCTTGTGTAGAATAAATTAAATATACAGATTTGTACAAGTAAAGTACAACTAGACTGTATACAAGAGATGAATACAGTTTTTATCACTGGTAATGTCAAGTAATTGCCATTTTCGTTAGGTTTATATTAATTGAGTGTACATGTTAACTTTTTAAATTGCTGCTTTTTCTCGTTGACAGAAAGGGCTTGTCCCAGTCAGCTCTGCCTTACAGACGCAGCGTGCCAACAGTAAGTACATGGTAGAGTGTATTTTTTATTAAGTTGAATAAAACGTTTGAGTGGCCCATCATGCAACTTTTTAGAAAACAAATAAGGGCATGTTTCTTTGTTTGTTGCACTGCAAAACATGCTTCCTATTGAGTGGGCTTGAATCTCCACAAACCTTAGACTTGCCCTTATTGTGTCCATGGAAATGTTTCTTCAGCTGCAATCGACACTGTAGCAAAAATTGTCCACGGCGAATGGTCTGAAATATGGCTTTACCTTACTAAATGTGTTGAATCTTGCAGGTGACTAGCTACCTCTAGAAGGCTATTGCTCTATGGTCAATTTCCATTTTATATACTTAAAAAAAACACAGTGCACAGGAGTGCATTTAGATTTGTTTTTGATATGCATAGAAAATTAAATTTTCAAGTGCTGCGCAATAAAAATGAAGATTACTCTAACCAGTTCCTTTTAATGCATTTTAATGTTTTAAATGATACCGCAGTTGTTGTTTTTTTCTGGACCTAAACTTCCTTCATTTTTTCTATCTGCTTAGTTTTAACTTTGTTTGAGGGCTGACTTTAACATATATTTATATACCTGTACCTGTTTTTTGTGTAATAACATTTGGTCCCTATGTGTGCAGTGGCTGAAGCTGACGTCTGATGATGTGAAAGAGCAGATCTTCAAACTGGCCAAGAAGGGTCTGACTCCCTCCCAGATCGGTGAGTGACATTTCAGACTGTAGAAGACATTTTCACAAAGGCTAAATAAAGTAGGGCTTGTGATGTGCGAATTGTGATTTAATTTCTGTGGCAATCCAAATTGACATGGTGATTCACAAATTCTCTTTAATGCAGCTCTATGCTCATAGACAGGCCCCAAATGTTTAGGAATCTCTTTAGCAGACTAAAAAGAGAAATTAACTCACAGGTTATAAAGGGAAGGCAGATGAGTATTTGCTGTGGTATATTGTTATATTAGTGAACCCTGTGTTTTTTTGCTTTCCTGTAAAAGCCCTTCTCGGGAACAGACATTGCAGATTAGCCTTGACTATAAGTGTTACACATCGAATGTACATACTTGTCTTTGTCTAATAAATGTGATACTAACAGCTCTGTACAAGGTTTAAATTCTAGTTACCTCACTCAGTTTTCTCCTTTCTGTTGTCCGTATTAATCTATACATATTCAATTGGAGCAAAGAACAGTACACACAAAAAATTGTTGAATCGGTCATATATTGAATATTAAGTCTTGAGAGTAATGATCGTGACAGGCCTTGGCCCAGTATTCCTCTAGCAGATGTCCATGATATGTTGTCCCTGTGTCTGGTTCAGGTGTGATCCTCCGTGATTCTCACGGTGTGGCTCAGGTCCGATTTGTCACCGGAAACAAAATCCTCAGAATCCTGAAATCCAAAGGTTTGGCCCCAGATCTGCCTGAGGACCTGTACCACCTGATCAAGAAGGCTGTGGCCGTGCGCAAGCACTTGGAGAGGAACAGGAAGGTGAGTGACCAATCAGACTAAAGTTGGTCTGCTTGAACCTGTCCATTAGATCAGTAATCTTGTGAGAGCTCACTTTTTTACCACATGAGTCTGCATGGATTTTGACGTACAACAAACGGTATGTTTGGCATAATGTATTTTTCAATTCAAGCCTAAGCTGTAAACTTTATTATGAGCTCTGTTCTTTGCCATCATGTGCTTGTTTTATTTAGTGCTCATGGAGTGTTCAACTTTTCAAATTGTTCTCAGGTTTGGTGCTGCATAAAAATAGTTTCTGCTTTCAGTAGTAATTAGCAAAGACTCCAGCAGGGGGCAGCATTAAGCAATGATGAGAAAGTATTTTCTAATGAACATTTGGGCCATAACTGGCATCATGACCTCAAATTAAATGAATGAATTCAATGGTTGAAACATCTTTACACAATCACTTGTCGTTTGAGACATAAATGTTAAAAGGACTAATTCAAAGAACTTATTTTTCACCTTTTAGCAGTTTTATTTTAACCCATGTTTTATTCCCATGTTTTTAGGATAAAGATGCCAAGTTCCGTCTGATTCTGATCGAGAGCAGGATCCACAGATTGGCTCGTTACTACAAAACCAAGAGAGTCCTTGCTCCCAACTGGAAGTAGTACGTAACTTTAGCTGTACTTTGTTATTTTCCTGCAGATATTTGGTTTGGCTTTGATGTTGGGGCTGCATAATTTACGATTAGGATGTTGGGATTCTGTTCTGAGTGCATGTCGTAAACTCAAGAAGCATTCACATCCGAGATGAAAATATGAACTTGCACAAGAATCCCATGCATTTCAGAACCTGTTTGTACAGTTCTAAATTATGTGCTTGCTGTGGACAGTCTGTTATCTAAATAATTGCAGCCTTTGATAATTGTGCAAAGTTAAATTGTGATTCAGTTGTTTAAATGGGTAGCCTTAGCCTGATATACCACCGGAAGGTATTTTAAACATATATAATGATGGTGTCTGCATTTATATCCTGGGTTTTTCCATAGATGCACAGTTCATTGTCCTGCTCCTCTTCTGTTTGGAACAGTGATATTTCTTCTGTGCTAAAGTAACATGGAGGTCAATTAGCAGAGCGGCTAATGTGCTTCCTCTGCCAGTCCCCTTCAGACACTAATTTATGGGTGAACATTCACAATAGTTAAATCTTAAAGTTTTACTTTCTGCCATTTGCTTGTCTTTTGAGTTTCTGCTTTGCCTGAAATGTTCCACAGTATGGCATTAAATTATATCTTGCTTTTATTCATGGAGGTAAGACATGGGTGGGTGGGTTGTACAATAAGCAGGGTCAGCTCTCCACAGATCTTACTTGCCTTTTTGTACTACCCACTTATCTCCATGGAGTAGATAATTTTAATGACATACTGTGGACATTTTTTGGAAAGCAACAAGACAAGCATGTGGCCGACCCTCCACCATTAACGTTTAGTACACCTTTTAATGATATTTTAACTAAATAGCCACTCACCTATATAAATGGGCCAAACAGTTATTGAAATTCATGGCAAACTTTAACCTTATTAACTTAATTTTCTTGAATTAGTTTTGGTTATATTATATTGCCCTGATGTTTGTTTCTCTCTCTCTCCACAGCGAGTCGTCCACAGCCTCTGCTCTGGTGGCATAAACGCTCATTTTGGATTAATAAAACTTGTTAAAATTACTTTTTTCTCCATTTTTGCTTCATAGCCTGCAGTGTGATTTGCTGTGTTTAGTTCATTTAGGAGTGTGACCTTAGCTGTTTGTGGTACACACAGATGACTCAACAGTTGCTCTTCTCTTACACTGTTCATTTTCAGAATTCCCCTGGCTCTGCTCATTAGGCTTCAAATAGATGGGTAACACGAAGTAAGCATTACGTTTATGCTTTTATTAAAAACTGTAAGAATTTGACTTTAAAGAGGGTGTTGTGCATAGTCTAATATTTTATTCTACCATGTAATGTTCCCTCATCAAAAATGTACCTGAATAGGCTTTAGATGTCATCCATGCATGTTTAAGTACTTTTGCAATCTTTTCTGGGCTCTATTTGAATCTTTAAGGTTAGCTGTAAGAGTCCAACACACAACCCCTGAAAATGTTTTAAATCGATAAAGGATAACGTTGCTAATGCATAACATTTGGATCTGTTCCTGTCCATTGAAGTGTAATTTCCTCTTAAACTTGACCAATCTGTGTCCCCAGTGACAAGGTAGACATGTTCAAATGTATAGCTTTTACCGATAACCTGCATTAGAATTGTTTACTACAAAATCATTAGATGTTGTGGTTCTCAATGAGATTATCCTACATCAGAAGTGAGCCTCAGAAGTCTCTTATTTGTCAGTTTCACTAAAGAAATTCCGTTGGTTTAAACTTAAAATGACTAATCTGAAAGGTCACTACCTACACCTCAGCACCTGTAGTCAACCATTAATGAGTGCTAGTGCAGGCTCTGCAGCTCAGTGAGGGAATTCTGGAGGTTCTGGCTTTTACATGAGGCATCGCCTGTCCATATACTGAGAATGTGAAAAACTTAATATGTCCTATCTGCAAGTTAAGACACAGTTATATATATTTTTAAATGTGTTGGAACAAAACTAAGGTCGGGTATGTTTTTGAGGAGGTAGTAAAATTAACATTGAACATGTGGATATTCCAAAATTAAGTTGAAGGATTCCGTTTTGAGATGTGCACTACGTGGAAGTACTGTATACTGACTTATTGTAAATCCATGGCCCACTAATGCCAATGGAATTCTCTTTATTCCGCATTCCACGTGTTAACCATAAAGCGAAAGTTTGACCTGATCGTCAGCATGAACTAGTTTCTCAATCTCCGGTACACATCTTAAGGTCTACTATTGGCTACAATCAATTTAAACCACATTTGAGCTGCTCGTGGATAGGTTTTTTGTTAAAATGCAATGGTTAAAAGTACTGAGGCAAGAGTAGTCGTCCTGTTAAAGACCCGGTTAAAAACCTACTTTAGATGTGGAATAATCCTATTTTACACCTGGTTTAGATCTCTGGGGTGTCTTTTCAACCAAACAATCACCTTTACAAAACTTAACTATTGCTTTAGGTACTAAATTCCATGATGCTCAAAGTCAAAGCATAGCAGATTTTTGTTTACTTCTTGACCCAGCTATCTGGTTACACTGAACACGGCACCGGGCACGTAGCCTACTGCACCGTCAGCTGCACTGTCAACAAGGTTCACTCGTATCACTGCAGTGCACACTCAAAAGTACAAATTCTCATCTTTTTAAGTAGGTAGATTATTTCAAGCACGATGTTTTAGCCTGGTTATTATAAATTTAAATGCAAAATTTCAAGCCATCATTTCATATTTTTTTAATATGTATTGTTGGGAAATATGTTCAATTCCTGAGTTTTAATTCTCAAAGTTTTAATTTGCAGTGTGCTATACTTCACTGATATTAAATGCATACATGATAGTTTCATGGTAGAAAAGGTTTGAGTGGTGGTCATCTGAACAATATTTTCTTAACTGAATAGAGCGAATAAAGCGAGAGGAGCACATAAAGAACAACGACTACTCACAGCTTGCCTTTGATTATCGACTTTTACTGCCTATACTGTAATTCTGAACTTTGCCACGCCAAAATTTGCTTTTTACAGCTAATAATACTAAATTTATCTTTAGTTAATCCGTCTTTGTTAAGGGAACAGACTGGAGTGATGGGATTATCACTCATAAATAGAATAGTTTCACTTTTTTTTGTTTTTTTTTTTTGTTTTCGCTTTTGAAAAGTCCAAGTAAACGGTATCTTCGTTTGACACTCAAGGAAATTACCGGCACTTTCTAAGCGTCAACAGTTACGTAAAATTATGGGCGGGAAAGTTCGTGAGTGATAGGAGCTTTGGCCAATCAGAGCGCGGCCTGACGTCATTGTAGTTATATAAACAGAGGTGGTGTAACCTCTTGTCATTCTGCTTTTACTACAACGAGAAGAAAATGAAGAGTAGTACGAATAAACGCCACTTTTTCTGAGCGAAGTCGACTCAACATGACCGAAACCTGCGTGAAAATGAAGCGACAGCCCCTAGACTCGGAACTGTCAGCGACAAACTTACGAACATCGCGTGATTTTGAGCTTTTTGACGAAGAATACCAGAATACGTGAGGATCTTTTCTGGTTCTGCCGCCGACACAAAGCGCTCATCAACGTAGAAGGCGAGAAGATGGCGGCGGAGGCTCGGGTGGGTTCTGATAAAGCGGTGGAAATGTTCGGAGGAGCTATGGAGAGGTTCGGCGGGGCTATGGAGCGTTTTAGTGGAGCGGGGATGGCTCTTCTCCCCTGGACCAGACACATGCTGGTTGTTCTGTGGGATCAGCTTCGGCTCTTGGTTCATGTCATCTACTACACCTTTATATCAGGTAAGAAAGAACATTACACTATAGCAAATAACTATTTAGTTGTTATAATATTTATAGCGCTAAGAAAGATGTGTATCTATTATTTGACTTCATGATTTAACTAGTAATAAAATAATGGGTAAATTGGTTCAAGTCTCTTAACATTACTACACCTTTACATCAGGTTAGAGGAACACTACTCTAATGACTATTTTTAATTTAACAAAAGATTTTTGTAAGCTCAAGCTCTAGTCAGTAATATCTTTATGTCAGTGTATATCAGTATATCAGTGTCAGCCATTACTAAGAGTAAGATAAGATGAGATAAACCTTACTAAAATAACTCGTGTTTCCACATGTATAGGTTTTAAACAGTCATAGTTAAGTAGATCCAAAGTTCACTCGAGTTCTGAGAAGCTATTTACAGTCGTGCTTAATTTTAGACAGTAGGATTGGCACATTTGGTATCGATATAAATGTATTTTAAACCTCAGCGGTAAGAATGATTCGATTTTTTTTATTTTTTTTTTACTGGAGAACGTGTTAAAATACTTGTTTGTTGTGTTGTTGTTAGGGACGCTTCCTGTTTGTAGTTTTTCCTTTTTTGGGATTCAGGAAGTGAAAGAGAGACTGTGGGACTGGTTTAGGGCCTGAAGAAATTTCCCTTTTTTTTTTAAGATTTTTTTTTTTTCCCTAACTAAATCCCAAACGAAACCACTAATATTGTTTTCAGTGAGTGTGAGAATTTTTACTTTTACTTACTAATACAAGAGACACTGGGGCACAGTGCGCAGAAGACATTAACCTTACAGTGTTTTTCATAGATTTGGTTAAGATTATCACTTTACTGCCTCATTTTTGACCAGTGTAGTTTCTTTTATGAGCTCATGATAATACATAGGGCAACAAAGTCTAATTTTGTTAGTCCCCTGACAGGCTGATTATTGCATGAAATTGTTCATCAGTATTACAACTCATTTAAAACATTCCTAATGTCACATTTCTCATGAGTAATAGCAGAGGGGCAGGCAGAACACTCCATTCTTTAGCTATTTCTGTGCACTAGAAGAAACTGTTCTACTTAAAAGAACAGCTTAACAAATACAAGATAATAAAGTCAATTTTTATTTGCAAACCATATCAGATCAGAAGTGGAGAAACAATATTTTGACTGCATGTGTAGCTAGGGTTTGTTGTTTTGGGTTAAAGTTCAAACTGTGTCTCATATTTCAGCTTCACTTCCTGGTTTTTGACAACCTGATATCTTTGGCGTGAGCACTGTTAAATGTCACAGATTGCATTTTATTGAATATATGCTAATGGAAGTTAAAAGCTTGGACTTGTTTTAGTTCTGATTTATTCTTGCTTTAGGCCTGCTTTGGTCCTGCTTTAGTCATAGTTTAGACCTGGTTTAGTCGTGGTTTGGTCCTGTTTTGAGAGTCCTGTTGTGTTTAACACTAGATTTAATGTTCAGTTTTCCAGATGTTCCGGTTCGAAGTGCATGTGCGCATCACCGACGACCCCTCGGTGGCCCCTGACCCTTCTGATCCCTTCCTTTTCTCGACCCTATTCTCTGAGGACGCAGCAGCTGACCACACAGAGGCGCTCCTGTCCACTCTTAGAGGAGACGATCTGTGCTGTGAAGGAGAGGCGGGAATCTTCATAGGACACAAGTAAGTAGGAGACATGTTAGGACACAAGGAGACATGTTGGGGGGTATGACTGGTCCTAATTTTTGCTCCTCTCTTTCCTCTCTTCTTTTCTTTCACTCTCAGACACCCCTCTTCCACCTCTTCTTCGTGGGCCGTGGGTGACTGGAATATCTTTGTGAGTTCGGACGCGCGCTGTTCAGACGAGGATCGCAGCGGTGCCTCCTGTTGGAGCAGTGAAGAAGAGCACAGCCTGGAGTTCGACTGTGAAGAGAGCAAAGCATTGTGGGAGTCGCTGTCCCGCTCTAACGACCCCTACGACCCCCTCTGCTTCTCCGCCTGCATCTCCACACGAAGCAGCAAAGGACTGTGGGAGAAGCGGTCCCCTGCCTCCTGCAGTCCTGTGTCTGAGCACATGCATGTCCATAACAAAATGGGACAAAGTCAAATGACACAAGAGACTGAAGAGACCCAAAGCAAAGAGATGGAGTCCACTGTTGCAGATGTTTGTAGTCTTGTTTTAGAGGGAAACCAAAGTGAAGAGGAGAACAAAGCATCCTGGGAAACAGAGTCCAAGTGTAGTGATGTTTGTAGTTCAGTCTGTGTCTCCCCTGACGCCAAGAGAGAAGAGAGCAAAGGATTCTGCGAGACTGAATGCATCTGTCCTGACACATGTAGTCCACAGAATCACAGGAACGCTTTAGATTTGAACGAGGAAACCAGTGAAGACGAGAGTGAAGGGTCATGGGAAATTGAGTCCACAGATCTCCAATCAGTGGAGGAGGAGGAGAAGAACAAAGGACTGTGGGAGACGCAGTCTGGCCGGTGCACAGGAGTCCCAGTGGGCAGGTTTTGGGAGAGCAGTTCGGAGGAGGAGAGTGATGCAGAGGATTTCCCGGTGCAGAGAAGGACTTTAGTGACACGTTCGGACAGTGACAGCAGCTGGAGCTCGGAAAACTCTGATTGGTCCCAAACGTCAGAACAACAAGAGGAAAACCAACTTCTCTGGGACCTGTTCTCCCAAAACCTTGACCCCTTCAACCCCCTTTGCTTCAATGCCACCAACAGGAGCAGAGAGGAGGAGAAGAGGAGAGAGGAGGAGAGTGATGCAGAGGAAGAGGAGGACCTATGGAGCGATTTAACAAAACAGCAAGACCCATATCACCCGCTCAACTTCACTGTGCTGCAGGGGAGGGAGAGGGAGTTGAGAGAGGAGGAGACGCAGAAGAGGGAGGGGAGAGATGGGGAGCCCATCAGGAGGAGGAGGAAAGGAGAGAAGCCTGAGCTGAAGCAGAGGAAGATCCAAAGACACTCCCATCCTCCGGTCATCCTCTGCCCCTGGACCAAAGCCTCCTCTGCACCTTCGTCTGCACCGGCCCCTGAGGGACCCCCACTCAAGCACAAGAAGGTGAGATGTTTGACCTGTGCTGCTTCAAAGCAGAGTCCAGGCTCAGAGAGGACTGAAGATTAGGGTTGTCAAAAGTATTGGAAATCAGATACTACTAATCGATAAAGAAGCTAGTACTGAATCTGCTAGTAGATACTAATTTGAGTAGGTATCTATCATATCCTATATCCAGTCTAAACTGAACTCGATACAAAAACAAAAAATCATTTAAATAGGACAAATGTCATCCTGAACAGTTTTAAAATTATCTTGATAACAGAAAGAGGACTATTTTAGTACTTTAATATTATCTTGTATGGAAAATTATTTGTTTGTTTTTGTGGTTTCAAAATCTGTATTGTGCGTATTCGTTAGTACTGAAATCAAGTTAGACTAAACACTGCTGTTGTTTTTGTGTCTCTTAGCAATAGCTCTCTGGTCATGTGATTCTGACTCATGTCAGTCTGAAGGTTGTGCTTTAAACTGTGAAAAACCCAGCCATGTGAAAGTTTTGTTTACTGTCTCCTTGATTTTAAAAAGGACACAAGGAAACAAAAATGTACTTGCCCACTGTTCCAGGTTTTGGTAGAGGTTTAAACCAGGAGAGAAACTAGATCCTACACCAGCTCAGGTCAATAACCAAGACTAAAACTAGACCTTAAACCATGGTCTAAACAAAGTCTCTTTCTTTCTAGGTGCGGTTCTCAGATGAGGTCAAAGTTCACGTGATGAGGTCATGGCGCTTTGCTCACGAGGCAGCAAGGAGGGGTCAATGGGAGGAGTTCGCGAGAGACCGCGACCGATTCAGGAGAAGGATCCAAGAGGTGGAACGGACAGTTGGACCTATTCTAAGACCAGAGCACAGGGAGAGGGTCTGGACCAGGATCAGACCGGGACTGAACCAGGACTGAACCAGGACTAAACAGGATTAAACTAGGACTAAACCAGGACTTAACCAGGACTTGTGGACTTTTGGACCTGTTGCACTGATGTGATACTGACCTCAGATCTGCCTTAGACTCCTGAACCACGTTGTCTCATTCTTCAGAAAAACATCTTTATTTATTTTATAATAATTATTACATTGTAGTAATTTTATTTCTAATTGATCATTATGGTGTAATGAGCCAATATCCCCTTTTCCTAGATTAAATCATTTCCTGGTGCAGTTTTTTCTGGAGAATGAGTCATTTTTTTAAGAAAAAGTTGAATGTTTTTAGTGATTTTGTGCAATATTTGTACTTTTTTGTATATTTGTAGTGGACAGTGAATAATAATATAATTTATTTTATTTAGTCGTGATGTTTGCACAGAACTCTTGCCTTTTTTTGAATGTTCAAAAACACTTGAAGCTGTAGAAGAACCAGGCTTTATTAAAATATGGCTCTGAAGTTTTGTGTGTCATTATATTCTGGAAGTATTTTACTAATTACTTAGTAAATGATAAAAGTCTTTTGATTGTAAAATTTGATGTCAAATGTTTGAAGGGGGGGTATTATTTACATTTAGTTTTTTGAGCCTTCTGTGATATAATGTTCCCTCATCAAACATGCCTGAAGAGTTTTTAGATCCATGCATGTTTTAGTGTTTTAGCGATCCCTCCTTGGCCCTATTCTAACCCTCCTTACCGTTAGCAGTACAAGCCTGTACAAGGCTCCGCCCACAAGCCTACATCACCCATGCTCTTACATGACAATTCTTCATCGGTCAACAAAAAAAGAAAATATGCTACAACTTGACCAACCTGATGTGATGTGCAGTTGTTTTATGGTACATTTACGTAATCTTGGAAACTGACACTAAATTAAACTCTAATCATCCAACTTCTCAAAATCTGAGCACATACATTTGCACAGTCGTCCTTGCTGAGTCATTGGACAGTTGTACGAAAACCAAGGAAGTAGTTGTGACAGAGACTTATGTGAAGCATTTCTCCATAGCAAATTGAGGATAAACTAATTGGAAATGGAAGTTTTTGCAAATTTGTGTTTCTGAGTACTTAATAAATTAGAATATACAGTTGAATGTTTGCTTAAATGTGTTTAATTTGTGAAGTAAAATGAAACAGAATCGCTCTCAGATTGGCATCATACGTCCTCAATGTTTGTCTCTGCACATCCAGGTGAATCTGCTGCAACGATGTCGTCAGGTGTGAAATCCTCAAAACACAAATGATGAAATTGCTCCTCAGAGACACCATTCAATTAACCACAACACACAGATGCCTTCCCACCCACCTGTATATCCCTGTGTATCAGATGCCCTCCCATCCTCCTGCATCCTTGTAGTGATACACTGAGGGGGAAAATATTTGTGGATTTGACTTTTGGAGATATTGGATGAAAACCAAAGAGTGACACAGAACACTGATTTTGTTCTGTTACCATTATACTAATTAACTTTAATTTTAACATTTCAAATGCTCAAACTTTTTTAAAAACGTTTTTAGTTCAAGTTTTTATTTCTTCAGATCCATTTGTGTTTCTTTATTTCATATTTCGTGTTGTGTCTCAGGCTGTTTCATCATCAGGACTGAGGTGGCGTTGCATCAGCGCTCTACTTCAGTCTTGAGCTTTAATTGTTCTCCTGAGACTCCCCCTCCACACTTCTCACTCTCTTTCCCTTCTCCTTCTCCACTTTCCCCTCCCTCTCTCCTCTCTCCCTCGCTCCTCTTTTCTCCCACCCTCCTCACTTCCTTCTCTCCTCTTCTCTTTCAGTCCCTCACTCCTCTTCCCTCCCTCCATCGTCTCACCCTCCTCCTCATTCCTTCTCCCTCCCTAACTTTTTTAATTTTCCTCTCATCTGCTCCCCCCATCTCCCTCTCCACCTGTTTTTCACTCCACTCTTCTCCTCCTTCTTCTCTCTTTTTTTCTCTCTCCTCTGCTCTCCCCTGTCTGCCCCACTCTCTTCCTTCTGTTTTCCTCTCCTCTTTTTCTTCCCTCCTCTCTTTGTGTCTCCCTCTGTTCTTTCTTCCCTTCCACTCTTTCTCTTCACATTTTCTATCTCCCTCCGTTTTTCCTTCCCTCTCCTGCCTCCCTGCTGAATTCTGTTAAGGTCTCACTCTCCTCTTTCTTTCCCTCTCCTCCTTCCTTTTTTTCTCTATCTCTCTCCTCTTCCTGTGAGAGGTATAATTTGCTGCTGCTGCAATCCACTGCAACTCTTTACAGTGATGCGGTCTCCAACGGCAACAGTCTATGAGGCGGGTACTATGGAGACGAGGAAAGGAGACGAGAAAGGATGAGAGGAGACGACGAAGGAGGGAAACTGACCAATCAGAAAGCCCTCCTAATCTGCTCAGGATAATATATTTTAGAAGAGTTGTACAAAGAATCCTTTTCATTATTCCTACTTGGACTTTTCCATTCAACATTGTTAAATATTTGCTTCATATTTCTCCTGTTGCTGATAAGTTTTCTACATTTAAGAATCTATGAGCTCCAATATAAAGTAATTGCCTTGCCTAGAACAGGGGTGGGCAATTATTTTTTCCATGGAGCCACATGAGAAACTGAAAATATTGTGTAGGGCCAGGCTCTTTATAAAAAAAAGCAGTAAATAGCATTGTGTGTTATGACTAAGCAATGAAGAAGTGAGATTGCCTTGCAAAAAATTAAAAAAAAAACACCTCCAAAATAAAAGCAATGCAGCTTTAGTCCATGCATGAGGTAAATTTATAAAATATGTTTCTTTTGTAATTTCATATTATCTTAAATGGGCCAGTCAGAGGCAACCAAAGGGCTGTATGTCACCCAGGAACTGTACAATGTCCAGGTCTGACCTAGAATGTTCCACAGTATGGCATTAAAGGGCCCATATTACCTTCTTTTCTGATCTCGGTTATAATGATTCCTCACCACAGACAGACCTGGAGTTGTGTTTTGTTTCATTCACACATGTTTAACACACAAACCCTACATATTTAGACTGACATCTGCTCTCAAACAGAAAACACTCTGTTCCACCTTATGATGTCACAGTTTAATAAAGGAAGTGTTCAACTGTGTTTTTAAACTCCATTCCTTCATTTGAATCTTTTGGATGATTTCTGATCTGGAATTGCCGATCTGCTGAACAAGGTAAAATGTTAACTTGAAATCTACCACAACATGACATCATAAGGTGGAACAGAGCATTCTGAGCTTTAGAGATGTAGACAGACTAATAATAAAGAATTATCCAAACCTGTGAATGAAACAAAACACAACTCCGGGTAAATTTTTGAGGAGTTTTTTGAGACTGCCCTTGTTTACGGCTAACATCATTATGGGTAATGATGCTCTGTTGTGTATTGTTTCACCTTCAGCATAGTTGAATGCCTGATTATATCTTATAGGGGTTCAGAATGTTTCAGTTTCACTTTAAAACTCCTTTTTTGGGGCCGGACTCAGAGGAAAGTAAATCTCAAGTTACAGCTACACAGTTACTCTTTAAATTACTTTTTCTTGAGTAGTAGTTTCCCCCAATAGTATTTTAGTCTTACTTAAGTAATTTCTCGGACCACTACTTCTATTTAAAGTGTCTTTAACATGGATTCTATTTAATTTGCTGGGATAACCTGTTGTAAATATGAATGACAGTTTTACACCAATCAAGAAAAAAAAAATTGTGAAGAAAAGTGCAAAAAAAAAAAAAAAAAAAAAAACATGTGGAGATTTTTAAAACACATTCATGAATTCCATCCAAATGTTGAGCACAATTTACACAGGAAACTTTAACTTTAATACTTTAAACATTATTTCAACAAAATGATTGGTTGTTTTGTTATATTTGTATTTGTCTAATTATAATTTCTGAGAGGAGAGACATTAGAGGAGTTTTTGCCCTGTGTTGGTTTGTTGCTAGGTAACAGTTATGAAATTCCCTAGGCCTAGTGGGATGTGACGATTTCGACCAGAAAGTAAAAAAAATAAAATAAAATAAAAAGTAAAACTGGGAAAGAATTTGTTATTTATTTTAGAAGAAGAATACTCTTAAATGTTTGGGTAACATTTTCGGCTACTCTAGCGCCTCTGACAGTACAGCAACAGCAGCACAACAGTTATGTAATCTCTCTCCAAATAATAAATAGACTTACTGTACTATAAAAACACAACTGCACTTTCTTTGTTTTTCCACTGAGCTTCGCTGTTCACCCTGTAATGCCCGGCTCTGTGCCCGCAGCAAGCGCTCCTTCCCCGGCGTCGCTCGGCACCAGCCCCCGCTCTCCTCCGGCTCTCCCCTCCTATCCTTCTCCTCCTTTCCTCCTCCTCTTCTCCTCCTCTTCCCCTCTCCTTCTCCTCTCTGTCTCTCTCCTCCTCCCCTCTCCGGTCTTCTCCCCTCCTTCTCTCCTCCCTGCTCCTCCAACTCTCCGTCTCTCTCCTCCAGTCCTCCTCTCCTCTTCTCCTCCTCCTGCCCTTCTCCTCCTCCTCCTCCTCCTCCTCTCTGGCTCTCCTCTCTCCTCCTGTCCCCTCCTCTCCTCTCTCCTCCGCTCCTCCTCCTCTCTCCTGTCCTCCTCTCCGCTCCTCCTCCTCTCTCATGTCCTCCTCTACTCTCTCCTCTCCTCCACTCCCCTTTCCTCCGCTCCTCCTCCGGCCTCCACAGGAACTGACGTCTACGGCCGAACAGACGCCGAAAAATGCCAGCGCAGGAAAAATGGCTCCGGTGTTCCGCGCTCCGCTGAAAGGTAAAGCCGCTCTGTCGCCTCCTTTCTCCGGGTAAACTTTTTAGATTTCACCGCGAGACTCTCGGCGCCATTTGCCTCCGTGAACCGAACCGTGAAACGAGCCCGAACCCCACCGGGCCGCTGTCTTCCGCGTTCGGGACTCTTGGATCTGTCTCTCCGGTACTTTTAAATAATTAAACCCGTGTTACTTACGTCTTGGACAGGCTATTAAAGACGGATACTTCAGCGGTAACTCCACACTTTAGCACCGAAGAGAAACGACTCCATTTTCCCAGCTTTAACGGACAAGTTCTGGAAAAGTGTCCGAAGTCTGTAAGGAAAAGTTTGGCCCGGACAGAACTGTGACAAACTGCATTAAAAGTGCATTTGAATCCGTTATTATTCACATTTTAATTATATTATCACTCCTTCAATGTTAATCTATAGATATTGCATTGTTTTACCGAAAATCAAGCATTTTAAACACTTTGAAAATATTGTTCAGCCGAAAACACTGAACCTCGTTTAGAAAACAAGCAAGTAAGTGTTTTACCTTTGATTCTGTAATGTATTCGCTTAGCATATGATTTCAAACACTTTAAACTCTTAATAAGTAGTGTTATTTTCAATTCGGTATAGTCTTTATTTAATGTTATAATTTCAGAAATAAGGTTGTAAGCTTCAAACCAGCCAAACTTCATTTGTTTGTTGAGCAAATCTCTTGCAAATACATTGGTTTGTGGTTAGGGACTTTTTTTTTTTTTTTATTTCTTCATAATTTTGAGGTTTTACATTTTTAACTGTCTGGAATGTGTTAAACAGCAGCTACAGTCAGACAGACCTGTAATAAACTATTGTCAAATTACACATTTTTGTACAGGTGTGAGTCACTTGAAAAAGGCTATGACTGAACCGGGACTAAACCCATACTAAACCGTTACTGGACCGGGACCGGAACCAGGACAATTTTTTTATAGCCCATCCTTTTGTAATGCTGTTGTGTAGTTGGAGACGAATCAGCGTTTCCTCTCCATAAACTTAAACTGTTACTGATTCTCCTTTTAAAATCTGTTCAACAATTCTGTCTGTGGACTTTGCACTCACATGTGTCTGAAGTGTTGAGCTGTCATCAGCAACACAATAACAACTACTGCTTAGTGCATTCTGACACAGTTCTGATTTATTCCTTGTTTTAATCTTGGTTTTAATACTGGTTCAGTTCTGGTTCAGTTCTGGTTTAGTTCTGGTTTGGTTCTGGTTTAGTTTTGGTTTATTCTGTTTCTGTGTCCCGATTTAGACCCATTACTGGATTCTTCCTGCTGTAGTCCCGTTATTCTCCTGAGTTCAGTCACTCAAATTAGTCCTGGTTTAATTTTGATTTATAACTGGTCTAATTCCTAGGTTTAGTACTTGTTGAGTTCTGATTTAGTCCTGGTTTAGTATCTGAGCTGGACTGTGACCTAATTTAAAGTCACAAAGTGTGAAAACTGTGTTAATCAATAAAGTGATCAACAACAGCAGGATTTGAATTGGCCAGTCTGATGTGACCGTTATAGCGGTCAGTGTTAAGTCCCGGAACTTCAGAACTTTTAACCATGTTATAGTTGTTTCCTTCTCATATACTCTCTGAACTTGTATTTAGAGTGATTCATGCATGTTTGAGTAATCTTTATTCTTCTGAATTCAAAACGTCATTGCACCGATCTAACCCCGTTTTCACTTCTACTGACACACTCACTGTGTCGTACATACTTAGTTCTCCAATTTTACTTTCCTAATCTTTGGTACATACAGGATTTGGCAGCATCATGTAGTCATGTTTGTACAAAGGAAAAAAAGATCAGTATAGCAACATAATGATCTACAGGTGTCATAGATCCTAACTGAATAGCACAATATTGTAGTGTAAATGTCTTAATGTCTTAATTAAACACATCTCTCGTGTTTCTGTGGCAGGCGCCTGACCTCTTCTTCTCTCTCTGATGGGCCTCTGGAGCTGACGATGGCGCAGATCTCCCAGACTCGCGGCGCCCCCGTGGGGAAAGAGGAGGCGCTGCGCATGGAGGAGGAGGCTCTGGCCAAATTGCAGCGAGAGAAACGACAGACTTTCCCTTCAAACGCCTCAAAACCTGCTCCAAAACTTGCGCAAAAACCCACACGGGCCAACTCGCTTCCACAGACCACACCCCTAACCTCGCCCCTCACTGCCTCCACCCGCCCGGAGAAAGACCTGATTGTGTTTCCGGAGGCTAAAAAACAGACGCAGGAAACGTTTAAAGACATTGATGTGGATAAACTGACCAATGAGGAGCTGGAGAAACTGCTACTGGATGAGAACTTTGCGGCAAATCGTCCGACAAAACCCGCTCTCCTCGGATTCAATCTGAGCGCCTCATATCCGGGTGGAATCCACAGCAGTGGCAACACCTTCTCACCAGCCAATCAGTGGACTCCGGTGCTCCAGACTCCACCCACCGCCAGCTCCCCGTCACCCCTTTACCCCACAGCTCCATTTCCTAAAGCAGGCACGTTTCAAAATGGCTTCCCTCCGTTCATGGCGTCTCCCTTCATCCCGTTCACACCACCTGCCGCGCTTGTGTTTCCAACCCCCGGCCCACCCAAGGTCGACCCCGAGATGGCAAAACTGTTTGATAAAATCGCCAGCACAAAGGAGTATCTAAAGAATGGGCGATCCGGGAGCAGTGACGCAGATCCGGCGCCAGCTCGGACCACTTCCCTCGAGCCCAAAGCCGTGAGTACGAATCCAGCTGAGTCAACCTCCTCCTCCAACATGGGGAGGTTTGATTGGCTAGACCTGGACCCGTTGACGAAGAGGAAGAGTGAGGCGGATGAGGCGGGGCTACAGGAACAGGAAATGGGTGCGAGCGAAGGCGATCCTTGGGATGCTGTGCTGAGGACAGAGGGGGATTCTGGGAGTTGTAGTGATAAAAATAGCGACGGATCTGAGGGGAGGAGCTCTGTAACGAGGAGGGTGGCATCTGGAGCAGCAGTCACACGCAGTCACTCCTTGAACACGCACGGAACATCGCCACATAAGAACAACCAGGTAGGTAAACACAACATGCAAACACAACACACAGAACAACTAAGTCATGGCTGTGCTCCTTGTCTTAAACCACATCCTGTTAATTTGGAACAAACACTGATGTAAGTCAAAAAAAGGAGTCAAATGTATTACATAAATGAGTTTTGTTCCTTTTAACAAGCAACAAAAGTGTAGCGCTGTCACAAAATTATTTACAAAAAATACTCTTAGTGACCTATCGGTACAACAGCCCACGATTCAATAGTGTGCCAAACAATACAATATATATTGATATTTCAATATTTTTGCATACCCCTACTTCTTGACACAGTGGGAAGAGTAACCTTTTTCTTAAGTAAGAGTACTGCTACACTGTACAATATTTTACTCAAGTAGGAGTAGGAAGTAATAGAAATTAGTCCTGGTTCAGTCCTGCTTTAATCCTGTAAACTTGCAGATTTGTTGCCATGGTTTAAAGTTAACATCTCTGAAATACTGGGCCTGTCCACATGAAACAGAAACTGGCATAAAGTTCAGCATCTTCTCTGTCAGTATAAATAAACTAAGAGGCACTGTGTATTCAATTGAATTACTCATTCATGGAGGTAAGACACTAGTGTAGCCACAGCTGCCCAGGGACAGACTGTAGGCATAGATTAACAGCCTCTCGTGTGTCAGTCTGCCCTGGGGCGTCTGTGGCAGTGTGTAATATTGATGTGCTCAGATGGCTCAGAGCTCAGGGCAGTGCCACAAAAACCTCTTTGTTCATAATTTACACTAGAACAGGCTTCAGGCTTTCTGCACATCTCAATACGGGACAGAAAAACAACATGGGATAATGAGAGGATTGGTTGTTTTGGAATGCTTATTTGTGGCAATTTTTCTGACAAATTTTGCAATTTGATTTTTGTTTTTCGAATTAAGGTTTTGTACTTCACATGTGAGAAGGCTGAAATCTGAACTTTAAATTATTTTAGAACATGTTTGTAGAGGTCTCATCTACAGGATTAACAACTTTTAGGAAGGGCATCTGGTGTAGTATGTAAATCCTGTAGTGTCTCATGGACCCTTCTTTCCTGCCCCCGGCTGGTGAGGTCCATCTGTCATATTCAGTCCCACTGAGACCTGAGGCCATATTTAACCTGCTCACAATGATGTAAGTACAGCTTATTCCTGGTTTAGTCCTGGTTTAGTCCTGGTTTAGTCCTGGTTTAGTCCTGGTTTAGTCCTGGTTTAGTCCTGGTTTAGTCCTGGTTTAGAGTCTGTGTCTAGTCCCGGTTCAGTCCTGATTCAGTTCAGATTAAGTTTTGCTTCAGTTAGGATGAAATATTATTGATTACCAACAAAAAAAACAAGATTTATTATCTAAAAGAGAGCATCAACATTATGCTATAAAAAGGTCAAAATTTTATATTGTATTGGACTGCACTAGTCATTAGCACAATATCCATGTTTCGTGGAGGTGGGCCAAGTTTAAAGTGATATTTCTCCATTAGTCCATTCACTTTGTGTGGAATACTTGGACCTCATAACACATTTACAGGCAGGTTTTAGTCTAGAGACTGAATCAGCACAAATAGACACAACAAAGCATTCTTTAGATCACTGCAACAGATATACACTACAAGGTAAGGTTCTCTCTACAGTCTGGTTTAGACCTGGCTTAGACCTGTCTTAGACCTGGTGTAATCTTAATAAATTTTGAGATTTATTTAAAACAATGAGTCTCCCATAGAGTTGTACAGGCTCCTGCCCTCCATCTGAGATAATGACATCTTCACATTCTAAAGTGTGAATAACCTGCACTCAGTGGCAGTGGTACAGCCGGAGAAGTGTTCCCCCCTCCAACCAGAAGGCGGCCAGTTCAGGTCCTTCCACTTCCTTCCTCTGTAGATAAGAAGTAACCTCTCAAAGTCACACCTGAGGACTGAACGAGGACTGAACGAGGACTGAACGAGGACTGAACGAGGACTGAACGAGGACTGAACGAGGACTGAACGAGGACTGAACGGGGACTGAACGGGGACTGAACCAGGGGACTGAAGGGACTGAACCAAGGGACTGAACCAAGGGACTGAACCAAGGGACTGAACCAAGGGACTGAACCAAGGGACTGAACCAAGGGACTGTTCCAGAACTAAACAAGGACCTGACCCAGGTCTTAAACTAGTCTAAACCAAGTTTGAACAAGGATCTGTTTTATGGATTTCTCAGCTGCTCAACTGCACTCTACGGTTTGTATCACTTTTCATTTAAAATTCATGAAATTGCTGAATTATTTTGGCCTTATATTTGCAGATGTCTGTTTGGATTTGTAATTTTTGTTACAGTAGACCTACAGATCATGCCTGTGTCTGCTTCATAGTTATAATCTATGACACCTGTGGATCAATATGTTATCATTTGGACATTTTAAATCAAAATATTCAACTAAAACAACTTGATTACGGGGCATTAAGGGGCAACTTGAAAGAAGTGTGCTGAATTCTGCCTTAAAAACCTGCGGTGCTCAATGGGAACTGATGTCGTTGTAAACATCACAACAAAACGCCACATGCTGTGGGCCCCTACTGCACATCACATTTTCTTTTGTTTTTTTCTTTTCATTTGTACCGCAGTGACAATGCTTCTGTCAAATCCTACTTGTATTTCTGGTTAAGAAAATTAAACTGGAGCATGAAGCATGTACATCACAATGGGCCTGTACCGGTAGTGGTAAAAACGATGGTAGATTGGAGCTATGACATCTTAAAAAAAAGTAATTAAAGATTGCTCAAACATGCACAAATCACTCAAATAGAACTTCAGGTGAGTAAATGGTGAAGGGAAAGAACTGTAACAAGGTTAAGTGCTCTAAAAAGACTTTTGCAGAATAGCACTGATTAATGATTATAAAGTTCCTTCATTACACTTCAAAATGTACCGGTAGTATATTTCTTTGTGGTGGAGCAGTGTGAGTAAAGGATATTTCAAGGACATTTCAAGTCAATAAAGAACTAAAACTAACATTCAAAGTTATTCCAGCAAGGTACTCCTGACCTGGATCTTTGCTTAGACCTGGTCTTTTGGGTCAAAGACTGTTTCATAATCAGAGACACAGCTGCACTTCTGTACTTTTACTCCCACACTGAGAACCACAGACCCCCTCCTTCAATCTTCCTCTCCCCCTCCTCCCTCTGTTTAAGGGTGAAGGTAGAGAGAAAATGTAGATATGGTAAGATGGAAGAAGTGGAGGGTATGAGTGAGAGTGAACTTTATCCTCCTCTCTCTCTGCCTCTCTGATAGTCACATTGAGTGTTACAGTGGATAATGACTCTTCTTAAAGAGGGGGTATTATACAAAATTCAGCTATTGTTCCCCTCATTAAAACATGCCTGAAGAGTTTTCAGATGTCATCCATGGATGTTTGGGAGAGATTGATAGATAACTCAATCTAGAAACTTCCTTACAGTTAGCAGTACGAGGATGTGCAAGGCTCCACCCACAAGCCTACGTCACCCATGCTCCCACGTGACAATTCTCTATAAATATACAAAAGCAGGATACAAAATTGTACACAGCAACTTAACAAACCCGATGCGATGTGCAGTAATTGTATCAGTGGGATGCACACTGATTGTGTTGTGATGTTGCTCTGAAGGGTGAGTGACTTAGCAGGGCAGCAAAGATGGAGAAACTCAGAGGTCAAAAACAAAAGTGAAACTTAAAAAAATGTGTTGATACATTGTTTTGGGCGAATATAGCATTTTCAAAACAATAAAAGGTAACATGGTGATCTAAATTTATGTGTTAGCAATTATTACCCCATAGAAGTAAAATACTCCCTCTTTAAATATGAGTGTCTCTACATCATTATTTGGCTGAGAGGAGCATGCGTGTTTTTGGGTGCGATGTTTTCAAACTCAACTTCTCTTGGTTTGACTGAGACAGGAAGTCTGTTAGATCAGAGTCAAAAGCAGAAGCTAGGGTTCCTCTTGTTGCACCAGAGCAGAGCGACTAGAGGAGAGGAGCAGAGGGACTAGTGAGGGGGAGCAGATAGAGGAGAGAAGAGGAGCAGAGTGAGTGAGAGAAGGAGCAGCAAAGAGGCAAGAGAGGAGGAGCGGAGGGATGAGAGAAGGAGAAGCAGAGAGGAGAAACTGAGAGATGAGAGGAGGAGAAGCAGATACAAGAGGAGAAGCGGAGAGATGAGAGGAGGAGGAGGAGAAAGCGAAGGAGACGCAGAGGGGAGAGAGGCAATAAGTGGAAAGCTGAGAGAGAAGGGGAGAGACTAGAAAGAGGAGGAGAAGAGAGGAATTCCAACGGCCATTGGGTCAATACATGAGGAATAATCTTTAAATTATGATGTTACGTATGTATGTTTAGAATGTTTTTGCGTCTTTTTAATGTTTCTGGTTAAAGACAAAATCCTTTAAATTGTATGCCTATATTTTTCATGTTTTCAGATCTTGGTTTTGTTTTGATTTTACAGTTTTTCTGCTGACTCAGGGTTCACTGGGTTTGAGGATCAGCTGAGAGAGAAAGGGGAAGGAGGAGAGGGGGAGCGAGTAGGGAGAGAAAGTTTGAAATAGAGAAGAGAGAGATGGAGGGTGAGAGTGAGAGAAAGAGGAGGAGTAGTGAAGAGAAAAAGAGGAGGAAGAGGGGGAGCAGAGGAGAAAAGAGGGTCTAAAGATCAGTGAGGGGGAAGAGATGGGGGAGAGGGGGCGAGAGAGAGGAAGGGGAGGTTAGAGGAGAAGATGAGAAGAGAGAGGAAGGAGAGTAGGGGAGTAAAACAAGCAACAGGACTAGCTGTAGCAAAGTGTGAATCAGAACAGAGGAGTGTTTAAAGCCATACTTCGGAACATGAGTCAGCTCTTTAGCACAGACTTATGGGAACAGGAAGTGGGCCCGACCAGAATAGGAAGTGGACAGGACGCACTGTTTCCTGAACTGAGGAAGAACATTCCTCACACGCTCTGAGGGAGGAGGGAGAGAACGAGGGATCATGTCGTCACTTATGCAGAAGGAGGAGGAAAGACGCAGAGAGGGAAAGAACAAGGGGTAACTCTTACACACCAGAGAAAGAGGGAGAGGGAGAGAAAGGGAGGGAAGTACTGAAAAGATGGAGATAAAGGGAGAGGGAGGGAGAGTTGTGGGGAAAAAAGAGGAAAAGTACAAGGGGGAAGAGGAGAGAGGGATGCAGAGAGAGAAAGAGAGGGAGAAGGGTCTGAGAAGGAGTGAGTAAGTAAGAAGAGAAGGAAGAAAGATACTAACAGAGAAAGAGGAGAGGGTAAAAATACAAGAGGGAGAAGGAGAGAGTGACAGGAGAGAGGGAGTAGATGGGAGGAGCAGAGGAGAGGAACAGTCCAAATATGCAACACTGTTAAAAATATTTCTGTCGATAAAACTCCACTTAAGAACTGATGATGAACAAGTTCCATCAGACTAACAGGGACTTAAAAGATCCTGTGAAAGTGTTGTGTCACCATCAAAAACAGACCTGGAGTTGTGTTTTGTTTCATACACATATGTTTGAGTAACCCTTTATTATTAGTCTGTCTACATCTCTGAAGCTCAAAATGTTCTGTCCCACCTTGCGTGTCATGTTGTGGTAGTTTTCAGCTTCAGTTCAGTTTTCAGGTAATGGCTTCCTTTTCTGTTTTGTTCTGTGGATGAAGTCAGTGTAAATATGCAGGGTTTGTGTGTTAAACATGTGTGAATGGCACAAAACACAACTACAGGTATGTTTGTGATGAGGAAACAACATTATACACCAGAAAATAGTGTAATTTGAGCCCTTTAAAATTGACAGTACCCAAATCTTCATATAATAAAGTAAAATGTGTCTTGCCCCAGTACAGATATATTGTTTAAGTGCACTGTGTACTGCCTGCATCTAACTATAAAGTTATTTTTTATTGTCTGACAATCAGGAAGTGTGTTTTAGCATACTAGATGTTCCTTTTTTCTGTTCCCAGAGTTGTGAAAGGTGCTTAGAAACTCAATAATTAGGATGCTCTGAATGCATTAGGTTATTTAGATGAACTCTAAATCATTGTATTACTGTTGGATGTGACCTTTTTTTTTGTTTGTTTTGGGGCAGCCCAGAGCTCAGATTGTTCAGAAAATGTGAAATCTTAAATGACCCTTTGAGCTGTGGAGCTGATGTTGGATCCATGTTTTAAATGTTTTGATTTTCAGGAGAAGAGTCGAGGCAAAGCTCTGGTGAAGAACGCTGCTCTAGATGAAACTGATGCCCAAAACCTGGAGCTGCTGTCATTCTGTCACCAAGTCACACAGTAAGAACATTTATTATAAGAAATATGGAGAGGGGCAGAGTAGCAGAGGAGAAGCAGAGAATGATTCTTGTCTCTTCCTCTCAGCCTCAGGTCTCAGTTCCTTCACTCAGACCCCGTCTCAAACCCGGGCTTTGTCCTGAGTCCAGTGATTCCTCAGAAAAACCTTTCAGATTCTGCCTCTGTCAAAGTCTGTATCGAGACCGCAGAGAGGAGCCAACCAGTCACCTTCACCTGCGATGGTAAAACTAGGGCTGGACTGGGACTAAACCAGGACTGGACCACGGACTGGACCACGGACTGGACCACGGACTGGACCACGGACTGGACCACGGACTGGACCACGGACTGGACCACGGACTGGACCACGGACTGGACCACGGACTGGACCTGGACAGGACTGAACAAGGTCTAAACAAGGACTGGACCACAGACTGGACCAGCACTCTGTGGCTCCTATTACAGTTGTTTCTGTCACACTGGAGTCTCTGTTCTTTGTTTCTGTTGGTCTTTTGTCTTTGGTCCAAATGTTTCCTCAGAACAGATCTGGGATTATTTCACTATAGAACTCAATATTAATATTTTTTTATACATTTTCACACTCAGATTACCCTGCAGCTCATCCCTTAGTTTCTGCAAAGTTTGGTTAAACTAGAATAAGTAATTAGACTGAAACATGTATTTGTCGACTAATCATTTCATAGATGATAAAGATTTATAACAGCAGAAAGGAGAAGCTAGTGAGTTAGCTGAAGATATGATATTTTTTCGTGTTTATGTTAAAAGGCAGATTAAACTCATTATTCACAAACTTAATCTATCTTTATATATATGCATAATTTCCTAGTACTCTTTTTGCATCAATAGTAGCTTTTAAGTGAACTCCCGTTCAGGTGTGTATTCTCTGCAAGTACACAGAGATACTTTATAGATTTGAGAGCTTTTGCAATGCCCCCTTTCAGTTGACTAATCAATTGGAAGCACTTGTCTTTAGTCCAACAAGAATTTATTTAGTAAACTACAGGCCTATTATTTACACAGGTTAGCCTCGTCCCATGTCTCATTTTCAAGAAGGACCAAAACAGAAGTCTGAAGTCTTTGCAGTTAAAGACAGATTCTTCTCATTCTGTGGCCCAGGAGTTAGTCTGAGCCCACAGTAACATGAGTCTGTGCAAATACACAGGAGTTAGACTGAGCCGCAGACTTTCCTCTCCTCCCTTCTCCTCCTCTCTGTCTCATTCCCTTTCTATCTCCTATCCTCCCTCCCTCTCTCTTCTGTCTCTTCTCAGTCTAACATGAGTCTGACCAAATGTACAGGAGTTTGAGCCACACTCGTCTCCTTTCTTACCCCCTCTTTCTTTTCTCTCTAACCATCCTCTTTTCTCTGTCTTGCATCCCTCTCTCTTTCTATCCCCCCTTTTATCTCTCCTCCACTCTCTCTAACCCTACGCGCTCTCTCTTTTCAGTCTAAAATGAGTCTGTTCAAACACTTAGACTGTGCCACACACCCTCCTTTCCCTCTCTCTTCCCCTCTCTCTAGTCTAATCCTCTCTCCTCACCCTCTCACCCTCTCACCCTCTCACCCTCTCTCCCTCTCTCCCTCTCTCCCTCTCTCCTCTCAGACCCTGTGCTGGCTGTCCTCTCTTGTCTCTCTCCATTTCTCTCCTCTCCTCTGTGTCGAAGCCTTATGTCTTCTCTCTCTCCCCAGTCTCGTCTCCAGTGGAGCTGCTCATCTCGCAGACCTTGTGTTGGGTTCATGATGATCTGGACCAGGTGGACTTCTCCAAATACCTGCTCAAAGTCTGCGGACAGGAAGAGGTGCTCCAGAAGTGAGTCCTTCAAAATAAAAGTCCAATCCTGGTTTAGACCTGATTTAGTCCCAGTTTAGACCTGGTTCAGACCCAGTTTAGTACTGGACTAAACTGCTCATCACTCATCATATTTGATAAATATTGAGTCAAATATTTCACTGGAACAGAAACTTTCTGGTTCCACATAAGTGGAAGTATTTATTAACTTAATAGTCTTACTCATTAAAAGACACTTGAAACTATAGTGAAAAACTGACAAGAATGTGGAATACATTTTTTTTTCCCCTGATGATTTCTATCAGTGACAAGCTCCATTCTAACTATATTTTTCCAACCACACAACATCTGCAGATTAACTAGACATTTGACCTGCCCCCAGCTCAGTGTAACACTACTGGGATACAGGAGGATAGGAGGGCGTCTGACACACAGGGATCTGACTCTTTTCTCCTGTGTTGCAGTAAGCACAGCCTGGGCAGTCATGTTTACATTCAGAACTGTAGGAAATGGGAGAGTGACATCAGTCTGCAGCTGTTGTCTGTGGAGACGATTAAGAGGGACCTCGCAAGATCGGTGAGTCTAATAATTAAAGAGGGTCTATTATGCTACTCAGACTTGTTTGACCTTTCTGCATTGTTCTTTCATCAAAAATATGCCTGAAGTTGTTTAGGATGTCATCCATGTATGTTTCAGTGTTCTAGTGATCTCTCCCAGGCCCTGTTCGAACCTTCCTTAAGACCATTTAATTTGCAATGATGGCATTACGAAGACATCAGACATCTCAAGAAGAATGCACTCAGGCTCACACAGTGATCTTAGCGTACTACAGAAAAACATTTCAGTTAAAAGCTAAGCATGTTATCTATATGACCCCATAGAAGTCAAATAAGCACTGATACCAGCTGCCAGTACTCATACTCATCACTGAGCTGCCAATGCCAAGAGCTGATACCAAGATAACTGTCTTATGTCTTATTTGATGCTCGCGGTTCACCTCTCAGCTTAGCAGTGAGCTCTGTTCACTGAGCTGTGAGTGAGAAGGTGACCATAAAAATGTACATGATCTATTTTGCATTAACTCAGCTTTAATCAGATTTGACTGTCACATGAACTATGAAATTATTTAGGATTCTTATAGGTTTTTATATTTCACATAGTTGCAAGCTACCATGGCTAAGTGGTGGCATTTACTTATTGTAATTGGCAAATCTAGCTACTGGACAGAGCAGGTTCAGAGATTGATCAAACCCTTAGCCACGGTAAAAGATACACAAGATAACACTCACTACCATGCTAAAAGTGGCTGCTTAGTAGTTGCATGGAGCAGTCTACAAAGATGTAGTTGTAAATATCATGGACACTTCTCTTACTTATATTGGAATTAAACCAAATACCAGTGATTTTAGCAGAAAACAGCCCTTTAAATATATATTCCAGTGAAATGGTAGGCTATACTACCATGAAATGATTTAATAATATAGAGCTAATGAATAGACCTTTTCACAACATCCTGAAGAGCCCCACTGTAGATTTGCAGGACTTCCGGTTAATGGTTTTCTATGGCGAAATGTCTGTGTAAATGTCTCACGTATTTTCCACCAGCTTCATAAATCTGCTCCATCACCAAATCTTCATCCATTAAGGTCCACAAAGGACATATTCTGTCCATGAAGACTTTATCCACAACTATTAAGGTAAGAAAGACGAAAACCTAAAGGCGAACAACGGCTAGCATTAGTGAACTCCTGAGCAAAACTAACATAATGGTAATGAATAAAATATAAGTAATAAGTAATTTGTTAATGAGTAACTTGTTAACTCAGACTGATTCTAGAAATTTAAATTTTATTTCATGATGTAGATATCAGCAGAGAGAGATTTGTGCAGTTCGAATGCTACAGATGTTCACAGATTACATGTTTAGCATTAAACTGCACAAATCTCTCTGTCTATGCTAATATCTACATCATGAAATCGATTTTTAATTTTAATTGTAGAATCAGTCTGAGTTAACAAGTTACTTATATTTTATTCATGACCATAACATTAGTTTTGCTCAGGAGTAGTTCACTAATGCTAATCGTTGTTAGCCTTTACGATTTCATCTTTTTTACCTTGATAGTTGTCGATGAATTCTTCATAGACAGAATGTCCTTTGTAGACTATGCTGGATGAAGATTTGGTGATGGGGCAGATTTATGAAGCTGGTGGAAAATATGCTTGACATTTCCACTGATATTTTGTCATAGAAAAACATTACGCAAGTTGTAGTTACCCTACATCGTGGCACTTCCGGCCGTTGTAAAAAAGGTCTGTCGGATGATAATAATAATATGCATATTGGAAGTAATGACTTAGGTTTCCCGTTGTGAGAGACCCATGTAAAAATAATGTCTGGTACCGGTACTCAAAATGAAGTAAAAAGTGGTATCTGTGCATCCCTATAAAATACCCCCTCTTTAAACTACTTGATCTTGTTTTATTTTATCATGGTGAACATTTTGTTATTCTTTGTTTAATGCAACCTAATGCCAAAGCAAGTTCCTGTTTGTGAATTTCGCTGGCAATAAACCAATGGTTCATTTTGTCTTCTGTGTCTCCTGTGTCTCAGGCGGAAGACGACTCTGCTCCCATCGACCTGGACAAACACCTGACTCAGGTGGAACGACCTTTTAAGGAGAATGTTACCAGGTACTAGTCCAGACCAGGATCATAACTAGATCTGGTTCACTGGCAGGTTTAACATGCATCTAAAAGTTTCTCATGTTTTCCAATGCTTGACTTGGTTTGGTGGAATACCTGTAGTAAATAAAAAAAACAAACAAGTCATAATTAGAAAAAAATATATGAATCTGTCAAATGCACCTTAAAGGTTGAATGGAGGATTTTTTTGTTTTGTTTTGGTTCAAATTGTCAATGAAAGTTCAAAGTAGAAATAGAGACATAGAGATGCAGCAGCCTTGTAATTATGATGACCAAAACAAAAAAAGAATCAAAATCCGTCAACTGTGAATGGGGGTGGGGGGGTCACTGATGCGCAACATTTGAAAAAGGACAAACAGTCGCTGTATTTCACTATACCTGGAAACTCCTCTATACAGCCTTTTTTAAAGGCCCATATTTTCAGATCCACTGCATGTTATAATGTTTCCTCATCATAAGCATACCTGAAATTTAGTTTTATTTCATTCACACATGTTTAACACACACATCCAACCTATTTAGTTCTTCTCTCAAACTGAAAACACTGTTCCACCTGGTGCTATTCTGTGTTTTTAAACTCCATGCAAAAGAGGTAAAAGGAAGCCACTTCATGACATCACAAGGTGGGACAGAGCATTTTGAGCTTTAGAGATGTGGACAAACTGATATATGCTTACTCAAATATGTGTGAATGATACACAACTATAGGTATGTTTTATGATGAGATAACAGCATTACAACATGGCTTAAAGCTCACAAAGGTCAATTTTGTGGAGTATAGGATCTTTACACATATTCTTGTTGTATTACTTTGGGAGTGGGGCATGTTGGAACTCACCTGCAGAAACACCTGAGTTATGCTGCTCTTCTGTTCTCAGACAGGGGCTGGCTGATTACCTGGAGGGATACCACAACCAGGTCGCCCTCTGTCTGCAGGACAAGGTCAGTGCAGCTCTACTCATCCTCGTGAACTTAGTATATATTTTCTTTTCATGCACATCCATATCCACTTTAACCCCATACTCTTCCACCCTATTTTTCCTAAAATGTCTGACTAAAATGACTCTCAATTCAGCTGAATCTGTTTCTGATAGGGGTGTAAGAAAAAATGAATTTAGTAATTGCAATAGTTCATTGTGTGATTCTTGTGTTGATTCAAAATGCACCCAAGCCTTTTTTTTTAAAGTCATGTTTTTCATGAAAAAGTTACATTTACTCTTCTCATGATTAAAAAATTAAACAAATTGTATTTCATCTAATTTTGTTTTCATGAAGGTGTACTTAACCATAATATTAAACATAATTATTGATAAATCGCAATATATTGCCCTGTGTTTTAATCGGGATATATGTCTGATTTATTCTCATTTTAAATGGGAACAAGCCCTACACCAGAAAGTCAGATTTAAAATTCCACCTTTTTTGGGGGGTAAATATAAGAATAGGTATATCTGGTGTCTCTGGGGATTATCTGATAGAGAGCAGATTGAGCATTGGGTCTTGACAAGTCCCGCGTGTACCAGATGCTCTCCTTGCGGATTTTATTTTGTATAAATTGCTAACCTTGTAGTTTAGATCTTTACAACCATGTTCTGAAATGTACCTGTGTGTCATATGCCCACCCTGCACATAGAAAAACTTTTGTCAGTTCTGGACTTGTCTAAAATGTGAACTTTTAACTGAATATATGAATACAATTTTCAGCACAAAATATTAGTGCTTTCATGTACCACCAGTAGTTCTGTGTTGGTGCTGATAAAGTTCAGGATTACTTTAAAACTGTTCATAAAAGGTCAAATTTTTTCATGTTTATGGTATTTTTTCAGTATTATACTTAGATATATTTTTGATACTGGTTTTAGAATCGATTAGTGTCTGTTTTTGAAAGCTTTTGACAACCTTAGTGCCTGATATATGTATTTATTTTATGTTTTATTATCCCTTAGAGCTCTCAGTATAAGACAGTGGGTCGTTTAGTGCAGACAGTGAAGAACCTTCTCTGTGCACTGGACGAGGTGGAGACGACAGCTGTGACTGAAGCCGTGAAGAGACTCCAACACTGTGTCAACTTGCCAAGAACAAGATCTCCTAAGGTATGCAGCTCTTGGTCAACCTGTCCAAGTGCTTCGATCCAGCTTTTTCAGTTGAGATACCCTTATCAGTATTTCAGCCTTAAGTATCTGCAAGTATCCAATGTTATCCAGTGTCAGGCTGAAAATATCTTCTCTCAAAACACAGTAACTTATTACAAAATAAATCAACTAGTGCAATTTATCTAGTGCAATATATAGAAAAGTTTTGTATGATTGAAAATTACAACAATGAGACCTTTGGGGGCCTCCATCAGCTAGTTAATTGGCTTATTAAAACCAGTTGGAGACCCAAACTGACACCCGAGCCAACAAATTTCTTTGGAACAGTGCCGATATTTGATACCGGTATCAGTTCACTGTCTGTCAACAGATGTGAGGGAGAGAACCAAACAGTGATAATGAAAGTATCCAAAGGTAGAGTTTTTCTATGACTGTGACCTCAGATAAAGAGGGAAAGAACCAGACAAAGAGTTAATCAATATATCTTTTACAGATGGGATCTCCAGCACACTCCACAAATGGTGAGTCCCATGAACCTGGACTAAACCTGGACTAAACCTGGACTAAACCTGGACTAAACCTGGACTAAACCTGGACTAAACCTGGACTAAACCTGGACTAAACCTGGACTAAACCTGGATTAAACCAGGTCTTTACCCTCTGTCTCTTGTCCAGGTGACTCCAATCCGGTGGAGGAGGGTGTGTCCGCTCTCACTCAGGCCGTGTACGACATTGTCAAACTTTATCTGCGGTCCTTTTGTAGCCCCTCCCCCTCCTGTGTCTCCTCCCACACCTGTGCCTCCTCCTGCAGTGCCCCAGAGCACCAGCAAGGGGGTGAGGAAACGGGGTCCTGTACCTCCCCTGACCACATGGGGTCCTGTACCACTCCTGACCACACAGCGGCACTCTCCCGGGAGGCCTCAGGTGTTACAGATCACCTTCAGTTCTCTCTCTCCATGCTGCACGGGCTTCCTCACACTTGGGTCAGCAGGTAAACAAGAGGATAGGGGTCTGTTTGGTTTTTGATGTTAAATATATTTTAAAGCTGACCTATTCAGCATCATAAATCAACTCATATCATAATCATAATCTTATTTTCAAGATGCCTACCCCCGTTTTCACCACCACTGTACATACCCACAGTGACATGTGCATTCCAGTTTTATGTTCTTATTTCATGATACACTTAGAATTCATCACAGTCATTTTGTAGTTAAAAAACACAGTGACACATTTCTTCTATTACCAAATGACAAGTGTTTTCTGTTTGAAAGAAGAACAGCCTAAATATGCATGGTTTGTGTTAAACGTGTGAATGAAACCAAAACACAAGTCAAGATATATAGGTCAGAAAATAGTGTAATATGGGCTCTTTACTGTTCTGATTCTCACATCCAAAAAACAATCAGACAAATCTAAAGTTGCTCCAGACTCAGTGGGGAAGATTTGAACATGATTCTTGCAGAAGCTGATGTAACAAGGGCCATATCAGAAGTGCTGTTTAAAACTAAATAATTACACCTTTTTAATGTCACTCTCCTCCTACACACACACTCTGCTAATGTTCCACAGCAGGAGAACTGTTCTAAAGCAAGTTAAATAACTGCTCCTGTTGCAGTACTAAAACCTTTAACTTTATTTTGGTACCAAGAAATTGAACATGCTAACGCATACTTCCTGATTATCAGAAAATAAAATTCTATAATCCTATAATTAGATTTGTGGATTACTTTTCCCATTTTAACTGTATATTTTGTATTTTCAGTTTTGAGAAGTATTTTGTGATGTGTGCTTTGACCCACAATGGCAAAAACCTGTTTAAACCGATTCAGTCTAAACGAGTGGGAACCTACAAGAACTTCTTCTACCACGTCAGATGGGACGAACTGTGAGTATGAAAGCAGGACGAAAGCAGGACGAAAGCAGGACGAAAGCAGGACGAAAGCAGGACGAAAGCAGGACGAAAGCAGGACGAAAGCAGGACGAAAGCAGGACGAAAGCAGGACGAAAGCAGGACGAAACTTTATTGTCTCTTTGTGCATTTTCAGTATATTGTTCCCAATGGCGGTGGCTGTGCTCCCCCTAGAGTCGGTCCTGAGTATCACATTGTTTGGGGTTTTGACTCAGACTAACTCTGGGTCTCCGGACTCAAACCGACCCAGGACTCCCCCAGAGCAGCTTGGGAGAGTCACCCTGCCTCTGTTTGACTTCAGGCGGTCAGTGTTTGTCTCACACACAGATTTACAGTTTACTGTTTATGCAATCTCCACGCTCCAAGTTGGCTTTCATAGTGGTCTGTGCCTGTTAGAGCAATATTTTATTGCTTATTTTGAAGACGCCAATTTGACGATCAATTTCTGTTTTCACCTCCACCAGCATACACCCACTCTGACGTACTTACTCCATTCTCCAGTTTTATTTTATTAATCGGGATAATTGGGATTCAGCATCGTTCAACAGTAATTTTGGTAGAAATGAAAAAAAATCTGCTGCTTACTAGTTGATGTGCAACTACCCATAGGAGGGCCAACGATATGTGGCCCTTTGTTTCCTCTCATTTACGGTGTCGTGAGCTCCCAGTGGGCAGTTTTCTAACATGGAAGTCAGCAGACTGGGTTCTTTTATTAAGTCGTTTTAGATCAGTATTGCAATTTAAAATGTCCAAATTATAATCTAATGATCCACAGGTGTCGTAACTATATAGCAAACAAAAGCACAACTTGTCTTCTTTAATGTTTTTTTGATAGGGGCAGATACAACAGACGTAGATTAAAGGGCCCTTACCTGATTTAAATTTATTTTAGTGAAGATAAATGCTCCTTACATCATGTATTGTTTGGTAAAACCTGCAAAATAAGAAAAACTATAACTCTTAAGCGTGTGTACATTTAAAAAATATTTTCTCAGGTTATGAATAACACAGAAAAGATATTGTTCATTATGTAAACCGTTAATCTGTTTATAAAAAGCTAAACAACAAATAATTAAAATGGATGATAAATAAATAACAGTGTAATTCCTCGGATGTTCTGCAGGGTGCTGGTGAGTGGCAGTAGACTCTTGGCTCTCTGGACCTCAGCTCAGGGTCCCGGGTCCAACAAAAGAGTCCCCAACGAGAGAATCGTCCTCCAGGTGAGATAAATAAATACACCACTCCCTTCTTCTGTTGATTAGAAAAACATCAACAACAAAAAAGTTTTGACTTCACTGGTATAGATTGTCCGATCAAGTGATTCCTGAATATACTGCTCTACTGCACTGCTACTCTGGTGTAAATTGGGGATTAACTAAATGTATCATATTAAACAGTATTTGTGTTTGTGTTGCAGCTGGACTTCCCCTGCTCCTCTGCTCCTGTGCTCTACATCCCTCCAAAAGACTGTCCTCCTTTGGACCTACAGAATCTCGAGGAGCTTGACCCAGATCTGAGGCGAAAACTAGAGAGGATCTGCAGCCGAGCATCCAACTACGGGTCAGGAATCTAATAACAGGACAATAAAAGGATTAAAGGGGGGTTATAACAGTGTTATATCAAGATACAGGAGGAGAAGAGGGCATCTCTCAGGTTAAAGTGGTCCCTCTGGTTAAAACAGTCCTACCTGGAATTTATAACAGGATCTTAAGCGACGTGTAACATAGCTGCATACACGCACATTTTTAAAATCATCAATTCACGCCAGAGGCAACAGAGCTTCTCCTGCAAAGCAAGCCTCTGTATATTCTTGGTATATGCACCAAACTCTTTTATATTGCTTACATATTTATTGTTGATTGGAATTATCCTTTAAATCACATTACAAAAGCTGACAACAAGAAAGATGATGCTTTCCAGTGATAACAAGCGGTGTCTGTGGTGCTGCATTAATGAGGATACTCACCATTTCACTTTCAGAAGGTGTTCTTGCAAAGTTGCTGTTTGGTGTCATAAAGTTTTTTATATTTATCCTCCATGACTATAAACTTTCTGTAGTATGCTGCGCGCATAAATTGGCTGCTTTGGTATAAACTGGGGGTTACCTCCAGCTCCTATGGGACCTCTGTGTCTCTGTTCACACTTGTAGGGCAACTGGTTTTATCACATTTCTCTTTAGATTAAAGCGATCGGACCTGCAGCTTCTCTGGGATCACCGCCTCCACTGCCTGAAGCTCCGCCCCCTGTCCTTGCCCAAAGTGCTGAACAGTGCCCCCTCTTGGGACTGGGCCAGTCTCCCTCTGATCCACAGTGTCCTGAAGAGCTGTGACCCCCTTCCCCCTGTGGCTGCGCTTGAACTGCTCGATTCAAGGTACGAGTACACCAAATACTACTACTGTATGGGTCAAATGCAGGTTTATCCCTGAGACACTGAAGGAGGACAAATGCAGAGGCCTTACCTGTCTTTTAAAAAAACATTTTTAGTTCAGTATATTTAAAGCTACACTATGTAACTTTCTGGAGGTGGCATGTCATTATTTAGGGGTCACGCGATTTTGACATTTGGACACAGCCTATGACTATGGAAAGTTAAAACCATATTTCGGATCATCACCATGGAGACAAAGGAGTTTTATGTCATATTTAATAGGAATATTTTATAGGAACAACATTTGAAATGTAACGGTGATATTTTGTTGTTCAGGTTTGCAGACTCTGAGGTGAGGACTGTAGCTGTATCCTGGATCCAACAGAGCAGCGACGACGAGCTGTCAGACTACCTCCCACAACTTGTACAGGTACTATATACATGTGTGTATGTGTGTATATGTGTATGTATATATGTATATATGTATATGTATATATGTATACGTATACATATGTATACATATATATACATATGTATACGTATATATACATATATACACAGATATATACTGTGTATACACCAAACTGGAGCTCGTACAGATGAGTTTAAGTTTGCAATACACTAAATATCTGCGATAGCAAGACAGAGAGAAATCAGATTACTCACATCAGATTTGGGGTGTGCATGTAAACACAACCTTTCTGTAGCATTTTTGTTTATTTTAATTTTGTATTTTTTCTGTTTTTAAGGCTCTGAAGTTCGAGTGTCACCTTAAGAATGCTTTGGTCCTGCTCCTTCTGTCCAGAGCTCTCGGCAACGTCAGCATCGCTCACTACCTCTACTGGTACTACTACTAGAATGTCCCCATCTGGTATTGGTTTTGGCTGCTGATCTAGGCATTTTAAAAGTATTGGCTTGGATCACTGAACACCCAGAGCATTTTAAACACAGACTGAGGAGTCTGTAAACAGCTAAAACATTATCACTGACAGAGATCATTTGTTTTACCTCTGTCCTCACAAAGCCTTAAGAGTGAAGACAAAACTTTGGACAAATTGGCGTAGAAGAGCCAAATCTGCCAGTTCTTTACATATGTTAAGTAGCCAACTGTTGAAACAAGGAAACTTTCATAATTTTTGGAGTGCTGTTTGCAACTGGCAATTTTTTAAATTTTTTTTTTTTTTTTTTTTTACAATTCATCTGTGTATTCTTAGGCCTGAGTGCCACATACTGGAATGTGATTTAGTATGCAATTTGGTACATAGTTTTAATTGAAGTGGTCTCTAGGAATTGATTTGGATTTATCTGTGTGTGCAGGCTGCTGAAGGATGCAGTTCAGGACGCAACCTGGGGGTGGCGCTACGAGCGAGTCCTGGGCGCTCTGCTGTGTCTGTGTGGGTCCAAGCTCAGAGCAGAACTGGACAAACAGAACAGACTGGTCATTCTACTGGGAGCTGTGGCAGAGAGGGTGAAGGCTGCTACTGGATCTAACAGACAGGTGAGAGGCATAGACTGTATAAAGAAGAAGACTGAAAGAGTGTGACGTCACTCACAGCATTTAGCTCCAAACAAAACTCACTGACGCTAGCAGTTATAGCGGCTAATTGGGAGCTGAGTTCCATATTTTGAAATCCAACAGAGGGTCCAACAGGTACATGGCAAAAGGAGAGAGAGAGAAAAGATTCAAAGATTACATGTATTTTATCTGTTTCTATAGTCACACCCATGCCTTGTGTTCTGGTTCTGTAGGTGGCACTGCAGGAGGGTCTGGAGAACGTGCAGAACCTGTTTGAGAGGAGCAGCTGCAGACTTCCTCTGAGCTCCAGTCTCGTTGCTAAAGAACTCAACATCAAGGTACATACTAAGCCTTAGCACTGATTTAACATCAAGATACTCAGTTATAGTATTAGCAACACATGTTTGCGTGTTTTTCAGTCATTTTTTTGCTTTATAACGTGTTGTGTTTTTGTATATTTATAAAACGTGTTTGCGTATAACACTTGCTCTTTGTTCTTCAGGCGTGTTCTTTCTTTAACTCAAACGCAGTCCCTCTGAAGCTGGCTCTGGTGAACGCAGATCCTCTGGGACAAGAGATCAATGTCATGTTTAAGGTGAAACACTGTCATTAAAAGCACACATTTCAGACATTCAGCTACTGGTTCCCAAAGTGGAGTCTCAGAGGCATTGTTAAATGAAGTAGGGGGTTACTTCACTGCAGACTTTGGGAATAGCTTGACTCAACAGCACATCGTAATGATAAAACTGCCTGTAATAAAACTCCAGGGTGTTTTCAGTACATTTAAATTAGTTAATTATTTTTCGTCTCTACTGATCCCCAGGGAGTGGTGCTGAGTGCAGTTCATAGAGCTGTAATTATAATGGTAACGTGTACTGTAGGGAGAATTTGTATGATTGTCAGAATTTCTATAATTTATATATTGCATCTGTTGTTTAATGGATGAGCTTCAGGAGAGGACCTCCATTAGGAGGTGATCACATGTTTTATATGTTTTATACACATGTTTTATATATATGGTATACATGTGTGTGGTTTAGGTGGGAGAGGATCTTCGTCAGGACATGCTGGCTCTACAGATGATCCGAATAATGGACCGAATCTGGCTCCAGGAGGGACTGGACTTGAGAATTGTCCACTTCAAATGTATCTCTACGGGCAAAGACAAGGGTACGACTACAATATACCATATAAGCACCTATATTCAACAATAACACAAGGGGATATCTAAAATGATCAAGCTTGTTTTAACCAGAAAACACAGTCTTCTGCAGCTTGAGACTCAATTTTAGTTACCACTAGTTTGGTACTGTTAAAGTCATGCTTTAGCCTGTTGTAGAGTTGATACAGTTCTGTTTTAGAGCTGATTTATTTGGTACACTGATGTAGACCATATTGGCACAATGTGAATACTATCCAACATTATGGATAGATAGATGTCTGTCCAAAGTGTTTAAAGAGGGGTATTATGCACAGTCAACTTTCTTGTGCGTTCTATCATGTTATAATGTTATCTCCATAGACTGTATATGGACATGGCTAATCCGCTAGCCGCATTCCAAATAGAAAGTGTTCATGGAGGCACTTCCAGCTCTATTGACTCGCCCCTATAACTACAGTGCTAGCATCGATTCATTTCACTGGAGCTCAATGCTGTGGGCAATGTCACACTGCCTTAGTCCACTTCTCTTAAACTTATAAAACATGGTATATGTTGTTTTCCATGAATATAGCAATTTCAAAGCAATAACAACTTGGTGGTCTAAATATGTTATTTGTTAGCAATTAATACCGCATATAAATAAAACACACCCTCTTTAAAGGCCTTCTCTCCCCTCTCCCCAGGGATGGTGGAACTGGTGCCAAGCTCAGACACTCTGAGGAAGATCCAGGTGGAGTATGGGGTCACGGGTTCGTTTAAGGACAAACCTCTGGCAGAGTGGTTACGGAAATATAACCCTGCTGAAGACGAGTATGACAAGGTACTAGAATATGTGTACAAGTACTAATACTACAGTACAATCCTTATTTTAACACTTTTCTTGTCTTTAGACCTGCACTTTAGTTAAATTAATCCCTTTTTCTTGTCTTTTCTTCTTAAGGCCTCAGAGAATTTTATCTACTCATGTGCGGGCTGCTGTGTGGCGACATACATCCTGGGCATCTGTGATCGCCATAACGACAACATCATGCTGCGCTCCACTGGTCACATGTTTCACATCGACTTTGGAAAGTTCCTCGGACATGCCCAGATGTTTGGCAGCTTCAAGAGGTAAGACCCTGTTTAGTCTGTGCTTAGTCCTGGTTCAGTCCTGGGTTTAGGCCTGCATTTAGACTTGGGCGAGGTCTGGGTTAGGCCTGGTTTAGTCTTGATTTAGGGTGTTTTCACTTCGCTAGTTCGATTATTTTGTCTGCACCAGGCAATAAAATTGTTATTATGTAGCATGTAGACTCTAGTGTGGTTCGCTTTCACACCTGCAAACGAACCAAAATTGGTCCAATTGATGTATATCCAACACTGGGTTTGACCGCACGTGGCTCAGTGTTGGTGAGGCTCTCCCACACACCAGACCTCTTGGAAGTGAGGCCGAGACACACCGTCTCGCCCACTGGCCTTCCAGAGTCCCTACTGACCTCCGGCAGACAGAGTTTCTTGAACCTTGCCTAAGAGCCTCCCTGGCCTGGGGAAATCAGACTCAATCCTTTGGACTGCCAGCCGCGGGGGAGGCGTTCAGAACCTGCCTCAGTCCTGCCTCAGTCCTGCCTCAGTCCTGCCTCAGTCCTGCTTTAGTTCAGGTTTAGACCAGTTGTAGACCTGTCTTAAACCTGTCTTAAACCTGTCTTAGACCTAGCCTTCTCCATGTTATATCATACTTTGACTCACTTGTTTCAATAGAGACCGTGCCCCGTTCGTGCTGACCTCAGACATGGCGTATGTGATAAATGGAGGAGAGAGGCCGACAAGCCGCTTCCAGCTATTTGTGGATTTGTGTTGTCAGGCCTACAACCTGCTGAGAAAGAACTCTGGGCTCTTCCTCAACCTGCTCTCTTTGGTACTGACATTACATACACTTTATGTACTGTTTATATACAGCAGTCACTGTGGCCTCTGGTATTGATACTTTGCAGCTGATGTCATCAACATTCCCTGGGGGTATTATGCTAACCAGCCAATAGTTTTTCAGTTAGTCACTTTCATCTTTTTGATGAAAAGTGGCCATACCAGCTTGTCAAAGCCTGATCCCGTCAGATCTCAGAAGCTAAGCAGGCTGGACCTAGGTAGTACTTGGATGGGAGACCGCTAGGAATTCCAGGTGCCACAGTGGGGCGCCAGTGGCAAAAACTGTCTTTGTGTCCTTAGGCAAGACACTTCACCCACATTGCCTAGTGTGAAAGTGGTGTGTGCGTGAGTGATGGTGGTGGTCGGTGGGGTCGATGGCGCAGATTGACAGCCTCGCTTCTGTCGGTCTGCCCCAGGGCAGCTGTGGCTACAATAGTAGCTTACCACCACTGAGTGTGGAGTGACTGAATAATGAAATGTAAAGCGCTTTGTGTATCTTGAAAGGTGCTATATAAATGCTATCAATCAATCAATCAATCAAAATCAAACACCTAAACAGGACTATGAACAGCCCTACACACTTTACTCAGCTTACTGATTTTATACCACAATGTTTTGGATGTCCCCTGAGTGACCCCTCTTTGACCCCAGTATGTTCTTATCTGTCTCAGATGACGTGTTCTGGACTCCCAGAGCTTACTGGAGCTCAGGACCTAAAGTATGTTTGTGATGCTCTTCAGCCGAACAACAGCGATGCAGAGGCTACTATCTTCTTCACCAGGTTATGATACTACTACTACTACTACCACTACCACCAGGTTGTGCTTTGAGCACAGTGGTTTACTGCAGTTGTGATGATTATTCTTCACGGAAGGCCTCTGTCCTCTGTGCTCTTGCACACATCAAAACAATGCTCCCTGAACTCACTCATGAATCTAAATAAATCTCCACTGCTGCACTTGTGCAGTTGTAAACGCACTCCATGTGGAAACAAGCACCGCAATGGTTTATGTGCTCCACATGCTTCAGTGCTTCAGTTTTACATGATTTTAACAAATTCTAATAATTAAACAAATCAAGGCAATAAAATAATAATTGCGTTTTTTAAAATAATTGAGTTACTTGATTTACTTGATTAATCGTTCCAGCCTTCTTTATAACTTTTGTGTATTTGTATATTTCTTTATAGGACAAATCGACTCGAGGTTTATTTGTGTAGTCTGATTGGTCTAACTCTGGTTTATCTGTCCTTAGGCTCATCTGTCTCTTGTTTATGTCCTTAGGCTGATTGAATCGAGTCTGGGCAGCGTGGCCACTAAGTTTAACTTCTTCATCCATAACTTGGCTCAACTCCGGTTCTCTGGTCTCCCCACAAATGATGAGCCGATCCTCTCCTTTTCCCCAAAGACCTACAGCCTCAAGCAGGACGGGAGGATCCAACATGCCGCCATCTTCTCCTTTCAGAAGAGATACAGCCCTGATAAGCACTATGTACATGACCTGAAACATACTCAACATATTGAACATATGACTTATACCAGTGTAGGGGGCCGATATGTTTTTGTTTTTTTTTCCATGACGGATGCTGATACCAATTGTTTAGACTCCAGAGAAACTGGCCAATAAACTCTGCTAATATATTTGGGCCCATATATAGGGCCAGTATAGAACAAATATCTCTAGCACTAAGGGAAAAAACAATAGAATGTAATTTTCAACTCAACATAAGATAGTATTACCATTTGTTTTTTTTGTTTTTGTTTTTTTAAATCTATTTCTGATTTTCTGGTTTAAGACGCAAGAATGTCATGGTTCAGTCCCTGGTTCAGTCTATGGTTCAGACTTGCTTTAGTCCTGTTTTAGATGTATGTTTTCTCTCTCGCAGACCTATGCTGTGAGGATTCTCAGAGAAGGTCAGTCGGAGCCTCAGTTCATTTTCAGGACCTTTGACGAGTTTCAGGAGCTGCACACAAAGCTGTCGGTTCTATTCCCACTCTGGAAACTACCCAGGTAAGACTGACAATAATCCTGCAATTGCTTCTACTGTTGGTACTACTATAATTATACTACACATGATACAAAAAAGTCTACGGGGCCAGTTAGTTTTAAATTTGCCTTTTGTTTCAGTTTCCCCAACAAAATGGTTTTGGGGCGCACCCACGTTAAAGAAGTTGCAGCAAAACGAAAACTGGAGCTCAACAATTACGTCCACAACCTGCTGAGGAGCTCCACCGAGGTCACACAGGTAAGGGGTCGCAGAGAGGTCACACAGGAGAGAGGTCAGGGGTCACACAGAGATCACACAGTTTACTGGAGCACTAGCGTTGTCATTCAGTTGAGGGGTCAGAGGTCAGACAGGTGAAGCAAGGAGCAGATAGATAACATAACCCCTGACTCTGCAACTTCCTCTCTCCTCAGTGTGACCTGGTCTACACGTTCTTCCATCCCATGGCCCGAGACGACAAGACCGAAGGCGAGTCTGCTCTCAAGATGACAGGTATGTCCTCTCTCCTCTCTATCCTCTATCCTATCCCCTGTCTCCTACACTTCCTACTGCTTTCCTGTCAAAGGCTCAAGATTACTGTATATCCTATTGTGTCCTAACCCCTGTGTCCTGCTTCCTACCTCTCTCCTGTTTTCACATATTTTTATTGTATTATCATATTTATGTTTTATTCAGATTCTTCTTGTTTCTCTCTTTTCAGGTCCTCCTCCAAGCCCTGTCTCTGGTCGAGTGGAGGGGGAAGTGAAGTTATCCATCTCCTACAGAAACAGCACCCTCTTCATCATGGTCATGCACATCAGAGATCTGGTACTGTACTCAAAACCTGATTTAAAAGCACAAACCAACACATCCAAGCAAAACACACACTGTTCTATGAATGCTAAATGAATGCACTGCCCTAAAACCTAATTTAAAAATAAACAAATTTATTGATACTTTGTAGTGACACCATGCTGGGGGTGTACTCCATGTATTTTTATGGCGGAATGTTCAAAGTAGAATACAAAACTTTTGGGGAAAATTCACGTCAGCCTCAAATACAAAATTTCCAACCAGAGCCAGGGTCTGAAGTCTGCATTAGGGTCCAGGACACGCTCAGAACATGCCATCTCTCATGTTAATCTTGTGCAGGTCTCAGAGGAGGGCTCAGACCCAAACCCCTACGTGAAAACCTACCTCCTCCCAGATCCAACCAAGAGCAGCAAACGTAAGACCAAGATCTGCAGGAAGACCAGGAACCCCACCTTTAATGAAATGGTGAGACTTAAGTCATTTAAACGAATCTAAACTTCACTAACCAATCTAACCCCACCTTTAACGGGTTGTGAGTTTAAAATCATCTAAACTAATCTAAAACTGTACCATGGAATACCAGGGGCCACAGTGAGGCTAGTAACACAATTTTATTATTTGAATAATACGCTTTTGATAATATGAAGTTTGATCAAACTCTAGCTACTTACAGCGTCAGTGGAGCCAATAATTACCAATCAGTCACTCAGTTACCTACATGGGTGATTGGTATGTTTGATCAGTCAGTTTTCCTGATGACCACGTTATTTTTGCCTTGATCTGAGCGCCTCATTAACCCCACTTTTAATGAGATGGTGAGGCAAAACTAAAGTAATCTTTTTGCTCCTGGTTTAGTTCCTGGTTTAGTTTCTGGTTTAGTCCTTGGTTTAGTTCTTGGTTTTAACCCTTTATACTCTCTTTCAGTTGGTCTACAGTGGACACAGTAAGGAGAGCCTGGGTCTGAGGGAGCTCCAACTGAGCGTGCTCAGTGCAGAGTCTCTGAGGGAAAACTACTTTCTGGGTGGAATCACGCTGCGCCTTAAAGACTTCGATTTGAGCAAAGAGACAGTCAAGTGGTACAAGCTAACAGACGTACCACTGTTCTAACCATAACAAAATCATAATGTACCAGGAAGTACAGCAAACAAGAGAGAGGACAGCGAGAGAGGGCATGACACGGTCAAGTGGAACAAGCTAACTGCTGTACTGCTGTTCTGATGCTAACCACACCAACTGTACCAGCTAAACGCACCAGGAACCTCCAGAAATAAGAGGAAAAGGGGCAAAGAGACAGTCAAGTGGAACAAGCTAACTGATGTACCGCTATTTAAACATCAGAAATTCACCATAATTTACCAGGAACTAAAGTATACAAGAGAGAAGAGAGAGGGCAAAGAGACAGTCAGGTGGTACAAGCTAACAGGTGTACCACAGTTCTCACCATAACTATACTTAAATGTAACAGGAACTACCCCTATTTTAGCACCAAACCTGAACTGTAGTCCCAAGAAGTACAACAAATAGGCAACAGCACAGAGGGATACAGTGGTACAAGCTAACCAATGTACTGCTCTTCTGACACAAAGTTTAATCAGACAGTACAACAAATCAGAGAGGAGAGAGAGGGGAATCTGTGGTCAGGTGGTACAAATTCATTGATGTGCAGCTGTTTTAGTCATAACATCAAAACATGAGATAGAGAGATTAAACTGGAACAACAGATACAAGATCTTGGTGTAGAAAAAGCACTCTGAGGGGGCAGATAAATCTCATTTTTGTATCCACTCTCCTCCTGGAGATTCAGCTCTGGTCCTACAAGCCGAGGAAATCTGTAAACTTCAAATTCCAAGAGGAAACAAAAGAACTGCAACAAAAAATACAAAAAATCTAAAGTGAATCTCCTAAAATTCCGTGTTCGGAAAAGCACATTTTTAAACAAAAGCAATAAAAGGATGATAGGAAACTGAGGGAAAACTTTGACTAAAACAATCTAAACTCCCAAGCAATAATTCAACAAAGAATAAACCAAAACTTTAAGGAACATTTACAAAAAATGAAAAGTTCATAAGAAGTGAAATGTAAAAGTTTGAGATGGAGGGAAAGACAATTATCACACCAAATTCTACAAATCTAAATCAGAGACTAAACCAGAGACTAAACCAGAGACTAAACCAGAGACTAAACCAGAGACTAAACCAGAGACTAAACCAGAGACTAATCCAGAGACTAATCCAGAGACTAAACCAGAGACTAAACCAGAGACTAAACCAGAGACTAAACCAGAGACTAATCCAGAGACTAATCCAGAGACTAATCCAGAGACTAATCCAGAGACTAATCCAGAGACTAAACCAGAGACTAAACCAGAGACTAAACCAGAGACTAATCCAGAGACTAAACCAGAGACTAATCCAGAGACTAATCCGAGGACTAAGACAGAACTAAACTAGGATTAAACCAGGACTTTTTAGTTAGGTCTTAAACCAGTAAATTTGGTGTGATTTTGTCTCTAAATCTGAACCAGTCACAAATTGTTTTTATTTCACCTAATTTTTATTTTTAATTTAAGGTTGTAAAAAAATTTTGGTTTAATTTTGGTCAATGAAAAAAATAGTTAAATCTTTTTCTTCTGAATTAGAAGTTGTTTCATGTTTTCACAAATATTTATTTGGTGCAGATTTCCACTGGTTTAGACACATTTTTGTCTTTAAACTTCTGCAGGTGCCTTAAATGCTTAAAGGGTCTTATAATGCTGTTTCCTCATCACAATCATATCTGGAATTGTGTTCATTCACACAGACAAACCCTGCATATTTAGGCTGAATTCTCAGAAACACTTCTTGTGATGTCATGTGATAATACAGGAAGAGATCCACTGTGTTTTTAAACTCCATACATCTTCACTAGAATCATTTGATAATTTCAGTCCCGAAATTGCCAATCTCCATTGAACTAAAGGTAAAAGGAGCTGTTAACTTAAACTGCCACTACATGACATCACAAGGTGGAACAGAGCATTTTGAGCTTTGGAGATGTAGACATACTAATAATAAAGGATTACTCATATGTGTGAATGAAACTAAACACAACTCCAGGTCTCTTTTTGATGAGATAACAACACTTTAACATGACTTAAAGCTCACAAGAGTCTATTTTGTGTAATATAGGACCTTGAAATTTAAATAAAAGTGATTTGTTAAATTTGAATTTAATCTTGTTTTCACAGTGAGACTCTATCACCTGTAGAGACACTTTCACCTTTAAAACTTCAGAAAACTTAAAAAAAAAAAAAAAAAAAAGAAAGTCCTGTTCTGTCATGTGTGTTGAACTGTTAAAAGTTCACTGTGTAACATTTTTGGTGGAGGGGCTCTTCCTGCTCGTCTCCTTGGAGTGGTTGTTGCATCGCCTGGAATGTTCCACATTATGGCATTAAAAATATCTCCATGGGGATATGCATGTGACACAACCAGGCAGAGTTACAGATCAGATCTGTGGTGAGCCTACTCACTGTAGCAGTTTTTCAAGGGAATTTTGAGCAATAAAAACCTCTTTAATACATGCAAGGTAGACACGTTTAATGCCATACTGTGGAACATTTCAGGCATATCTTTATGGAGATGAGCAGAAGTGTTGCATAGTGCACCATTAAATTTGCCTTAAAACATCTGGTGTCTTTGTAAATATGAAACTGTCTGAACCACACTGCCCCCTGCTGCTGGCTCCTGTTTTTTTGTTTTGTTTTTTTCATCTCCTTCTTTACCTCCTAACATGTCTCCTATCTTTGTTTCCTTATCTCCTCTCTTCTCTCGTCGTCAACTCTCCTTGTCGTCCCACTCCACGTATCCTCTTTCCTCTTCTCTTTCCTCGCCTCCTAACCATGTCTATCTCCTAGTCTCTTCTCTTCCCCTCACTCCTCATCTCCTCTCCTTCCTCCTCCCTCCTCTTTCCTCACCTCTTTGGTCCACTTCAAATTTTATTTTATTCTAATTAGTTGTGAATATTCAGAATCTGAACCACACTTTATATGTTTCACTTTTGTGTTTGTCAAACTGTTCTGGACCAAATGTTTTTAGAGAAAGTATTTTAAATATTAATATTAATAATAATAAAGTGTATGGCGTCTGAGCTCTGCCTCAGACGGGGCTTTTTCTTCTGAGTTTAACAATAAACAACTATAAAAACATTTAGCATGTTTTATGTGTTTTTTTCCAGTATTTGTTTAAAAGAGCTCTTAAAGTTACTTCAGTCACAGCTGAGCCTGTGCTGCCACTGCTTTAATCTGCAGGACACATCCAAGTTTGTCTCATTTTCGGTATATGTACATTCCATGTCTCATGTTAACGCTCAGAACCTAGAGAATTCCTTCCCTGAGCCGCAGAGGCTGCACTTGCACTAGCACTATCACGATCATGAGTCATGATTGGCTGTAGATGATGAATTTAGGTAGTGACCATTCAGATCAGAGACCTTAAAGGGTCAAACGTGTTTTGTGTAAATTGTGCCGAACCTGTGGAGTCTCTCTACACATACATATGCAGTGATATCACACCAGGGGTGTTATACATGTATCTCTGGTGCAATGGTCAGCAATTACTTTGGTGATAAAATACACCCATTAGCACATTGTTTCCCAAAGACTGGGTCGCAACTCTCTGGTGGTTCGCAAGATATTTTTTGGGGTCTTCTTGTCACAACCTGCTTGTAGGTCTGCAATATACAGTTCTGACACATGAGAGAGCTACAGAGAGTTACTTCATTCTGGGTATAATTTCTAATCTTTTTGTAATTATTTTATTGACTATTTTGTTCCAATATTGCTTGTTCAATTGAATGTTGAAAAGAAAAAGAAATGGGCTACATTTAATATCCAAATAGGTGACTTATGGATCCTTTTATTGCTGGTTCAATTGCTGGTTCATAAATGTTCAGTAATGATTAAATCCACCTTTATTGGGAAACACCACATTAGTAAACACTGTCAAAAAAAGTTTTAAGATGGTCTGAAAACTAAAATGCAAAATGGATTTACACAACACATTTTCAGGAACCTGTGACGTGTTCATGTTTAGTTGTTAATACTAACACTAGCTATCTTGTGACTGTAATTCATATGTGTGAGAGACTTGTTTACAAAATATAGCTCAGCGGTTTCAGCTCCAACTAAATCAGATCTTTATGGTCAAATTGTGTGTCTAACAATCCTCAGAGATCAACAGGAAAAGTTGATACATCGGTTGCAAAGTAACAGTTGTGATATCATTAATGTATTTTCTTCCTGTATTTTTTTTATTTTTTTTTTATTTATTTTTTTTTAAACAAGACAACTAAACACGGTGGTGTATTGCTCTCACTCCCCAAAAATATTTAGGCTCAGTATCACGTAATTATGTGATACTGACCCGAAATATGAGAGCAATACACCACCGTAGCTAAACCCTCATTTGTCTAGGGGTGGTATCTGATACCTGGAAAGCTACAGGTCAAATTTGTGGAGTGGCAAGCCTGCATGTTTTTAAGGAAATTTGAGCAATAAAAACATCATTAAACACATGCGCACAAATGTGAAACATTCAGCAAAACAATAACATCACCATCATGATGCAGTCAGGTTACACAGTGCATCTTAAGTTTTAGTTTAATCTAGGATGAAGACATTTGCTAGATTGCATCCAAGTATAGTCCTTAGATCAGGGGTGCTCACACTTTTTCAGCACGCGAGCTACTTAGAAAATGACCAAGTCAAAATGATCTACCTAATACAAAGCCAAGCAAACTGCACTGAAACACTCTGTGCCCCTTTTTTGGACCCTCACCCACAGTTTGAGAACCCTTCTTTAAGAGAACTTCCTCTGGCACTTTACACAAAACTGTGAAAAAAGTGAAGGAAGATTTTTAAACCTGTTTTTTAAAGTTCCAAACTGGAGTTGCATTCTTTTCTGGTTTTGCAGTGATATTTACCAGCCTCTGCAGTTTACCAAACCAAACGCACATCGTGATAAACACAGATGCATTTGTGCACTTTTGTTAGACAAACTTCAGCCAAATGTCACAGTAGGTCTGTTCTGTAGATCTGCTCTATGCTGTAGACCTGCTTTGTGCCAACACTGTAACACAAATTTAGACTCGTTTTTGCTTCACGTTTCGTCTTGCTCTTCTAATCAGCCGCGCTGTGGAGGGGGCTTGTGTTCGCTGTACGCAGGAAGGAGCGAGAGCGTGAAAAGGCGAGGGGCGGCGTGCTGACGTGAGGCAGATGGACAGGTAGGATGTTTAGGAAGTTGAACCTGCCCTGTGATGCGCGCTGGTACACACTGTTGCAGACAAGCCGTGCATAGGGAGCGTGTGTATTTGTCATGTGCCGTAGAGTCTCCGCGGGTTTCAAATGAGCGCACAGGCTGCACTGAGACACCCCACACGTTCCTGCACCCGGTACAAGTTTATTGCCAACAGCAGAGGCCGTAATGAAATATGATCGCACTTGTTGAGTGTCAGACCTCGAGTGAGAGACAAGACCGAGTCCAAACACGTGTCCGAGACGAGACAGGGCGATCTACCCACACGACCTTGGCGATCGACTGGTAGATCGCGGTCGACATATTGAGCACCCCTGCCTTAGACCATCTTTTAAATTAGACATTATAAGCTTAAGTTAAAGGATGGGTGAAATGCAGAAGACATACATTTCACCCATCCTTCAACTGAAGTAAGGTTAGATCCTCTGCACCCTCTGACCCTCTCCTTTGCTCCTCTGATCCCCTCCTCTGACCCTCTCCTCTGCTCCTCTGCACCTCTGCTCATGTCCATCCTGGTCTCTCCTTTCATGTTCTGCCTTCTCTTGTGCTGTCTCCAAGAATTCTAGGATAAAATATGTAAAATGCTTTCTTTTATTTATTGGTGGATTAAATTTAATTACATGAATTAACAAATATATGTAGTTATAAGTTCCCCTGCCTTTCAGACTTAGACGCTATTTAAATTAAATGTATTTTTTGTTAGGAAGCTTAAACGCCACGTACAGTTTAGCTCAGTGTATGTGACGTCAGCAACGTGCAAAGCCGGCTCTGATTGACCGCTCCCAGCCGCCAATCAGCTCCTAGCGCAACTCCGCTCCATATCCGTGGACCAATCAGAGCTTTGCAAAGGCGGGCCGTTGCTATGGTAACCGCAGTTCTCTTTTAAGCTGGCTGCGCTTCGGGACATGTCAGTCTGACTCTGATCACCGAGAAAAATAAGAATAAACCCGAAAAACTGCAGCGAGGAGCTTCCTAAAGTAAGTGTCCGCTCCCGGGACTTTACTATGAATGTTTACTGCACATTCCCGCTCCTAAAGTCTGACTTAAACCGGTTTAGTGTCGTTTTTTTTAACCGGTTTACGCACGTACACCCTCCATCACTGATCGCTTGGACCATTAGCAACAGGTGGATTCACAACTATGAAGTTTAGCATTTTTTATTCTGAAAACTCATCAGAAATCTAAAATAAATACAACTAAACATAAAACTACAGCTGCATATTGGTAGAGGACCATTCACATTTAAAATTACAAGAATACATCTTTTCATGAGCTTAAATTGAAACTACATCCTTTCCTGCTGCTGATGCTGTCGTCCATAACGTGTAAGTCTGGTCAGTTGTTGCACATCATTGAGTAATTATTTTAAAGTGCATTTGGCGGATTATTTATTTTTTTTGGTTTAGTGGGATAGTACCTGTGTTAAATATTTATCGTAATTTTAGCTTAGTTTTAGGTATCAGTTAGGTGTCAGTTCGAAAAAAAAAAAAAAAAAAAGAACATAAAAAGTACAAAAATACAGAAAGTAACTCTTGAGTTGTAGAATAAAATCCCTTTAACTATGTCATAAACACTGAAAACCAAAATGCAGAGACAATTTACATACAAGAAAAGCATTTTTAATAAAAAAAAAAATAATTTTATTTTATTTATAACTGTACTGTATTTTGATAATCCTAATTGTTCTCAAAAGTATTCAGATACTAATCGATACTAAGCCAGTATCGAAACTGGATACTCATTTGAGCAGATATCAATAAAAGTCACATTTACACAGTCACAGTTACAGGACAGAAATGAAGCTTTCCCGAATAGCTTTAGAATGATCTTGAGCTGTATCAGAACAAGTATGAGAGCACATAGACTAGTATACGCCCATGGACCACTATGGATCCTACCTGGACCACTGAAGGATTACACACATATAAAGCCTCATGATATTAAAAGAAAATACTACCATTTAATGTTGAAAATCACATTCTATTGTCTTACGAAAGAGTGTTTTTTATTATCATCATTGTGACATTGGAATCGGTAGAGTCTATTCCTTAGTATTAAAATTTATTTTGTAATTTTGTGTTGTGACACACACATCTGGACTACCGATGAAAATAACCAGTGACCAGTTGAGAATAATGGTTAGTTACAGCCCTATAAACACACTCCTCCTTCCTGTGTTTCAGATGGATCTGGTCTCCGGTGCGTCCCTCAGGCTTCTGTTTCTGTCTCTGGTACTGGTTCAGATCCCAGTCCAGACCCTGTCCAGTTCTGTGACCTACAAACAAACGGAGAACAAACCGCCCCCGAGGAGTGCTGTGAGTACAACTAGAATAGAAACACCCAGGCCTGTCATGATAACACATTTTGAATTAAGATATATTGTTGAAAGAAATATTGATACTTTGTAGTGACATCATGTGGTTGATGTTCTACATGTATGTCTGTGGTGCAATGTTCTGCAGTTGCCATGGTGACACAGTGCACACATTAGCAAACAATGTAAAAAAGTTTTAAGAAGCTTTAAGAAAAAATACAAAACTAGAAAAGCACTCAGAGAGCGCAGACCTCCGCCAAGGACTACCCCCATTTTTATATAAATTGCGATAAAATCAGTCTTCTGGATCAGATCCGGATCAGCCTTGGAATATGAAAGAGGATCTCATTGTCCATCCCTGAGTCAAATTTCATGGGGTTTGGTCAATAATTAACCGAGATATTGAGAAACAAAATTTTTGGCCCCATTTACCACAATGTTAACTAAAATTTCAAAGTGATCCAGAATCCAGAATTTCTTCCGGATCACCCCCAAAATGAAATCAGTTCTTCCTTTTCACATTTCCAACAAATCCTGAAAATTTCATCAAAATCGGTCCATAACTTTTTGAGTTATGTTGCTAACAGACAAACAAACAAACAAACAAACAAACAGACAAACGCCGGCAAAAACATAACCTCCTTAGCGGAGGTAATGAGTTTAAATCACATATCAGGAGGTCCTGTTTAGGTGTTAACAAAAATGTGAGAGTGGGGATGGGACGGAATGACATTTCCATAGGATGATAACTGTGACAAAAATATATGACAGTATACCATGGAGTTGTGTAATTTATAATACTTACAGAGAACAAGCAACTTTTGAATTAAAAAAGTGTTAGAATATTGCTGATATATGATATAGTGCTCCTTGGTTATGTCCTTCTTTGGTGTATAGTACAGAGATTTGGTGAAACACAGATCTGTTAATATCAGGGCATAGCTGCAGTTAGGTACACAAGGCTGACCAAACATGATTATAGAATCAGTTGTTTTTGTTAGCAATTTTCTATCACAGCTTCATATAAAGTTATACAAAGACTGACAAACTGCAATGCTGCTTTTTACTGAATGACAGGAACAACTCAATCTTAGTGAGTCTTCCTCCTAGAAAATAATTTACGAATCCACCTGGTGAAGCAGCCGAAGGCAGATGTGCCCCTGGATCTGAGAGGAGAGAACAGCTCTGTACCAACTCTGAGATCTACAGCATCAGGGAACTCTACTGCATCAGGCTCTACAGCAGGGGAGTCCAAACTTTTTTCATCAAGGGCCACATATCTAAACACAGATGAAGCAGAGGGCCGATTGAGGGCCGTAGTCATCACAGACTGATGTTAACGTACAAACGGATAATGTACTGTCATCACAAAACCAGAACAATAAAGTTGGCAAAAGAGTGCAGGCATACCGGGAATCTGTGCCAAACGTCAAGGTCAGAGATACGTTGCTACTAGGAGACGGGGCTATCAGTGGTGTGAGTCACAGAAGAATCCTAACATGCTGCTACCCGACCTACACTGTATCTGAGATAACAAAACTCCTGCCAAAAGTTTTGTCAACACACCAAGGGGTTAAACAGCTGATTGTGCATGTGGGTGCAGTGGACATCAGAATGGAACAGAGTGAAGTCTTGAAAAGGGATTTCACTAAATTATTCGAGGAGCTTAATAAAGTGGAGGTTAAGACATTTATCAGTGGACCTCTTCCCAACATAGACCTAAGGAACAGGAACAAATTTACCCGACTGTTTCAGCTGAACACGTGGCTGCTGAACGTGTGTGTGGTCAGAGGATTGCACTACATTGAAAACTTTGATCTTTTTTGGAAACGGAAGGACCTGAACAGGTCAGAACAAGTCAGCATCACCACCTTCCCCTCCCCCAGAGAACAAGTCAGCAGCACCACCTCCCCCAGAGAATGAGTCAGCAACACCACCACCACCTCCCCCAGCGCCACCAGCACACCCATCACCTCCGCTGCCCACAGACCAGCCTGGAGTCCCCTTTGCTACATCTACTCCATCAACGGACTCTTCACACTCCTTCTCCTCCCCACCTTCACCCATGGCACTGCCCAACCATCTAGAAAGCCTCATCAGATCGGGAATCAAGATGGTTCCTCTCACACCTAACGTAGTACGGTCAAGGGTTCTGACATCGACTATGTTGAACTCTCCCCCATTCAAAACTGTGCCTGTTTCACCACCAGAGACTCTCTCAGCTCTCCCCTCTAATCTTTCACCCAAACCTCCCCCTACTCCACCTCCTCGGTCCTTACCTGGTCCCTCACCCAAACCTCCCCGTATTCCACCTCCTCGGCCCTCCTCACCTGGTCACTCACCCAAACTCTCCCCTGCTCGCCCTCCCCCGCCTTTCCCCAGAGCTGTTATCACCAAGAGCTAGGACGCACAGGGCCTCTGCTGTCCCAGGACATACAGTCATGATAAAGGTAATATCAGGCTGGGGCCCTGCGATGGAGCTATATCTCCAGTTACAACACATAGACAGATTAAAAGAAGGACAGTTAGACTGTCTAATCAGAGAAATTTAGTTCACATTCCTTGTAAGAAGATAACATCCACTCCTACTGAAACTAATCAGAAAATTGCTGTGCTCAATGTCACATCTTTATGTAACAAATCATTTCTAATTCATGATTTTATTTCTTCTTTTAATCTTGACTTAATGTTTTTAACTGAAACATGGCTTGACAAAAACACAGGTCATGCAGTGCTAGTGGAATCAACCCCTCCCAACTTCAAATTTGAATCTGAAACACGAGCAAATAAAAAGGGTGGAGGAGTGTGTGCATTTTTTAGAGATCATTTGGTTACACACAGGTTGTCATTTGGGGTGTTTTCATCATTTGAGTATGTTTCCTTCAAAATGGAGCTAAAACAGTCATCGTCCATACTCCACATCATCATATACAAACCTCCTCAGCACTGTCAAAGTTTTATTGATGATTTTACTGAGATGCTTTCAGTTGTATGCACAGACTTTGATGGTTTAGTCATTACAGGTGATTTTAATGTACATGTGGATAATGTGTGTGACAAAAGTGCCAAAGAGCTTAGTGTTGTCCTTGAAACTTTTGGTCTGACTCAGCATGTCAGTGAGCCCACTCACAACAGAGGGCACACTCTGGATCTGCTTATTACAAAGGGTGTAAATATTTCAAATGTCAATGTGGCTGATGTTGCTCTGTCTGATAATTTCTGTGTCTTCTTTGACCTGTCTGTTATTCCCAAACCACCGGCTGCTCCTACAGTTGTTCGAAGAAGACACATAAATGATAACACAGGTGCACTGTTCATGGAAATGATAAACTTTGAAATTGCCTCATGTTCCAATGCTGATGATGTGTTTTGAATGTTCTGGATGCCGTCGCCCCGATAAAGGTTAAAATGGTTAAAGATAGGCAAAAAGCTCCGTGGAGGAATGAAGACTCAGTCAGAGCACAGAAAAGGGAGTGCCGGAAGGCTGAGCGGAAATGGTGCAAGTCAAACCTCCAGGTTCATTGTGAGATTTACAGAGGAACAATACATATGTACAACTACACTTTGAGTAAAACAAGACAGAAGTATTTTTCGGACATTATTGGTAATTGCAGTAACAACTCTCGTGTCCTGTTTGCAACAGTGAACAGATTAACAAACCCTCCAGCTCCACTGCCACTAGAACTAATTTCCACATCTAAATGTAATGAGTTTGCAGTTTTCTTTAATGACAAAGTTCAGGGCATCAAAAATGCCATCAATTCCACAACACAAATAACAAGCATGCAGCCACAGAGACACTTAGAGCTGAGTCACTTTGCACCTGTAACTGACAAAACTGTTTTAGAGATCGTTACCAGTCTGAGTTCATCTACTTGCTGCCTGGACATGTTACCCACTAGATTTCTAAAGTCCGTCCTCAACAGTTAACTTTCACTATTCGCTCACATAGTTAACATGTCACTTCAATCTGGAACATTCCCAAATGTGTTGAAAACTGCGGTCATTAAGCCCCTCCTAAAGAAGAGCAGTCTTGACGCCACAGTACTGAACAATTTCCGACCCATCTCAAATCTGCCGTTTTTTGGCAAAGTCCTTGAAAAAGCTGTTTACCAACAGCTTACGAACTTTCTCCAAATGAACAACTCCTTTGATGTTTTCCAGTCAGGTTTTAGAGCCCACCACAGCACTGAGACTGCTCTTTTCAAGGTGACAAATGACATCCGCCTGAACACTGATGCAGGCAAAGTCTCAGTCTTGATCCTGTTAGATCTGAGTGCTGCTTTTGACACTGTCGATCATGGGATCCTCTTACAGATACTAGAGGACTGGGTGGGCATCTCTGGTACTGCACTAAACTGGTTCAAGTCCTATCTAGAAGACAGGAAGTATTTTGTTGAAATTGGAAACTGTGTCTCAGATCACATGGCTCTGACCTGTGGGGTGCCTCAGGGGTCAATCCTGGGCCCCCTGTTGTTCAATCTCTACATGCTGCCATTAGGCCAGTTAATAAGCAGCAATAATGTGTCCTACCACAATTATGCAGATGACACTCAGATCTACGTCTCTCTGGCAGCAGGAGACTATGGACCAGTGGACTCACTCTGCCACTGCATCCAACAGATCAGTGCAAAACAACTTTCTCCAGCTAAACTCTGACAAGACTGAAGTCATAGTGTTTGGTCCACAGAAACAAAGGGACAGTGTCAGCAGTCACCTCCAGTCTCTCTCTCTAAAACCTTCAAATCAGGCAAGAAATCTAGGGGTAATAATGGACTCAGACTTGAACTTTAACAGCCACATCAAATCATAACATCTGCAGCCTTTTACCATCTAAAAAACATAGCAAAAATCAAAGGTTTACTGTCTAAAGCAGACTTGGAGAAACTTATCCATGCATTTGTCTCCAGTAGATTAGACTACTGTAATGGTCTGCTCACTGGTCTCTCCAAACGAGCTGTGAGACGCTGCAGAACATCCAGAACGCTGCAGCTCGGGTCCTTACTCGAACTAGGAAGTACGAGCACATAAGTCCTGTGCTCAGGTCTCTGCACTGGCTTCCTGTGCCTCAGAGACTTTAAAGCAGCTCTGCTTGTGTACAAGTCTCTCCATGGCCGAGCACCAAAGTACATCTGTGATATGTTAGTGTCATATGAACCATCTCGCACTCTGAGGAGCTCAGGGACCAGCCTCCTGCTGGTGCCCAGAGTCAGGACTAAACAAGGGGATTCAGCGTTTCAGGTTCATGCAGCTAAAACCTGGAACAATCTTCCTGAACATGTGAGACAGACTCTTCTGTGATGCTGTTTAAATCCAGGCTCAAAATATTTCTGTTTAACTGTGCATATAACTGAAAGGTTTTCATTCCGCACTCTTCTCTCCAACTTATGTCTCTCTTTTTTAATTTTAATCTTCATGATTATTTATGTTTTGATTTGTTTTTATTATGATTTTAATGTATTTCTTATTCTGTAAAGCACTTTGAATTACTTTGTGGACGAATTGTGCTATACAGATAAACTTGCCTTGCCTTGCCTTGCCTAGCCTACTGTATCCTGAGACTCTACAGTGTAAAGAGTCTCTACTGAATAAGGGAGCTCTATTGTATTAGGAGTTTCAACAGTGTTGGGAGGATTTATTTCATCAGACTCTAGTGTACCACAAGGATCTGCTGTATAAAGAGTCTCTACTCTGTCAGAGACTTATACTGCATCAAATAGATCTTCTACATCAGAGCTCTCTGCTGTATCTCTAATGTGTACTGTATTGTATTTGGAGTCTCAACTGCATCAAGGAGAGCTACTGCACCAAAGGGCCCGACTTCATCAGGCTGTACTGTATCAGAGAGTTCTATCACATCAGAGAGCTCTATTGTATGAGAGGTCTCCACTACATCAGACTTTACTGTAGCAAGAGCCTCTTCTCTACTCAGGAAGTTCAGGAATCAGTCTGGGACCAGAGATTTCTGCATCTGGAATCTCATCTAGGTCAAGTATCGGATCAACCACAGGAATCTCAGGAACTGGTGAACAGGAACTGATCTATTTATCTATCTTTTTGCCTGTCTATCTATGCTGTAAACCTCCTTCTGCACTGTGGGATATTAAACTCATATCTGTGTTTGTGTTCTTTATTTGTTTATTGGTTTGTTCCATAGGACGTGGCTCTGCATTACAACACATACCTCCAGCAGGTAGTGCAGTACCTGGAGAAAGACCCACACTTCAGAGAGAAGCTGCGCACTGTGAACGCTACTGACATCCAGGTAAAAAACAATAATACACAGACATCAGTAAACAACCACAATACACTCAATGCCTGGTAAAGGACTAGATTGCTGGGTTTCAGATGACAGCACAACATTCTATAGGCCAATATTTTGTAATACATAATAAATTGGGGGCAGCTATAATATTGTTCAAATGCTGATTTTTTTCTAATACTATGAGTTGTTGGCTCTAGTCACTAATAGAAATCAATGATATAATCAATGACATCATCATCATGAGAATTACCACTATACGTATATGTGTGCAGGACGGCTCTCTGTCTCAGGAGCTGGACTTTGTGCATCACAGCATCAGAACTAAACTGGACGAACTCAAGAGAGAAGAAATCACCCGTCTGAGAATGCTCCTGAAGGCCAAGAGAGACCTCAAACTCAAGAAAGGAAAAGGTACTTCTACTACTGCTGCTACTGCTACTACTACTGCTACTGTTTCTACTACTGCTACTGCTACCACCCCTACTACTACTACTACTACTACTACTACTACTACTACTACTACTATACTGCTACTACTGCTGCTGCTACTAAAACTACTAAAACTACTGAAGGCAAAGAGAGATGTGAAATGAAGAAAGAGAAAGGTATTATTACTACTAATACTACTATACTACTCCTACTACTATTACTGCTACTACTTCTACTACTGTCTGTGTCCATGCATTCAGGTCAGTTCCGGGACCATCAGGCTCTGCTCAAACACTTTGACCACATGGACTTCACAAATCCTCACGGGTTTGAGGTGGAAGACCTGGATCGACTCATCAAAGCGGTACGTGTGAGGGGAGGGCATCTGACACAATCTGGCACATAGGAAAGCATCTGACACACAGGAAGGGCATCTGACTCTATCACACACAGGGTGGGCATCTGAGTCTGTTTCACACACAGGGAAGGCATTTGACTTAGCACACGAGGAGTTTAACTGACACAATATGATGCACACGGAGGGCTTCTGACTCACACAGGGGGATAATGGGAGTGCATCTGACTCAGTGGATGATGGGAGGGCATCTGACTCTTTCCAGGCCACTAAAGACCTGCAGACGGTGGACGAGCAGCAGCATGCAGCGTTCAAACGTTACGAGATGTTGAAGGAACATGAAAGACGAGAACGTCTGAAGAACATGACTTTAGAGGAGAAAGAGAGAGAAGAGAGACAGTACCAGGAGAAACGAGAGAAGCACAGCAAGCATCCAAAACTCAACCACCCTGTGAGTATTTCTACTACTGCCACTGCTACTATTACATCTATTACTACTACTACACTACTACAGTACAAATACTAACATCTATACTTAAATTGTACTAATACTAATCCTAATACTTTTTGTGTTACAGGGCAGTGAGGACCAGCTGAAGGAGGTGTGGCATGAGACAGACGGACTGGATGAGGCCGACTTCAACCCCAAGACTTTCTTCAGACTACATGGTAAACCGGAACTAAAGATAGACTAAACCGAGACTAAACCAGCACTGAACTTAGGACTGAACCAGGACTAAGCCAGGTTTGAACCAGGACTAAACCTTGACTGAACTGGAACTAAACCAGGACTAAACCATATCTGTGTGAATGGTTGAAGTGTTTTGTTTTTACAGACACAAACCAGGACGGGTATCTGGACAAGGATGAGCTGGAGGCTCTGTTCACTCGTGAGGTCAGAGGTCATTTGTGAATCCACCAACTCATACTTTGCAGTGACATCACACAGGGGAAAGGGGGGGTTGTATGTATGTATCTCTATGGTACAGTACCACGGTGACACAATGTACAGATTAGCCAACAATATCAGAAAAGTTTTAACATTTTCTGGAAAAAAAAGAAAAAGAATACAAAATGGATTTAAACTGTACATTTTCAGGAGCCTGTGATCAGTACAAGTGTGCTTGGTTCTGTTTAGGAGTTTGATTTTCAATAAAAAATTGAGAGTGATTAACTGAAAAATGGTTAACTGGTTCTAGCTAGTTTGTGACTGTAATGTTATTTGTGAGGGGCATGTTTAACAGCACTAATCAGTTCATCCAACCAGGTCCACTAAGACTGTTAAAATAAAGCTCAGATTAAAGTTTAACAAAGCCTCTGACAGAGCAGTGCCTACGTTTAGCACCACACCCCCAGACAATGTTGATGACGTCAGCTACACACTATCACTACACATCACTACAGTATAACAATGTGCTTACCATATGTGTGTATTTATGTGTGTGCAGTTGGCCAAAGCCTATGACCCTGAGAACGAGGAGGATGACATGATGGAGATGGAGGAGGAGAGACTGAGAATGAGAGAAGTAGTCATGACTGAGGTACCACCACTGAACCTGCTCACACCACACTGACGTGTGTCAGTGTGTGAGTCCTACATATTTATCAGTTTGTAACGCTCTCAGTGACAATGATCGGAAAAGGCCAGACATCATAACAGAGTAAGTTTAAAAGCTAGTTAAACTGTTTGATTAAATCCAGTTGAAAGAAAAGCACAGGCATCTTTCCCTCTACAAATGCACATGCACTGCATGTTTGACACTCATTTACATCTGTATATGTTTGTTTTGATTCGTTTGGGCGCTTTGTCTTTGGCTCCACCCAAACTTTGCTGCTCTGTGATTGGTCCACTCGCTGCAGGGTGAACCTGAACCTTACAGCGGGATTATGTCAAAATAGATTCTTGTGGGAATCATTGTGAGAATCCATCTTGCTGTGCAAGGCTAGGTACTACCAGAATCATAACCAGATCTGAGAGTCCAAACCAGGATCATAACAAGATCTGAGATTCCAGACCAGGATCATAACCAGATCTGGATGTTCTTGTGTGTTTCAGGTGGACACAGATGCAGACCAAATTATCTCTGAACAAGAGTTTATGGAACACACCAAAAGACAAGAGTTCCACAAGAATGAAGAGTGGGAGGTCAGAACTAAACAAGGACTGAACCAGAACTAAACCAGGACTGAACCAGGACTAAACCAGGACTGAATTAGATCTACACCAGGACTAACCCCGGTCTCTCCTCAGACCGTGGACCATGAGCCATTCTTCACAGACGCAGAGATGAGGGAGTTTGAGGAACATCTGATGAAACAGATGGAGCAACATGAGACTGACACGGAGCAGCTGGAGAGACAGAAGCACGAGCTCGAGGAGAAGCAGAAGCAACTGGACGCTCAGAAACAGCAACTGGAGCAGGTCTGACACCAGACATCTGCAGCACTGTTTCTTCAACTTTTTACTTCACTAGAAATAATAACTGTTATGATACAGTCTATGTGCACGCTCTGTTTGGGATATCGATCACCGATTGTCTTTGACTTTGTTTTCTGTGTCTGTGTCTGACTCTGTGTCTGTCTCTGTGTCCTTTCTGTCTGTCTCTGTGTCCTCTCTGTGTCTGTCTCTATGTCCTTTCTGTCTGTCTCTGTGTCCTTTCTGTCTGTCTCTGTGTCCTCTCTGTCTGTCTCTGTGTCCTCTCTGTGTCTGTCTCTATGTCCTCTCTGTGTCCTTTCTCTCTCTCTCTGTCTCTGTCTCTGTGTCCTCTTTGTGTCTCAGGCCTGGAGTCAGTTTGACAAACTGAAGGAGAAGAGGGAGCCCGGGGACGAGCGTAAGTCCATTTTGTCTTCTACATCTTTAAAGAGGGGGTGTTATGAAAATTAACTTTTTGGAACTTTCTACCATATTATAACATTGTATCCTCATCAAAAACGTGTGAAAAACTGTACACACTACAACTTGACAAACCTTATTCACTGTGCAGTAGTTTCAATTGCGGGATGCACGCTGATTGTGTTGTGATGTTGCTCTGAAAGGGGGGGTGAGAGCAATGGGAGCATTAAAAATAAAGTAGAACTAATTAAACATGTTAATATGTTGCATTTTCAAAGCTGGTGATCTAAATATCTTATGTGTTAGCAGTTAATACCTCACAGAAGTAAAATATCCCCTCTATAAATAAATATGAGCCTAGACCTAACACAGCTCAGAAGTAAGCTGAAGTTTTTAAGTGATGAGAACCAGCTGTAAAACAAATAAATGCTTCCCTCTTTTCCAACAGATGCGACCTAAAAACTGATGTGGCTACCTCTGTTTTTTCTTGCTTTATTTAAATGAAGTATAAATGTAGTGATGGTTACCATATTGATTTCTTTGGATAGTTATTATGCCTGCAGTGCATGAATCTGTTTACGTATGGAATTGGATCTTAAATGAGCCTTAATACAGAATACATTTTTAACAAACTCTGATTCTGTCATAGATCATGAAGAAGAGGCAGTTCACGAGTCCAGTCCGAAGCCACACCACTCCTGAACCAGAACTAAACCAGGACTGGACAAGACTGAACTAGGACTAAACCATGTCTGAGCCAGGCTGTGCCCTGCAGTCCCTCTTTGGATCTGACTCTGTAGGTCCGGATTTCTCCTTCTTTCACCTTCTCTTCAAATGATTGAAAATTGTTAATTTAATTTCATCAGCTGGATTGAAGTGAATGAAGTCCCAAAATAGTTTAAAATCATCTAGCTGTAGATCTCTGACCAAAGAGAGGACATTGTGCTGTAACCATTCTGACCTTTGTCAAGTTCAGTTTTTCAGATACTCATTTTATTTTATTTTATTTCATTTTGATATTTATTAAAGCCTTGCATTATTTATGTCATTTGTCATAACCAGGTCACATAGAACTTTAAAAATACTGTACATTTTATAAAGTATCAGTGACAGATATGATTTAACCATAAACTGTGATGTTTCTGTTCTGAATGTGCTTAATAAAAGACATGTGCAAAATGACAGTAAGTATTTGTTGTGGAAATATGAAAAGCTCTTGCAAGAGAAGGAGCAAACTAGAGTAGAAGGTAGAGAATGAGAAAACGAGGCAGTGAAACACTGAGTTGTACACAGGCAGGTACAGAGGCAGGTCATCATGACATAAATCATGAAAGAAATGTCAGTTTCAATGGAAATGTACTGAAACTGGGGCCAGGTAATTATGATAATAAATAAGTTTAAGAACAATTTAAAAATGAATTTTGCTATTACATGTTTAAATTTATTTCATTGTTATTAATAATTCATGACCATAGACTGTATAAAGTGGACTAAAGGACCATTCGTCTCTAGTCAAATGAAGCTCACAAGGCTAGCAGTTATAAGGGCAAATTTGAAGCAGAGTTCCATATCAGGAATAGGAATTGATTTATGGACAAAATAGCCAAATAAAAACACCAGGATCATATGAACAGGTTGAAACAAACATTTTAAGACCAAATTGAAGATCTTGACATGCAGCAGTTACAAAGCGAATGGTGGCATTTTTTCTACACAAAGTGAATTGGGGCTAGAGTTGACGGAGCTGGAAACGTGTCCATGGTCACTTCCTATTTGGAACGCAGCAGCTAGCAGGTTAGCTCTGTCCATTTATATATACTGTCTATGTTCATGACAAACTATCTCTAAAAGTCCCTGAGGCTTTAGTACAAACTTTACTCTTTAAGAATCAGATAAAAGCAGTCCTGCCCACAGGTGTACATATTTCGGTTGACAAATAAAATCAGAACACCTCTATTTTGTTGATATAATGTTCAAAGCATCATAAAAATGAGTTGTGCAAATTGTGCTGAATTTAGAATTCTTCTGGTGTTTCTTCACAAATTGCTTCATGAGATGTGTAAAACTATCATTTATATTTTTTACAACATAGTTTTATAAGTTTTTATAAGGTCACCAAAAGAAGTCAAAATTATAAAAATCTGTTATACACACACATGCAGTTTAAGTTCCTCAAACTGTATTAATACTCAATGTGCATTGTGTATAGTGTATATGTATGTATATGTGTGCTGATAGTATGGTCTGGAGGGATAGAAGTGATCCTGTAGCTCCTGTTGCCACAGTAAGATGCTATGAACAGGCCTAAAATGTGATATTTTTTAATCTTATGTTTTCATTTACGATGTAAATTGAGATAAGGCTGTAGGTGACATATTTGTGTTTTAAAGTTACTTCTGCAACATGTTAACTACTCCAAAACATCTTCCAAACCCTAACCTAAATTCTAAACTTAACTGAAACCCTAACCTTAAACTAAACCATAAACCATTTTCTAATAAAAAATAACCCTGATCCTAAACTTCATCATTTCATCAGCAGTGTCCCTCCTGACCCTACAATCTCATATTAACCATTGATACAGTGTGTGATCCTTTGGTTTGGTGACATCACTTCCTCCCATACGAATCCTCAAAGCGCTGCTGGAGGTATAGGTCTGATCTGATTGGAGGATATTTGTCAGAGCCGTCGCAGCACCGAATCACAGCACTGTCATCTGGTTGCATGAAGAAGGCTACGGACTGACGCTCTGAGGAGTCACCAGGAGGAGACAACAGCACCCGATGGACCTGTTGGGGAGAGGCAAGATCAGGTTTAGTCCTGGTTTAGACCTGGTTTAGTCATGGTTCAGGCCGGGTTTAATCCTGGTTCAGACCTGATATAATCCTGGTTTAGACCTTTCCTGGTTTAGTCCTAGTTCAGTCCCGGTTCAGACCTGGTTTAATCTTGGTTCAGACCTGGCTCTGACCTAGTTCAGTCCCAGTTTAATCATGACGCAGTCCTAATTCAGTCACAGTTTAGATGTGACACAAGTACAATATGTCTGATGCAACTGTAAAATATTTTTTTAAACTCACAACAGAGACAAAGGTGTCACTGGTCCATCTCTGCATCAGGTCGGCAATGTTCACAAGGACAGCTCCAGGGACATAGGGAGCAGAGACAAACTCACCAGAGACACTGCGCACCTGAGACAGAGAGACTGTGTTTAATCCTGGTTTAGTCCCTGGTTTAGTCCAAGTTCAGTCCTTGGTTCGGTCCCTGGTTCAGACCTGGATTCCTGGGTAGCTCTGGAACAGTAGAGTAATGCTACCATAGTCTGAGTGCTCTCCACACCGGAGCTGACCTGGTTTGGCCTTGTCCGGATCAATTGGGGGGTAAAAGAGAGAACGCAGAGTCGTACAGTTCCCCTTCTCTGAAAAACACCAGACAATCAGACAGGAGCAGGCAGGAACACTTGTCTCTAGTGTTGTCATGAAAGTAACTTCAAACTCAATTTCAATACCAAGGATAGGCTTGATACTCGATACCAATTCCTATACCACAATGATAATAAAAATAAAAAAAACACAGTTTATTTAGACAATAAAATGTGATTTTCAACATTAAACTGTAGTACTTTCTTTTATATGTGGTTTACATGTGGTTTTATGCTTGCTCTGATACAGCTCAAGACCATTCTAAAGCTATTCAGGAAAAGTTCATTTCTGTCCTATGAATGTGACTTTCTTAGTATCAATTCCTGCTTTGTTGAGTATCTAGTTTCATAACTTTAGTATTGATTAGTACCTGATTTTCGATACTTTTGACACTCCCACTCACCTCCCATCTTGCTGTGTTCCTTTACAAAGGTCTCTGGGTCCAGGTGGAGGCTGATGGCAAGGAGACGGAGTACTCTGAGGCCAAGAGCAGAGCAACGGTAGAAAAAAGAAGTCTTCACTTGCTGGAAGTCTGAGAGAGCACCACCTTTGGGCCACAGCTGCATTCCACACACAGACACAGGACACAGAGCGGGCAGGTACAGTTAAAGCAGTGAAAGTTTGTGTCCCATATACTATAAAGAAGCGGACTAAGTGAGTGTAACGTCATCCATTGCATTTGGCTCCAGTCAAATGAAGCTTATTGAGGCATGCAGTTATGGAGCAAATTCCTCCGAGTGTGAAGTGAATGAATAATGTACGAATCTGTGAAATGCCTAATACATTATTATTATCATCATCATCATTATATTATTCAAAGTCTGGCAGGCAGTAGGGGGCGCACTTACGATGTGTGGAGATAGCACAACGGTGTTGAAGCTCTCCTTCAGGTCTCCAGGGCGACTAGGGTTCAACCTAAAAACACATTTATCAGACTTAAACTAGTATAGCTGTATTTGTAGTAGTAGTATTTGCAGTATTTACAGCATTTGCAGTTGTATTTTTGTAGTATTTGTAGTGGTGTTTGCAGTAGTTGTAGTGTTTGTATTTGCTATATTTGCAGTAATAGCAGTAGTTGCAGTAGTTTGTGCAGTTGCAGTAATATTTGTATTATTCAGGGTATTTGCAGTGGTAGCAGTAGTAACAGTATTAGCAATAGTAGTATAGAATTCACAGTAGTAGTACCTCTCGGCCTGCAGTGAGACCCAGCCGTGGTTACTGTTGTCCTCATAGCGCCCCCTGCTGTACACACTCTTCTGCTCCTCAGACAGAGAAAAAAACTCACGAGACACGGCCCACACATGAGATATCTGCAAAATATAGCACATGCTAACCACTCTGCCACAAGGTTATGACCATATAACAACACCATAGAACTATTTTATATATATATATATATATATATATATATATATATATATATATATATATATATATATATATATATATATATATATATATATTTTTTTTTTTTTTTTTTTTTTTTTTTATTTTTTATTACAGATCCATGGACAAGATATGATATTTATTTCTTCATTTATAAAAGTGGAGGTCACGTGTTTCCGTTCTAGAGTGGAGCTTCACTAGCCCCATACGTCTCCAGTCAGTCCATGGATCTATGAGCCAGACACCTCTCGACTTCATTGCGACTTTGAGTTTCCAGGTTTAGTTTTAGTTTTTTTGTCACGTGACACGGCTACAGTGCGATGCTACTAGTGCACATATCATATTACAGATGATACATTATATAGACACTCAGCTTGACCTGACTCACGGGGTGCTCCTCTCTACCCCAGATGCCCTTCCTCACCTCGTCGTGCGTGATACCCGTGTTCTTCAGAAACACGAAGCCAATGCGCGTGAACGCCTCGTGAAGCTGCGCGCTCAAGCTCTCCAGCTCGGCCGAGGTAACGCACTCGGGGTCACGCTCGAGGCTGTACACGCTGAAGTCCACCACCGGGATCTCGCTCATCGTGTCCAGAGTTAAACGGGGCTAAAGGGAGCGCGGAGGGATGACTGCGATTTAACGTGAGATTTTGGTGGAAATTCTGCAGACGTGCACCACGCCCACGAGGCCGCTTGACCCGCTGCTAACCAATAGAAAACGTCTTGACAAGACTAAAGTCCAAGAAGATTTCAGTCTGAGTGAAAAACAAATCAGTTACATCATTTTCTTATCTATTCTGTTGTAGTTTCCTCAAAACACACATACCTGGTTTTGTGTTTTGTATCACACATGTTTAACACACAAATCCTGCATATTTAGGCTGAGTTCTTCTCTCAAGCAGAAAACACTCTGTCCCTTCACTAGAATCATTAAGGTTGAAGGACAAGGATGTTAACTACAGCTTCATGACATCACAAGGTGGAACAGAACATTTTGAGCTTTGGAGATGTAGACAGGCTAATAATAAAATGTTACTCAACACATGTGAATGAAACACAACACAACTCCAGGTCTGTTTTTCAGGAGGTAATAACATAACATGGCTTAAAGCTCACAAGACTCAATTTTGTGTCATACAGGACAAATGAATATTGGTCAAAATGCAGAATTGTGTTGTTATACAGAGAGATCTTTGGTCTAGTTACTAACAGAAATGATCAGGCTCAAGATTTGGCTCAAGATGTCTATTTACCTTTTGGATACTTCATAATAAAGTACAGTGTGATCAAAAGGGGAAACCGTCTGTGCCCCCACCTAGGAGTATGATGTCATCACATTTTACAAGAAAGATGTTGTTAGACATTGATAGATGTGTTTGATTATTACTGTGTAAGGGTGGTTTAGGACTACTGTATGATTGCTTATTGTTTAAGGGTGTTAATCAAATGATATGTGCATGCAGTCAGAAAGGAACAAAAACTAGACTGTCTGGTAAACAGCTCTGAATTGCAAAAATTGAGTCAGATAAAGGCCAATGTGATCCTACTTGCTCTTTGTGCGACATATTTTCTCCAGTGTGTGTGACAGATAGTGCAGACCGGGTGAAAGATGAAAAGGTGGTGTGAGGAGAAAGCAAGTCTGCGGGTCTTGGAAATCCACAAGGAGGAGCTGTGTGGACCAATAAGAAGAAGACGATGCCTAGATGCAACCAAAAAAAGGCTTGAAACCACAATGTTAGACCAGGAAGAAAAAGACTATAAAGGGGTTCAGAGTTAGAAAGAGAGACAAGAGCGGCGCACCCGTCAGGATCCCAGGTTTTGTATTAGATCAGGGACAGGTAGTTGAACCCTACTACTTTGTTATTCAATATTTAAAAGTGTATTCAATAAATAGAAGTGAACTGAACTCTTCTTGTCTGTGAATCTTTCTCCATCAATGAGCACTTGGAGAAAAGAGTTTAAGATAATGGAGAACATTTAAAGTACTGCTATTGGGAAAAGTGGAAAGGTATCGTACTGTCTTTAAGTAGAGGTGAAACTTAAGTACTGCTCTCAAAGAATGTCGAAAATACTTAGTACTGTCCTAATTAGAGGTGGAAAACTAATGTCAACTGAAAGGAGTCAGATAAGGGAAGGGAAGATATCTCCGCTGAACAACCTCCTGCATTGTGCCAGTGCACATGCACACTGTAAACCCAGACACTGAACTAACTCATAAGTTTTTTAAACTCTCCAGTCATAATTTCAAAAAAGAGCTCTGAAAATGCAAATCATATGAGTTCTAAACATTCATACATGAATTTAGTTCCATCTGGGATAGAATTTATGAGTTTGCCGTTTGTGTCTGTCATAATATTTGAGTTAGCTATGATTTTACGTCATGACGTCATCGAACGTTCTGTCTGCTGGACGCATGGAGTTGGAAAATTCAAGATGGCTGGCTGAAGCGGAGAAGATTGTGGCGCAAAATTTGTTAAGTATCTACTTTAAATTGCATATTTTCTGTCAGGTTCTTGTTTTCTTGATCAAAAATAGAAGTATAACTTTATTTGTTTGCCAGTGTTTAACGCAGCTAAGTTCGCCGTTTCTGAGAACCTGTGGTGCTAGCAAGTTGAAGTCCACGTGGTGCCGCGGACCGCGCAGATCAGCAATCTGCTCCCCAGATAGTGAAAAGTGTGGCAGCACTGCCCCTCATTTGTTACCGTCTTTGGTAGGTAAACTTTTTATGCAGTTCAGATTGTGTTTGTAACAATGCGGTCGGTGCGGCAACTTCACATTTGATGAGCGGACTCGGGTAGCCGCCCTCCCCACTTCTCAAAGCGGCTCTGGGACTGGGACGTGCGCGCACCCGTGCAAACTTTCCATGTCCCGGAGCACATCACTTCAGAGCGCCGTTGCAGGGCTTTGAGCTGCGGGGAGAACGGCAAGCCCCACACCGGGCTCTGATCCAGAATCTGCGGTGAGTGGTGAAGTCTGCCACTCCTAGACAGGTGATGAGCTAACTTACGCGGTTCTGAATGTGTGCGGAGGACAGGCGGGTTCTGATACTGAGTGTGGTTCTGATGAAATGTAATTTAGGTTAACGTGATAACAAAATAATTTAAATGATAGTAATTTGTTGGTATGATGTGAAATTTAGCATGCCAACAAACCACAAGTATACGCATTTTACTTATTACTTATTTTATTTACTGATTCTTCCTATCCACGAATTCAATTAAATGTTAATTACACAGTACTGTACTGAATTTATTTTTAATTGTGATCATGTGTTTTGCAGGATAAAGAGGAAGTTTGAAGTTTGATTTTGTGGTAAAGTAGAATAATTGTATATATTCTTCCCATATAAATGGTCTTATTCTCTTCTCATTGGTAATGTTTTGCATATATGTATTGACCAGTTTCCATCAGTAAAAGAAATCTGAAGAATCTAAAATCTAAATCTAATCTTCTAAAATGTTTTTTTAATGAAAAGTTTGATTGCGTATTAATATACTAATACTGAATTATGCTTATTGTACTTTTACATCAGTGCTGCTTTGGTGCTTAAGAGTTAATAATACTGATTGCTTTCAAGTAAATATATATATTACAGGAACCAAAATAAACCAAAACAAAAGGGAAGTATTGCATACATTAACACACATTTTTCTTTTCTTTTCTTGCAGCAGCAACACATTGGATCAGACGTTCACAGTTCATTGTCAGACGTTCACTGTCCAACATCTGCTTTTCAGTTATATGGCTGAGGTAAGATTTAATTGATTTCTGCAGAGATCAGGGGGATTTTTAAAATTGAGCAGATGTATTTAGTTTCAGCTTCTCATTGGAAGAGGCATGCAGACAACATTTGCACTTAGACGGCAGGAGATTGTCACTGGAGATAAAACAATAAAGGATCTACTGGCTCAATGGCCCGCCCTTAACATGGAGTCACAGGTACACTTTAAAAACAAACGTTTTTTGGTATGTCCAATTAGAAAATATAACTACTTGTACCCATATTTTGTGTTTTCAGGTGTTTGCGGAGTTCCATCGCATCACCAATGTGAATCTCCGCAATACATTCTACTACGCAGAGCTTGATCGTCATACAAAATCACTAGTTGCACTGTACAGGCAGAAGGCTTCTCACACAGGAAAGATTCCAGAGGCCCTGCAGAGAATCCTCAGAGAATATGATATGCAGGTATTAATTATATTCTGTGGAAATGTGTTTACTATCTCAGATGTATGTAGTACAGTCCCTGACAAAAGTCTTGTCGCTTATCCATTTTGTAGAAACAAAAGCTTATAACCTGACTTTAAATTAATCGATTGGTTTTAGAAATGTCTCATATGAAAGCTAAAACCCTCCCAAATTATGCTCAATATACTAAAATTAATTTGCTTCACTGAAGAAAGATTGATAATTTAATGAACACAGAAAGGTCAGATTTTGGAAAGACAAAAGTCTTGTCGCCTTGTCATATGATGCACCCAATCCTAGATTACAGCCTCACCTGTGATCTGTTACTGATCAATCAATTAGTGTTTGTGTATAAAAAGAACCCCAGCACACCAGACCTTCACATCAACTGCAACTTGACCTCTGACAACATGCCTAAGATCCACCCTGAGACCAAAGCGTTAATTATCAAGAGGCTGAAGACCAGATCCACTGCTGAGGTGGTGACACCTTCAATGTGTCTCAGCGTCAAGTACAAAGAATAAGAAAAAAAAGATCTGAAATGACTGGAGATGTTTTTGACAAGCCCAGGTCCAGCAGACCCCGCAAGACAACTGCTCGGGAGGACTGTTTGTTGATTCGAAAATCCAAGGCCAGCCCCTTTTCCACTGCAGCAGACTCCACCAGGCCTGGTCACCTCAAGTCCCTGTGTCAACCACAACAGTTTGTAGAATTCTGTCTCGAAATGGCCTCCATGGTCGAATCAGTGCACAGAAACCAGCACTGAACAAAAGGCAATTAAAAAACCGTGTGGCATTTGCCAAGGCCCACAGCCTGTTAAAAGGATGGACACTGGAAAAGTGGCAGAAGGTGGATTTCTCAGATGAATCCTCGGTTGAATTCCATCACAGCCGCCACAAATATTGCAGGAGACCTACTGGAGCCTACATGGATCCAAGATTCACACAGAAAACAGTAAAGTTTGGTGGCGGAAAAATCATGGCCTGGGGTTACATCCAGTATGGGGGTGTGCGAGACATTTGCAGGGTGGAAGGCAATATCAATAGCTTAAAATATCAAGACATATTAGCTACCTCTTACATTCCCAATCATAAAAGGGGTCAAATTTTGCAGCAGGATAGTGCTCCATCGCATACTTCTATCTCTACATCAAAGTTTCTCAAGGTGAAGAAGATCAAGGTGCTCCAGGACTGGCCAGCCCAGTCACCAGACATGAACATCATTGAGCATGTCTGGGGTAGAATGAAAGAGGAAGCATGGAAGGCAAAACCAAAGAATCTTGATGAACTCTGGGAGGCATGTAAGACGCTTTCTTTGTTATTCCTGATGACTTCATCAACAAATTGTATGAATCATTGTCAAACTGCATGGATGTAGTCCTTCAAGCTCATGGACGTCATACAAGATATTAAATATGGATCTCACAGCACCACTACTTCATTCACTGACGTTATGCAACATATTTTTGTATTTGAAGTAAATTATTTGTTCAATTTTCTGTAGGTGACAAAACTTTTGTCTTGCCAAAATCTGACCTTTCTGTGTTCATTAAATGATCAATCTTTCTTCAGTGAAGCAAATTTATTTTAGTATATTGAGCATAATTTGTGAGGGTTTTAGCTTTCATATGAGACATTTCTAAAACCAATCGATTAATTTAAAGTCAGGTTATAAGCTTTTGTTTCTACAAAATGGATAAGCAACAGGACTTTTGTCAGGGACTGTATTTTAAAAGTAATTTTTTTTTTTTTTTCAATAGGAGGAACAGGATATAAATTTGAGGCGCACACTGTCACTTCGTGCGCTTTCAGTCTACTTGAGAGAGGATGACACAGACTTTTATAAAAGCTGTAATGTAAGTAATCTCAATATTAGAAAACTATGATTGACTGCTATTTGGTTATACTGTCATTTATTATTATATTAAGTTTACTTTCTCTGTGATTGTTTATTGTGAGCACTCTCCTACTGACTGTAACACTTGTATTTTGCAGCAAGATGGTCAATCAGATGTGTCGGACTGCCCACTTGGTCTACTATCGTCATCTCCAAACCTGTTCATACCAGGAAATCTCTCAATTGTCATTGAAGGAAACGTCGTGTTTAGTCAGCTGTCGACTGTGCCAGAGGCATTTCTGCTGCTGTTTGGACTCATCTATGTCTTTAATATTGAGTATCCAAAAAAACCTTGTGAACACTTTTACCTTCATCCAGAATATTCTAGTATGTCTTGATGACAATTCTGTGATGAAACCATGCCTTCGCGCACTGAAAAATGAGCTCTTTAGAGATGTGTTCCCGATTTAAAACATTCAAAGAGCAGCTCTCGGCTCTCCTTTGCAGAACTCTATAATCTCGGTCTAAACCAGGTCTAACCCAAATCAGGACTAAACCCGGTCTAAACCAGGACCGGGAAGAAACACCGAGGAGTCCGGGAAACAGGGAGCTTCAGCGGAGAGACGCTCACGACGCACAAGAGACGCATGTGGACGCAGGGAGGGAGCAGGTGCAGGAGGAGAGGGGAGTGCGCATGCGTTACACTGGAGCCGGAGAGGGACACCATTGCGCATGTAACCGGGGTGCTTGAACCGTCCGATTATCTGCGTTGTGTTATGTGGGTGAAATGAGCTGCACACGGGGGTTTGACATTCAGGAGAGGATTTAATACCTGTGTGAAACACACACAAAAAATCAAGACACAGCCTCAGATGTCAGAGCTCCACACACACATCTCCCTCACTCTCTTCAGAGCAAAAATAACAGGTGTCATAATAATTTTTACCACTTGCAATAAATAGGAAAAAATAACATTCAGTATTAGTGATAATATAACAATAATAACAATACAACACTCACATACCTGTGTGAAACACACAAAAAAAAAATCAAGACACAGCCTCAGATGTCAGAGCTCCACACACACATCTGCAGAGAAATAAAGGGTGGAACAGACACGAGACCGCGCTTGCTAGCTTAAACTTACATGCTAGTAGTACTTTTTGAGGTGCTGTATTTGAATAAAAAAACAATACTTGAAACACATTTAACAAACAGGAACAATGGCAAAGGCCTTATAAACCACAATGTCCAAATAAAGTTAACAAAAACAAAAATTTTATATATAAATCAGAGGAACAAATCTGCTGCTTACCTCCCTCACTCTCTTCAGAGCAAATGAGGGGGCGAGGCGCGTCTCCACAGAAAGGAGTGGCACCACCAAAATAAAAGCATCTGGTATAACCAGTCAAAATAATCTAAGACACAAACCCATAAAGAAATAAAACAGGATTTTGGTGAAATTAACAAAACAATAAGACCACATGGGCTACACGCATGTGCACACTTAGAAACCCAACACCATGGATCTTATTATATTTCCATGCCCAACACTGACTGAAATAGGTTAAATAAGTGAAAAGTTAAAGTGAGTTACCTCAATTAAACACTATTGGCCTAATAATAATATGTATTTATTCATTTATTTATAACATTTGCGTTACAAAAGAGCTTTTAAAATGCAATCAAACTTTTGATTAAAACCAGTAAAGAAAATCACAAAGCTCCACAAATGCTCAAACATTACAGTCACTTTGTGCAGCATGTTGAATTTATGAAGAAAATTATGATTTTTGAGAATCCATCTCGGCTCTTGCTGCTGTGAGCGCTACAAAACCACCAGAATGAAACTTACAACACGCACAAGATCTGACACTTCCACAGGTGACAGTGGAATCTGTGCAGAATATTCACCCTCACTGAACGACACACAACCTGTCCCAACGTCAGAGTGTATAAAATTATGTATTTTATTAATTACAAATGCATGTATTTAATAAGAAATATGTAAGATGTTTATGTTTTGAAACAATAGCTCCATTTGCCACTTTGCAACAGCTAAAGGGAAATACTTTAGTTAGCTACATTTTGCATAAAGTCAAATTTCATTGTGTTTAATATTCTTCTCCCTCCTCTTCTCAAACTTTTAATTAAAACCAGTTAACAACAATACAAAACTTTGCAACAGCTATTTAATTTTCTTCTCCCTCTTCTTCTCCATCGACGCTGTCCAAACCCACCTCTTAGAAACCCAACACCATGGATCTTATTATATTTCCATGCCCAACACTGACTGAAATATTGAAGAGTTGTTTGGTTCAGTTCTTATTAAACAGATGAAAAACATGGAACCCCAGGAATTCATACTCTGTTACGCAGAGGTTAAATAAGTGAAAGTTAAAGTGAGTTACCTCAATTAAACACTATTGGCCTAATAATAATATGTATTTATTTATAACATTTGCATNTGGACGCAGGGAGGGAGCAGGTGCAGGAGGAGAGGGGAGTGCGCATGCGTTACACTGGAGCCGGAGAGGGACACCATTGCGCATGTAACCGGGGTGCTTGAACCGTCCGATTATCTGCGTTGTGTTATGTGGGTGAAATGAGCTGCACACGGGGGTTTGACATTCAGGAGAGGATTTAATACCTGTGTGAAACACACACAAAAAAATCAAGACACAGCCTCAGATGTCAGAGCTCCACACACACATCTCCCTCACTCTCTTCAGAGCAAAAATAACAGGTGTCATAATAATTTTTACCACTTGCAATAAATAGGAAAAAATAACATTCAGTATTAGTGATAATATAACAATAATAACAATACAACACTCACATACCTGTGTGAAACACACAAAAAAAAATCAAGACACAGCCTCAGATGTCAGAGCTCCACACACACATCTGCAGAGAAATAAAGGGTGGAACAGACACATGAGACCGCGCTTGCTAGCTTAAACTTACATGCTAGTAGTACTTTTTGAGGTGCTGTATTTGAATAAAAAAACAATACTTGAAACACATTTAACAAACAGGAACAATGGCAAAGGCCTTATAAACCACAATGTCCAAATAAAGTTAACAAAAACAAAAATTTTTATATATAAATCAGAGGAACAAATCTGCTGCTTACCTCCCTCACTCTCTTCAGAGCAAATGAGGGGGCGAGGCGCGTCTCCACAGAAAGGAGTGGCACCACCAAAATAAAAGCATCTGGTATAACCAGTCAAAATAATCTAAGACACAAACCCATAAAGAAATAAAACAGGATTTTGGTGAAATTAACAAAACAATAAGACCACATGGGCTACACGCATGTGCACACTTAGAAACCCAACACCATGGATCTTATTATATTTCCATGCCCAACACTGACTGAAATAGGTTAAATAAGTGAAAAGTTAAAGTGAGTTACCTCAATTAAACACTATTGGCCTAATAATAATATGTATTTATTTATAACATTTGCATTTGTGTTACAAAAGAGCTTTTAAAATGCAATCAAACTTTTAATTAAAACCAGTTAACAACAATACAAAACTTTGCAACAGCTATTTAATTTTCTTCTCCCTCTTCTTCTCCATCGACGCTGTCCAAACCCACCTCTTAGAAACCCAACACCATGGATCTTATATTTCCATGCCCAACACTGACTGAAATATTGAAGAGTTGTTTGGTTCAGTTCTTATTAAACAGATGAAAAACATGGAACCCCAGAATTCATACTCTGTTACGCAGAGGTTAAATAAGTGAAAGTTAAAGTGAGTTACCTCAATTAAACACTATTGGCCTAATAATAATATGTATTTATTTATAACATTTGCATTTGTGTTACAAAAGAGCTTTTAAAATGCAATCAAACTTTTAATTAAAACCAGTTAACAACAATACAATACAAAACTTTGCAACAGCTATTTAATTTTCTTCTCCATCGACGCTGTCCAAACCCACCTCTTAGAAACCCAACACCATGGATCTTATTATATTTCCATGCCCAACACTGACTGAAATATTGAAGAGTTGTTTGGTTCAGTTCTTATTAAACAGATGAAAAACATGGAACCCCAGGAATTCATACTCTGTTACGCAGAGGTTAAATAAGTGAAAGTTAAAGTGAGTTACCTCAATTAAACACTATTGGCCTAATAATAATATGTATTTATTTATAACATTTGCATTTGTGTTACAAAAGAGCTTTTAAAATGCAATCAAACTTTTAATTAAAACCAGTTAACAACAATACAATACAAAACTTTGCAACAGCTATTTAATTTTCTTCTCCCTCTTCTTCTCCATCGACGCTGTCCAAACCCACCTCTTCATAATCCTTCTCCAGAGCAGCCATGTCCTCTCTGGCCTCGGAGAACTAAAAATAACATTCAGTATTAGTGATAATATAACAATAATAACAATACAACACTCACATACCTGTGTGAAACACACAAAAAAAAATCAAGACACAGCCTCAGATGTCAGAGCTCCACACACACATCTGCAGAGAAATAAAGGGTGGAACAGACACATGAGACCGCGCTTGCTAGCTTAAACTTACATGCTAGTAGTACTTTTTGAGGTGCTGTATTTGAATAAAAAAAAACAATACTTGAAACACATTTAACAAACAGGAACAATGGCAAAGGCCTTATAAACCACAATGTCCAAATAAAGTTAACAAAAACAAAAATTTTATATATAAATCAGAGGAACAAATCTGCTGCTTACCTCCCTCACTCTCTTCAGAGCAAATGAGGGGGCGAGGCGCGTCTCCACAGAAAGGAGTGGCACCACCAAAATAAAAGCATCTGGTATAACCAGTCAAAATAATCTAAGACACAAACCCATAAAGAAATAAAACAGGATTTTTTGGTGAAATTAACAAAACAATAAGACCACATGGGCTACACGCATGTGCACACTTAGAAACCCAACACCATGGATCTTATTATATTTCCATGCCCAACACTGACTGAAATAGGTTAAATAAGTGAAAAGTTAAAGTGAGTTACCTCAATTAAACACTATTGGCCTAATAATAATATGTATTTATTCATTTATTTATAACATTTGCGTTACAAAAGAGCTTTTAAAATGCAATCAAACTTTTGATTAAAACCAGTAAAGAAAATCACAAAGCTCCACAAATGCTCAAACATTACAGTCACTTTGTGCAGCATGTTGAATTTATGAAGAAAATTATGATTTTTGAGAATCCATCTCGGCTCTTGCTGCTGTGAGCGCTACAAAACCACCAGAATGAAACTTACAACACGCACAAGATCTGACACTTCCACAGGTGACAGTGGAATCTGTGCAGAATATTCACCCTCACTGAACGACACACAACCTGTCCCAACGTCAGAGTGTATAAAATTATGTATTTTATTAATTACAAATGCATGTATTTAATAAGAAATATGTAAGATGTTTATGTTTTGAAACAATAGCTCCATTTGCCACTTTGCAACAGCTAAAGGGAAATACTTTAGTTAGCTACATTTTGCATAAAGTCAAATTTCATTGTGTTTAATATTCTTCTCCCTCCTCTTCTCAAACTTTTAATTAAAACCAGTTAACAACAATACAAAACTTTGCAACAGCTATTTAATTTTCTTCTCCCTCTTCTTCTCCATCGACGCTGTCCAAACCCACCTCTTAGAAACCCAACACCATGGATCTTATTATATTTCCATGCCCAACACTGACTGAAATATTGAAGAGTTGTTTGGTTCAGTTCTTATTAAACAGATGAAAAACATGGAACCCCAGGAATTCATACTCTGTTACGCAGAGGTTAAATAAGTGAAAGTTAAAGTGAGTTACCTCAATTAAACACTATTGGCCTAATAATAATATGTATTTATTTATAACATTTGCATTTGTGTTACAAAAGAGCTTTTAAAATGCAATCAAACTTTTAATTAAAACCAGTTAACAACAATACAATACAAAACTTTGCAACAGCTATTTAATTTTCTTCTCCCTCTTCTTCTCCATCGACGCTGTCCAAACCCACCTCTTCATAATCCTTCTCCAGAGCAGCCATGTCCTCTCTGGCCTCGGAGAACTCTCCCTCCTCCATGCCCTCGCCCACGTACCAGTGCACGAAGGCCCTCTTGGCGTACATCAGGTCAAACTTGTGGTCCAGTCGAGCCCAGGCCTCAGCGATGGCTGTGGTGTTGCTCAACATGCAAACACATTTCAAACTGTAAACAAACACACTTCAAACTGTAAACAAACACACTTCAAACTGTAAACAAACACACTTCAAACTGTAAACACACACACTGCAAACTGTAAACAAACACACTGCAAACTGTAAAAACACTTTTTTCTATTGTCCTTGTTCTTTGTGCCAATCATTATAACAGTCCCTAAACATTTCTTCTTCCCACTGGACACCGTAACATATGTGCCGCTTTGTACACTGTGCACAAGGCCTCACACTTGTCCCGAACGCAACGGAAAGCGTGGAATTTCTTCTACAAATCATCGTTAAATACGCATTTGTGCTTCGATACGTTGCTGACTGTGTGTCTGCTCGCGCTTTCTGAGTGCAGAGAGACACATGTACGGAGCCTGTTTTACAGAAAAGCACGTGCAAAGGATTTGGACTGTTCTTACCTTTTGAGGGCTCTCATTCTGTCAAACATCCACATATCCCCAGAAAGTTGGTCTCATTTGGTCCGTACAGGTCCAGAGAGAATATAATCCAGTGAAGAAAATATGTCCACAAAATGAATTAGTTCCTCTATGCCGGAAAGTATTCCAAAGTATTCCAAACGTGAAAAGTGATCCGTCACTTTTTTTTTGCATTTCTTCTGGCGATTTCAGGGCTAAGATATTTACTGAGAGCACGATAACGCTACTGTCTATGCTAAACGAAAGAGTTAGCATTTAATTGGCACTTTGGTCAGCCAATAGAGTGCAAGTTTTCGGTTACTAAAGCCCCACACCGCCAATCAGTGGTACAGAACTCAGAAAGTTTACTCCCCACTTCCCCTCGTGCACAATCACCCAAACTTGATTACAGGCGCGGAGTGATATTTTCCCTTACAGTCAACGAGCCAATGAACACAATGACATATCACAAGCCATGGTTTTCTGTATACCTGCGCCGCCTGTATCATGCGTAACCGCAGGCGCAAACACAAAGGGACTGTGTGCGTAAAGCGTGCGTCTTTTACGCAGCCAATGGTTACGCGTTACGCACTAGTGACGCTTTACCTAACAGCCAATGGGCAGTCAAAAAAAAGAGTTTATATATACAGTTTGAGGTGTTTACTGTACACAGTACATCAGTACAGTATAGTACAGTACATACTCCAGTACATACTCCGTGCATGTTGGTGCTTTGCCTTTGTTTCGAAGTTATGGCTAAACGAACAGAGAAGACGCGGTTTTCAGCCTTGGAAGCTGCGGAAATATGTACTAGAAGGCTGAGTGACACCTCGGACCAGGAGCTGTCGGAACCGGAGAGCGATGTGTCCGCGGTGGACTCAGTGGAAGAAGAAATGTTTAGGGACTGTTATAATGATTGGCACAAAGAACAAGGACAATAGAAAAAAGTGTTTTTACAGTTTGCAGTGTGTGTGTTTACAGTTTGAAGTTTTGTGTGTGTGTGTTTACAGTTTGAAGTGTGTGTGTTTACAGTTTGAAGTGTGTGTTTGTTTACAGTTTGAAATGTGTTTGTTTACAGTTTGAAATGTGTTTGTTTACAGTTTGAAATGTGTTTGTTTACAGTTTGAAATGTGTTTGTTTACAGTTTGCATTGTTATACATTTGTAAATATACAAATATACAGTTAGTGAGGTGCAACACGTCAGCAAACAGTGGTGGAAATTAACTTTTTGGTTGATTGTTTTGGTTGAAATCACAATTTTACTTCTATTGATACTACTACATTTGAACTGATACTACTGATAAACTGTTTTTGAAGTACCATAATTTCCTCCACAAACAACAAAATTTCCTGTCTTATTCTGCATAAAACCTGATAACACTGTTTAGATCTGTACAAACAAGCAAAACATACAAACATGTTCTGAAATGTGAACCTTGTTTTCGTTTGTCAATGCAGATTTCAGTCATTTTGTAAATTCTTCTTTTATTCTCATTTCTTCCTCTAATGATTTTTAGAGCAGCTATTATATTTCGAAGTCTTTTAATCTTTAACATCACGTGCGCTGCACAGCATTTTCAGGACCGCACTGAGAAGACACTTGCGCCCCCTGAAGGGAGGAGAGGGCATTGCACTGACGCTACGTCACAAAAAAAACACACACAAAAAAACAACGCGTTTTATCCTTTTAAACACTCATCAAACATGGATTATAGATTGGAATAATATAGATTATGGCGACCCATGATACTACTCCATCTGGACTTAATGACTTCAGACCACGAAGATGTCTCATGTCATGAAAGTGTTTGAAAGACTTGTTCTGGCTCAGCTCAGACCCCTAGTGGGACCAACCCTGGATCCTCTACAGTTGCTCACACAGCTCACTCACACCTGGATAGTGTTCAGGGCTCGGTGAAGATATTGTTTTTTTTTAGTTCTCCAGTGCCTTTAATACAATCCAACCCTTTCTGATGAGTGTGAAGCTGCTCAAGATGGGTGTCAACTCCTCCATTGTCTCTTGGATTACTGACTGTCAGACAGGCTTCAGTACATGTGACAGGGAGCACCCTGTCTGATACTGTGGTCAGTCATGTAGGAGTCCCCGAGGGTCCCCCAGTCCTGTCTCCATTTTTGTTCACTCTGTACACCTCTGATTACAGTTGCTGAAATCTGCAGAAGTTCTCTGATGACTCTGCAGTGGTTGGATGTATCAGAGATGGACAGGAGCTGGAGGACAGGACACTGATTGCAAACTTTGTGGAGTGGTACTAGGCAAACCATCTGCTCCTGAACATTGACAAGACAAAGAAACTGGTGATTGCCTTCAGAAGGAAGAGGACACCAGTTGAGCCCATCACCATTCAGGGCCATGACTTGGAAATAGTGGACTCCTACAAGTACCTTGGCGTCCAGGTGAACGACAGACTGGACTGGAGGGACAACTGTAAGGCATGAGTAGACTCTACTTCATGAAAAAGCTCAGGTCTTTCAGTGTGTGAAGCAAGTTATTGGAGATCTTCTCCCAGTCTGTGCTGGCTTCCACACACTGGGAGAAGCCAGCACTCACTGGCTGTGATCTGCTGAGAGAGCGGCACCAGTAAAAGGGACATTGGGCAGATTGACAAACTGATCCGTAAAGCTGGTCATGTGACTGGTTGTGAGCTGGAGACATTTGTCACAGTGAGGGACAGGAGGACACTGGACAAACTGCTCTCCATCATGGACACTCCTGCTCACCAACTGCACCAGACTATAGAGGGACAGAGGAGCTCATTCTCCAACAGGCTCCTACAGCTCCAGTGAGAAATACAGGACTACTTCCATACCATACTCAATATAACTGTACAACAACTCACCTTTATGTAACAGATAATACTCCCTACAACTGTACAACAACTCACCCTTATGTCCTGTCAATCATCATATAATTGTTGCACTATCTTCCTATATTTTATTACTTTTTTTTATTTTTTTATTTTGACATACATATGTCAAATGTACATATACATTTATATAATTATGTCTTATTTCACACATATCTCTTGCAACCTTTATTGCTACTTATTTAGAATGTATTATTACCATGTATATTTTTTTTACTCTTTGTTATTGGATTATATTGCCATGTGTGAGCTACTGTGTCCAAATAATTTCCGTTGTGGATCAATAAGGTTTGTCTTAGTCTAAGCCTAAGTCTACGATCTGAAAACCACCAATATATGAGCCAAGAGACAGCCCCGTCTTTTATTTGAATATGAAATATACAATAGCCTCTCATACAGTCATTTCCACAGACTCTAGAGCATATTTCATCATCATCATCATTCTTGACCTTTTGAACATTTCTAATTGAACCTGCGATTGCACCAAGCACCTGACCTCTGACCAATCACAGAGCTGTTCTTTATACCGCCACGCCCCGAGTCTTACCTTTGATCAGAGGCGCGAGTCCCACAGGGCCCGGACCTGGTTTATCCCGGTTCAGGCCTTGGTTCAGACCCGATGCCGTCCTGGTTTACACCGTGGTTCAGATCTGGTTTAGTCCTGGTGCCACCCGCGGTGTAGTCCTGGTTCTGATACCGCCATGCCTGACCCACTCTTGGATTCGGGGCAGGACTCAGTGAACCAGGATTCGGGTCAGCCAGACTCGGTGGACCAGGACTCGGGATGGTCCATTTCGTTCGCGGGCTGCGGCTTCATGGGGGTGTACTACATTGGAGCGGCGGCGTGTCTGCTCCAGCGGTGTCCGGAGCTAGTGCGCCGGGCCGCCCGCCTCTACGGCTCCTCCGCGGGGGCCCTGCTCGCGGCCATCCTCACCGTAGGCATACCTCTCGGTAAGTTCCTCCTCTGGATCTGGATCCGTCATTGATTCATGCCGGGGCATTTATAAGCTCAGACTTTCTGGATGAAAAATGATGTGATGCCCCTTTCTTGGACAGCTGAGCCAGTTGTGTGTGATTCTCTGATATATTCATCACAAATCCACAAATGTATTTTTCCCTGATCATTTCTGTCAGTGGTGGAGGTCCATTCTGCCGCTATATTTCACAACATTTGACACACCTGCATTTTAACTAGACATTTGACTTGACCCTTTTTCAGTCTAACACAGATTTACAGGAGGATGGGAGGGCATCTGACACACAGAGATACAGGAGGATGGGAGGGCATCTGACACATAGGGATATGGGAGAGTGGAAAAACATCTGACACAAGACTATAAGAGGACACATCTGACACATGTTTTCAGTGTAATTTCCACTAGTATCCGTTTGCCTTGATACAACTGGGGTAGATAAAGAGGAGTAACTTATCAGGAGAAACATTCTGACACCTATTTTGCTTTTCTTTTCTTTTTTTTTGCAACTGCACTGCTCTGTGTGAAGCTCACCTTGTTGTTGAAAATCAAACACCTATACAAGATCATGAATGCGCATGTTGATCACAGGATCCTGAAAATGTGTTGTTTAAATGCATTTAATATTTTTTTACTGAGCTTTCTTAAAACTTTTTTGACATTGTATGCCAATGTGTGCTTTGTGCTTTGGTAACTACTGAACATTCCACCATAGAGATACATGTACAGCACCCACAGCATGATGTCACAGCAAAGTATCTACTGTATTGTTAATACTGTGTCTTCCAGATGAGGTGTGTACAGAACTCATGTCCTTGGCTCGTGGGGCCCGTGCACACAACTTGGGCCCCTGCACCCCAACTTTAACCTGATGCAGCATGTGCACAACTTCCTCGTGCGTACTCTCCCTGTAGACGCTCACAGGCATGCGTCTGGCCGCCTCTTCCTCTCCGTGACCCGCGTCTCAGATGGAAGGAACCAACTACTGTCTGAATTCAACAGCAATGAGGAACTGATACAGGTCAGTCCAGGTTCAGACCTGGTTTAGTCCTTGATTAAACAAGATTGACTAACCCTTGTTTGGGCAAGGTTCAGTCCTGGTTTAGTCCTGGTTCAGTCCTGATTCTGGCCTCTGTCTCTTCAGGCTCTGATCTGCAGTTGCTTTGTCCCGTTTTACTGTGGAGTTTTTCCCCCCAAATACAGAGGAGTGGTAAGCTGACTTGGATATTAAATTATAATAATTATAATAGGCACTGTGATGGTGTGTTAATATAAGTCTTAATAATTTTTTAACCCTGATGCCCTGCAGCGTTATGTAGATGGAGCAGTGAGTGATAACCTGCCACATTGTGACCAGAAGAGAACCATCACCATCAGTCCTTATGCAGGAGAGAGTGACGTGTGCCCCAAACCACAGGGACAGCTGTACATGAGCCAGGTACTAATACTGCAAAAAGTAGTACGAATAACACAACCACACATGATCATCATTTTGGTGAAATTCTCTGCCCTCAAGTGCCGCTGCTCCAACCAGAGGCATTTGGCATTTTGACGCCGTGGTCTGAACACAGCATCAGACTGGCTCCAGTCAGTCTTCCACTGGAGAGTTAAATGTCTTACCCCAAGACACAATGACCGTATTTATCAGTGGGAGCTAGAATCACACTGCCGATCTGTGGGTGTGACAGTTCAACTAAGCTACTGTCACACTGTAGGAGTACCGCATCACCATAACTGTTCCTCTTCTGTTTCAGGTTCTGTTCAACAACATGAGCATTGAAGTGAATCCAGAAAACCTGTACAGAGTCACCAGCACCTTCTTCCCCCCAGAACCTCAGGTCTAAACCAGATTTAAACCAGATTTAAAGTAAACTTAAACCAGATCTAAACCAGGTCTAAAGCAGGACTGATTTTCTTTCAGGTTTTGGCTGAGATTTGTCAGAGCGGGTTTGTGGATGCTCTGAGATTTCTACAGGAAAATGGTGAGATGTTTGTGTTGTTATGGCTTTGCTGCAATGTTCCACAGTGTGACATTAAGCAGTGTGAATCATGCTAAAAACAACAACTGCAACGCACAAGTCTTGGTAAAGTCAGTATTAGTCAGCTAGTCATTTTATTTAGATAAGGGTTCATATGGAGATGTGAAAAGAAGAAGTGAGTGAGTTAGCTGAAGACTTGGTATTTTTTGATATTTATAAAAAGGCAGATTAAATTTATGATTTACAAATATAATTATATAAATTTTATATAAATGTATAGTTTCCTAGTCCTTTTTTCCACATAAACAGTAGTTTTTGCATGAACTCCCTGCATGTGTTGTCTTTTGAGTGCAGTTTAGGTCAGATGCAGAGATATAAATTCGTTTGCGAACTTATGGTGTGCCTCATTTTTTAGTCCCTTATCGATCAGCAGGACATGTCTTTAGTCGACTACAGCACTAATAAAAAGTGAGTGCGTTGTAACAATGAACTATACATAGAAGGGGCTAAGTGAGTGTGACATCACCTGCAGCGTTGAGCTTCAAATGAAACTCATCAAGACTATCACATATAGTGGCTAATCTGGAGCAGAGTTCCATATTTGGAACTAAGCACAGCAACCAAAGAGCCAATCAGGAGTGAGGCTGTTGAAGGTAACACCCCTTCCCGCCCACACCACTGGTTTAGGAGGGAGTGGGCACTTAGCAGCGCTGTCAGTCAAACTTGTTGCCGCCGCTAACAGGAACAACCTAATGTTCACATCTTGCTTTACAAAATGGTTAAATAAAAATGCCAGTATCATGTAGAGCGGGTTGAAACTAATATTTAAACACCAAAATGACAAGCCTGACAGCAACAGTTGGAGGGGGATATAGAAAGTGAATTTGAGCCTGAGTCCATGGAGCCGAATTGCGCCCCTATTCACTTCCTGTTTGGAATGCGGCACTAGTGGAATAGATATGTCTAGAGATATACAGTCTATGGTTGTAACAGAAAATGGATCCACAGAACATGATGAGAACAGGGCTGTACATGAGTGTGAATCTGAAATCTAATAAAAAGTTAAATTTTGGTCCCAGGTTTAGTGAACGATGACAACCCTCTGCAGCCGAGCAACCTGCGGGAGCCATGTTGTGAATGGGAACATGTGTTTCAGCCAGACAACCGATCAGCTGAGAGAGAAATGCAAACAAGCCAATCAGAACTAACAAGAGAAGTGACCGACAATTCAGAGCACACAAAACTCAAGCCTCACTTGTGGCTGGACCCAAGAGTCACAGAGAAACTGCCCCCAGAAATTAGGACAGGTGAGAGACCAGGGACCAGTATTAAAGTCAGACCTCTCTTCTCCTATGGCAAGCCGTTTTAACATTTAAACACTAAACTGGATATGTATTGCAGATATCTCTAACTTAGTTTTGCCTAGTCAAAAAGAAAATTTTGGCAAAGTCATTCTTCCTATCTGTAATTATCATTTTAGATATCCACAACGACATTCTTCCCAGGGTAAATGACGTCACCTTTGCCATTCATTTGTATAGGTTTCATAATTATATATCCACATATATAATATCCATCTCCACATTGTAAGTTACAGATATCTGCAACTGGATTATAGAGATCTGTAATTCCGGTTTGAGATACCTACAATTTGATTCTGACTAGTCATAACTTAAGTTCAAGATATCTTTAATTCACCACAATTGAAGATATATACGTGCTCCATTTTAGATATCTTAAATTAAGTTTTGACTAGGCGAAATGAAGTTGTAGATATCTCTAACTGGAGTTTCAGATAGTCATAATTTAGTTGTAGATATCTCTTATCAAGTTTTAGATATCTTGTAATGAATTTTGATGAGAGATATCTGAAATTGTATATATCCATAAATTTCATTGTGCCTAGTCAAAATATAATTATAGATATCTTGAATTGGAGTTTTGACTAGGCAAAATTACATTGCAGATATCCGTCTGCAAATGATCCCACTTTAGGCGGGAGCGGAGCATTTCCACATGGCACCTGTAGCTGTTAATGGAAAGTTAATTTATCAGTAAGATCGCCAAAATGTGTCTTAGGGTCTTTTTGTTAATGGACTCTAGTGAAACGTTTGTTGAAAATTATATTAAAGACAAAAGCTAATTTTAACACAGACAGTTGTTAAGCTTTACAGACAAATGGCTTTTTGGATGGATTGTGCACTGCTAGTAGGCCGAGACAATTTGGTGCTTTCTGTGTCATAATGTCATAATGACGTTTGAGATATGACTTTCAATCTGCCAAGTCAAAACTGAATAACCGATATCTGCAATGGTGATTTATGATGTGTGACGAGTTGAATGTCATTTTCAATCATGTAATTGCAGATATCTGTAATTCCTCTTTGCCAAGTAAAAACTGAATTGCAGATATCCAAAAATGAAATTATGCCTAGTCAGAAAGACGTTGTTGATATCTAGAACGTTAATTCTGGATAGTCAAATGTAGCGTTTAAATGTAAAACGGCTTGCCATACTTCTCCTCTCTCCTCCTTTCTTTCTTCCTCTGTCTCAGTCTCTCTCCATCTCTCTCTCTCTCTCTCTCTCTCTCTCTCTCTCTCTCTCTCTCTCTCTCATTGTATTGAATCTGTTCTTTTTGTTGCAGTTTTGTGTGAATCATGCAGACTCTCTCTCCCCTCCTCCGGGTTCCTCTCTCAGGTGAAGTCCTACCTGCGTCTGCCTAAGCCCCACCCCCTTCGCTCGCCCTGGACCATGGCTCACAGGTCAGACTCGCTGTTGTTTGGCTCTTTTTGTAGACTCAAAATGTCTTTACAGTTTTCAGTTTTTCTTTATCTTGGGTTTGTCAGAAGTATCGAAAATCAAATAGTAATTGATCCTAAAACTAGTACTGACACTAAAAATGAAGTTTTAGAATAACCTTGAGCTGTATCAGAACAAGTATAAGAGCACATAGACTAGTATACGCCCATGGATCACTATGAAACCTACCTGGATGACTGAGGGATTACAGATATAAGACCACATGGTAATATAAAAGAAAGAACTACCATTTAATGTTGAAAATAACATTCTGTTGTCGAAAGAGTGTTTTTATTATCAACGTGGTATCTGAATCGGCATTAAGTCTATTCCTTAGTACCAATATCGAGTTATATGATGCTGATTTATATATTTTTCTTGGTCTTGTGAGATTGGTGGAGTGGCTGCCTGACACGCCCACAGACCTGAGCTGGCTCTACTCTGTGTTCAGTCCCATATGGAGAGAGGAGGAAGAGGAGCAGGAGCTAATGATCAGGTACCTCCCTCTCCCTGAAGTTCCACTCTCTCCCCAGACTCACTCTGCATTCGATTATCCTTCCGAATCGGTTTAGTTGGTACAGTGTGACCCGAACCTCGGTGGCAGAAAAAGTAGACTAGACTAAGCAAGGATTCCGAGTCAATTTATATTTACATGTCACAGGGGGCGTAGCCATCTTGGATTCTGTTTTCATTGTGTTTGGACACTTTGGTGGTTTAAATTACAATTTTAGTCACTCGTCACTGCCTGTGGGTTTGGTAGTCAGTGTTGTGGTGAGGCCAATATTGAACAAATACTTGATTTACGTTCATAAGGTTGTAATGGAAGAGAAACCATAACATGAAATGAAGTGCAAATTTTAAAATTAAATTAATTGAAGTGGCTGCGTTTTCATAAAATGAGGGAATAATCATAATCTTAATCCAAGTAGTCTGACACGCGAAGCATAATACTTCAAGCTCGGATGTAGCGACGGAGTCGGAAGATAACTGAACACAGGGCCACATGTCCCCAGTGTCATCTTAAGATCTCAGTAGTTTTTTCTCTTTCATTTATGAATGCTAAATGTCACAATTACAACATTTACAGTTCTAAATAAATCTAAATAAACATGGAACTAAACTAGTGTGGTGCGTGTTTCATGTGGGGCTGCTCTCTGGTGTTACATTTTTTAAGGGGCCATCCACCAACAGTATGCGGCACTTTGTTGTGGTGTGGCGTTGTGAGCTTTCATTGGACACTGCAGTTTTCAAACGTGGAATTCAGTCAAGTTGTTTTCGATCAATATTGCAATTTAAAATCTCCAAATTATAACATAATGATCCATGGCTGTGATGCATTAAAACTACATCGCACATACAAGCCCAATATCTCTTCTTAAAATAGGAGATATTATGCAAAATCAACTTTTTTGAGATTTCTACCATGGTCAAACATTCAAAAACATGCTTGAAGAGGTTTTGGATGTCACCCCTGCATGTTTGAGGTTTTTTTGTGATCTCTCCTGGACTCTATTCAAACCCTTGTTGCAGTTAGTAGTACGAGCCTCTGCAAGACTATGTCACATATGTTCCCGCACAGGGTTGCACGCTGATTGTGTTGTGATAGTGTTCTGAAAGGGAAGTGACTTTGTGGGGAGAGCAAAGGGTGGGGAGACAATAAAAGGTAACACGGTGATCAAAAGATGTGAATTAGCAGTTACTACCCCATAGAAATAAAATACTCCCTCTTTAAACATTATAATATGTGATTGTTCTTTTCACAGTGAGGTTCCTCTTCGTCGCTGCAAAAGTCTCCCATCTGGACTCGGTCTGTGTAACTGCAGCGAAAGTACACAATCTGCCTCCAAAAACATCCAGCTAAATATAAACAAAAATATCCACAAACATTTGCAGAGTAACACCTTTAAACCCAAAACCAAACCAGCTGACTTAACCCCGCCCTCTGCCTTCACCTGGGACCAATCAAACGTGTTCTTGCCCCTGACCCCGCCCCCCACCCCAGTGCATAGCCCCGCCATCAGCCCAAGTGCATCGTGGGGCTTCGGTTTGGGCCGAGCAGTGGACTGGATCCGGACCATCAGGAGCACAGCGTCTCCTACATGAGAGAGAGCGCACTGCAATAAATGACCTGTTAAAGCAAAAATATGTGTGATTATTTAGACGTGGTTTAGTCCTGGTTTAGTCCTGACTTTTAGACTTGATTTAAGTGGCTGTTCATTTCTGGTTCAGCCCAGCTTTAGACCTGGTTGGGACTTGGTTTAGTCCTGGTGCTTTAGTGATATGTGCGGGCTGCGGGCCTCAATAGATGCTTAAGATAATTAGACTCTGGAGCTGAGAGCGGGGATTTGGAGCCGCTCCGCAGGTGTTTGTAGGGCGAACCACTGCTGCGCTGCGCCCTTATAACAGGGTCACTATGGGGGTCATCCGTGGTACGGGTTATAGGCTATAGACTTGATCGTTCTCCTGCACGCTGCTCAAGTGCATTGGATGCACACTCCACAATCTGATTTATGACATTTATGTAATATTCAAAGACTAATATTGACGAACTTTCTCAGATTTTAATGTTAAATAGTTTTACAAATTTGCATTATTGATAGGGAGGGCAGCGCCCCATCACCCATCACCCATCACCCAGCCGCAACTGGGTTTAGGTCCGGTTTAGTCCCGGTTTGATTCTGGTTTGGTCCTGGTGTAGTTTTTGTTATTGGGAGCTATGGTCCCACTGAGTGTTATGAAAACCGAGTCATGTGACCCACTGTTTTCCATTAAAAACGTGTGACGTGTTTGAGGTTGCGCAACACGCGACTCTGGGCAGTTCAGACCAGTTTGGACCCGGGCCAAGAGATGGCGAGTCTGGGACCAGCGCGGGAGAGCCATGGAGATGAGCCAAAGACCGGGGACAGAGGGCAGAGGACGCGGGGAGAGGAGCCAGAGCCCGGGGACAGAGCGCAGAGGACTCGGGGACCAGAGACAGAGACCGCGCAAGGGGACATGAGGACCCGGGGACCAGAGCCAGAGCTCGGGGACAGAGGGCACAGGACCCGGGGAGAGGAGCCAGCAGTCCCCAGGTGCGCTAAGCGGTCTTCTCCCGTACCCCGCAGCCTCCTGGAGCCCGGCTGGAACCTCTCCTTCGCGGGCTGTGGGTTCAGGAGCGTGTACTACTTCGGGGCTCTGAGTTGCCTCCTGGAGCGCGTGCCTGAGCTCGTGCACGGTGCGGCCCAGTTCAGCGGCGCGTCCTCAGGAAGTCTTGTGGCCGCGGCGTTGGCAGTGAACGTCCCCATCAGTGAGTTTAATACAGAGGAGGGTTAGAAGAGCTGAGGAGAGGGTCTGAGGATGCAGAAGGGAGTGTTAGGAGCAGAGGAGTAAATATTTGCTGTGGTAATAGTGTGGATATACCCTCTGTTCTCTGTAGTAGGCCTGCCTGGTTTCATTCATAAACAGAGATGGAACCTTTTCTGCAAATTATATTCCCTGTTTCTCCACAGGTACCAGTCTCTGTGCTAGTCCTCACTCAGTCCTGGTTTAGACCTAGGTTAGTCCTGGTTTAGTTCTAGTTTAATCCTGGGTTAGTTTAGACCTCGATTAGACTTTGACCCTTTGTAGTAAAAGGGGCTTATCTAATCTTATTTACTGTTACAACAACAAGACAAACCAGGACTAAACTAGGACTAAATCAGGACTAAATCAGGACTAAATCAGGACTAAACCAGGACTAAACCAGGACTAAACCAGGACTAAACCAGGACTAAACCAGGACTAAACCAGGACCTGCAGTGCATGGTGGAAGAGTTCAGTCCTCGTCCAGTCCTGTTTTAGTTTTATTTAAGTCCTGGCTCAGTCCTGGCTCAGTCCAGTCCTGGTCTCTTGCAGGTGTGATGGTGTCAGAACTGGTTGCCATGGCATTGGAGGCACGGTCTCTCACAGGTGGCGTGTTCAGTCCCGCCTTCAGTCTGCAGAGACGTGCACGTGACTCTCTCCTCAAGCTCCTCCCCCTTGACGCCCACGTGCACGCCTCCCGCCGGCTCTGCGTGTCCCTCACCAGAATGCATGATGGGAAAAACCTGCGGGTCACAAGCTTCAGGAGCAGAGAGGAGCTAGTACAGGTCCTCCTCTGCTCCTCTGACCCTCTCTTCTGCTCGCTGACCCTCTCTTCTGCTCCTCTGACACTCTATTCTGCTTCTGACCCTCTCCACTTCTCCTCTGACCTTCTGTTCTGCTTTCTGACCCTCTCTTCTGCTCCTCTGTCCCTGTCGTCTGCTCCTGACTCTCTCGTCTTCTCCTCAGACCCACTCTTCTGCTTTCAAATACTCTCTGCTGCTCCTGACCCTCTCTTCTGCACTTGACTGTCTCCTCTTCTCCTCTGACCCTCTCTTCTGCTCCTTTGACCCTATCTTCTGCTCCCCTTTGTTCAGATCTGATTCATCTCTTTGTGTTTTTAGGTTTTATTGTGCAGTTGTTTTTTCCCAGTTTACTGTGGATTCATACCTCCAACCTACAAAGGAGAGGTACTACTATTACTACAACCACTGCGATTATTAGTACTACTACTGCTACTACTACTACTTTTACTACTTTGCCTGAGCAGCCAGCCCCCTCTACATCCAGTTAAAAACTAACCATATCACATCCTTTACCTGAGATAAATAAGAGTTTGGTGCTTCCATTGCTGATTCTGCACAAATCTGCAGTTTTTCATATTATTTTCCTTTTCTACATGTGAGCTTCCTCCTCTCCCTTCTCTCTTCTCCTCTAATCCTTCGCTCCCTCTCACAGTGTTACATGGATGGGGCGCTCAGTGATAACCAGCCTCTGTCTGAGCTCCCAAACTCGCTCCTGTTTTCTCCTTTCTCTGGAGAGTCCGACATCTGCCCCAAAGAGTCCGGCTTCTCTCCTGTGCAGGTCAGACCCTAACCCTGACCCCTGACCCTAACCCTGATCCCTGTGTGTCCCCTGTACAGTATAGACCCTAACCCTGACCCCTCTGTGATCCCTGTGTGCGCTCTGTACAGGTCACACTCTAACCCTGACCCCTGTGTGACCCCTGTGCAGGTCAGACCTCTGCCCTAAAGAGTCCGGTGTCTCCATTTTGCAGGTCAGAATCTAAGTGTGACCCCTAACCCCATGTGACCCCTGTATTGGTCTCACCCTACACCTGACCTCTCTGTGACCCCTGTGCAGATCACACCCAAACCCTGACCCATGTGTGACCCCTGTACAGGTCAGACTTCTGCCCCAAAGAGTCTGGCATGTCATTCCTCGATTTGAGTCATTTGACCAATTACTGTCAATCATGCTAGTTAGCTTTTTACCTTTTAGGAAAGGAGTGAGTTTTTTTTTTTTTTTATGATTGTAAAGCATTTTTAGTTTATTTCTTTCTTTATAAATATAGTTTGATTGATTGATAAAAATAAACCTTATGAAATGCTCTATTGGAACTCTATTTAACTTAAATTAAGGTGAATTAAGGTTTCAGCTGACGGAACATTTCATCTGTTTCTGGTGAGTATAATGAAAATATAATCAAGCTAACGCCTAGCATGATTGACATAAATTTGGTAAATTACTCATTACCCATGCTCACTACCCTCCACTCTGCGTGACCTCTGTGTGACCCCTGTGTAACCTCTATGTGACCTCTTTATGACCCCTGATCTCTGTCTTAGTTCTGTTTTGGAAATCTGTCGATCGAGGTCAACACTGGAAATGTACACCGAGTCTGGACTTCTTTCCTTCCCCAGACTCCACAGGTCAGACAGTACAACAGTACCTCTACAGTACTCCTACAGATACTACTACAGAACTTGTAATACAACTACAGTAATAGTATGTCAAGGTCAAACGCCCTTCATCAATTACAAAAATAGTGTAATATAAGTAATATTCAATCTTGTCGTGAATGATAGGAGCAGTAGATAGTACCACGTCCACATTGACAGGTGTTTTTGGCAGGCGCTGATGCAGATGTGTATAAACGGGTACACAGATGCTCTCCGCTTCCTCTCAGACTCAGGTCAAGAGCAAAGCCAGAATCTTCAGAGAAGGTCCTTGGACTCTGTGAAGAACAGACTGAAGATCTGCAGAGACAAGGAGAGAGGAGACAAGGAGAGCAGTGTCCTTCCAGGAGACATCTCACAAGGTTTGGTCACATCCACCTTCCTGTACACATTTTTAAATATGAAAATTACAACAGCAAACCTTACAAATGTTGAACCATCTCTGTCAATTTCTCTCTCTCTCTCACTTTTTTCTCTCCTCCCATCTCCTGCCTTCTCTCTTTTTTCTCTCCTCACTTCTCTACCAGCTCTTTTCCCTCTCTCTCCCCTCCCTCCTCTCTCCTCTCTAACTTCCCCCCCCTTTCTCTCCCCTCCCTCTCTGCCCTCGTCTCCCTCTGTCCTCTCTCCTCTCCCTCCCCCTCCACACTCTCTCCTCCCTATCTTTCTCCCCTTTCATCCCCTCCCTATGTCTCCCTCTCTCACCTCTCCTCCTCTGGTTCCTCCTCTGCCCCGCCCCCTCTCTTTCTTCTCTCCTTTCCATCTCTCTACTCTTCTCCCTCTTCTCCCCCTCCTCTCCCACTCTCTCCCCCTCTCCTTTTTTCTCTCCAGTCCTGATTTTGGCCTGTTCGGAGCCTCCCCCTCGCCCTGCTCACTTCTCTGACCCCCCTGTGCTCCACATAGTTCTGGGTTTAGTTCTGGATCTGCTCCTGGTTCTGATCCAACTGGTCCTTCTGCCGTTTGGACTCCTCATCAAACTCTCCATCAGGTATTGAAAGATTGGTGAAAAGACTGCAACATCAAAAGTCAATATGCATTAAAGCAGATATATTCTGTTTGTGTCTGCACTATAGTTATAATATCTCTATAATAATCTCATATGTCTTTGATTCATCACAAGGTTCAAAAAATATCCTCTCCTTCTGCAGACTTTTGTCAGTGTGCAGCTGTCGTAGTTCTACCTCAAACCTCCAGAAAAGACCAATGACTTTGGACAAAAACAGAAATCTCATGTCGACTCAAGGAAAGAAAAACTGATAATGATTCTAGGAGCCATTGAGGAGGAGTCATTGATGAAGGCACTTATTTTAATACAAAACCACAAAACCATGCCAATCTGTGTCTGTGTCCTGTGTCTAAAAAAATGTCTGTGTGTGGGGGGATTACAAAATTTTATACAAAAAATAAATCAAAATAGAAATTATTAATTTAGAAATTATTCTAAAAAATTGGGGTATTTCTAAAAAAAAGAATGAGAAAAAGTTAGGAAACAAAATCATAATTTTAATAAACAATTTTTAAAAATTTGTCTTATGTCCAAACCTCTGAGGACGTGGTGGCTCTCAACAGGTGGTGGCGCCAGAGCACACTTTCAGCCTTGTGTTAAAATCTGTATAACAAAAATTTAAGTAATAATAATAATTTTACTTATACTACTTTATCCTTTGTACTGCACATGTCCATCTTTTAAACATGTTAGCTGACACATGTTTTATCAAGTTTGTATTTCAACCACAATTTAAAGGGCCTATATCCTGATCTATGTTAATATAATGTTTCCTCATCACAAACATACTAGAAGTTGTGTTACACACAAATTCTGCATATTTCGTGTTTTCTTTCAAATGGAAAACACTATTTCACTTTGACCATGACATCACAAGGTGGAACAGAGCATTTTGAGCATTAGAGATTTAGACATAAATGCTTACTCAAACGTGTGAAAGAAACAAAACAACTCTAGCTATGTTTTTGATGATGGTAACATGGCTTAAAGCTCACAATAGTCAGTTTTGTGTGATTATGTGTTAGCTGTGAAACTCACTAATTTTATCTCAAACATTTGAACATTTTATTACATATAGGGATTTACTATCAGTTATCCAGATAAGAGACAAGAGAAACAGCTCCAGGATGAGAAAGTCCTGACACTACAGTACAAATCAGACCTATTCTGCATAATTGACTTGTTAAACGTTGTATTTGGAGTGATTAGTTCATGTTTGAGTAATCTTTAATTGCTTATTTTCAAGATTTTGCCATATACCTCCATTTTCACTGCGACCGCTTACACATCCTCTGTGGCGTACACATTTCCTTCTTCAGTTTTTTTTTTTCTTTATCTGTGATGTGTGCAGGATTCGGTAGCGTTGCATACCCATTTTGGTACTAATGATAAAAAATCTGCCACATGCTTGTGTGATGTGCATCTATCCATAGGAGGGACCCCCTGTGCTTTGCTGTGATGACGTAAGCAATATCAACTGTGTACCACAGTTATGTAACACAGAAATCAGTGTACTCTTTTATTAACTTGTTTTAGATGAATATTATGATTTAAAATGTGCAAATTTTAACAAAATTATCATAAATTATAGCTATGTACCTCACTCAAGCACCATATGTCTTCTTTAACTACTGAAGTAGTCTAAAGTAATTCTGTCTTTTAAGAAAGCTAATGATAACAGATAGTACTGGTTAGCTATAACGCAATGATTTTACTGTTGGTCAAAGCAAAATCCAAACTTTCTGAGATAAAAACTCATGAACACAGCATAAGGATACATTTGAGAACAATGTAAGAAGTCCACAACCGGAGCCCAAAATATAAAAACAGGAAAATACCACTGTGTAATCCACTTATTTCAACAAAGTAACTGTAATCCAATTACCTCTCACTGAAACAGTAACTGTAACCGAATACGGTTACTCATAATTTGTACTCTGATTACATAACTCTGGTATATGTAATCCGTTACTCCCCAACACTGACCATAGATGCCCCTCCTGTGCCTTGATCCTATGGTGTGGACCCAGTTTCTACCCTGCCTATACCTGACTGAATAACCCCATTCCAGACTGGATGACCCTTTGCTTATCCTTTGATTTCTAACTTTCTGTTGATTAAATCTTGTTAAGCCCTTGTGATTTTTATTTATTTTTTGGTACAAAATTTAATTCAACTGAACTGAATGACCATTCCTAAAATGTTTAATATAAGACCAAAACAGGAACTTTAAAGGTTTTATTGTAGTTTTACATTTTAGAGACAACACCAAGATCAATAACTCAGATTTAAATCAGCGTACCATCATGAGTGAATAGGAGATAGGAGGGGGCAGAGCTCTAAGCAGGTAGAGCATCTCAAGATAAACAAAAGAGAATATTATAGCCTCGCCCCAAACCACAGATAATCAAAATCTAGCCCTTGTGTTTGAATGATCTCAAACATTGTTGAAAAAAATTTACATTATTATTTTAATTCTCAGGTTGTAGTCATAATGAACTCTTAATAAGGCGGCCATTTTTAAAGTATATATATTTTTGAACTTTTGCAAACAGACTGATTCAGACAAACTTTTAATGTGATATCTTCAAAAAAAAGCCAATGATAACCATGCCCTCTCTATGTCTACATTTGCATAACAACCCCTTATAAAAACATATTTTCCAAACATCATCAAATTTAAACAGACCCAAACCCTTTATGACATGTGTGGAAACTTCTGGTTTTAAAACTGGCACTCCAGGGCCCCCTGCAATGTTAAAATGGGATGATGACTTTTATTTGCAATGTGACAGTGCTAATTTAGAATCAAGCTGGGGTTGACAGGTAGCCCTCCCACTGAAGAGCACCCTTTCGTGATTCAAAGTGTTGCAAGGGCCTGTTATCACTGCTGGCAGTTGTAGACTAGTAATAATTATAGCTGAAAAGTTTCAAAGTTATGCCCCTGTTTAAACTGCCTGTAGACTGGTACTGAGTGGTCTGCAAAGACCATTTGGACTTGGTTGTTTTTAGCCACATAGGTTTCTTTGTACATGTAAACATAGTGGTTGTGGTTTCACACAGATTTAACACTCGTAGTAGCGGTTCACTCTCAGAATGTCGTTCTTGCTCACTCCAGATGCATATCCAAAACGCATTCTTGGGTTTCTCTTTGATTGAAGTGTGGGTTTTTTATTTATAGAGAAGTCATAACTGAAAAAAACAACAACAGCAAGGAAAAGAAACATTATCTGAAGCAGTAGTAGAAGTAGTTGCAGTAGGAGCAGTGGCAGTAATAGTAGTAGTAGTAGCAACTGTTGTAGTTGCAGAGTAGTAGTAAAATGGTCACATTTTTATATAGTGCTTTTCCACCTTCAAGGCAAAAAGGGCTTTACATCAAGGAACCATTCACCCATTCACACACACATTCATACATCAGTGTACGCAGGCACTGGGGGCAACATGGGGTAAGGGTCTTGCCCAGTGACACAACAACATTTATCTGTGGGAGCTGGAATTGTACCTGATTGGATCTGGCAGCTCCTATTTTATGTTGAGAGCAGGATTCAAACTGCCAACCTTCAGATCAGTGGACAAACACTTAAACAACTAAGCTGCTATCACCGAGAAGTAGTAGTAGTTGTAGCAGGAGTAATAGCTGTAGCAACAGCAGCAGTAGTATAAGGTTTGAGGTACACTTTATTGTCCCCATAAGGAAATTTGTCCCCTGCAATTGATCATCTTTCAGTCCTTCAATCCCTCAATGTTCAGTTCAGCACCTGATGACCCGGCTCTCTGATTGTGTTGCTAGTTTTGACTACCTTAGCTGGAGGATTTGACCTGTGGTGCATCTTTTGGGTTGATGGGGGAATCCTGGGTGCTAAGTAGTGTTGGAAGTAGTAGTAGTAATAGTACTCACTTGTGGTACTGCATGACGGAGTCAAAGTCATAGGGTGTGTCCAGGTTGTCAGTCTGCTGCTTTATGAAGTTGTATTTCCTATCTGAGGAGAGACACTTTTATCAGAGGCGTAAACTAAGATTAGGCAATTGTGTTCAGATGATTGCTTAAGACTGATTCACTTTCTGTTTAAAAAACGTGGCCCCTCTCTACAACTACTGCTGTCAGCCTCCTCATTCTGTTTGTTTAAGCCCACTCTAACAGAATCCCTAAATAAAGATACAGTATGAACATTGACAACAAACTAATCCAATGCTTTTTTTTCGGCCCTGCTCCTGATTGGCCCTTTGGTTTTGCATTCAGATTTTCCAAATATGGTGCTTGGATACAAATTAACCGGTATAACTGCTAGAGTCGATGAGCTTCATTTGGCTGGAGCCAAGTGCTATGGGTAACGCCACACTCACTTAGTCCACTTCTATTTTACAGTCTATGGTGTTACACTAGACTTTGTTACAGTAAGCAGATAATATGGCTTAAATCTACTAAAAACTCCAGCAAAGGTACTGCTTCCTCTCACTATTTACCCTGTATTATGCTCCTGTCATAATAGTCATAATAGTAGCAGTATTACTTGGGTAGTAGTAGTAGTAATAACAAAGTCCTACTTGGTTCAATGTTCTCATGCCGGATGGTCACATGGTTGTCACGGTCAGAGCGGGAATGTTCGTGGGTGAATCCGAGCGCATGCAGAAGCTCATGTTGGACCGTGGCCGTGTAGAGGCAGCCATCTTTAGACAGTGACACTTTCTGACTGAGCATCCACCACTTCCTCCCAGTGTATGACCAGCACCTGAGAACACACACGTCTTTGTGTCTTTACCCAATTTGAGTCATTTTGAGTCCATTTTATGTCGATCATGATAATCATGAAGTACTAATCTGTACTTGTACAAGTACTAGCCTGGCCCTGTTTAGTGAAAGAGGATCAGGTGGTATGGACGCTTTGGTTGTTGAAGTTGGATGATTGACCTGTATTTACTGTAGTACTTGTGTGGTCTGTGTACTTACCCAGTTCCAGAGTGGATGTAGAGATGTCGTGTGAAGTAACTCCAGCTTCGTGAGATCTCCTCAAATTTGATACAGGTCTGAGACTCGATGGTCCTCATGGCTGAGCGGATCAGACTCTTCTCAGAGGAACCTGCAAAAGACCAGGTCTGAAGAGCTCAACCAGACCACTGGGTCTACTCCAGAATATGAACCAGGATCATAACTGGACTCACTGTAGCTGGGATCAAAGTAAATCTGGATAGTGACCTTTGACCCGTATTTGGGCCATTTACAATAAGAGCATGAGATGACGTTTCTGCGGGATCTGTCCACAGCGATGTCGTCCTCCATCACATGAGACTCTGCAAGTGCAAAAATGCTTTTACTATGAATACTACTACTAAACTACTACTGCTACTTCTGCTACTACAAATACTCCTCCTACAGGACTTACCGATTTTCTGGTTGGCTTTAGCGATGGTTTCACTGACACTTTCTTCAGCTGCAGCTTGGGAGTTGTTCTGAGCGGTGTCCTGCAGATCTGTGCCCTCCTGGTCTGTGCCCTCCTGCACACATCCACATCCCTGTGTATGGATGGGATTATACAGTCACACATATGGCCTCATACATAAGCTTGACACTTGGGCATGTGGATGGAACATAGGCTTTGCTGTATATATATATAAATGGACATAGCTTACCTGCCTGCTGCTGCGTTCCAAATAGGAAGTAACATGGGCTTAGAAATAGATAGAAATCATAGAAACTGCATAAACGCTTGTCAGATGCTACAACAGCAACGGATGAGGTCCCAAGATGTCTGCTTCTTCAGACAGATTCAAAGCTAAAGATTTAACTTTCTTTATTTGATCATTTTATAACTATAAACAATGAAGTCAGGAAAAAAAAAAGTGTTATTCAGACTAAGCTTGCAGCTGGACAAGCTTCAACTAAAACAGAAGTAACTATGCCTTGTCAGATACACTTTTTTTTTCTACAAACAGTTAAAATAAACTGAACTAAAAAGAGACAAGGCTCCAGTGAGGTTTTCTTGTTTGGCCCCAGTACAGGATTTTGACAGATTCAGTAGGGTCTTACCATGAGTGACATCATCAGTGACATCATCAGGGGGAAAGCAAGGAGCCTCATGGTGCTGCTGTTTTCATTCCCAAGATGAAATTGAGACAAATCCTGACAAATACTGTGTTTATATGCACATCCAGAGGGGTGGGGCTAATGGATACATTGTTATTTTAATAGCATGAAATGGATTAATAATAATTTAAGAAAGCAGAGGCGTGTTGGCAAATACACCATGTGCCCGGACTCGTCTAATCAAATGTGACTCTCTCTGATGGTGAATCACATTTTCTGTAACATAGACCATGTTTCACAATTACCAAATACTAACAAAATTCAATAAGAGAAGAAATAATATTTATACTAACGATACTTTGCAGCAGATGTTATCATCATTCTCTGGGGTTGTGATGCTAACTGAACGCAAACATGAACGCTCATACTGATTAGAGGGGTCTCCAACCTGTAGCTTGGGAGCTACCAGTAGCTATCCACTCCCTTTCAATAGCTCGCTAAGGGATTTCTGAATTACACGTATTGTGCTGAATAACTAAAACTGGATTGATTAAAAGGCTATTATGATTGTAAATGTGTAATTTTGATGACTAACGTTGTACATGTTGTAAGCGTATAAACATCCAACTGTGCCACATCTTCTGAATACAATTTTACAGACCAAACACTTTACACACTGTGGATAACTAAAATAATCTATTGGATAAAAAGTCAGTTCTTTAGTACGGGGTGGAGGGCAGTCCCTGTAAATTTATCATTTTAGCATGATCTGATTGGTTGAATTTAGAAAGTGTCACTTGTGGCTTAAATGCAGACAACTGAAAATTATGTGAGAAAGTGGCAGGGGCCAGGTCACATCCATGGAGAGGAGGTCACATTATACTTCATCACGTCATAGGCTAAATGCAGTGGTGAATGAAGTGGACCTATCTACACAGTTGGCTACAGATGTACTGACAGGGGCAAGAAATATTAGGCTACAGATGGAGTAAGTAGGTTTAGTTCTAATCTAGAGATTTTATTCTACAAAAAACAACCAATTCTTCAACAATGAAACTCAAAATACTTTTTATTTCAAGAATTTTAAAATTTTATTTTCAAGAAAACCTCTTCACATCCTTGCTTTATTTATCAGAATGATCTGGAAAACCACACAATTTTTCATTAACTGAAAAGATATAAAACACAATAGTTTGACTATAGTTACCAAACTTACCATTGAGGTCATATAATTGGAGCATCACTTCTGGACCCTCTAAAGCGGTCTACTTTCGTAACTCAGATTTTGAGTAGGCCTTACCTACTTGGAAAATTTTAACTGTTAATATATTTAAAATTCTTATTTTATTTTGACAGGGCATTTAAGATTCATAATAACTCTTCTTTTTTCCGATCTTCTTTGCCTGGTTTGTCTAGCTCATTGGGGCTGGTCTGAGTTTGGTGGGATCTCAAGACTAAAATCTACAGAAAATACCATTTGATTTGGTCATCACTGTTGTGGGGCAGCTGGTTTGAATCAGTTTAGAATGTGTCACCTAATTGTTACCAGAATGTCAGAATGTCGTGAAGGTCGTTCGACTGTCTCATCCATAGAGAGGTCACATGCACTACAATAGCATAGATCAGGAGTCTCCAACCTGTAGCTCGGGAGCTACCAGAGGCCTAACCCAGTCTCCTCTCCCTTTCAAGTAGCTCACCAAGGGATTTCTGAATTACACATATTGTGCAAAATAACTAAAATTGGATTGATTAAAAGGCTATTACGATTGTAAATGTGTTATTCGGATGACTAATGTGCACGTTGTAAGCGTATAAATATCTAACTGTGCCCCATCTAAGGCTGTGGATCTTAAATGTATTCAGTTTCTTGTGACCACTAAAATGAGGAGCTCTTTGGCATTTTCATTTTGTAAATGTAGCTCACCAGATGAAAAAGGTTGGTGACCCCTAGATTACAGGCTCCTGAAAATGTGTTGTTTAAATCCATTTTGTATTTTTTCATGAGTTTTCAGACCATCTAAAAAAGTATAAGGCTGTGTTTGCTTATGAGTGCCTTGTGTTACCATGGTAACTGCTTAACATTCCACCATAGTAATACATGCAGCACACTCCCAGCATGATTTCACAAGTATCAACAGTGCACAACCGAAATGTTCAACACCACACTCACAATACACAGAACTTTGCCTTTTGTCTCTTGCCTTACCCTAACCCTTTACATGCCTGTTTATGTACAGATACAGCAAATTTGAATTAGCACCTACACATTTTTACTCTGAATGTTATCAGAGTAACTGGCCTACCAGAGTGGTTAATTATCTGTATAACTGATGTATCTGACTTGGTATTTGGTGTTTTGAAAATACTGCATTTGCCAAAAACAATGTATATAGATCAGCCACAACTTTTATGATTATTAATATACGTAAGTTTAAATTGTTAAAATGTATTTGTTTTATGTCACTTTGGTTGTACCAATACTTCCTGAAGACCTCAGTCTGGAACACATATTAATGATCTGAACATCAAATTCACTTGTGAAGATGCCACGGAGAGCACATTGTCTTTCTTAGATTATGCAGTAATGATAGGAGAAGCGACTCCAGGTTGAGGTCTTCAAGAAGCCACAAAGCCCAAGTGGTTCCTACAAGCAGAGAGGGAAAGGAAAAAGAAGAACAACATGTGCAGAAAGCCCTCTCTGCCTGTGACTATCTGAAATGAGCTTTCAACAAAACAAAGAGAGCTAAAAAACACGACAGCAGAGAATCAGAACCCAGGAGAAAGGGTGTAACTATTCCTTACATGGCTGGTGTTTCTGAAAAACTTCAGAGGAATTACAGACAACATGAATTCCCAGTCTATTTCAAACCTACAAACACTCTAAGACAGAAATTGGTCCACCCAAAGGACAAAACTCCGAGCCACAAACAAAGTAATGTGGTCTACTCCATTCAGTGTAGTGAAGACTGCAGTGAGCGCTACATTGGAGAAACAAAACAGCGTCTTCACAAGAAGATGTACCAACACAGACGAAAGAGAGCCATAATGGTCCTCAGTCTGCTGTACATCTCCTAAAAGCCTCAGGCCACTCAACTGAGGATAGTGAGGTACAGATTTTAGCCAGAGAAAAGAATTGGTTTAAGAAGGGCATTAAAGAGACTATTTTTGTTAGGAAATATAATCCTTCCTTAAACAGAAATGGAGGACTCAGACACCATCTGTCTCCTATTTACAACTCCATCCTCAAATCTAAATCAAAACAAACAAAGAAAACAATAGAGATAGCCAGGTGAGGCCCATCAGAGTGAAAGCTCCATTATGGCCCTGAATGATTATGCTAATAACAGTCAGTGCAAGTTCAACAGGCCTAGCTAACAAACAGAAACTGTACACAAGTAGGGTCTTAGTTTCAGAGTAGTTTCTGTGTAGTTAGCTCCTCCCTTCAGTCAGATATAAGGCAGCGTCTATCAGAATTTTTGAACAGAATTGAAGAAGCAGCTTGGATGAGCTATGAAACATATTCAATTAAATAAAATTTTGTCTTGTTGACAAATGGAATTTCTTCTTTTGCCATGGATTCTACCTGGACGACTGAGAGCTTGTACACACATCTTGAGATTAAGCATTTAACTCAAAAATATCTGCATTTCTTTTACTATTTTATTTTGTATTATTTAGCTAACTATATTTGCTACTACATTAAAAGTAAACTAATCACAGATATAAAGGAAATTAGATTTGGTAGATTAATTAGTAAATATTCAAAATGCAATTGGACAATAGTTATTTTAAAATAGTTAGTGCGATTTTGGTTGGTTTATCAAGTTTTTTTTCTATTCCAGTTGAACTGTCATTTGTTAAAACTGCGTATGTTGTGTGATGAAACGTTGACATTACAGTGAAATGTATCAGAAAAAGTTTGTTTTGACATGAAAAATATCATTTTTATATAATTAAAATCATTCAAAAGTTCTTAATTTTAATCTACTGTTTATTTATAGATCTGTTTGTGTTCTTCATCATTTTCAGTAATATAGTTTATTTTAAATTTAAATAAATTTTAACAATGTCTGTTTCATCAAATGACATAATTAAGTTGTCCCTGGCTTTAAATGCAGAAAAACGTTTTTTCAAGGACATACACTGAAGAATAAAATCTACACTCAAATATACCACGAAATCTACAGTTTTCATGCCATTACATTTTCATTTTTTGAGAATTTGAAAATTGCAAAACATCACTGAACCATGTTTTATAAGCTTAGCCTTTGTTTTTGATGCTCTAAAAGGCTCATTTATACTGTTCTAGACACATATGGACATGCATGAAGGCTGTCCTCTGGGTTGTCCATAATCCGGTCCGTCTCCTCAGAACATGTGGAATTTTAGCAACAGAGCAGTACAAGAGCAAACCACTGGGGACAGAAGTGAACATAGCTCGATAGCTGTTTTTTAAAAAGTGACGAGAACTAGCTAAGAAACAAATGCTTCACTCACCTATGTTTTCTTGTGTACAATTTTACATCATGTTTTTGTATATTTATGGAGAATAATCGTTTGGGAAATTGGGTGACGTAGGCTTGTGGGCGGAGCATTGCACAGTGTCATACAGTTAACCATAAGGAAGGTTCAAATACGATCTAGGAGAGATTGCATCATTACTGAAACATGCATGGATCAATGACATCTAAAACCTCTTCAGGCTTGGTTTTGAGGGAACATTATAACATGGTAGACAGCTCCAACGAATCAATTCTGCATAATTCCCCCTCTTTAAGTTAGTTCTACTTATCACCATTGTTGCCAACGTTTATTTTAATTATATTATTTTCAGCTCACAACCACCCAGTTTACCGTATCAGTCGGATGTGTCTCATTGTGTAAATACAGAGGGCTTGTGGTGTAGAGGGCACTCCCGTCTTCAATGTCCAACATGACAACAGATAAAGCGTGATTCATTGGAAAATCCTCTGTTTCTTTCGCTTGGCTCTGCTCCCATATTTGCTCTGCCTACATGTTGGCTAATTAGTTCGTGGTTGTCTGTGAAATTGCATTCTCTCTTGCTTCATGACTTTCTGTTTAGCTGTTCAAATGCATGTGTGGCGTGTCTTTTCAGTTCACTTAGATGAGCAGGATTTCAGCCAGTGCAAGTTTTTTTCACAGCTGAAAGAAATGTCTGTTTTTAGTCCATTGATAAAGTAGTTGCACAAGTATCTTTTCCAAACATCACAGGTCACACCTAAGTGATCAGGTCTGGTCTGGTTCACTGGGGGTGTGATGCTCACTGAAGGCACTCCTCTAGGCACTACTCAGAGTTTAATTTTAACACAAAAAGTTGGTTATTGGAAATACAACAAGTGAGCCGATTTATGTTGTTAAAGATTCTCACACAATTACAGTTACAAGCTAGCTAGCATGAGCCAACACACTCTCTCTCAGCTTTTTTATTGGAAATCAAAAACCTAAACAGGACAATGGATGCTCGAATGTACTGATCATAGGTTCCTGAAAAGTGTTTTCAGATAATCATAAAATTTTGACAGTGTTTGTTATTGTGTGCATTGTATCTCCACTGTAAGTGCTGAACACATTGCTGAGAAATATGTAGAACTCCCCCCAGCATGATGTTACTGCAAAGTATCAATAAACATGTGAGAAACTCTTGAGGGTCCTCAGTGTCTGTTTGCAGAATTGGAGCTGTCAGTAGGAATGGAGATTGTGAAAGCTTTTGTGAAGGCTGTGCAGATGTTTACAGCTTTTCTATACAAAGTTCAGTGTTCTGAAGTTGATCTATTTCGTGCTATTTCGTGCCATTTTGTCAGTTTCATTTTGATGATGAACACTCTGAGTAACATTTATTTTATGTTTTAATAATTTTGATGGAACACAAAGTCGTAATTGAATAATGTCCACATATGTGGATGCCAGGTCCTAGAAGACTACATGTTTGAGACCAAAAAACTAACTTGTTCAAAGGTTTTATTGTAGAGACAGCACAATAACTCTGATCGAAATCAGTAAATCTCAGGATCTATCATGACCCTCCAAAGACAATCATCTGACACCATCGCCATGACTACACCTGCTCCACTGCACCAGTGAAGACACCATCACACTCCACTGCTTCTGTGCATTTCACAGCTTCAGCACGCATAGTAGAGGTTCACTCTCAAAATATCGTAGTAGCTCACTCCAGTTGCGTATCCAAAACGCATTGCTGGGTTTCTCTTGGACAGAAGCGTGGGCTTTCCATTTTTAGATAATTCATAACTGAAAAATATCATAACAAAAGTGGTGAGAGCAGCAGAGTGTATCAGAAGTAGCAGTATAGTATAACAGTAGCAGTGGCAGCAGCAATAGTAATATAAGTACAAGTGGTAGTAGTAGTAGTAGTAGTAGTAGTAGTAGTAGTAGTACTAGTAGCACTAGTAGCACTAGTAGCAGTAATGCTCACTTGTGGTAATGCATGACAGAGTTGAAGTCGTAGGGTGTGTACATGTTGTTGGTCTCGTACTTGTTGAAGTTGTGTTTTTCACCTGAGGAGAGACACTTCACATCAGAGCCATAAACTAAACTACTGTAGATAATAATGTGAAAAGGTGAGATGTTCAGACGAATACTTGAAGCTGATTGGGTGGGTTAAGTGTCTTGCCCAAGGACACAGGTATTCATCTGCACAGATATCTTTACCTCTTGGGTTTGTGTTAGCATAAACACATAAAGCAGCCTAAAACTCCACCCAAGAGTACTGCCTCCTCTTATTTAGCCTACATTATGGTCCTGCCATAAAAATAATAATAGCAGCAGTATTTCTTGGGTTGATGTAGTAATAGTATTTAGGTCTTACTTGGGATGATGTTGTCATACAGGACAATCAAGTGATTGTCCCGATCGATGCGTGAGTGTTCATGAGCGAATCCAAGTGCGTGCAGAATCTCATGTTGGATGATCGCACGTGTGAGGCAGCCATATTTAGACAGAGACACTCTCTGTGCAAACTTCGAAGTCTGCCTCCCGATGGCCGAAAAGCACCTGAGACACAGACAGTACTGCAGTGATTACAGACAGTACTGCAGTGACTACAGACAGTACTGCAGTGACTACAGACAGTACTGCAGTGACTACAGACAGTACTGCAGTGACTACAGAAATATGAACCATCAGTCAAGGCAAGTTTTGCTCTTCAAACCCATTTTAAATATGGACTCTTAGGAAATCAATCTTAAGTCCTCAAAAGAGATCTGACCAGATCAAATGGTATGCCCACTTTGATTGCTGAAGTTGGACGATTGACAGGTGCAGTATTTGTGTAGTACTTACTGTAGTACTTGTGTGTACTCTTTGTGCTTACCCGTCTCCAGAGAAGATGTACAAGTGCTGTGTGGAGGCTTCTGAGATCTCAGAGAACCTGATACAGGTGCGGTCCTCAATGGTTTTCATTGCTGAGAGGATCAGACTTTTCTGAGAGGAACCTGCAAAAGACCAGGTCTGAGGAGCTTAACCAGTCTGGAGCAGGTTTACACCAGGATCTAAATCAGGATTTAAACCAGGATTTGAACCAGGATCCGAACTGGACTCACTGTATGTGGGATCAAAGCGGACGTAGATATTGACTTTTGACCCAGATTTGGGCCATTTACAAATACTGCATGAAACAGTGTTTCTAACTTTGTCCACAACAATGTCGCCCTGCATCAGACGAGACTCTGCAAGTACACAAATACTTCTACTATTAACACTATCACCATTATTACTACTACTAGTACTACAAATACATCTCTAGGACTTACTGATTTTCTGGTTGGCTTTGGCGATGGTTTCACTGATACTTTCTCCGTCTGAAGCTTGGGGGGAGTTGGTCTGAGCGCTGTCCAGCAGGTTTGTGCCATCCTGTGCCAATGTGCCCACCTGCAGAGATGGTAAGACTGCAGTAATAGTACAGGACTACGACAGATTCAGTCAAAATCTCTTACCATCAGTGACATCATCAGGGCTAGTGCAATGAGGTGAAAATCCATGCGTTGCCGTTTTTTGTTCCAGAGTCGAATCTGAGACAAACCCAGATACACATAATGTTGCATTTGTAAAGAGGCAGGTTCGTCAGATTTACAGTGGTTTTATTGCCAGTAGACAGCGGTAGGCAACTGCATTCATGTTCACATTGTCAGATCCTCTAATCACATTTCTTACTGGGGTGAGACTTTATATTAGAGATGCTCAAAACAAATGAACCCCACATCTGGTGGCACCAGTATATCACAGCACTGGTTTTTATCATTATGTACCACCATTTGAAGTCTCCAAGCCATTTCTAATAATAGTAAAATAAAAATATTGTCCCTTTTCCCAGTGATTTTAACAAAATAAAGGCATTTTCTTATATTTGTCCAGTAATAATCTCTGTGTACATTAGAGGAGTTTTGGCCAAGCATGCAACATGGATGTTAGATAACTTAAGGAATTCCCTAGCGGCCAACCTGAAAATACAATTTTAAACTTAGAAAAGAAAAAATGTTCAAATCTGGAAAAAACAACTGTGTATGTGTATATATGTATGTTTATATATGTCTATGTAAAATATTTTTTATGTAATCTTAAATATGATGTTTTTTTAGTAAAATGATCCAACCTGTAGGCAGAAAGATTTGCTTTCAATCAGATCTGCTACTTGGATATATTTGGATAAAAACAGGTCAAAAGACAATTCTCTCTTCAAATTGCTGCCTACAAAGTTTAACTCTCCGTGCATCACCTCTTTGTTCATAAGAGGAGATGAGGGTTATCTGTGTCTCTGTCCTTTCCTAATCAGAGGTTTCAGCTGAACCACTGTAACTTGTATGTAAAGAATACTTGTGGCCATTAGAAAGGAGCTGCACTGTGTGCAGTCTGAGCCCATGATTAGTTTGTCAACTGTTTGGTTTGACACTTTGTGGATCTTTGAGTCTGTGTGTCAAACGTGCAGAGGGGACAATGTCTGTGTTTTTCTCTCCACTGGATTTAAGTTTGAGGTTGGACTTTTTAACTTGTTCCTGAACGTTGAACGTCCCGACTGATTTCAGCAGGAACCATCCTAGATTGATAATGTGTAGAACTCAAATCTGGCTTGAGCCTGGTTATAGAAACTCATCGTAGTGAATAATCAAGATGCTCTGTATGCACTTCAGAACTGAGACCATTGTTAACTTTATCATAATGATCTCAGTGAGTCAGGCCTATGTCAGGTATATGTACTCCCTCCCAGCAGGTGTAGTTCTATCCACAGTAGCACTGGAGATGGTTGTTCACTGAGAAGTCAAGCCTGCAAGTCCAAACTTTTGTGTGTAACTAGAGCTGTGTGTGTAGGACATTGTTCACTCATCTGTTCATGAAACAGGATCATTTTAGAATAGGAATTACACTATGTACGAATTCAGTTAGCACATATCTTATTACAGACAAATCAAAAATCAATCAAAAATGTATCCAGGACTGAAGAAAAATCAAACAATTTGAATATATTGTGGCCAAAACTCCTTCTCAATGCCTGATCTTGTCAGAGCTCAGAAGCTAAGCAAGACTGGGCCTGGTTAGTACTTGGATGGGAGACCTCCGGGAAAATTAGGTGCCACAATGGGGTACCAGCAGTAAAAAAAAAAAAAAAAAACTCTTGTTGTGTCCTTAGGCAAGACACTCCATCCACATTGCCTATAATAGTGGTGTGAGCGTGAGTGTTGGTGGTTATTTGAAATGCAAGTACGTGTGACTGGCCCTGGTCTGTATGTGAATAATAATTAAAACACTGTGAAAATGAGACACTAAGAAACTAATGTACACAAACGCACAGGAGTCAAAAGTGGAGGTGCATACAGCACAGATAATTATATTTGGCAGCCTGCTTTGTCACTCTGCCCCTGGGCAGCTATGGCTGGACTAGTGAATCATGGCTTCAGTAAAGAGCTTTGAGAGTTTGGGGTCTTGTGAAGCACATCCATAGACTGTATACAGAATTAGTATACCTGGTTTAGTCTTACTTTATACAGTCTTTGATTGAGCCCGTGTAAAGTAGTATTATACACTATGAGCACAGTGTGAAGCAGGCCTGCTCAATTTAAGGTCAGGAGGCCAAATCAGGCTGTGACGAAGCCAGTCCGTCTATGTTTCTAGGCGGGGTTTGTCCCCTAAATGTAACCGCGTCCTGCGCACCTGGCTGTGCCCACGCACAAAGCGGATTCTTCCCGCACACACTAGTTCACTCCCCGCTGTTTCATCCATCCAGGCCATATGTGCCATTAACGCCTTTAACCCTTTTCTCCTCTGCTACTAATTCACTAAAGGTGCACACTTCAGTGCGCTAGAATACTTACTCCATACGTGCAGCTCTTACCTGTTTGCTGACGCCGTCTGTCTCCTCCGATGCAGCGCGACTCAGCCAAACCAAGCCACTGTTTCCTGGTAGTTGAAATAGGCGCTGTTCGAGCCGTGGTGCTGATCATGTGATGCACGTTATGTAACCCAATTTTTACGCACTATTATTATATTATTATATATTAAGCTCTTATTTTGGTGATATCATGTACATTATTGCAGTTTGGCAAATGAAGACCATGTAGGTTTGTTATGAACTGTTTTATTTCTATAATTATTTGTATATGTTGCTCAATGGGAGGAGCAAGAGGTGTAGAAAGGGGAGCCGTTTCTGCTCAGTCTGCCACCGGTTACAGAGCAGGTAACGTCAGTGTGCTCTATTGAGTTGGACTTATAGGGGACTTGCGTTGAAGTTTAACTTGACTGTTTTTCTTTTGCTGTAAATATTTATTGGACGTTTTGTAAACTTTAAATATTTTTGCACTGTTTTGGAATTTTTTGGACACTGACAAAATTTTGCCTACCTTGATGTTGACTTCGTGGCATAGGTAGTATTAGGCCTCGGAGCATTGGTGGAAAGAGGTATCTGAGGAGGTGGTATTACCTTAAACAATATTTCCCTATTTCTATAGAGGAAAAATAAATAAAAATTAAAGCCGCAAGCAGCATCGAATGGCCCTCGCCTGTTGCACACACCACACCTCGCAAACGTCACACCAAACGCTATGCTCTACAAATGCCGCACCCCACACTAACTTTAATAATCTTAAACAGTGTTGGGAGTAACGCGTTATAAAAGTAACGAATTACAGTAATGCATTACTTTTTGCTGTAACGCAGTAATGTAAGGCATTACAGGGGAAAAAATAGTAATATTTTACTCGGTACAAATGTGAGTAACGCGCGTTACAATGTTTTTTTTAACCTGGATTGAAGTGGTGGGTTTTTCTTCATACAAATTCGCTAAAATCACCTCGATATCAGCAGCGGTGAAACGCCGGAGATGCGCCCTTGTAGACCTTCGGGTAACCGCGGGCGAAAGGACTGACAAAGAACTCCACGCTGTTTAGACCTGGGTCAGTTCTGGTTTAGACCTGGTTGACACTCGTCCCTCCCTCTATCGCAGTTCACTTTTCGCGGTCTCGCTGTTTCGCAGATTTTTTATTTTTTATTTTTTTGTGTGTGCAATTTTGCATGCCCTTTTTTTTTTTACATTGTATGAATGCGTATTGCGTTCCTCCCGCTGCGTCCTGACTGGCCAAGGGACTCCTGTCTCCTGTACAGTACAGAATGTGTTCAGCTGCCAAATTTAAATACATGTTCAGTCTCGAGCAGTGTGATTCTGAAGTGCTGTACGGTTGCAAGTTTTCTCCCCGACGAAACCCACAACGTCGACGAAACATTCTGCACCGACAAAGGCTCCTGCGCTCACACCCAAAAGGCAGAGGAAGATGCAACCATCACACAAAAAGTTGGACTTCTGGACACGCTGAAGGAAGGTAGCTGTAACAGACTCTTGCACCGGCTCGGGTACCTGCAAATAGTTGCTGAAATCAGGGCCGCGAGCCCGAGCAGCAGGGTGACAGCCGCTCTTACCTCCGTGAGGTGCGGAGCAGAGCCGCTCCTTTCTCCTGCGGTCACCTTCGAGCCCGTCCCTACAGTGAGTCCTGTTTTAGTCCTAGTTCAGTTCTGGTTTAGTCCTAGTTCAGTTCTGGTTTAGTTCTAGTTCACTTCTGGTGTAGTCCTGGTTCAGCTCTGGTTTAGTCCTGGTTTAGACCTGGTTTAGTCCTGGTTCAGTCCATATACAGCGCAAAAGTTATTTTGGTGAGAGTAACTTAAAGTAATGCAATAGTAATGTAATGCCTTACATTTTAAATGCAGTAATATTGTAATGTAACAAATTACTTTGAAATGACAGTAATAGGTAATAAATAACACATTACAGTTTCAAAGTAACTTGCCCAACAGTGATCTTAAACCCCGATCTCAAATCTAATCCCTAGCCTCAACCCAAACACAAGGCCTAACCCTAAACATAACCCTAGCCCTTACCCTAACCCTAACCCCTCACATAATCCTGACATTTTTCAAAATTTTTGCATCTGTTGATTAAAAAAAAAAAAAGTATGTTTTAAAATGTCTTTCCACCCCCTGCTGGCCAAACGTGAAAAATGCCCCATGTATGTAATATATGTTTTTGCTTGTAGTCGTTTGTAGAATGTAATTCCCAAATTTGGTGCAGATCCAATAATGTTGAATCAGTACAGTAACTCATCATTTTGATTTTAACAACTTAACAATGCCAGATTTGTTGTGACAGTAATTACTCAATCCCATATGGATGCAGCATGTCCTCACTGATCACATGGTGTGACAGCAATAAAACAAAAGCATTTCATCAGAAAACTTTCCAAACCCCATCTACATAAAATTATTTTTGATATAATGTCCAATATCATCCTCATGGTACACTGCCTGACCATTACAATGTGCACAGCAAACCCAGTGGTGCTGGCCCATCATTGGCTGCTGAGGCATCATTGGATGATGACTCCCATTTGCCAGCTTGTTGAAGGTGGGCAGGCAGTGCCCAGGCTGAGAACTTGGTGCTTGCCTGTAGTGTTCATTGGGCATAGCCCTCTTGTTTCAGTGGATCCTGCGTTTGTTCACACCCTTGCTGGTTGAAGGTACTTGGTTGTCCCTCCTCCTGTTGTTTTAGAGGCAGCTCTGTGGGTGAACCATACTGAGATTCAGAGCTGCCCAGATGCTTTTAGCGGTTGGACACAAACTTTGGACTATACTCATGGGTCTCCTTCTGGTCAACCACCAGTGAGGGGGTGTTGTGCTCTACAGCATGTTAAGAACCAGGGTCAGGCTTTCTCTTGGGAGCAGGAGTAGACAATGAAGTAGGCCAGCAGTGCCCAGCCTGAGGACTTGATTGTTTCTGCTCTATTAGAGGCATCTGAGTGGGTGAACTATTCTGAGGTTCAGAGCTGCTCAGATGCCTTTTGCAGGTGGACCCAGAAGTGTAACCACTGCTGTGGGGATGTGGCACTGTTCAGTGGTGAAAGAAAACTGGACAAAGTCTTCATGTCTTTGGTTGTTCGTGTTGTCCAAAACTACTTCTAACACAACATTTCATATTAGTAGGTTTAAACGCTGGACAGTTACTTATGTAATGTTAGCTTTACATGCATTTGTGGTAGAGGCAGTAAAATGTGTGTACTAACAAAGACAGTAGACTACCGTACACTCAATTCATATTTCTCAATATTAAATGTCATATTTCTTTAGCGAAGCCAGTAAAAGTAGATTGTATCTCAGTCATATCTCACAGGGTGAAAGTGGACAACTACATGTGCTGCACAAATCTCTGTTGGATAAAGTGCCCACCAGTTACTCTCAGGGTTCACAAATGTTAAATCTGTTCATTTCTAGTACTGACTAAACTCAAGAGCTCACTGTATTACAATAAAAATCTGGGTTCTAACAATATTAATATTAATATATTAAAACATCTGAAAGCCAACAATCAGAGAAATCCAAATAAGTACATTTAACCTACTCATTCATAGGATACAATAGTTAATGAATAAATATTGCAACTGTACCAGGACATTATGTTATGTAAAAAGGCTCTCTAATTCTTTTTGACCAATAAAATGGTATAAAGTAGCTGTAATGATTTTATTTTTTCCTCATCTTTTTATTTACTGGGCTTGAGCACCACAAGCAAATGAAAGAATATGACTTCCTTCACTTCACCCACTTTTTATGCAAATTTTCATTCTATATGGTCAAAATGTGATTCTTTTTTCCCATATTGCTTAGCCCTCCCTCCATCTACTTTTATAGGCTTGTTACAGGGTTTCTTCAGCTGTTTTTTTGTCAAATTTCATACATTTTACACCTATGTATCTTATTGTCTATAGCCCTCTACATAACCGCATCTTGTATCTGGTGAGTTCACTTTGTGGTAAGGGCAAAGAGGTGCTCAATTAAAGACCAAGAAGGAACATTTGTCAAAGTAGGGGTGGGTCATATACCAAAATTTTCTTTTCACCATATCATGATTTTAGATTTTATCCACAGACTGTATATTTAAATGGCCATAGCTAACCCGCTAGTCACAACATTCCAAATTGGAAGTGAGGATGGGGCGCTTCCAGCTCCATTAACTCTCTCCAGTTGACTTTACGTGGAAAAATTGTCATCCTCTCTGTAACTGTTGTAGTGGGCCTCCTTATTTTGGTCTTAAAATGTTCACATTAACCTGCTTTACATCATCCTGGTCTTTTTATTTCGCTATTTTGTCTCCAAATTAAATTCCTATTCCTAATATGGAACTCTCCCCTATAACTGCCAGCCCTGTGAGCTTCATTTGCCTGAAACCAAACACTATGGGTGACGTCACACTCTGTTAGTCCACTTCTTTATACTTGCACTGACTACAATTTGGTCACAATTCATGTTTTCTCTGTATATTTGATTCAATATTTAAGAAGTAACTAAAACTATCTTCTTTTTCTGAATGTTCATACTTCAATCACTCAGAGCATGATGGAGGCTGAACAATAGAAGTTGACTGTAAAAAGTCTGGTTTTAACCATTCCATTAAACAGTCGCACTAAACAAAAACACAGACTCACAATATGGCAATTTTACCAAAACTGCAGATCACAGGGATGAGATCATGGTTTGCCCCTGTGGGAAAATGCTGACTTAAATTCTCATGCCAAACTCAGAATCCAAGTCCCAGTTTGATTTGAGCAGCAATTTGCATGAAACATTGATGAATTTATTTTTTATACAGATGGAGAGGCATTCAATTACAGGGGGCTAGAAACAGACACGGAAATATTGGACATGTGTTTAGACATGTACCTGTGTTTATCTTGTTTATTGGTTTGGTCATGGTTTAGCCCTTGTTTAATCCTGAGATAGTCTTGTTCTAGACCCAGTGGTATTACTAATCCTAGTTTAATGCTGGTTCAGTACTACATTACATCAATGTTGGTAAAAACCTTTTGCGTTGTATTTTTTACATACATTAACAGTTCATTATCTGATTGCTGAAACAGAGCTACTAGTGTTGGGAATATTGTGTACAAACCCAAATTGTGTTAAAAGCGGTGGCCTATTGTCTATTGTAAGTAATTTATCTTGATCTTTATTTTGATGCATGTTCTTATTCTGTTGTGATGTTCTTTAACTTGTAACACTGGAATTTCCACATTGTGGGATAAACAAAGGGTAATCTCCTCTTAGTAGGGCCTTGTAAAGCTAGTGTTGCCATCTGGTGGACTACTGGGTTCATCACCTTTAAAAGAAAACTGAAGTAAAAATACGATATATGTTTTGTTTAATTCTGTATATTCATTATTACACTATATCATGCAGTCTGTCAATATCACTTTATTCGGGCAGAAAATAGGACAATAACAGGAAAGCTAAAACAAAAGTCTGAGTGCAGCTAGATAGGGTCATCATGTCCAGTTTCAGGGAATGTGAGAGTAACAGCCCTCAGGACAAAAGTGTCCCTCCTCTGTGCCCTTTGTGTCCTGCAGAATCACAGGAGCCTGTAGGGAGTAGTAAACTCTGGACACAGAACAGGAAAGCCTCTCCTAAGCCCCTCATTCTACTCTGTTGAGTTGAGTCTTTTCTATAGAATGTCTTATTTGGTCACACCATATTTAGTGTAAACAGTCTGTAGCATTTCAGAGCTAGCTGGTTAGCATAGCTATTTCCATGCAGGGTCGCCATGGATACAGGAAAAACTGTCTGCTCCAGTCACAAAATCCGATAGTCCTTAACTTTTTTCATTTGCACTACACAAGCTGCACTGCTTAGTTGGTCCCAAAATGTTAAGTTAAAATTTTAAGATAAGAATTTTCAGTTTTTAAGTTTAAAAACTGCTCAGTGCCCCAGCCAGTCTGGCAACAATAGAATGAATATAATTATAATAGTACATTTTTGGTGTTAAAGGTTGTATGGAGGATTTTTTTTTTTAGTTTCAAAATGTCAGTGAAAGATTAAAATACCATTACAGAGATGCAGCAGCTTTGTAATTATGATGATCAAAAAAAAAAAAAAGAACGAAAATCTATCAACTGTGGACGTGTTGAGGCCAGATAAACATCAGCCAATAGAAAACGAGGCTCCCTCATTTTCTATTGGCTGTTGGGTTGTCAATCAAACTCCCTAGTGTAACTGATTCGTCGGTTCTTAGAGGCTTTTTCAAACTGTAGCTTCCTCGCAGTTCGTACAAAGTTTGTCGCGACGGCGGACGAGAATCCACGACTGGTTCGCCACAAAAGAAAGTCAGTTTTTGAGGTCGCTGAAAGAAGAAGAGAAGAGGAAAAGGAGCAAAGCCAAACTGAGGTGATTCTTGGAGATCTCGTCCAGCGATGGCGCGACCGAAGCAGACGAAGGGTCTAAAAACTGACGCGTCGGTCGCTGAATTACTTCTAGCTAGGAAACTTCAACAGTAATTCTGAACGTGCACAAGGACTGTCGCTGTTTTTCTCTTCCCTTAAAAAAATCCTCTATACAACCTTTAAGCATGTCTGATTGTTCATAAACATGTCAAAACATTTTTTTTCTTAACCTATACCAACTATTCACTGAAGGCTAAAGTCTACTGCTACTACTGCATCACAGTAGTGTCCCTGGTTCAACTCCCGGGTCTTTGTGTTTTTGTGAGTTTGCATGTTCACCCTGTGTCCTGGTGAGTTTCTTCCGAGCGCTCTGGTTTCCTCCATCAACCCAAAACATGCACAATAGGTCAAATCGTGCAGATAATATCCTGACCAAGACTAGCTCAAGATCTGGTGATGCTCCTAACAGGTTTAACCCAGAGACACCCCAAAATCTGATCACCTAATTTCTGGAACTTGAAGACTTTAATGACATACCTACTTACCATCTTCCTGTGCCTCTGCTGGCAAACTTCTCCAAAGGACCCTGTGACCCTCCAGGCCTGTGCATCTGATCTCACTGTTTTTAGAAGACAGAAAGAAATCATGATTTTGTTCTTTACATGTCATTTTAATAATCTTTTAACTCTGAAATCTGATAATAATCAGATTTGGCAAGTAAACACAAGACACTGAAGGATGGGTCAAATGCAGAGAATTTATTTCACGCACCAGGAATGAATAAAGCACGCCTTACAGTGGAACCAAACACAAAATAATTTTTTTTTTCTGTGTAAAGTGTTTTAACAGCAGCATCTACTGTTCCAGGAAATTTTTGGCAATTTTCATACAAACTTGGTAAATTTATTAAATATAATTGTAGCTTTTCTGGTCCAAAATCTAAGTACATGCTCACTTCCTTCTTGGAAGGTTGCGGCTGGCGGTTTCCCTATGTCCGTTTCTCCATCTGTACACAGTCTATACAGTCTATACAGTCTATACTATTGTTTCCCAAAGACTGGGACCCTCAGGTGGGTCACAAGAGATTTTTTTGGAATCACCTTGTCACAATCTGCATGTAGGCCTGCAATATACATCAATATACATATACATACATTTCCGTGCACCCCCTGCTCCTCCCTTCTCTGCACAGAATCTCCACACACCCCTCCCCACTCCTCACTTTTCGGCAGCCCTGCCTTGTGTAACCAATTTTCTGTGGGAAACACTGTTTAATGTTTTTCAGTTGTTTAAAACGTAATACTGATTGTTTAGAGACACATGATCACTCAAACAATAAAATATCCTCATTAATGTTCAATAATTGTCACAAATTTATTTTGTGATTTACGAATAATGTTTATTCACTTGGGTCGTGAAGATTTGAGACTTTTAAAATATGAGTCCCCAAAAGTTTGGGAAAGACCGGTGTATACAATCTATGGTGCTGTCTTCAGTGACTTCTAATCTGAAACACTTGTGAGTGCCACATATTATTTAACATTGCAAACACCTGCTGCGGGGGCGAAGTTTGAAGCGTGGATACTGGTTACATGTCTGGGTCATACCTGGAGCATCACACATAGCAAAAGAAATTTAATTCGGTGAACTGGACTTTTGTACTGTTAGACCACTGTCAAAAGTTTTAAATAAACTTTGGAAACAAGTTGGTTTTGTGGGCCTTTTTATTTCACAATCTTCCAAATGTACAAAAACGAAAAGACATTTTACAAAACAAAAGAATCCCAGTGAACTCAGTGCCACCAACCAATCAGAGCTAATCTCTTCTGCTAAGGCCCGCCCCCCATTGGTTAAAAAAAAGCATTTCTTCCTGCTGTCGCCGCGCAGATTCCGGGTCTCGGGTTTGGGCTCAGTTCTGATTGGAACATGTTCGTCTTCAGAGCTTTTTTTAGTGGATGATTTCAGTTTGTGTCTCGCCCCTTTGTCACGTTGTGGGCAGGGCTGCGGAGCAGGAAGTTATTGGGCTTGTAGTTTTTTCAGAGGACATTTTTGTAGTTTTTATAGCTCAGACTTCTTTTTCTTCTTCTTGGGCTCGTCGGGCAAAACCAGGGGATTGGACGCTTCACGTTTGAGGTATGAGATGAAGTCGCTCACTTCCCGACCACCCTGAAACCAGAGAAAAAGAAAACATTTTAAGTACAATCAACAGGAATGGATTTTTTTATTTTGTCCCACTGAGGAAAAAAGTTTGAGCACCCTTGGAGAGGACATACTGTCCTTAAAATAATAACATTGTGTCAGTGTCAATAAGACTGCTACACTTGCAGATAGTCATGTCAGATCTTTTATTCAGGATCAAATAATGTTTGAATTACATTTCATAATTCATTTCCTTGTAAAAGTACTGTACTTACATTGTATTTTTTGGGGCTGTTCTTCTGTCCGGCTGGAGAGAAATAAATTGTGGGGAAACTGCAAAAAAAACAAAACACATTTAAACACTATTTAAGATTTAAAAACAGACATTCTGCTTGTGTAGAGGATAAAAAACAAACAAGATCAAAAGTCTGAAAAATCTAATTTTGCAGACTAGGTCTGATTTAAAACAAAAAAGCAACGAAATACAATTTTTATTTTATTTTTTTTTTTAGTATTTTACATTTGTTCTGAAGCTAAACAAGTCAGTTTGTGGAAATTATTTATAGTATAATATTGTTCATATTAACTACATTTGTTTTTATTGTAAAGTTAGAGTTTAAAGCAGTTCTAGAGGAGCACTGACCCGCTGACTTCATACGGCGATGGCACGTCGTTTGCTGTGGCGTCCATTTTGGCAATGATCACATTTGGATCAGACGACAACTGAAAAATATAACACAGCTTAAAACCAAAAGCTGTAAAAACGCAGACAGTTTAAACCACATGAGTCCAGCCCAAGTGACTTTGCATGTGATTTTTGACATGCAGCATTTCTAATCTAAAAACAGTGTCTGTCCTTGTTGTCTGATTACAATCTGATTTCTGGACTTTTAATATTTTATAAATGAAATGTAAACCTCAAAATCTGATGAGTAATCAGAGAGCCCATGATCAGAAAGAAATTTTATTATTTAGCTTTTTACAGGTCATTTGAATAATCTTAAAATCAGATTAATACAAAATTATTACTTATGAGTGTGCATGGAACCGACTATTGCAGCCAGTGGTGCAAATAAAGTCAAAACTAATTTTCTGGCACCAAATGTTTGAATCTGAATATACCCATAAATAATAAACCCAGAATGATTATGCTATTTAAAAGTCATTTCACAGCTATAGCAGAGTGGTTAGCCTCACCTTCTCTCCGAGCTCGGTGTACTTGGGCTCCAGGTTCTTGCAGTGGCCGCACCATGGAGCATAGAACTCAATGAGAACGTCTTTAGAGTCGTCATTCACGATTGAGTCAAAGTTTTCTGCCACCAAAACCTGAAAAAGGAAAACGTACGAGATTAGTACAAAACTGCAATGCATTGCCACAATAACAACTCAAACATTTTTCCAGGTTGGCCATTTTTTAGGTTTAAAAGTTAACTTCCTGCTTGGAAATCATGACCTCCCACTAGGAATTCCATAACTTACCTAGCAACAATGTTGTCAAATGGACCAAAAATGTATGTACTTGACAAATAAAAGAAAACACCTTTATTGCTTTATTTTGTTAAAATTATGTTTAAAGGATGAGAAAAATGATTGGGTAAATTGAGGTTTTCCCAGTGTGAAGTCACAAATGCATAATGCTTGAAAATTAGAGTGTTCCATTTTATACATGTTTTTCAACTTTCCTTCACAAATTGTTTCTTGATTGGTATAAAACTATTTACCACAGTTATTATTCACTAGATTAAGTCAAAACAACAGAATCATAAAACCCTGTCATACGCACTTTGACGGGTCCGGTGTTGTCCTCAGGGATGGGCTCAGACTTCAGGTAACGTTTCAGTTTTCCATCAAAATAATCCTGCAGGAAACTCTCCAGAGCTTTACCGTCACGACTGAGGGAAAAACAAAACCAGGGAACTGTTTACAATTTAAGTGTTTAGTTCCAAACATTACTAAAACTATTGGCTCCTAAATGATAGATTCACTTTAACAAGGACTCAGGAGTACCTTTTGTGTCACTAACCTCAAAGTGAACAGTGTTTCACAAAAGGGACTCTTCTGAGCCTTTAACTAAGTTATAACATTGTTACCATACCTGGAGTTGTATTTTGTTCAGTTTTCATTCACACATGAGTGTGTTTGAGTAAACCTTTATTATTAGTTTGTCTACATCTCCAAAGCTGAAAATGCTTATGATGTCATGCTTCATGACATTTTTTACCTTTTGCTCAGTAGATTGGCAGTTCAAAACAATTGATGAAATTATCCAAATTATATCAGGAGCACTTTATTACTACATGACATCACAAGGTGGAACAGACCGTTTTCTGTTTTAAAGAAGAACTCAGCCTAAACATGTGTGAATGAAACAAAACTCCAGATCGAGCATAGATCAGAAAATCGCACAATATGGGCCCTTTAAAAGAGTGAATGAAAATGAAAACCAAAGTGGGTGCACTCACGAGAATTCTTCGGTCATGACATATTTGTCACCGCGAGCTGTTCTGATGGCCACCAGGGGGAGCTCTCCACTGCTGCCGTCCAATCCAAACTCTGACAGATCATGCATGAACGTGTTCTTATTGGCCACAGCGAAGTTCAGGCTGCGCCCCTCATCCAGGAAGCCCTTTGCCACCTTCATCACTCTGAGGGAAGAATGTTATTTTTCATGGTATATTTTTATAAAACTATTTGAATGTCCTGCAGTTCACCTGTTTCTCCAGTAGTTGGAGCCCTTGGGGTTCTTTGCATAGTCCACATCATAATAGGCCACGCATAGGTCCCGCCCCTTCAGCTGGTCTTTGTTATCATCCGTCATGTGAGGACACAGCCCGAAACTGAAACGAGAATATTATAACACTATATTATCTGCATCCTCTGACCCCCTTCTCTACTGCAGCAGTAGTAGTAGTATTTGCAGTACTCACATATTGTCCTGGATGAACTTCTTGAGTTTGTTGCTGGTGAACTTTTCTTCACTGAATTTCACGGTGGATTCTTCAAACTTGTTCTGCAGTTTCTTTGGACGGAACAGCACCACGCCCCTGATAATAATTAAACAAAAGCATTATTTGTGAAACACATTCTACTTTTATGAGAACTCTCTAAAAGGCAATTTCACAGATGTGAACCTAATCAACTATTCTATCTATTGGTGACTAGACCCTAGAACCAGCTGTATGTCAACCAAAGTCAACCTTAAACTGGATTCCGTATATTTTTGTACATTTTAAGCAACACTTAACTCCCCTTGCCCCCCCATTAGCTGTGATTTGCATACTCTAACCAGTACTCACTCTCCATTGGCTGCGATCAGACCTGCCTCATTGGTGTGAGCGAATCGGTAGCTCTCTCTTAGAGCGCTGGCAGCTTTCAGAAACTCTGCCTGAGCTGAGGACGAGGAGTCTGAGAAGAAGCCTAGAACATCAGACACAAAAGGTCATATTTACAGAGGCACAGACTGCATTGTAGGAGAGGTTTAATGTTGAATGTAATGTAAATACATTGGTTTTATATAGCGCACAAAGAAACTTCACAATAAGATAACACAAAAACAAGGACAGACAAAACAAGTAGTGAGTAAGCAGTCATTTGTGGGGGGTAGAGACTATGAGGAAAAGGTGAGTTTTGGGCAGTTTATAAAGGCATTTAGTGAGAGAGTTTCTGATGTTGAGGGGGAGGGTGTACAAGCGTATTTTACAGTAGTAGTAGGTGTACACGTGTATTGGTGTAGTTATCATGCATTAGTACCGATGACACTGGCATCCTGGTCAGAGATGTATTTGTCCAGATCTTCCTCAGATTTGAGTTCCACAGATGCAGGACCGGCCTGTTTCTTCAGGAAGCTCACGATGCCGTCTGAAACAGAGAAAAGACTACAGATTTACAAAAGAACTATAGAAACAAGAGATACAGGTGAGGACAGACAGGAAGAGTGCAATGCTGTCTGAAATATGATTACGATTTTGATACAACCTATCGTATCGATAATAAAGTCCCATTCACCGAACAGAAATTAACTTTTCCTGAATAGCTTTAGAATGATCATGAGCTGTATCAGAACAAGTCTAAGACCACAGACTAGTATATGCCCAAGGACCACTATCTGACCCATGGATTACACGGATAAGGCCACACGATAATGTAAATGTAATATCACATTCTATTGTTTAAAGAAAGCATGTTTATTGTTATCATTGAGATACTGCAGTCTATTATGGAGTATTGAGTTTATTCTAGTATCTAAGTCGAGTTAGTCGAGCTCATTAGTATTGTGATAGCCTGAATCAAGAGAAACCGGTCAAGACAGGTTGATAAGGTCCACCAGTCCCCTGGGGGAAACAAGTCCTCAGCATTTGATCCCATCCTTCATGGTCTCTAGGTTAAACCTGTCAGGAGCAGTGGGACCCATCTCCAGATCTTGAGTTAGTCTTGGTCAGAACTACCTTAGCTGGAGGATTTGGACTTTTGGGTATGTTTTGGGTTGATGGAGGAAACCCACCCAAACCCAGTAGAACATGCAAATCGTGAAACCAGGTAAAACACAGGTGAGAAGAAACAGCATACAGAGAGGATTTGTACATAAAAAAAATAGTAAAAAATTGTGGAAAGTTGAAACCTAAAAATTTCTTTCTACAAAAGGTGAAAACTGTAGCAAATTTTATGAAGTAAGTTCTGTGCGTTTAAAGTTCAGTCAGAAGATGTGTTAATTGAAGCCAAGGCAGACAAAAAAAATTATGTACATGAATTTGAACATAATTTTGGGGGGATATTTTAAAGTGCCTATGACAGGTTAGACTACTAGTTTTAATAAAACATAGTTAAGATGATGATATTTTAAATAAACAAAAAACAGCTATGGCATTAAGAACTCTCCACTTCTGGTAACTCCAAAATTTTCAACACTCCTTGATTGGTGTAAAACTATAATTTATAACTATAACAGGCTTTATCCCATCAAATCAAGTGGTATAGAATTAGTTTTTAAGGCCCACAAAATTAGAATTAGAATATCGATTATTATAAAGCTGAAATAAAAATGTGAGTTTTAGGTTTCATTCCACTTCCATTCACTCTGATAATTGAACCTCAACCAAGATGTTCATTAATATGTGCTTTGCCTTTGCAAATAAATAAAGACATTTACCAGAATCTTTTAGCACATTTCTGATTGATACTTTGCATTTATGCTCTTGTTACTTGTGACAATGACAACAAATTCTTGAATCTTGAAGCTGTCATCAACATTCCCTGGGGGTGTGATGCTAAGTGTAGGCACTGCTGTGTCACAAGCTCCTGTTTAAATCCATTTTGTACGTTGTCTAAAGACTTGCCAAGCTGTTTGCCTGTGTGTATATTGTGTCACTCTGGTGGCAATTGCTGAACATACATGTAGAACACCCCCAGTGTGATGTCTCAATGAAGTATCAATAGAGTGCCCAAAAGAGTGGAGAGTTCCTGATGCAGAATAAACCCGGAGCTTTTGTTTGTTTAAAGGAGGATCAGATACAAATGTGACACGTATACACCTTTTGTTTAAGTAGTAACATGATCCTTGAGCTACACCTTCTACACCTGTGAAACTACACCTGTGACTGGCGGCAATGTTCCCCCAAAGGGTGTATTGAGTTAAGTCAAATGCCTTTACTATGTCTCCTTGGGGTCTTATTCTGTGCAAAGCTGGTAACCCTGTAGTTTAAACCTCTGCAAACATGAACTGAAATAACTCATGGTCTAAACATGCCCACTCACCCGCCCACCTCTCCCTTTTGTATATTTCTCAGGTAAAGTCCAGATTTGACTAACCTGCAGACCTGGGTCCATCGTAGGGTCCAGTCTCCTCTCCGTCTCTGAAGATCTTTAAGGTGGGATAGCCGTTCACTCCGTATTTAGAGCAGGTGTTACTGTTGGCTGTGCAGTCCACCTTAAATACACAGCATAGATATGACACTTCAGTCAGGCTTACCTTAAATTAACCCACAAACTTTTAAACTTTTACACAGCACATCAATATCTGTTCAGTTCAATTCTGCAAGACTTTTGTATTTGAAAGTTTCGTCAATAATAGTTTCTAGTTTAAAGCTTCACTGTAACTTTTGGTGGAGGGAAATGCTTCACATTATTGTCATACTGTGGAAAATGTAACCTCTATGTAACCTCATCCTTTATCTCTATGGAGCCAAGAATGTGGTACCTCGCAAGGCAGAGTTACAAGTCAGATCTGTGGAGAGATGAACCCAGTAACAATACATGTTTTTCAATGTATTTTAGCAGTAAAGACACCTTTAAATCAATAGATCAGTTTAATGCTATATTGTGAAACATTTCAGCTAAAGAAATGATATCCATGGAGCCTAGAAGGTGTCACAAAAGTTTTAAGTAAGAGGTTATAGGGCAAAATTTATTAGCTCTCACATACAATCAAATGACAGACAATCAATGTAAAACCCCTTTTAAAATGTATTTTATAAAGGGAAATTTATTTTAATTTAGTTTATTTGTTTTGATCACAAGAGTCCCTGCTGTTGTGTCACTTTCATTCCTGCTTTTATACTGTTAGTCTTGTAAAGTCAGGTTTTAAACATCTTTGACACTGAGTTATTAGCACTGTTATAACATTGTGTTTTAGATCATTTACACCATTTTATTAGGAGCAGTCTGACTGACCTTTGCCAGAGCCACAACCCCTTTGAGTCGAGTGGCGGCTGCTTCGTACTCTGGGGCCAGACGTTTACAGTGACCGCACCTGAGGAAAGAAACAGGAGAGAAGCTGTTAATGAGGGAAAAATACAGGACAATAGTGCAGAATATGACTTTAAAAACAGAGTGGAAAACTAAACTTACTTTGTCATTACAAGGGCTGTAGATGTATAGCTGATTGATTAGTCATCTAAAAAGGGGGCGTGGTAAAAGCTCTCAAAACTATTATGTCGCTCTATCTGACCCAAATTGCACTCAAGGCTACATCTAGTTCTTACAATCAATGCCTTCTTAAAACTCAACTCACTTTGACAATTCTCTTATCACAGACAACATGAAAAATTAGATACCATGAATATCTTAATTCAAAACACTTTCAATTTTATCTAGAATATGTTGCCTTCAAAACTAAAATACTGTGTTACTCAGGTGTAATCTTGTTTTATTTTGGGGCTTTTAAAACATGATCCAATTGAAAACAAAATCTGGGCATTTTTAGTTTGTTATTTGAATCTTTAGCACATTTTTAAGTTGAATTTCAGGTTAGATCGGAGCCAAAAGAGAAACCAAAACCAGTTTATCAAGCTTTTACTTTCATTCTGTCCTTTGTTTATAGGCCACCATTTTATACCGGAGCTTGGTATAAAAAAAAGGTAGCTGTTAACCTGAAAGTTACTATTTCATTACATTGCAAGGTGGAGCAGAGCATTTCGATCTTGAGATGTAGACAGACTAATAATAAAAGGATTACTCAAACATGTGTGAATGAAACAAAACACAACTGCAGGTCTGTTTTTGATGAGGCATTCATGGCCTGAATCTCCAGTCCAGTTTGTATTATATAGGATATTTAAGTCAAAACTGAAAAAAGGTTAGTATAGGTGATTATTTTTATTTTTTTCAGTTTATAACACTTGTAATTCAAACTAAAGTGTATTAAACAAAAAAAAATAAATAAATAAAATTCACACTAATTTAAAGTCTTTAGAAGTGTCTTAAATTTGAAATCTACACTTATGTAAACATTTGAAAACTATAAAAACGACCCCATTAGTGTAAAAGGTTTTAGTTTTGTCTTTATTTATAATTTTTTGAACTTTTCATTCCCAAAAACCTCCACACCTGACACTCGCTCACAGGTTGGACCAATCAAAAGTGGACACCCAACCTCTGCCAGCCAATCAGCGCGTTACAACAGCGCCAGGTCCCGCCCCGCACTTCCTGGTGCTTCTGTCGTACTTTTCATTTTAAACTGTTCAAACTGGACTTTTACACGACTTTATGCAGATTTACAAGATTAGAATTTTATAAAAAGACACAACTAATACCATGAGAAAATGATTAACGTCTCCAGGAGAACGTTAATTAATCTAAAACGTGCATAAAATGAGGCTTTGCAGAGCTTTGTGGCCTGAATTGAGATTTCTGTGTGAAATGTGTGGTAATTATGATTTTAACGAGTTTAAACTGGACTTTTTATTAACTTGGTCAATGTGTAACACCCCTAGAATTAGCAAACATGCAACATATTTTTAAGCAGAGATCTGATATCAGGAGTGAAAGGTTGATTGACAGAAAACGTGAATTAAATGAGGCTTTGCAGCAGTTTTGTGGCCTAAGCCGGCTCTTTCGTTTATTTTATGACAAATTCTACATAAGACAGCGTGTTATGAGAGAAATACTGACCACGGAGCGAAGAACTCCACGAGGATGAGGTCGTGGTCCCCGATGCGGCTATCGAAGTCATCATCGGTGAACTCCAGCACATCACTGGCCGAGGAGAGAGCTGCAAGAGCGGCGAGGAGCAGTAGCCTGAGCATGTCCGCGGAGCTCCGGTCTACGGTGGGTTAACGGAGGATCTACGGGGTCTGTGGAGGTGCGTATCCGTGTGAGGCGCCTGGGAGCCGGCTATGTGGAGCGGAGGAACGGCGGTTCGGAGGAGGCGGCGCAGGACTCGGTTTTATGCCCGGAATGAAACGCTGCAGGCGGCCACGGAAAGCGGAAGACGCGGAAGCATCGGGCCTCTCCTAACCAAAGTGTGGCAGCGCCGGATTGGTCCGAGCGCTGTGTCAATAAAACCACTGCGGCCAATCACATGCGAGGATCCGAACACGCTGCTCTGCAAGTCCCGCCTTCTGTAATGACGCTGTAAAAAAATGAATTTGGACTAAGTTTAAAATAAACGCAATTTAATTCACTCTATTTAGGACGAGAGAATCTAAAAATAACAGTATACGATATTTTAGCATTTAAACGTATTTCTGAAACGACGCAAACAGTTATTTATTAAAACTAAACAAAATAAAAGAGAAATTTGAGCTATGTAAATTGCCTGGATCCTGATATTCCGGATGGGTCACTCAAAATTCCGAAAGCAGTTTGAAATCTTTGGAAGAATTACTTTACTCAGAATAGGCTACTAAATCTAGGGTATTTATTTACCGATACGTTTTGAACCCATCAGAAGAACGTTACATTTGTCTTAGTTTTATTTTCTAATCTACACATGTAGGACAATTTGTGAAAAATGATTAATGAGTATTTTTGTGGACAGAAAATGTAGGTAACTTGAGGACTTTTATTATTTTAATTTTTTTCACACATCTTCAGATAAGATTTTGTTTAAAAATAAAAAATATAAATTGAAAATGTGTTCATCAGTTTATTTGTTACATATCAGTTTATTTGTTACTTATTTGTTACAATAAAAAATATTACTCAAGTAAGAGTAAAAGTATGCTGCTAAAAAGTACATTTAAAAAAATTACTTGAGAATGTAACTGAGTACTCTCTGAATTATTTTTATTTACATTTTTATTCTATTTCTGCTTTATTCTTTCATTATTTAGATTTGTAGTTCTCCATGAAGCTCAACACTCGGAGGCTGCATAAGTCCTAAAACTAACCCTGAGTGTCTCCACCCTCCCTTTAATTTAGAGATGGTTCAATAAGCCTTGTGTTTTGGTTTCACTTAAGCCATGGATTTACTCACAGCAGATGTTTTTTTGTTTGTTTGTTTGTTGTTGTTTTTTACCTCAGCATCTGCTACTGTCCACTTACTTCAACTGATGCAGAGGAGAGGGTTAGGGGATGCAGAGGATGCAGAGGAGAGGAGCAGAGATGAGGCTCAGAGGAGAGGGTCAAAGGAGCAAAAAATGAGGAGAGAGATGTCATACTTGTTCCACTCTGAAACAAACATTCCTTCTCCAAATAAGGCCCTTTGATTGTACAGGGATTATCAAATAAAAATGATTAGTATACCGTTATTTTAAATGTATTTTCTTATTTAATTTTTCGGTGAATAATATATCCAGGAAAATTAACTTTAATTTCCCAGTGTTTCGCAGTGGTTGTAAGTATGACCCATCGCCAGCAGAGGGAGCTGTCGTATGGAATCACTGCAGTGTGAGAGCGAGTGCTCCACTTTTCACTAACGAAGTGTGAATAACTGTGAGAAAAAAATGTAACAGTTTTCTGAGAGAGGGACAGGGGTCAGGAGGGAGAAACAAAGAGGAAAGAGGAGAAAGAGAGAGGATAAAGAGGCGAAAGGGGGAGAGACAGAGAGTTGAGAAGCAGAATGAGATGAAAAGAAAAAGGGATGGAGAGACAAAGTACACAGAGGGAAAGAAATAGATGGTGGAAGCAGATGAGAGAAGAGGGAAGGGGAGAAAGAGAAAGCAAAAGTGAGTTACAGAAGAGAGAAAGAGGAAGAGTAGAGAAAGATAGAAAAAGAAAAGGGAAAGAGAGAGAGAGGAAGAGGTGCAGGAGGGACAGACAGGAGATGGAGGGAAAGAGAGGGAGGGTGGAAGACACAGAGGAGAGAGAGGACAGAGAGAGGAATAAGAGCGAGGGAGAGCAACAGCCAGAAGAGAAGAGACAGAGGGAGAGTGAAGAATGTGAGTGACAAAGTGGAGAGAAAAGAGAGGGTCAGTATTCAGTCTTTGGTCATGTGTGCAGGAGAGAAAAGAGAGAGAGAGAAAGAGAAAGGGGATGTAAGAATGTGAGAAACTTGCAGAAGAGCAGAGTGAGGGTCGGTACAGAGGGACAGAGGAGAGAGGGAGAAGAGAGAAAGGAGAAAATGGGGAGAGGAGGAGGAAGAGAGAGAAACAAAGAAGAGAGAGAGAAGAGAAAGAGAGGAGAGCGGTAATAAGAATGTGAGAAAGAAAGTGCAGAGGAGCAGAGTGATGTTTTGGTCATTGGTACAGAGAGACACAGAGGAGCTTTGTGCAGAAGCGTGAGCCGTGTGCAGAGCATGGAACAGAGGATGATGAGTTTGTTGTTTACGGAAAACTGTGGACAAACAGTGTCATCATCATCCCTATCTCACTCACTCAAGAGAGACAAGAGAAAAAAAATAGAAAAAATTTTAGAAAAATGGGGGGACATAATTTTAAATTTGTGGAAAAAATTGGGCAAAATTGAAAGAAAAAAAAAAGCTAAAGTTGAGAAAACACAAGAAACAAGTCACTCACTCCCTCCCTCACCCCCAAGTGTCAGAGGATTGTACAGGCCTCACTGACACACACATCATTCTGTCTATTTGTATCATAAATATCTGGGTCCTGCCTCCTGCTAAAGTTTTGAGGTAATTCCCAGGTGACTTATCAGAGATGGACAGGAGCTGGAGGACAGGGCACTGATTTGTGAAATGGGCTCCTGAAAATTAGGTGTTTAAATCTTTTTTGCTTTTTCTTGAGTTTTCATACTATCGGAAAACCTATCAGGCTGTGTTTGCTAATGTGTGCATTTTCTCTCCATGGCAACCACTGAACATCACAGAGATGTATGTAGAACACCCCCAACCTGACGTCACTGCAAAGTATCAATATTGTAATGTGTGACTGACTGCGCCATTTTCTTTGTGGATCAATAGTTTGTCCAAGTCTAATTGTATGTCTAAGTCTATTATCTATTCTGCTGGTATGAGCAGGAGCAGTAAACTGTGTAATGCTCCAACATGTACAGACAAGGCGTCTCAACATTATTACACCAGATGCCCTCCCTTAGCATCTTGTCCAGTTATACAAAGGTAGCCATACATCCAACTTAAAAGCACCACTACTCAAGATGTCTATATACATTATTACCCCAGATTCCCTCTCTGAATCTACTCTGAAATGAGCACAGAGCAAATTGTCTTGCACAGGGACACAAAGGCAAGATGTGTCTACTGGTAAGTCCAGTCCTCATTTACGACAGTGAATCTGCAATTGTTAAAGATGAGCTTTATTAAAACATGAGACATTCATCAGAGACATTCACATCACCATGGAAACGGAGAAGGGCGGGGTGTACACAAGTAAAACGGGCAGGGTTTGGTGAAGTCAGGTTATTGCATAAAATATTCTCAAGCAAAAGCGTTTTAGAATGAAAAGACCCTAGTCTAGACCTATTTAAGTCCTGGTTTAGTCCATACTTTAGACCCTGTTTAGTCTTAGTTTTCCGGGTTAGTTCTGATATAACACTAAAACATGTCATGGCTTAGTTTGATAGTAAATATTTGGATGGAATGGTAATGTCACTGCAGACTGAAATGCATTATGGGAAATGTAGTATGGCTTTAAAAATACACTTTATATTTGTTTATTATATTTCCTTTAGATGAATACTAAATATATCATACAGATACATAACAGTTAAGATTTAAGTCACACTGATGAAACAAACAGGATTTTCTTAGACACTTCTTTGCTTCCTCACATGCTTTCTAGTTTTGTCTCCTTGTCTACTCTCCTGGCCTACTTTCCTTGTATCCTCTCCTTGTCTTTCCTAGCCTATTTGTCTCCTTTCCTCACCTCTTCGTGCCTCCTTTACTCAGGCATTCGTAAAATCACGGACAGGATCATCTAAAATAAGAAAACGTTGAAACTATAATTTATACAAATTATTTCGAGAAACAAAAATAATGCCTTTAAATGCATCAGAATCACAACAATCAAAATGCAAAAGTGCCAGAGATTTCACATTTATGTACAAATAATATATTATTATCAATGCATTAGGGTTAAACCTGGATTTTAGTGCATTCTTCATCTCAGAGTGGACACATTCAGCAGCAACAAGACTAAACCAATACTAACACATTTTAAACATTTTAACCTGGCTCTAAATCACTGATACAATTAATATTCTGCTACAGACACCAATATGAAAGAACTGTACCATTAAAAAATTTGTAAAATTGATAAAAGAAGTGCATATTTTTATATTTTTGTTGACAAATTTGTGAAAGTTTGGTAATATTGGAAGAACAGATATTGTTTTTGCCAATTAATTAAATTACAAATTTGATGAAAGTATTCAATATTCTAACAGAGGTCAAACGTGTTTAAAGTTTAGAATAAGATGAACCTGAAATATAATAAATAGCATTAGTTTAATAAAATATGCACCTTTCTCTGTGCTTCAAACTGTGCTTTAAACTCTAAAACTCGACTAAACTCCTTCAAACATTGAAATAAACTTTGACAGACTTCCCTCTCTTCACAGTCAGATTTGATAAATGGCTTTTGATGTTTATAGTGATTATAGACTGTAGGTTATACATCGCAGATACAGGGGTGTGACTGCAGGGGGCGCTCTCTAGTTGAAGGTCTTGATGGGAGGAGGGACTTTGATGTCTTGACCTTTCTCCAGACGCTTCTCACACTCCACCAGATAATTCACCCCATCCACCACGGTCTGCACCAACTGCACCTGCACGCACATAAGGTAGAAGACAGGAGAAGACAGGTGAGCCTTTGTTTAGAGTTTTATATTGAGATTTGAACCTGGTCTAGCCCTCATTCTTACCTTAGACTGGCCAAGGTGGTCTAACCTTGGTCTCTGGTCTAGTTTCTGGTCCTTCCAGGCTTATCCGTTCTTACTTCAAACTGCCCTAGTCAGTCTAACCCTGGTCTCTAGTGTAACCCTGGTTCTTACCTCAGACTACCTGATCCGATCTAAACTGTTCTAAAGTCTAACAGTGGTCTCTGGTCTGCTCTTTGCTCTGGTCTAAAGTCTAACTCTGGTCTCTAGCATTTGGTCTAATCCAGGTTTTTACTAGAGTAGATCTAACACTGGTCTTTGGTCTGGTCACTGTTCTGGTCTCTGGTCTGGTCTCTGGCCTAACCCTGGTTCTTACCTCAGACTGGCCGAGGCGGTCCAGGTTGGAGATGTCAAAAACTCCACCCACGGCGGCGGTGTCAACGCCCCCTGTACCTCTCTTCTGCAGACGCAGGTTATCCAGGATCTTATTGAAGCGTGGATCCTACAGGAGGCACAGGGTTACTGCAGCACGGGAGTATTAGTAGAAGTACGTGTGCATGCCAACTCTCAGTCCTGTGCCCCGTGTGTGATTTTTATTATTATTGTGTCTTACATATTTGTGCCCAGCTCACATGGGGCTGTACACTGTATTCACAGATTACAGACTAGTGACAAAAAAACCCCACAAAACATGATATAGAATCATACAGGGTATAATTAGCTAATACTCTTCATTGTAAGGCATTCATTGAACCGGTTCCACTGCCTGCGGCAAAGTACCAGTCTTCAGCTGGGCACAAACTGTAGTAGCAAGAGTAGCTGTAGTATTTGCTCTGCACTTGTAGCACCCAGGTTGGAGAGGGAGAAGTAGTAATAGTAGTAGTAGTAATAGTAGTAGTAGTGTTACCTTACTGAGAAGTGGTAGCTTGACATGTACACCTGCTCTCAGTCCTGTGCCCAGGTTGGAGGGGCAGGTAAGGATGTAGCCGAGTCTCTCGTTCCACATGAACTCCCAGCCACGCTCCTGGATCAGACGCTCCACCTGAGGGCGCCACACACAGGGTTACAACTAAAACAGGACTAAGGTAGGACTAAAGCAGGACTAAACAGGGATTAAACAGGGACTAAAGCCACTGTCCTGGGTCAGGTGCTCCATCTAAGGACACAGGACTAAAACAAGGCTCAAAAGGGATACAAATATATTAATAACTGTAGCAGTAGTAGCAGAAGTAGTAATAGTACTGATCCTAGCTGTAGTAGTATAATAGTAATAGTAGTACCTCTTTGAGCCCTTTACAGAACCTGTCAAACACTCTCTTCATGTTGCCTCCCTTCTCCATGGAGATGACTCTGGTGTGGTCCTCCTCGTTGATCCAGATCAGAAATGTCTTCTCGTTATTGTGCCTGGAACAAAACAGAAGGACAGGCCTGGTTTAGACCTGGTTTAGACCTGATTCAGGCATGGTTTAGACCAGTTTAGACCTGGTTTAGTTCCAGTTCAGACCTGGTTTGGTCATGGTTTAGTCCTACCTGATTGCACACCCCTCTAATCATGAGCTTGGCAGTGGAAATTTTATCATCAACAAACTAATTTATGATTGGCTGTTGTTGGTGATGTTGTGTGGAGTGTATTCGTGCTGACAGAGGAGCAGATGCATTAGGCAGAATGATCTGAGCATCCACTGGAGGTCTCCTGAGGTAAAGACACGATATGAGCCAGAGACTGAAGTGATTTACTGTATACAGAGAAGAGAGGGGAGAGGGGGGTGGGGGTAGAGAAAGATAGAGGAGAGAGAAAAGGGGACTGAGAAAGAGGGACTGAGAGAGAAGATGAGAGAGAAAGGGACAGACAGAGAGGAGGAGAAGGAGAGAGAATTGCAGAGAGGGAGGGGAGGAGAGAGGAAGAGAGGACGAGAGCAGTAGGGGAGAGAGCAGTGGGGGAAGAGGAGAGAGAGAAAGAGAGAAAGTGCAGAGCTGCAGGCTGTGATGGTGAAAGTGGAGAATGGAGTGAATTATTGATCATCTCAGTTTCTGGTGGCAGCCTCAGATACAGGTAAAGCCTGTGTCTGAGTGAATTTACAGGGGGCTCATATACATTTACAGGCTAAGGCACTGATCTGTGGTGTGAAAAAGAAGTGTTCTCTTAAATCAGGGTTTAAAGTGCATATGACAGGTTTTGATGATTGTCTCATTTTGCCTTATCTGGTGGGATAATACCTGTTGTAAATTTAAATCATAGTTTAACACCAATCAAGAAGCAATTTGTGAAAAACTGAAAAATATGTTGAAAATGACAGGAATTCTGTCTGAAAGTTCAGCACAATTCACACAAAAGAAATACATTTTTCTGATACTTTAAACGTGATCTGAACAAATTAACGGTGGTTTCTTATATTGGAAGAATTCATGATTTCCAAACAGGACGTAAAATTTGAAACCTGAAAGCACTGCCAAACTGCAAAAAATGCCAAAATGTGTAAATAAATCTAAATATGTATGTTTAATCAAAATGAATAGCCCAACCAGTTGAGCTGAATACTCTGTGTGGTTATTAAAGGTAACAGTACAGGTGTGGTTAGCACAGATGTGGACTCATGGATGTGTGGCACTGACCAGATGCCGCGGGCGTCGGGCCAGTCCCGGGCCATACCCGCACAGGTGAGCAGTGGAGACACAGGTTTGTCAAACAGGAAGTGGTCCTGGAGGCAGAAGACTCATTAGCACAGATACCAACTCCCACTGATCATACACACACACCACATTCATACTAGGCAATGTAGGTGAAGTGTCTTGCCTAAGGACACAACAACAGAACTTGGTCTGAGCCGGACTCAATCCTCCAACCTTTGGGTTGGGGGACGACTACTCTAACCACTGACCAGATGTCACACTGATCAACTGTCTATGGCACAAGTGGAATAATTTCTAGGGCTGGTAAAAGCTCTCAAAACAATATCTCTGTGTATTTGACCCAAACTGCACTCATAACACCACACCTGAATGGAACATTCCATCAACCGATTAATCGACTAAACAAATAAATGCAGCTTGTTGCTGCTCCTTCTCACTTATCTGGTTCAGACTGTAGATTTGTACTTGTGTATCTGTACTTGTGTACTTGTATTCTCACATCTATAAGCTGTTGCTGCTCCTTCTCGGTCATCTGGGTCAGACTGTAGTACTTCCCGGCCAGATCTTCCTTTAGTCCGGAAAGCGCCTCCACCACCACACGCTCCACTTCTCGTCGCTCAGCCCGAGTACACGCAGGAGGCAGACTGAGCCCACGAATACTACGTCCTGTCCTCACACGAGACGACAGCACATACTTCTCATCAAACATGCCCGACTTCAGCTGCAGAGAGAGAGAGAGAGGGAGAAGAGGTCAGAGGAGAGGGTCAGAGGAGCAGAGGAGAGGGGTTTTGTGCTTACAGTATCGGTATCACAGCAGTAGTAGCAGTAAGCAATAATAGGAGTAACACCAGTAGTGGTAGTAATAATAGTAGTAGTAGCAACACTAGTACCTTGCTGGAGTCCAGGTCAGTGGGGTGGGTCATGGTTCGGGGGTCATATCCATTGTGTCTCTCTTTGATCACAGGGTCCAGCAGATCTGCAAACACCTGGAACACAGCACACTGGTTACTCCAGATGCCCTCACTCTCCCCCGTTTCCTTCTCTGTAGCCTCTTGTCCTCCTCTATACCCTCGACTGTACCTCGTAGCTCTCCTCGTCTCCTGCCACCATGCCCACAGTTTTGATGAAGGGGTGCCCAGGGTTGTCCACTCCAGTCTGGATGGCCTGGTCCAGCGTGTAGCCGTTGGGGGTGGACTTGTCACAGAGTTTGGCATAGATGGCTGGGGACAGGTGAGTGGCCATACAGTTGTTGTGTTTGCGCAGGTCGGGGTACTCCGCACTGTTGAGAGAGATATAGGATCACTGAAAGTCATAAACTCTCTGGAACTACAGTGGCTGACCTGTCACCTTTTTTGTTGAAAATCAAACACCTAAACAGGATCATTGATCATAGGCTAATGAAAATGTGCAGTTTAAATCCATTTTGCATTTTCTCGTGAGTATTCAGATAATCTTAAATGCTTTTGGCAGTACTTGCTAATGTGTGCATTGAGCCACCATGGTATGAAAATTCTGTCATAGATATTCATGTAGAAACCCCTGGAACCAGGAGTGTTTAGATCATAACTATAGACTGTATAAAGAAGTTGACTAAGGGAGTGTGACTTCACCCATAGTGCTCCAGTCAAATTAAGCTCTTGAGGCTTGCAGTTACAGGAGCGAATTTGGAGCCAAGTTTCATATTAGGAATAAGAATCTATTTATGGACACAATAGTCAAATAAAAACACCAGGATCATGCAGAGCAGGTTAATACAAACATTTTATGACCAGTGACGAGGCTCTCTGCAGCAGTCACAGAGAGTCGATGGAGCCGGAAGCACTCTCATGTTCACTTCCTACTTGGAATAAGGCGGCTAGTGGGTTAGCTATGTCCATTTATATACAGTCTATGATCATAACACAGGGTTTAATCCATGAGCCTCTGACCCTGTGATACCCTGTCCATTCACACAGATCCATATCTATAACGTAAATATGAGACATGTGATCTGCAGAGTCACAGGAGCAGAGGCTTACACTCCGTTTCTCAGTATGCTTCTGAGCACAGTGAGGCACAATACCATCAAAGCCTTTCGTTTTTTCAGTCCTTCAACAGCGCAAATGGACTCTACTATATTTAGACGTAAACACAAAGCCCAACTTATTTCAGCCTGACATCCTGCTCTGTTAAACTGAGTGTCCCTCTTTGGCTCAGGAGGTTAAACAGCAGACACACAGAGAGGTCTATTTATTTTTTTTGACCTTTTTTTTTTTTTTTAATAGTTAAGGGTAATTAAGGGTAATTAAACAGTGGTAAGGGTAAATGGATAAATGGAACACACAGAGGAAATCTACACAGGCATTACAAGAACATGCTAACTCCACACAGGACGTCCTCACGCCACTACATCAAACCCAGGACCTTGTTTTTGATCATGTGTGAGCTGAGGACTAATCTGTTTTATTTACACAAACACACACGCACACACACCCCCCACACACATACACACACACACTGTCACATTGGGTTTTCATGCTTGTTGAGGACATTGCTTTGACTTCCATCCATTTCCTGGAGATTGACTTAACCTTAAGTAGGTAAGTAATGACTGACACACCAGCACGTGCACATTCACACGTACACTTCTCTTATCTCTGCTCACAGGTCACAGATTTAACTCCTAAAATATTCACAAGTAATAACTGTGAATAGTAAACAAACACAGAGCCTTTACAGTGTCCTTTTCTCCGGGTCGGTCCTCTGTTCTACTCAGTCTAATATGGAGCTGAGATAGTCCTGTGTTACAGTCGCCCTGGGACAGACTGGCAGAGACATGTCTGACTTTCCACGACTACAGCATCTGAACACCACAAGTCACGGTCAAAAGTGCCCTGCTCACAAACACACTCATAGCAATCAAACCCTCAACTTGAATAAGGTAACAGCATTTTTGCTTTAAATAAATCTCTATGTTCAAGTGAAATAGAGATAGAGAATGAAAATCAGTTTTATCAGATCAGCCCTGTATGATAGCGCCAATCCTTTATCTGACAAAGTTGAGTGTCTCTATTTAAAATCCCTCACAGCTACAGTTTGACCGCAGCAGCTGTTGGTCTCTCTCATTCACACAGCGCAGGAGCGAATCCCGTTAGAACCACGCGCCTTTCTCAGCTTCAGCCCTGGGGGGCAGGGGCAAGAGCACCGGCACCAGAGCTCTAAGAGGCCGCCACAGCACAGACTACACCAGTATCGACGTTTCCACACGGACATAGACAAAATCCATCTCAAGTCAATGCGCCTCATCTGTAACTGCACTGTTACACGCGCGCTCAAAATCAGATTATTAACACATTTTTGAAAGTTTAAGATGATTAAAATGGCACGTAAACAGCAAAATCATCTGATTTCTTTCTGATCATGGTCCTTCTTATTACTCACATCTGATTTTGCTTGTCATTTAATTACATCACCTTAAATGTCCAGAAATGAGACAATAATCCGATTTTAGTATGCATGTGAACAAAGCCACTGTTACAGATCTGACTTCAGCCGTTTATTCCATGGGAGTGGGCTTTTCCCGCGTGATTAACTAAAAGAGCATTTATGTTATATATTTGTAGGCTGGCAATTAAACCAATTAAACTAATATTACCAAACAGAGATTCATATGTGAACAAACAAATAAAAAATAGCTTTAAACGTTGAACAGTTTGCCCACATTCCCATAGATCCAGATGGAAATAACTCCATGATGACACACACGGTAAACATGTGAGGGACGTCATCTCAAACAGAGCCTTTTGTATTATTTTGCATTCTTATGTTTTTCTCCCGGTGCTGGAGGCTCACCTGGCGGGGTACCTCCTCCTCACGGCCTCGGCGTTCACTGACCGGTCCCGGTGCTGATGGAGGAGGAAGGCGGCGGTCACGGAGCCAGCTCCGGCCAGAGACAGCAGGCCGAGGTGCCGCCTGGAGGACAGGACCCGGGAAAAGCTGCTGGCCATGTTTACTCACGGAGAGAGTACCTAGAGCGGACAGAGAGAGGAGGGAGAGTCGAGGAGAGTCGGAGAGGAGCGGAGTGCAGCCGAGGATCAGGCCGGAGGAGAGCAGCCGTCCGCAGGGATGAGAGACACAAGCTCCGGTCAAGTTCACGGAGAAAACACGGTTCAACAGGAAGTGTCAAAATAAAAGCACCAAACTTACGAGTACCACAGTTTTATAGACTAAAACGAACGTATTTGTGTACTTTGCCTTAATATTTAAGCGAAATACAGTCGATATTATGAACGGTGAGTAAGCTGTTTTAAGTTAACCGCTATGGAAATACTGAACTTCATGTTCAAGGGGAAAAAAGTGAGAAATTCTACTTATTAAGAATCAAATTAATAATACATTTTTGGTAATTCAAAATACAATTCTAATGTTTAATTTAATTTATTTTTTATATTTATTTTAGTATATACAAAAAAAGACTTTCATCAAAGGTAGCTGTTTTAAGTTTTATGGTTTCCATTGAATGTTTTTTTTCCCCTATAACCAAAACACATTTCATTTATCTTTTTCCAAGTAAAAAAAAAAAAACAAAACATAAAAATAAATGTTGAAAAACATAAAAATCACAGTAAGCACTTTATTTTCCATACATAGGAAGACACAAATAATTAGTTTAAAAATGTGTAGGCCTGCTTGATTTCATTTACTTGGCCACACACATACACCTGGAGTTGTTTTATTGTGAAATGCTGCTGCACTCTCAGAGGAAGTGCGCCTCAGTTCAGATCAGTGACAGAAGAGTGAAAGGTAAATCTGAAGACTATAAAACATGACTACAGCGAGATATCGGAGCAGGAAATGTTTCAGATGAACCATAAACTGTGGACTTTGGACTGATGAGAGATGGAACAAGCCTTATTCTGCTGTAGGATTACTCCATAGACTGTGTGTACCCCCCTCCCCTCCCTGCCTGTAAACCACAGTCCAGGCCTAACTTTCACATTAAGGTCATCAGAGGACACCAAACAACTGCAGTCTATTTTAAATGCAAGCCTAGGTCAAAGTTCAGAGGTTAATCACATTTTTAGAAAGCAGAAACTGGAAGTGTTCATCTCTATTACGACAAAGTCCCAGGTTCCATTCCCTGATTGTGTGGGGTCTTTTGAGTGTTTGGACATTCTCCCTTTGTCTGAATAGTTTTGCCATCTACCCAGCAAAACCAGTGTCTCCAAAGAAAAGACCAAGTACCATCAAAGAAAAGATTTCTGAGGACAAAACCAGGTCTATAGCAGGACATTTTCAGGTCTAATCCAGGGTAAATCAGGTCTAAAAGTGGACTACAAAACTCCCACTGTAGTTTAAACAGAAATTATCCAAAGAAGGACAGAACAGTTGATCAGATGAACTATAAATGAGGCAAATCCACAAACTGAAGATCTCCAAGTACCACCTGAAGGAGATGTACCACAGCTTGAGAAACACTAGACTAAACCATTCAGTTGTGGTTACAGTGGACAACGCTTTAAATACAGTATTTCTGTAGGGTGAAAGCATAAATAGTTTATTTTGACATTTTAAACCAACATGCAGCTCAGACAGACTCACTAGAATTATGTAATTATAATGAGAGTTCAGTTTGGTCTGAAAGGCCTGCTCTGCTCTGCTGTTGTTGTTCAGATCAAAGCTTCTTATGGAAAATGACAATAATCTGGAATAATCCGGAGCAAAGTCCAATGTATTTACACAGATTTACGAAGAAGAAAAGAAAGAGGACTAAACCAGAACCAAACCAGATCTGAACCATAACTGAACCAGGACCGAACAAGGACAGAATTTAGTTCTAAACCATGACTCAACAACAAGCTCTGAAACAAATCATAAGGACTAAAACAGCTCTAAACTAGAAATAAATTAGGCCAAAACCAGGACTGGATCAGGTCTAATTCAGCAGTAAACTAGATACTTGTTTGAGTCCAGTTTTATTTTGATGTAAATTTTGATGATCCCATTTAAGTCCTGATTTACATGTTTATGTCAGAGTTTAGTCCCAGTTTTAATGTAGTTATTCTGCAAGTGTGAATATGGCCTATAAGACCTGATTTAGACCTGGTTTGGATCTTGTTTAGAACCCAATCCAGTTCTGGTTTAGTATTATTTTATGCTCCTGTCATTGTAATGTGTTTCAGTATATTATTAAAAAATGTGCTCAGATGTTTTAAGCAATTTTAAACTTGTGATACTTCTAATTATAACTATGTACAGTAGCTCATAATTATACCACACGTTTTCTATAGTAGTAGTCTCTAAAGGTGTAGTGAAAGTACACGTTCTGTATAAACCTTATCAGAGTGGTATATAAAAGCCCAGTTTGCATTGGGAGGCTTGGATCCAGACCTAGTTAATAATTCTCTTTATATTGAGTCACATGATCAGATTTTATCAGTCTGTATTTAGTTAATAATTGTCCCTATATCAGGTCACATGATCAGATCTGCAGTTTGGTAGAGCTCCTGTTTCAAAGGCGTTTGAATCGTTAGTGTTTGAGATAAAATCAGACCAGGGCAAAGTCTGGACCATAGACTGTATCATACTATATTAACAGTCTGTGATCTGGACAGTGCATCTGAAATTACAACTATACGGGTTAACTTTGTATCATTGGGAATCTGATTAGCAAAGTTGCTCCATAAATCCCTAACCTGGGTAGGACCAGACATTTTAACCTTAACATAATTATACAAGTCTCTCACACATAAAATTAGTCATAAGATAGCTAGCACTAGCATGAACCGTCACTCTCACCTTCTTGTGTAAACACCTAAACAGGACTATGAACGCTCTTATTGATCACAGGCTATTGAAAATGTGCTGTATAAATACATTTTGTATTTTTTTCTTGAGCTTTCAGACGATCTCAAACAATTCAGAAAGTATTTTGGCAGGGTTTGCTAAAGTGTGCATTGTGTATACAATGGCAACTGCTGAACATTCCACCATAGATACATGTAGAACACCTCCAGTGTGATGTCACTGCAAAGTATTCATTCTGTATGTGTCTGAGTGGAGTTTGCATGCTCTCAATGTATCATGTGGGTTTCCTCTGTTTTCCTTCATCAACCTAAACATGCACAATAATCCTGTAACTAGGTGACCAGATGAAGAACAGACTCATAGTTGTAGAAAAGCATTTTAATGTGACATTGTTCATAAACTTTAAACACATTTAAACATGATTCTAACAGTTTCCTACATTATTATTTATTAAAAACAGACATAAACCTTGAGTTTGTAGCACCATCTCTACTGTCTGTGCAGTAGATTCACAATAAAATGTTTCACTGTGAAGAATACACAGTTTAAAATAAAAAATAAGCAGAAACGTCATCTGCATTCACTAAAACTACAATTCATTATTTAGCTAAAAACAATAAAAGAAACTATGGCCTGGTTCACACTGAGGACAGGGCTGTGGAGGTATAAGGTCAAACCATGATTTCAGTGGTTAAAGGTTTAAATGGTGTTCAGTTCTGAGTAACAGGATTAAAATGAGTGTTTAGGCAAAAGTAAAGGTTTAGATTAGTCCTGATATAGACTTTATGTTTGAAGGCAAAACAAACTAGATCTTGTGGTCAGAGGTAAACTATATCTTGTCTACAATATATTTATATATTTAAGTAGCTCTTTGTTCTTAGATTCATGCGTGAGCTACTGGGTCCAAGTAATTTAGTCTGTGGATCAATAGTTGTTTGACAAAATTTGGCAATTTGATGTATTTAATTTACCTCCATTAGCAATTAGACCTCCATTAGCTATCAGCTATTCTTCCTGGAGAGTTAATAATAATAGTTAGATGGTAGATATTAATACTTTTATCTACATTTTTATCAGGACATTTACAGGCACATTTTAGCAGAGTTAGATGATTGTTTTCTGAAGATTTCATTTGTCAGTATCACCTACACTTGCTTACTATATCATAGTATTATAAAATATGCAATAAAGCCACTGTGGACTTTATCAGTTAGCATAATGATAATGATGAAAAATAAAATGCCGTCTGTAACAGTGTCCAGTGTGAGCCAGGTCTGTCCCTGCGTCTGAGGTTTAGTCCTGATGCAGCACTCTCGGGTGGTGAGCGATGGCCTCACATTAGCCTCCCAGCAGGTCACACAGCACCCCCTGCTGGAGCCATAGACCGTATAATGAAGTGGACTAAGTGAATATGATGTCACCCAAAGTGTTTGGTTCCAGGAAAATGAAGCTCATCGAGGCTGGCTGTTATAGGGCTAGTTGTGTTGAAGCCAAGACCCATATTTGGCTTTCTGAGTCAATCCAGACCAAGGCTATTGAAGATAATGCCCCTTACCGCATGCCAATGCTCACTTCCTATTTGGAACACTGCGCATTAGGTATGTCCATTTATATATACAGTCTATGGCTGGAGCACTGATGTGGGGGGGTCACACAGTACCCCCTGGTGGTGCACTGATATGGGGGATCTGGTCAGTGAAGGTCTGGTTCATCCACTGTCCATCTGGAGACAGCACAGCTGCAGGCGGTTGAGACGATGAGGCAGACGATGGCTCTGGAACAAACAAGCACAGTTTAACCAGGTGTTGTGTTCTGCTGTATTTTTACCCGCACAAAGAGAATTCCAAATCATTAAGGTTCTATATTACGCACAACTGACTCTTGTGAGCTTTAAGTCATGTTGTACTGTTATTTCCTCATCAAAAATCATATCTGGAGTTGTGTTTTGTTTCATTCACACATGTTTCAGTAACCCTTTATTTTTGAGTCTGTCCACATTTCCAAAGCTCAAAATTCACCGTGTGATGTCATGAAGTGGTAGTTTTCAAGTTAACAGCCACTTTTTACATTGGCAATTCCAGGGCTGAAATGATCCAAATGATTCTAGTCAGTGGCGATCCTACCCCCCTCCTTGGTCCCACTTTGCCTCCAAATACCTCTAAACTGTGCTTTCTTTGTGGTGCCAGTTCCGGTTAAGTGGGAATCAAATTCATTTCAGAAGAAGAATTTGAGAAAAGTTTCACCTCTAAAATCTGATTTAAAGTAGGATGACCTGTGTAAAGTGTTCAATGTTCATGTGAGCAACAAGTCACACTGCATATATTCACTCTCCCTCCTCTATTCAACTTATTCCAGAAGTTGCTGTGGGCGCCACCATCCTCATTTGGGTTGTTATTATTTTGTATGGGGCTGCAGATCTGACAGCAAATAAGTTCAATATGGACTATAAAGCCATTTTAAAGCCCCTAGAGAATCGATGGAGTGTTGCCTTGTTGATGCACATGAAAATGTAATATTTTACACAAATGAACTAACTTTATGTCACATTTAATCTAAAAAAAGCTAAATTTTTCTCAGATTCGTCATTGTCATGAATGGGATCCCCGTTTAACTGGAGTGTCAGCACAAGAAAGCATGGTTTAAAAGCAAAAGCGAACAGGGCGGAATAAGTTGAATACCACATACTGACTGTATGCTCCTCCCCCTCTCCTCACGTCCTCCTCTCTCTCTCCATACCTTACCTGTATTATTGTTGCTAAAGGTACAGTGTCCGTTGCTCTTCCCCTCCTCTCCTCCTCCCTCTCCTCCCCTCTCAGTGTAGGCTCCTCCATATGCATCCTCGTATCCAGGATCATACTGCTCCTCTTTAATAGCCATTCGCTTAGCGTCCTCTGCAAGACACATAGAACATATTTTAAAACTTAGATAAGCAAGCCAAGTAAACCAGGATTATACCAGGACTAAACCAGGACTAAACTCTCTCCAAACAAGTTCTGAAGTGCACTGGATTCTTGTATGACTTTGTCAGATGTTCAGTGTTCAGATGTGGCTTACCTTTGGCGAGCTGCAGGTTGAACGAGTACTGCACTTCCTCCACATCCCTGCTCTTCAGCTCCCCCTTCAGTTTGTCCCTGAGCTCACGCAGTTTTATGTAGAAATGGACCTTATCCTGTGCCCTGGGGAACTGGGCACAGCGCGCACTGGAGGATGGCATCAGGTATAGCGCCTACAGACACACAGGGGAGAGACTTAAATGCAGGGGGTAGCCAGAGAAACCAGGACTATTGATACTTTGTATTGACATCACACGGGGGTGTTCCACATGCATCTCTATGGTGGAATGTTCAGCAGTTATTATGGTGACACAATGCACAGCAAACACTGTCAAAAAAGTAAACTTAAAAAACAACCAAGCATTTGTGGTCCTGTTGATGACATCAGCTGCAAAGTATGAATAACATACATATACAGAAGATAACCAGAGAAACCAGGAGGGTAACCTCCCACATTCACTGTAAACCTGTACTAATGTGAGGAAATATTCCACAGTGAGACTTGAACCTCATTCTAATGTGACGAATTGTCCAGCAGTGGGGCTTTATATAAAGACAGGAGGGGGAGCAGCTCACCACATCACACTCAGGGATTTTGTGTGGCTGAAGTCCAAACTCCAGAGTTTTGGGTTTTTTCCCAAAAAGTTCCCGACAAAACATCTCGTAGATACCTGAGAACAGAGAGAAGGGTTCACTTAAAAGTATAAGAAGTGTAAGAAGAATGTGAACACTAAGTGCACATAAAGTACAAACTCCCGTAACAGACGGCTATCAGAGGCCTGTGCTTAGGTGTATATGTATGTGTGTTTATTCATGTGGTCAAGTGTACATGTTTGTGTAGTGTTTAAGTATATTTGTGTGTGCATATTTGTATGTGTATATAAAGCATAGACTCACATTTCCCGTTGAAGACAGCGATCAGAGGCTTAAACTTCTTCAGTTTCTCCACCAGGATTTTGCCTCCTTCCCGCAACTCTTTACTGAAACCAGAGAAGAACTTTATTATCATTATTACAAGGTATCCCGGGTTTAATTACGCCAAATTTAAGACTTTTTAAGACCACTTAATTATTAAAATTAAGACCAATGTAGCATCCATTATGCAGGCAAAAAACACCAGGTCTAATTCTAATAATGATCAAACAATTACCGTAGGGTGACCATATTTCCATTTGTGAAAACCCGGGGAGGTGGGGCCTCGACATTGAGCTACAGTCGTCCCTCGCTATATGGCGGTTCACTTTTCGCAGTCTCGCCTTTTCACAGATTTTTTTTTTCCTTTTTTTTTTTTTTTGTGTCAATTTTGCATGTTTTTTTTTTTTTTTTTTCTACAGGGGTGGGTCAGGACTAAACCAGGTCTAAACCAGTACTAATCTTGGACTTATGAGAGAGAACACCGAGCAGTTTGTCTGCAAAGCGTGATCGGGCAATTGCCGTGTTTACCTCCATGATGTGCGGAGCTCTGTGCTCTGTGCTCCTGCGGTCACCTCCGAGCCCGTTCCGACAGTGAGTCCCATTTCAGTTCTATTTGAGTTCTGGTTTAGTCCTGTTTTAGTCCTAGTTCATTCCTGAAATCAGTCCTAGGTTAGTCCTGGGTTAGTCCTGGTTTAATCTTAGTTCAGTCCATGGCGTAGGCAGCACAAAAGTTTGATACAATCTTGGGTTAACGGGCGGGTATGATGCTGTATTGCGCGGGTGTGGTGCTGTACTACGGGTCTGCAGGACTCTGTGCTGTAGGGCTCCATTATGGAATAAATTAATCTTCAGTTCGTTACATAAAAAGGAGGAAAATAACATAAGGACAACAGCAGCAATAAGTTTTTAGAAGAATTCAAAAAGGGTTGCACCTCTCCTGTCTGAAAAAAGTGTATAAAGTGTGTACTGAGGGGTTTTACAGCCTTAAAACAGATATAATTATTGTAAAATACAAAGTTGACTACTTTGCAGATTTCACCTATCGCGGGTTATTTTTAGAACGTAACCCCCGCAATAAATGAGGGATCACTGTACGCTCGCTCTTCGCAACCTGTGCACAAGGCCTCCCACTTGTTCCGACCTGGATGGAAAACGGAGAATTTATTGTACAAGTCATTGTTAAATGCGCATTTGCACTTCGGCATGTTGTAGACTGACTGGCTGTTTGTGTCTGCTCACTCCTTCTGAGTCACAGACGCTACGAGAGACGCTCAGTTTAATGCCCCCAATGAACGATAATGAAAACCCGGACATTTGCATCACTTAAAAAAAAACAACTGACGCCTAGGACAGAGGATGCAAAATACAGACATGTCCGGGGAAAAATGGACGTTTGGTCACTCTAAATTACCGGTACTATATCTAGAATCTAAGGCTGAGTTTATATGATGACTGTCTGAACAGAAGACACAAAAGTGGCGTCGAATCTTCACTTTTTATTCTGCATTTAGACGAGAGTTTTCGGGAGGAAATCTGTGTGTATACAGTGATGCAAAAATATGTGGAATTTGACTGGGTGTGCATGCCAGGTGGCTTGGTGGTGACACTAGGTGGTGATGTAGGTGACGTAAACCCGTTTGTGATGTGAGCTGATCTGACCAGAGTTTTGCGTCTTGGGTAGTGTAGACAAAACTGATTGTTTACTCATTGCCACAGATGCCAAAAAACAAAGTATTGTTTGTGCATACTCCAAATTAGACGTTCATTCATGCTACATTATTTCACGTTGTTTGTTGTTGTTTTTTTACCCTCCCTCTATTTAACATTGCACTGCAGCCCGGTTGAGTAAACAAAAAATAGGCTAATGAAATTTAAGACCTTTGTGAAAAAAAAGACATAAATAATACAACATAATTTAAGACTTTTAAAGCCTTAATTTAGGAACGTGAAATTTAAGACCTTTTTAAGACTTTTAAGACCTTGCAGCTACCCTGTATTAACTTTGGCATCTGTCTTTACTGAGAACAGAGAATAATTTTAGCACCTGTTTGTCACATACAGGTGGTGTTTGTTATAGTTTAACCCATTGACGCCGGATGCTGCGCAGCGCAGCACTGAGTCTCCTGTCGGTGCTTCGGATTGTCTGGCGATCAGCATAACTGGTAAAGGCAGAGCCACATCTGGAAGCATGGGGGGCGTGCCCTCCTCTCGCTTCCATTCACTCCCATAGAGAGACGCACCTGTTATAGGAGCATCTGGAACAGCGAACAGATCAAGTGGTTGAGCGCGTTCATGCGCTGGCAGTAAAGAGCAACGTTTGTTACTTCAAACGCCAGGTCTTGATGGAAACATGTGCAGGATACATTTGGATTATTTTTCAATGGGGAAATAATACGCCATGATAAAGAAGGTTTAACGCGAAAATACAGCTCCCGCAGTTTTGCGTCTCTATGGGAGTGAATGGAAGCGAGAGGAGGACACGCCCCCCATGCTTCCAGATGTGGCTCCGCCTTTACCAGTTACGCTGATCGCCAGACAATCCGGAACACTGACAGGAGACTCAGTGCTGCGCTGCGCAGCATCTGGCGTCAATGGGTTAAAGTGATGTTTAGTTTCAGTAAAACAGGTCCAGTCTACTGTTCCCTGTTTGTTCTAGTTTGTGGTAATAAGTGTTGGGTTGATGTTAGTGTGTACAGATGTATAGATGTACAGATGTGCGTATAGTATATACAGTATATAATAACCTGCTGTGGTCCTTCCTCCCCGTATGGCCTGGGCCACCATGTTGTTAGTGAGTATAGGATCATATATAGCATCTGTATATGTTACTTTTATACTTTGACAGTTTTATGGTGTCATTAGGACTATAGTGTGTACACAAGTACAGTAGATCGTTATACCTGCTGAGGTCTTTGCTGCCTGGTGTAGCTCTGGCCACCATATTTGTGAAGCCCATCTTGTATTTCTGAGGCAGAACTGTGTCGTGCATGTGGTTCAGCTGCTCCTCTGTGAAGCCCGACAGGAACAGACACTTCCCTGAAACAAAACAAAGCTCATTTATAAAAGGAAGATTAGTGTATATGTGTGTTGCCATGTGTTAGCTTCTGATGCTACACAGAGTAAGCTCATGGTTCAAACTCACAGAAGTGATTTCCAGGTCCAGGAAACCAGCGCCCGATGTAAGCAGCCATGAGCCCTGGGTTTATGCCGATCTGAAACAAATATTTTTACATTTTATTTAAAGAAGAGGGTATTGTCGCTAAATTCAACAATACATATTAACAAATATGACATAAAAATAACATATTAACAAGTTTTACAAGTTTCACTTCGTTTTTGACACTCCAAGACAAAAGTCAGCATGTGTTTCAACAATGAAAGGACTGCACATCATATTAGGCTTGTAAAGCTGTAATGTGTAGTTTTGAATCATGTTTTTGATTATTTATGGAGAACAGTCATGTGAGGCATGGGTGATGTGGGCTTCTGGGCTGAGCATTGGACAAATCTTAGCCAACTGCAAGGCGGGTTCAGATCGCTAGATTACTCAAACATGCATGGGTGACTTCTAAAACCTCAGACATGTTCTTGATGGGAATAATCTTACAACACAGTAGAAAGCTCTAAAAAGTTGATGTTGCATAATAACCCCTCTTTAAGATCAAAATTAGATGTTATACAAAAAGTAAACCTAATATCTTTAAGAATACAATACTGGGTCTTTTCTTACAGCACAAATGAACTAATGTGAAATTATACTCTCATTTCAGTTTTAGTTGACCCTTATTTAACTAAGGCAAAAGTAATTTAGATAGAGTTTTAAAAGATTGACATGGCCAAAAGGCAGCAGTATACCAGGGGAACATAGATTTCACAATAGCCTCAAAACGTTGGAGCATTATTAAAACATTTAGGCACAATATTATGGTCAGATCAAAGGACTTTAAGCCACAAAATGTATCTGACCACTTTGCAGAACCAATCTCTGACAAATAATGTAGACTGAACATTTGTTGGATATTTCTTTCAAAAGTGGTTTAAGTGACTATGACAGGTTGGGCTACTCATTTTAAAACACAGTAAAGGTCATTAGATTTAAGCTTTTATGAAAATTTTTTATAATTTTTTCCCAATTTGGCCAATTTTTTTAGGTTTCAGATTTTACTTCTTGGATAGAATTCATGACATCACACTAGAGAATTCCATAGCATGTGTCCAAACCTCCACTAATGTACACAGGGATTATCATTTGACAAATAAAATAAGAAAACACCTCTATTTTGTTCATTGTGATGTTATCAATATGGAACTCTCTAAAACAGAACTCTCTCCCACAGTGTAACATAAGCCGCACTCCCAGCCATGCCCCCTGCACTCACAATAACATAGTCCAGGTTGTAATCGAGCAGGTCGGGCAGAGTCTTCTTCATCACCTCCTCTTCGGACATGCCTTTAAAGCGGTCCACTTTCCTTTTCACCTTCTTGGGGCTCTCTTCCTCAGGATTCCCCTCTTGTCCGGCCTCCTCTGTGGGCTTGGCCTTTTTGGGTTTGGGTCCTGGTTTGGCTTTGGGAGCATTTGGATCTTTAGGAGCCTTCGGAGCCTTCGGAGCCTTTGGGGGTTTGGGAGCTTTTGGAGGTTTGGGCTCTTTGGGCTCTTTGGGCTGAGCCGGGCGGCCGCGCTTCTTCGGTGGAGCTGGAGGAAAAAGAAAAGTTAGAATTTTAAAAACACCTATTTATGGGTTTCTATTTCCTGTTTAAAGGCCCCATTTGGAGGACTTTTAGGTGTTGAAAAGATACAGTATTTTGCTTTGAATTGAACATAACCATCAGCAGAAGACATAATGAATAACAGACACATACGTTTGCCAAGCTCTGCTGGTCCCTGCTGGTCCTGAGGTGGTGGGTTCTGTTGGTTCTGTGGAGGAAGAGGAGGAGGCTGCATCTGCTCCATGGGGCTCTGAGCACCGGCAATAGTGCCCTCTGTTGGGGGGTAGGTGTAGTGCTGGTGGTATCCGGAGTATTGAGCCTGCAGAGCGTGGAACTGCTGTGTTTGATGGATCCTGACCAAAAACGGAAAGAACCAAAACATTTTAAACATTTTAAACATGGAGATAAACAAAAGCAGAGCTGGAGTTTGAATGCACTGCTGCAGAAATGTTTTCACTTTAGACTGCTCTTGCTGCAATTGCGGTGTTTCAGATGACATCCCAAAATTCTATCAGTCTTTATTATTTAATACAGATGAGAGAAGGTAAAATGAATATTGTTCAAATGTAGATATATGTTGTAATTCAGTGAGTTCTTGGGTCTACTCACTAACAGAAATGATCAGGTTCAACATTTGTAAATTTGCCATGAAATATCCAAAAGGTAAAGTACAACGTAATTAATGGAGAAATCTGTATCTGCTCCCATCTGGGAGTATGACATCATCACATTACACAAACCACCAATATCGAGATTTGGGTTCTGAGTATCTGATGATGTCGACCAACCAATACCACTGTGGAGGTTTTCTTTAAAAATATGAATGCTTTTTCTTTATACTGAACTGTCAAACTTCAGGTTAATGTGACAAGGCTCTGTAGCAAGTGTGCTAAATAAACAAAAATTCAGTGCAACTCAACAGTGACCAGTAAATCGTGTTTAATAAATACATGAAAAGACTGGTCAAACCCTGAATAGATATCCTGAAACTACACCAGAATCTGTGCATCTCTGATTGGAATAAACCACAAATGCAAGCTTTATTGTGATCTATTCTTAAGGTTGTATTTTAAAGCCCCCACATGTAACTTTTTAACCAACAAATGGTTAACCAACAAGGTTAAAATAAAAACCTCCTCCTGCTCATTTCAACTGAAATCTTGTTCGTTTGTCTATGATATTCCACAGCATGAGAATAGAGAATGGTTTTAACTTTCCATTTCCATTGAATTATGCAGGTGACGAGCCAACTCCAGAAAATTACACACTGTAGCTTTAAGTATTTTTAAAATTTTACTTTAACAAAACAAAACAAAACAGTGAAAGGATGAAAAGTCGCACATGCTTCAGTTTGAACTCTGGGCATGTTTATGATTTATTTAAATTTCACTTTTGTTTGTTAAGTTTTTGGTAAAAAATTTTGGTAGATTTTGGTGCATTTTGTTCATTTCCACTCACCACTGCTGGATGTAGTCCGGAGACACAGGCATCGCGGCTGGAGACCTGTCTTCCATGGCGGCTCAGACTTTGGTAAATACATTCACATTAGATTTTAGATTGTAATTCATGATTTAGTTTAAATTCTGTTATTTTGAGTTAGTGTTAAACTGGTCCAAAGTGAAGGCATGTGCCACAGTTAAGAACAAAGGTGAAAAAAAAGTTAATAAACAATAATAAACAAAAATATTAAATTAAGGAGTAAGAATTCACACACTTTTCAGAAACCCCACAAACAGGTTTATTGACTAATGAAATGTTTGGTGGACTAAAGACACGGCCTGCTGATCGATTAGTCCACTAAAAAGGGGACGTGGCTCTCAAAACTACTGTATATCAATGTATCTGACCCAAACTGTACTCACAAGACTACACCTGCACGGCAGTTCATGCAAAAACAACAACAACAAACAATGCAGTACTAGGAAACAGTGTATTTTTATATAAAGATAGATTCAACTTATAAATCATGAGTTTAATTTGCCTTTTTACACATAAATACCAAAAAATGCCAAATCTTCTCCTAATTCACTCACTTCTCCTTTCTGCTGTTGCCCCATATAAATCTGTATATCTAAATAATATGAATACTCAACACATTTTCAGAATAATAGTGACTAGTTGACTATTGAAATTATTGTTGATTTTAATAATGTCAATGCTAATATGGAGCATAAACAGACTTTTAACATGTGTAATTTCCTGGAAACAGGTGAGACACAAACTATTAAATTTAAATATGTCAAGAATACATGATTTGTACAGAAAATTTCTCTCATAATGTAACACAAATTGTACTAGTTTGAGCTTTAAGCCATGTAAGAGTGTTGCTACCTCCTCAAAATCATACCAGCAGTTTCATTCACACATGTTTGAGTAATCCTGGATTATTAGGATGTCTGCATCCCTAAATCTTAAAATGCTTTCTTCCACATTGTGATGTCATAACGTGGTAGTTTTTGTTTGACAGAGACAGACAATTCCAGGGCTGAAAGGATGCAAATGATTCTAGTGAGGATGTATGTTTAAAAACACTAAAAACACAGAGAAGCACTTTCTGTATTACCACATGGCATCACAAGGTGGAACAGAATGTTTTTGTTTTTTCTTTTGAGGGAGATACGAAAATACTATAATATGGGCCCAATTTATTATACCCATCTCAAAACCTCCACTATGGGCATTTGGAACCCCCAGTCTAGGCTTTGGACAAAACTAGGACAGAAATACACTAATATTACAGAAAGTAACATAGGAAAAAAAAATATGCGTTATGCTGAATACGAAAAACTAGTATTCGTATTAGTAAGTGTTTATTAACAGGTTGACACATTTAGCTGCTTCAGTCAATAATAAAGGTGGAATCTGTAGTTAAAATTACAGTTTTGGGCCCTGCCTTGTGTTACGTGGATCACAATAAACAATACATTTTTTGAAGAAGTTATTTTTATAATGAAGTAATTTTCAAGTAAATCAAATTATATAACTTTAAAGCACGTTAACCGTCTGGTCTAATGCACCTTTAGTAAAATCCCAACACAACCTAAATATTAATACATTTAAAAAGCTCTGAGTCCATATTTAAATATCCCAATCATTGTTTTAACTATGGGCTAATACAATGCTAACAATTAATAGGGCTTAAAACGTGTACATTTCGCTTCTTATTAGTGTAATTTAAATTCTATCATATAAAAATAGTAATTAAATTCTTACCTCTGAAATATAATGGTTTTGTTTCTGTAATATTTGTAAATCTGTTATTTAAAGCGTTATTGCTACGTGTTAGCCACAGTTGAGCTCTGGCCATCTGCTAGCCGCTGAGCTAACTTAGCATGGATGAATGAACGCGTTTCGTTCTGCAGAAATAACCCACAAAAACACGGGTGAGATAACAAGGGACCGTACCTGCAGGTGGAGGGCGAAAACGCAGCGGATTTACGACTAAAATGAGTTTAATCTTCCATTTATTTCCGCAGCTCAAAGCGACAACAAAGAGACATGACAGACTCAACTCTGACACGGAGCGGACCATGTGGTGGAGGGGTGAAAACAGTTTAAAACACAAAATTATCAAATATACACTCCAGAAATGTGTTTAGTCTGTATATTTATTAACTTTAGGGTAAATCTGTGCGTAGTTAGTTAGAAAAATAACTACTGTATTCAAATAAAAGCCGAATAAAAGTAGTTCCCCCCTGTTTTATAGTTGGTCTGAATCGCTAGACTTTTAAACAAGCTCGATTCTCATTGGCTCAGAGCCCTCCATTTAAATGCATAGAAAAGCATTGTACTTGAACGTAATTTCTTGGTTTAATTTGACATCTTGGGCACACATAGCAATAAAAATTGTAAAAATTGTGAATAAAGTGTATTTTCCGTAACCATAACCATAAGCGCCATAGGTTTGATCAAGACATGTTTAATTACTTAATTAAGTCATACAAAAGCATTACATTAACATTATTTTAAATACAAAAGCTACAGGTGTTTTTTTGTGTGTGCAGGAAGTTTAAACAGAGTTCAGCTTCAGTCCTGATTTGTTCCTAGTTTAGGCCCGAGGTAATGTAGACTGGGGCTGGTCCTGTTATAGTCCTGTACTCCACACAGAAAGACCCAGGAGTCTAACCAGGGACCTTCTTGCATTGTCATTTTTGAGATGTGTTTTGAGACAGTGTGGATTCCCAGATGACGGAGTAGCACATGTGATAGCACCATTAAATTATAAAATAAATAAGGGTTTAAAAACAGTGCTGAAAAGTGATCTTCCTCTTCTGTCTTCCATCACCAGTCCCTGTAAAATAAAATACAAAACTCAATGTCTTATCATACAACGATTTAGCATTTAGGACTAATGCTGCGGTATAGTGTGATCGACTGATATGGGTTTATTTCATGACTGATGCCAGTACAGATGATTTAGAATCTAGAGTAACCAGTGGCCTTGCAGATATTTTTGGGATGATGAGAGCAGATACGCAAAAAAGTACAAGTGTTCTATGATTATTCTATGTGTTCTATGTACAAGTATGAGCGCAACCTGAGATAGAATCACTCACAAACATACATTTACACAGACGGGGGAGGAGAAGGGAGTGTGATGCCCAAGCACACAAAGCCACTGTAATGCTACATTCACATCACAGTGTCAAAATCACCTAGGTAAGAACAGAGAACCAAGAGGAACCAACCTTGCCATTCATTGAATGCAGTTTGGAATTAATTGTGCAGGCTTTGTCTCATTTTCTATGACCACTGCAGTAGTCTATCACCAGTGATGTGTCCATATGTACACTTCTTATTAAGTTTCACCTGAGTTCTTTTGTTGTTCCTGTTGTTTCTCGGTCTCAGGGTTTTGTCTCTGTGTTGGTTTCAGACGACACCCCAGCACAGCTCTCATATTCTGGATCCTCCTGTTCCTCTTTGATCGCCAAGCGTTTTGCATCCTCTGCACCAAAAACAAGAGCAAACAATATCATTACTGTGCATAATGTGAGTCACATTTGATTTACTGCCATTGAATCAGTACTACAGGAGAATAAAGATTACTCAAACAGGCATTAATCACTCTAAATATAATTTTAGAGGGTAAATGGGAAGGAAACCACTAAAAAGCTCTGAAAAATACATTTTGCATGATAGATCTGTTTTTAGCAAAAAATCAGGTACAGCCCTTTAATCACAGGGACAAACCTTTGGCCATCTGCAGGTCAAAGGTGTAGCACGTCTCCTCCACCTCTCTATTCTGCACCGCTCCCTTCAGGCTGTCTCTCAGCTCCTTCAGTTTAATATAAAAATGAACTTTATCCTGAGCTCTGGGAAACTGAGCACATCGTGGACTTGAGGATGGCATGAGGAAGCACACCTGAAACAATAACGGACAATATATCAGACTTTTTCTTTTTTTTTCCAAATCCACAAATGTTGTTTACCCTGAACATTTCTATCAATGACAAGGTCCATTCTCCCACTGTATTTCTACAACCACAGCACAACATCTGGGAGGGCATCTGACACAATGCAACATCTGCAGATTAACTAGACACATTTGACCTACCCCCATCTCAGTCAAACACTACAGGATATAGGAGAATGGGAGGGCATCTGACACACAGGGATACAGGAGGATGTTTTTACCGTTTCAGTTTGCGGGATCTTGTACGGCTGAAGTCCAAAATCTAGATTTTTTGCTTTGACCCCAAATGTCTCTTTACAGAAAATCTCATATATGCCTGAAACACAGAACATTTAATTTATCCAAATGATTTTAGTGAAGGTGTATGGAGTTTAAAAACACAGTGGAGCATTTTGTGTCACCACATCACCAAATTGTTATATATATGTGGATGAAAAAATGGGGTGTGTGGTTGCTGTTGTTTTTAATTATTCTAATGTAATTTTTCTGTTGCATGTGAAGCACTTTGTGCTACATTTCAAATGTATGGAAAGTGCTATAAAGTTTGATTCATTGATTGATGACAGCATAAGGTGGAAAAGAGTGTTTTCTATTTGAGAGAAGAACTTAAGAACCTACATATACAGGATTTGTGTGTTAAAGTTATGTTTTGTAAATGAAACAAAACATAACTCCATGGCATGGCTGTTATGAGGAAAACATTGTAACATTGTCAGAAAATAGTGTAATACAGGCTTTTTAAAGTTTATTTCTTTAAAGTTTCAGAGTGTATCTTTACCTTTGCCATTGAATGCTGCGATGAGCGGTCTGTACTTCTGCAGCTTCTCCAACAGCAGTTTGCCACCCTCTCTGATCTCCTTACTGTCAATCAAAGTTTAGTCCTGGTTTAGACCTGGTTCAGTACCTGCTTTTGTTCTGGTTTAGTCCTGGTTTAGTTCCGGTTCAGTAACTGCTCAGGTCCTCGATTAATCCTGGTTCAGTACCTGCTCAAGTCCTTGCTCCCTGGGGTAGTCCGCTCCACCATGTTGGTAAATCCAATTCCGTGCTTTTGAGGCAGACTCGTGTCATCCAGAAAGTTCAGCTGTTTGTCTGAGAGTCCGGACAGGAACAGACACTTCCCTGAAAAGAGAAAGACCTGGTTTACGCCATGACTTAAAAACCTGACTGACTCTAACTAGGCCTGAAGGAGAGCCTCCACCTGCTTGTTTCCATGGCACTGTTGTTCTTTTGACAATAATCTTGCACAGCAAGGCAAGAAAAAACTCATATTATCAATGAGAATGTTTGAGTATGGTTTAACTTTCCATTTCCATCAAATCATGCAGGTGATGTGCCTCCTTCAAAGTTCAAAGTTTCCTACTGTGTCTTTAAGTATGAGCCAAAGTTAAAGTGCCTCACAGAAGTGGTTCCCAGGGTTGGGATAATGGTGTCCTTTATACGCCGACAATAATCCAGGGTTAATCCCAATCTGAAACACAAAAGACACTATAAACACAAGACAGAAGACATATAACTTAAAGATACTTAACAGGTGTCCAAAGCATGTCAATGTCAATGGAAAATTTGGCAAATGTTTTTCATTTTAAATAATCTTTACATTTTACAAACATTTAAAGATGAGCCTGACAATAGCAGCTACAGAAAGAGGGGTGATGTTTTTTCAATAGAAAGTGCCCATGTTCATTCTCTATTTGGAATGCAACAGCTAGCGAGTTAGCCATTTCCACTTATATACAGTACATGGTCCAAAGGCTTGACTCCCCTGTAGGACTGTAGAATGTTGTGATGCTACAGAACCCAGGCCATTGCCCCACTTTATGTGTAACACGTCTTATACTTTTCTTCCATCTTAAACTCACGATAAGAATGTCTAGATTCTCCTGGATAACATCAGGCAGCGTGCGTGACATCACTTCCTCCACAGACAAACCGTCGAATCGGTTCAGATTTCTCTTCTTCTTCCGCTCTTCCTGTTCATCTGAAATCTCAGCAGAATCTGATGTTTTTTTACTTGGGCGACCACGTTTTTTCTTCTCTGCAGAGACTGAGACAAGATCATACAAATGTAAGGCTTTGGGGGTGAGCAAACTTTGAATATATGCCTGAAACTATAAAGCACTTCAATATATAGCACATGTAGTGCTAAAGAAATATATCACAATAAAAGATAATAGTGAAACTACTTTATGGCACTGGCACAATGACCCTAAAGCCATAGAATCACAATGAACTCTTTAAAACTATAAGCTGCAATAATGAAAAATGCAAAATGCAAAATCAAGTACCTTTTTTAGTGTCTATAACTAGTAGGGTTAATACAAGTATGGAAAGTCAGATTTTAATCAATTGGTATAAAAATTAGATTAATTTAAGCAAGTATTGGTACTGAAAAAAAAAAATTACATAACTGGGTAAGTGGTATAATATTTATACAGAGCTTTTCTATCTTTCAGACACTCAAAGCACCTTACATCAAGGAACCATTCACCCACTGACATAGACACTGGGGGCAGGGAGGGTATGTGTCTTGCCCAAGAAAACAATGGCAGTATTCGTCTGTGGGAGCAGTATAATTCCACCACCAACTTGTGGGTCAATGACTGCTCCACCACTGATATACCATTGACTTTTTCACACAAAAATGCTACTTGTGACATAAAACTATGAAAAATATTTACCACAGGTACTATTCCACAAAACCAACTACACTTTAATGTAATTTCTCTATTCTCACCTGGAGCAGTAGTTGGACCTTTCGGCGTAGAATCTTCATATTCTGCTTTCATGTGTTGCTGGTCAAATCTTTCACTCTGTTGCATGTCCATGTAAAACTGTTCTCCATTTTGCACTTGATGGTAATTGTTATACATGTATACTCGCCATTTTGGTGCAGATTCTGAGCATTCTGAGGCTGTGAATTTGAATATTGTTGGAAATATTGCGAATGAGTTTGTCTGTTTGGTTGGTATGGTGATCCCTGGTTATGGGAGTAATTTTGGGAGATGTTTTGGTGATGGTTTTGGTGATAGTTTTGGTGATAGTTTTGGTAGAATTGTGTGTCTTCTCTGTAAAATTCTGCATGGTGTGGGTTGTTTGGATCTCTGTAGTGAGACGATGACGGAAACTGAGGAACATGTCCAGAGTCTGGGGGCAACTGAGAAGAACCCCTGAAAATATAAAATACAATTTAAATAAAGCAATATTATACAAAAAAAGTAAGAATTTAAAGTCATAATAAAATGTCAATCATAAAATAAAGAAATAAAAACTGTCAAAAGGTCCTATAATACACAAAATTGACTCCTGTGAGCTTTAAGACATTTTATAATGTTGCTACCCCCTGAAAAACATACCTAGAGTTGTTTTTTTTTCCATTCACACATTTGAGTAGCCCTTTATTATTAGTAGTTTATCTTCAAAGCTCAAAATGCTTTGTTTCATCTTGTGATGTTATGTAGCAAAGGTGAACAGATTTTCAAAATTCTAAACTGGGACAAACTCGGGTTGGGATGGTAAGCGTTAATAAAAGAGTGAAAAGCATGCATAACATTGTCCATTCTTGACTCACTTCTACTTCTGTCATTTTTTGCTTTATGGTCATTTTCAAACATGGTTTTCTGTATTTTAGCTAAACAAATAGCTATATTGCCCCTTTACTGTTGGTGGGGATCAGATTGGTAAAAAATATGGATTCCTGGGACATTTCTTGCATAAAACTGGGACAAATCAGTGGTTTTGAATAAATCTGCTGGGACAGGGGACACAGGTCTAAAAACTGGGACTGTCCTGGGTAAATAGGGATGCCTGGTCACCCTTTATGTAGCAGTAGTTTCCACGTTAACAGCTACCTTTTATGTTTTGTTCAGTAGAGATTGGCAATTCAAGGTCTGAAATAATCCAAATGATGAAGATGGCCCCCCATTATTTGTTCCCTTAATCTAAAATCTTTCTGAACAAAGATGATAAAACTAGTCATACTTTACGCTTATAGTACTGTCGTAATCATACATAAGATTAAATAAGTATATGTTTAATCTGTAATTGATGTCTTTTTATCTGCAGAGACAATAAGTGATACTTTATACAAAATGTTATTGAATAAAATAATTCAGACATGCGCGTTCATTGTTGCTATACAAACAAATATTCTCCAATATGAATAACAAGATGACAGGTTATAGAAAGATCATTTATAGAAAAGACAGCCCGATTTAAACATTTCGGTTGCTTCATTTGACAAAATGCATTTACATTTTGTCCGTAAACCTCAGATAAACCTTAAAAATAGAAGAACAGGGCACACCAACCTGTCAAACATCGCGCAGAGCTGTGAGTGGATGATTTTGGCGTAGTTTTGGAGGATTTTATTATGACTTTTAGCTGATTTGAGGGGGAAGGGAAGAAAACAAAGCCATTTAAAACCTGTGCTTCCTGTTTCAGCATCAGCGCCTTTCTCCCCCCTGTGGCCCGGGGATGGACTGCAGCAGAGAACAAGAGAATGAATGTTTTTCTGTACAATAAACACTGCTAAATGTGATAAGAAATAATGGAAATGTGAGAATAGCTAATATATATTTAATCCAAAGTGATAAAGCCTCAATTTACGTTTAAACATAGGTTAAAAAGCGGTTCAATAAAAAGTGATCAAAGATAGCGTTTTGTTATGACATTCACTCCAACTCTAACATTAAATCGTTTCAAATTTACATAAAATTCAATGATACGGAACTACAACTAATATATAGTGAATAAACTTACAATAAAAGTGTACTTTTTGAGACCGTTTGATTTCTTTATCGTTTTACGATTTCTTCAGAGTAAAACCTCTAAGATCGACTCTTCGTCGGCGGATCTGCTCCTTGCGCATGCGTGCGTCACAGCGGCGTGGGGCAGTTCAGTTCACCTTCCTCAGAGATGACATAAACAAGGTGAATTTTACATTTTTATTCTCAATATTTCAACTTTAAATCTCACAAAGCGATAGCAACAAAACACGCCTTGAGTTTGTCGGGCTATGTGTCAAATAGAATGAAAGACTAGGCGATCGTAATGGTATTTTTATAAAACGAAAAATGGTGATCTAGCTAAATGTTATGTGTTAGCAGTTAATACCCCGTATAAGTAAAACACCCCCTCTAACTGTTCTCTGTCCTCTCTCTCCAGTCCGTCTCCTGGTCAGTTCTGATTGGTTCTGTTTAAAGATGCCGGCTGGAGTGTCCTGGCCTCGCTACATGAGAATGTTTGTAGCCAGTATTCTGTCCATGTTTGCTGGAGCTCAGGTGGTGCATCAGTACTACCTCCCAGACCTGGTGAGACTTTCACTGCACTACTTCAAACAAACATGGGGACAAATAAATGACAACAAACCCAAAATGCTTCTGTTTTAAAGCTCTGTTTTAATTAAAGGTCCTGTATCTGACTTATTGCGTTATGGTAAAACTAATATGTTAGATGCATAAAATAATGTAGGAACCCATCAAGCAGGTTAATAATGATGCAATTTTACATTGGGCTTGACAAACTTCTCATATCACTTAACAAAGGGACATCACTCATTTTCTTCCACATTTTTATCTTGTATGTTTTGATTTTAGAGCATTCCAGACATTCCTCCTAAACCTGGAGAGCTGAGAACAGAGCTGAGAGGGTACAAAGTGAGAGAGGAAGCCCGAGCTGCTCTGGAGAAGATAAAAAATGAACATAAACTGGATTAAAAAAAGACTTTTATGCCACACAACTATAGTGGAGCCTGTGACAGAACGGGACAGAGGCATCACTAATAACAAGCTAACCTAAACAAATTCTATGGATTTAAATGGACCTGAAGAACCCCCAGCATCATGGCTAACCTAAACAAATTCTATGGATTTAAATGTACCTGAAGAACCCCCCAGCGTCATGATATGAACATCAGGAGAGTCTACTGGTGTGGAGATGAAAACAATGTACTGTGTGAAAGTGTATGTGTGCTGCTGAGGACTGAAGAACCTACCCACAGTATCATGAGATAACATGGGTTACTGCTTTAAGTTCTGAGTGGTTCTGGTTTTGTGATTTTTTTTTTTTTTTTTTTTTTTTTTGTATAATAAAATATATTGACAAACTGCATAATTTTGTAAATTGTTCAGATGTTTTTTTCCTTGTAAATAAAAAAAAAAAAAAATTAATTCATGAAACACTTGATTCAGGCAACAACAACAGCAAGATTTTAAGCCAAGTTTAATGCATATAATGTATCGTTATACATACAGCCTATGGTTTAATGATGTCACACAGCATTCTATAGGACAATAATATAGATGGCAGCTAAAATAAATATAGTTAAAATGTAGTATTTGTTATAATACTGCATTCCTGGGCCTAGTCACTAATAGACATGATCACATTTAACATTTGTGGATTTACCTTTTGGATATTTCACAGGAAAGTACAGTGTAAAAATAATTACAATTGTTGTAATATTAGGAAATTAAATCATGTTAAAATACATTTTATGTCTGTGCTGCAGTATAATATATCTGTGAAAACCAAATGGTAAACATATATCTGTGTGTAGAATAAATAATGAATTTCAATTATGCTAATAGTAGCTCTTAGCATTAGCCTTTAGCTGTCTCCTAGCAACCGCTCCAAACAGACGAAGGAAAATGGCATCGAAACAAGAGAGAGAAGCGGAGGAATATTTACGGAAGCACCAGATCCCGGAGCTGATGGAGAATCTGATCAGTCTGGTGCTGTTCCACAGACCGGGTACGTGCTTAAAGTGCAAACAAAAAAATATGTTTAGGGACGTTTAAGTCACTAAACTAGAACAGACAGTTCAGATTTTTCAGTTTGAATACATGTTTCCACTTGTTCGCTCTCAGATTAAAAAGTTGATAACTCTGTAACTAATAAATAATAATAATAATAATGATAATAATAATAAATACTGTAAAATCTTCAGGCCATGTAAGTGTTGTCTTGTTGATATGTTTAGGTGCATATTTTGGTTCATGTTTTGTTTAATATTTTATTGTTTCTGTTGTGTCCAGAGAAGCCGAAGCAGTTCCTGTTAGAGCATTTGGAATTGTTGAAGCGTTCCCGTGACAGTGGAGACCGAGGCCCTGGTTTATTCACAAACGACGACCTGGACACAGTGTTTGGAATTCTGGACCCTGCCAACCGGAAGTCCATTTCATACAACCAGTACGAGCATGGTGAGGACATGTCAGATGCCCTCCCACTCCCCTGCACCTGTGTCTCAGAGGCCCTCCCATCCTCCTGTATCCCTGTGTGTCAGATGCCCTTCCATTCTCTTGTATCCCTACGTCAGATGCCCTAACATCCTTTTATATCCTTGTGTATCAGATGTCCCTCCATCCTCCTATATCCCTGTAGTATTAGACTGAGCTGGGGGTGGGTCAACTGACTCTAATTAATCTGCAGATGATGTGGAGTGTCAGATGCCCTCCCAGATATTTTGCTGTGGTTGGAGGAATATAGCGGTCACTGTCACTAACCCTCTATACATTGTATATTGTATATCGATATATTATATAAATGTTTGTGATTATAAAAACTCGGTATAATATGTATTTATTGATTTATTTCCCCAGCTCTGCAAACTCTGGGGGTGAGGGATGTGAACAAGTGTCCAGACGGCGTGAACGAGGATAAGATCAGCCATGACACCTTCAAAACTGAAGCGTGAGACTTTTAATAAGATACAACCTACTGCCGTCATATGCTGTGGCCATGGTGGTCCTTTTCCTGTGAAGTGGGCATTACAATAGTAGTTTGTGGTCTTAAAGAAGGGAAACATAAAGTACACTTAATTTTGATTAAAAATATGTGTATAGAATTTAAACAAGCTACATTCAGGTGAGCCAGGAAACTGACCTTTATTTTGTTATTCCAAGAGAGATACAGATACAGTATATTAAAGGAACTGTATGTAATGAATTTTGATTTTAAATGTCACAAAGAGAGAATGAATTCGGAAGGTTCTGAGCCTTCACATTAGGCACATACTGTCCCATACACTGTAAGACCACAGGGTCTTACATTACAACTGACATAGTCAGTTTAACCCTCAGGCTTCCCTGCAGACATTTTTGTCCATTTAGCCATTTTTTGCAACTTTGTGTGTGTGTGTGTGTGTGTGTGTGTGTGTGTGTGTGTGTGTGTGTGTGTGTGTGTGTGTGTGTGTGTGTGTGTGTGTGTGTGTGTGTGTGTGTGTGTGTGTGTGTGTGTAAAAAAATCAATTTGAAAATTGAAATTGAAAATTAAAGCCAGGCTATAATGGGGTACATTTTTTATGTGTCCTATGAATCAGCTTTGTCTAAAATGTGAAGTCTGTAGCATTTTTCGTTTTTGTGTAGCATCAGATAAGAAAAAAAGTCACAGTTAGGACCCTATAAATGTCCACTAACAAAAACATGTAAAATAATCATAGATTCGTTTTTTTTGTAAGTATCCATACTCTAATCAAAAATATCAAATTTATTAAAATCAGGATTTTAACCCCTTAATTGATAGGTTGAAAAGCTGGATTTCACACGTAATGAAAAAATTACCTCTAAAACAGATATTTTTCAGAAAAGGCAAGGCAAGGCAAGTTTATTTGTATAGCACAATTCGTACACAAAGTAATTTAAAGTGCTTTACAGAATAAGAAATACATTAAAATCATAATAAAAACAAATCAAAACATAAATAATCATGAAGATTAAAATTAAAAAAGAGAGACATAAATTGGAGAGAAGAGTGCGGAATGAAAACCTTTCAGTTATATGCACAGTTAAACAGAAATGTTTTGAGTCTGGATTTAAACAGCGTCACAGAAGAGTCTGTCTCACATGTTCAGGAAGATTGTTCCAGGTTTTAGCTGCATGAACCTGAAATGCTGAATCCCCTTGTTTAGTCCTGACTCTGGGCACCAGCAGGAGGCTGGTCCCTGAGGTCCTCAGAGTGCGAGATGGTTCATATGACACTAACATGTCACAGATGTACTTTGGTGCTCGGCCATGGAGAGACTTGTACACAAGCAGAGCTGCTTTAAAGTCTATTCTCTGAGGCACAGGAAGCCAGTGCAGAGACCTGAGCACAGGACTTATGTGCTCATACTTCCTAGTTCGAGTAAGGACCCGAGCTGCAGCGTTCTGGATGTTCTGCAGCGTCTCACAGCTCGTTTGGAGAGACCAGTGAGCAGAACATTACAGTAGTCTAACCTACTGGAGACAAACGCATGGATAAGTTTCTCCAAGTCTGCTTTAGACAGTAAACCTTTGACTTTTGATTTTCTTAGATGGTAAAAGGCTGCAGATGTTATTGATTTGATGTGGCTGTTAAAGTTCAAGTCTGAGTTCATTATTACCCCTAGATTTCTTGCCTGATTTGAAGGTTTTAGAGAGAGACACTGGAGGTGACTGCTGACACTGTCCCTTTGTTTCTGTGGACCAAACACTATGACTTCAGTCTTGTCAGAGTTTAGCTGGAGAAAGTAGTTTTGCACTGATCTGTTGGATGCAGTGGCAGAGTGAGTCCACTGGTCCATAGTCTCCTGCTGCCAGAGAGACATCGATCTGAGTGTCATCTGCATAATTGTGGTAGGACACGTTATTGCTGCTTATTAACTGGCCTAATGGCAGCATGTAGAGATTGAACAACAGGGGGCCCAGGATTGACCCCTGAGGCACCCCACAGGTCAGGGCCATGTGATCTGAGACACAGTTTCCAATTTCAACAAAATACTTCCTGTCTTCTAGATAGATAGGACTTGAACCAGTTTAGTACAGAACCAGAGATGCCCACCCAGTCCTCTAGTCTCTGTAAGAGGATCCCATGATTGACAGTGTCAAAAGCAGCACTCAGATCTAACAGGATCAAGACTGAGACTTTGCCTGCATCAGTGTTCAGGCGGATGTCATTTGTCACCTTGAAAAGAGCAGTCTCAGTGCTGTGGTGGGCTCTAAAACCTGACTGGAAAACATCAAAAGAGTTGTTCATTTGGAGAAAGTTCGTAGGCTGTTGGTAAACAGCTTTTTCAAGGACTTTGCCAAAAAACGGCAGATTTGAGATGGGTCGGAAATTGTTCAGTACTGTGGCGTCAAGACTGCTCTTCTTTAGGAGGGGCTTAATGACCGCTGTTTTCAATGCGTTTGGGAATGTTCCAGATTGAAGTGACATGTTAACTATGTGAGCGAATAGTGAAAGTAAACTGTTGAGGACGGACTTTAGAAATCTAGTGGGTAACATGTCCAGGCAGCAAGTAGATGAACTCAGACTGGTAACGATCTCTAAAACAGTTTTGTCAGTTACAGGTGCAAAGTGACTCAGCTCTAAGTGTCTCTGTGGCTGCATGCTTGTTATTTGTGTTGTGGAATTGATGGCATTTTTGCTGCCCTGAAATTTGTCATTAAAGAAAACTGCAAACTCATTACATTTAGATGTGGAAATTAGTTCTAGTGGCAGTGGAGCTGGAGGGTTTGTTAATCTGTTCACTGTTGCAAACAGGACACGAGAGTTGTTACTGCAATTACCAATAATGTCCGAAAAATACTTCTCTCTTGTTTTACTCAAAGTGTAGTTGTACATATGCATTTTTCCTCTGTAAATCTCATAATGAACCTGGAGGTTTGACTTGCACCATTTCCGCTCAGCCTTCCGGCACTCCCTTTTCTGTGCTCTGACTGAGTCTTCATTCCTCCACGGAGCTTTTTGCCTATCTTTAACCATTTTAACCTTTATCGGCGCGATGGCATCCAGAACATTCAAAACACTCATAGTCACAGAGTTCAACACATCATCAACATTAGAACATGAGGCAATTTCAAAATTTATCATTTCCATGAACAGTGCACCTGTGTTATCATTTATGTGTCTTCTTCGAACAACTGTAAGAGCAGCCTGAAAACAGAAGTCAGGGTATAATGGGGTACATATGTATCCTAGGAAGCTTCAAGTTTGACTAAAATTTGAAGCTTGTGGCATTTTTAGTTTTTATGTAACATCAAATAAGAAAAAAGTCACACTTAGGACCCCAAGGACATAAATGTCCACTCATAGAAATTTAATTCTTCTTTGCAGCTTGGTTCTCAAAATAATTTTCAAGTTCTCAGTATGAGCAGAATTTCCATGGTATTTTTCTGGAATTAAATTCCATAATTCCCAGAGCATATGAAAGCAGCATATTTAGAACTGAAAGGGAGCAATGGATCATGGTCTATGTAGTCCTCAGTTTTTTAACATTCAGTGATTCTAAAGTAAAATGTCTTCTCTGTGTTTCAGGATAGAAGGGCTGCAGAGGAGCTCAAAGACTTACCTCAAACCAAAGTCTTCTCCATAATGTTATTGTCACCTCTGGTCTGTTCATGTGTGGGAGTGTAAATAAAGTTATGTTTTAATGTTTTATGTTATATGTTATGTTTTAATGTTTTATGTTTGTTCCCTTGTATTTTTTACATTGAGAATATATTCAAAATGTGTCAAAATCTTATGGAAGTCTTACTGACTTGAGGTTTCTTCCAAATTTATGGATACTTTGCAGCTGATTCTCAGGGTATGACGCTAACTGCAAGCACTGCTCTATCTGAGGCTTGTTAGACTTTAATCTAAGCTTTATTTGAACATATCTAATCAGTGAACATTGAATCTAATCACAGAGGACTGACCTGGCTGGAAGTACTACAGGTGAGCTGATTTGTGCTGTTAAACAAGTCTCTCTAAAATAACATTGCAGTCACAAACTAGCTAGTATTAGCCAACACTTTTTCAGTTAATCACTCTCACCTTTTGGTTGAAATCACCTAAACACCTCACTTATTGCCTTAATGATAAAAAAAAAAAAAGCACTGAATATAGGTAAAATACTACAAGCATAAATTAGCCTATCAGTTGGAAATCAGATGATGGAAAACACTGGACTACTTTTACTTACTTTTAACCAGAAGGTTTGTGGTTTGAATTTACATCTGTTGTATTCATGGGCAAGACACAAGGTTGTTAGAGGCTCGTGGAACAGAACGGCAATTACTTCTCAGTCTGACCCAGGGCAGATGTGGCAGTATGAAGGAGTTGTGGCTCACTGAAGCAGATTTGTCTAACAGATCTCATAATTAAATTTAAGCTCGTGTTTGATTTTGTGCAGTTGACCCATTATCAGTGTTTTCCGTGACTTTTAAAAAATATTTTCTGCGGTCCGTGCGCGCTGACGTCATAGTAGCGTCAGAGGGCGTGCTTGGGCGGGGGAGGTGTCATGGCGGCCTCCTGTGTCCCGTCGGCTCTGGGCTGCTCTCTGTAGGAACTCTGGAGGATCTGTGCGGGTCTGTGCGGGTTTGTGGAGGGTTTTACTTGTCTCTGTTCATCTGTGCAGCTCCAGCGCGACATGGGCACTGTGCACGCGCGGGTAAGGCTCTCATGCACGCGCACACTGACCTCTGAGTCACGCACACGCACGGACACACGCACTGACATACGCACTGACATAGGAGAGAGTCGGGACGGGGCTGTAGAGCATAGACTGTCTGCAGAGGGACAAAACAGGGTACATAAACACATCTGCTTTTTATTCCACACAGTTTTCATTTAATTGGTTTGCTCGCAAAGCTTCGGGTTCACGTGACCTCTGTTTGAACACTGTTATCTGAGAGTTGCTAAAATGACAAATATTTACCCAATAAAATGTTTTTAACTTTGTATATTATCATGGCGAAGACTATTAAGACTATCAAATGCTTTCTGACTGTGACTCTCAGCTTCTGGACCCTCAGCTTCTGTTTTGAACATGTAGAGTTACTGTTCATTAGTTCGGTTTTCTCTTTAGTTCGGTTTTCTCTTCTTTCTCCTCCCTCATCCTTTCCTCCCTCTTTGTCTTCTTCTCACCGTCTTTTCTCCTCTTTCCTTTCTGCCTTTTTGTCTCCTACATCTCTCCTTTCATCTCCAGACTTTTATCTTCCTGTATAGTAGGGATGTAACAATAGCCGAAATATCGTAATATCGTATCGTCAAAAGTCTTACAATAATATCGCGGGCTGTCACAATATATTGCATTACGAGTTCCTTTGTTTAAATGCATGGTTTTATTGTAGCAACAGCTTATTAACATAGGGAACTACATATCCCATGACACATTTCAGTGCAGACAACATGAAGAAATATTTTTTCACCTGAATTCTTGGGATTATGACGGAAATAATTCACACCAAAATCTTGTCGAGGTATTTTAAAAGCAAAAAAGTGTCCTGTGGGGAAGCTGGCCAAAGTGGTCGAAGTAGGAGGCAGATGACACAAAAAAAAAAAAAAGGTGTCTTACGCAGACAAAATTTATTTAAAAAAAACAGACTTCTGGATTTAACCAACAAAAATACAAATAGACAAAAAATAAGTAACTCAAAGCAAAACACCAAATACCTGCACAGAAGTCTCCCCCTAATTAGTGACACCTGCTTGCCTTTTATACTCCGCCCAGGAGGAAGTACCTCCCCCAGGTGAGTAACAATTTCAGGTAAAGCAAAGCAAAAGGTGTCTTTCCAAAATCAAAATGGTTAACATAAATTAAGGTGAGTTTAAAATAAGACAAAGGCCCACTTTGTCACACACCCCCCCTCTTAAAACCGTTACTCAAAGAGTCACGGGACAGGAAGTTCATCATTTTACATCCAGATAACACAATAATTTGAACATACTAAACACTCTTTCCCAATGAGACAGTAGGCTACTTCAAAGTGTCCAAAACTCCTCTTGTATCAAGAGCATCTTCTTCAATGACAGTACCTTCTTCTCGAAATAGTTCAGTTCCATACGGCCCCCAGTCTCACCAGCAGACCATCACTGGTACTGCCACACTTCGAGCTGGTACCTTACCCACAGCGGGTTTCGGGAACTCCAACACTGACCAAAGCTCCTTCAAAGTTGCTCCGTTCACTCCAACTGCACACAGCTACAGTTGAGCACCAAGCACTCCAAAGCTCCTGATGACAGCTCCTGGCGGCCAGACGCTGAACTCAAGGCAGCCGTTAGCCGTGACGCTCCACGACTCCTCCAACGTCCTTATAGCCCCAAGTAGCTCCATCCTCCCATGGTGGACCTCCACACGAGACGCCATCCTCACTTCAGGGGTCGCCCCTGTGAACTCCACTCGACTTCGGTGTACCACCCCTTGGAGGTGAGAAACATCCTGGATCCTCCGTTGCCTTTTGAGGTGATGTAGACCTCTCAACTGTCCCAAGTTTGTAAAAACTGGTTCTATGCTGACTGACCCCTGTTGGCTGACAGGTGGACCAGTTACTCCAGCAGCACGAACCTTGTTTTGTCTGCTCTGCATGCTTCTTCACTGCCTCCCACTGGCCTGGATCCCACCACTGCCACCAAATGTGGGGAAGCTGGCCAAAGTGGTCGAAGTAGGAGGCAGATGACACAAAAAAAAAGGTGTCTTACGCAGACAAAATTTATTTAAAAAAAACAGACTTCTGGGTTTAACCAACAAAAATACAAATAGACAAAAAATAAGTAACTCAAAGCAAAACACCAAATACCTGCACAGAAGTCTCCCCCTAATTAGTGACACCTGCTTGCCTTTTATACTCTGCCCAGGAGGAAGTACCTCCCCCAGGTGAGTAACAATTCCAGGTAAAGCAAAGCAAAAGGTGTCTTTCCAAAATCAAAATGGTTAACATAAATTAAGGTGAGTTTAAAATAAGACAAAGGCCCACTTTGTCACATGTCCTATCTGCAATTATATAAGCCTCTCCAAAATACACTGATGCATATTGTGATAATTTTATACTAAGAGATTTCGATATTGTTACATCTCTGCTGTATAGTGTTAAACAGTGTGGTTGACTTGTACTGTTTGGTTGTTGTATTCTCTCTCCTCCGCTTCTATTTACACACTTTTTGGTAGTGCTGGGTGATTATGGATTTCTTGAGTCGATACTGATATTTGATATTTGACCTTTAGATAAACTAACGATGACAAATAAGCTTTTCACTTTTGTAACATATATAACAAATTGTATTTATCTGAAATTTAAAATAATTTGTTACATGTTTGTGTAACATGCAGCCATATAACCCTCTTCTATTTTCATTTTTATTCATTAATCTGTTCAAAAAGGGCACACAGAGAAAGCAGCGCAAAATATCGACCAATACAGATGTAGAAGAAACAGCACCAATATATCTCCCATCCTTAGTTTTTGGACTTGGTTAAATATCTCTGGACTCTAGATCATCCGTTCTAGGGATCAAATCTCTTTGTCTTGTCTCTCCTCGTCTCTCTGCTCAGTTGTTTAAATGCCTCTCTATCATCTCTTGTCTCCCCCATACCCCCCTTCCTCAGTCTCTAGACCCTCTCCCGATGCAGGGGCCTGATCTCGGGGTGCAGCCAGATGACATCGAGGCCCCTGGAGTGGAGCCCGAACCCAAACAGGAAGTGCTCGAGAACAAAGATGTAAGACAAACTTTTATCATCTTATTATCATAATCTTTATTCATCCTTTATTTAAAGGGCCTATTTTACATAATTTTCTGATTTTAGTTATAATGTTGTCAAAAACATACCTGGAGTTGTGTTTTATTTCATTCACACATGTTTAACACACCAACCCTACATATTTAGGCTGAGTTCCTCTCTCAAATAGAAAATACTCTGTTCCACTTTGTGATGTCATGTACATACAGGAAGTGCTCCACTCTGTACATCTTCTAGAATCATTTGGATAATTTCAGCTCTAGACTTGCCAGTCTCTACTAAACAAAAGTAAAAGGAGCTGTTAACTTGAAAATCATCACAAAATGACATCACAAGATGGAAAAGAGCATTTTGAGCTTTGGAGATGTGGACTAATAATGCAGCATTACTCAAACGTGTGAATTAAACAAAACATAACTCCAGATACATTTTTGATGAAGTAACAGCATTATAACATAGCTCCAAAGAGTCAATTTGGCTTAATATAGGACCTATATTGCTTTTTCCCTTTAGGTGGTGGTGCAGAGGGTCCATGTAGATGGTTTGGGTCGGACCAAAGAAGATCTGCTCACATATGAGATAAAGGAAGTCTTTAGAGCCAGAAACCTCATTGATGTGAGTTTAAATTTAAAGTGCGTAAACTGCATACAGGTTTTCTTGTTTTTCTAATTCTGAATTGGTTTAGTGGGATAGTACCTGTGTTAAATATTTATCATAGTTTTACATCACTTGTGACAGTTTGTGGGGAAAAAAGTATAAAAGAAAAGAACAAAAATACAGGAAGTAGAGCTGAGTTCTAAAACAGAATCCCTCTACAATGTTAACTGTGTTTTAGTGAAATGCACTTTTTAAGTTATTCAGTGTAATACCACTATTCAGACAGCTGAATGAGAAGTCATCAGATCATCTCTATCAGTGGCAAGGTCCATTCTTGCTATATTTCTCAAACCTTACTACAACATTTGGGAGGGCATCTGACACACAACATCTGCTGAGACTTTTCCACAAATTTTAAAGTCTTTTACTTGTTAAATATTCAGGTTATGAAGAAGTCCCATGAGGCAAGACAGAAGCTGCTGCGTTTGGGAATCTTCCGTAAAGTCAATGTGGTCATTGACACATCGCGAGGTTTGTCCCAACCTCTAGATTTCAACTTGATTCATGCATGTTTGAACAATCTTTAATTGCTTATTTTCAAGATGCCATTTTGCCAATCAGCTCCTGTTTTCACTGCCACCAGTACACACCCACTGCTCTGTACTAACTTCATTCTCCAATTTTATTTTCCCAATTGATGATATGTGTAGGATTTGGCAGCATCATGAAGCCATTTTGGTAAAAAAAAAAAAAAAAAAAAAAAAATATCATCTCCTTGTGGTGTAATGTGCAGCTATCTATAGGAGGGGCAGACAGCATGCTGCACTTTGTTGTGATGACGTTTATGCATATGTCATCTCTCATTAGGCACCACAGTCGGTGAACTTTTAAACAAAACAGAAGCGACTTTTATTAAGTCGCTTTAGATCAATATTGTGAACATAATTATCCATGGGTGTCATAGATTATAACTATAGAGCAGACCTAAACACAATAGATCTTCTTTAATGCTCATTATAGAAGGACTGAGAATCATGCCATATGACTCTAACTGTTCTGTATGTGTCTAGGAGAGGGTGCTCTTCCGAATGGTCTGGAGGTGACGTTCCATGTGACGGAGCTGAGGAGGGTTACAGGAAGTTACAACACGGTCGTGGGAAACAACGAAGGCAGCATGGTCTGTGTGGGATTTCTTAAACCTCCCAGTTTTTGTTTCATGTGGATAGGCCCAGTAATTACAGATACATTAACCATAAACCAAAGTCAACAAATCTGCAGTTTGACAGTTAAAAAGCAAATTCCACCATAGAATTCTGACCTGTCCTTCAACTCAGTTTCAACTTCAGGACAACTTCAGATGACATCACAGCATTCTGTAATATTTCATTCAGATGGAGGCAGTTAAAATCAACATTGTTGAAATGCAGATTTGTATTAATACAGTGAGTTCTTGGGTCTCTTCACCAGCAGAAATTATTAGGTTTAACATTTGTGAATTTGGATATTTCATGGTAAAGCACAATGTAAGCAATAGGACAAACTGACTCTTGCCCCAATCTGGGAATACATTCTAGAATCTGAAAACCACTAACTCTAACCAAGATCAGTCAATCTAGATGGATCTTTGCAATACATTTTTGTTTTGTTTCATCACATTTCTGTTGTTTCTGGTTCCAGGTCTTGGGTCTGAAGCTTCCCAACCTTCTGGGCCGAGCAGAGAGAATGTCTCTGCAGTTTTCATTTGGGACCAAAGAGACGTCATATGGAGTGTCCCTCTTCAAACCTCAGCCCGGGAACTTTGAGCGCAGGTGAGAGGCAAGTCAAACAGGGGCAGGTGAGGGGCAGGTGAGGGGCAGGTGAGGGGCAGGTAAGACGCAGGTAAGACGCAGGTAAGACGCAGGTAAGACGCAGGTAAGACGCAAGAGAGGCAGGTACAAAATTGTTTAACTGAAAAAAACACACATATACAAAATACATTTATTTCTGTTGTAAATGAGATAAATGCTTATTCTGCTTCAGTAGTGGTAAAAGTAGGAAGTGCTGTTTTTCAGTATCACGTTGAAACTCCTCTGCAGTAGGCCTACTTTAATAGTACTTAAGTATATAATAGTAGTAGCAGTAGTAATAGTATTTGTATTGCAGCAATATCATGTTGAATTCTCTTCTGTAGTATTAGTCATAATGCTGCAGTAGTAGTAGTAATAAAAGTATTTGTGTATTGTAGCAGTATCATGTTGAAAACTCTTCTGTAGTACTCAGTTTGTTAGTACTGCAGTAGTTCTAGTAATAGTAGTATATTTATTTGTTATAGTAGTAATAAAAGTATTTGTGGATTTGTATTTGCAGTATCACGTTGAACGCGTACAAAGTGACGGGGCAGTTTCCCTGGAGCTCTCTTAGAGAAACTGACCGGGGAGCTTCAGCTGAACTCACTGTGAGTATAGATGGATATACTTTATTAATACTTTTTAGGAAAACATTTTGTTGCAGTAGCTTATTCTACAATAACAGCAAAAACAACATGCATTCATCCACACATATTAAAAGCAAAACTACTTTAAAAGTTTTATTGCAGCAGGCATATATCAGTTTTTTTTTGTTTTGTTTTTTTAACCTGGATTTCTTGAGTTTTGTTCTAGCACCAGCCATTCATGATTCAAACTTATGGACTTAGGATAAAACATTTTTCTACATACATTTTTTATATTAACTCCAATGTCCTGGTTTAGTCCCCAGTGTACATGAGTCTTAGAGGTTATTTGAAAACATATCTCTGTTATTGTTCCCTCTGTGGGCCATGCCTTATATTTAAAGTATGTTTTGTGATACTTCTGTCATAGTTCCCATTGTGGAGGACCAGTCAGTCTCTGAAGTATGAGGCAGTGTGGAGGGAGCTCTCGTGTTTGGCTCGAACTGCATCATTCGCCGTCAGAGAAGAGACTGGACACTCACTCAAGTCATCATTATCTGTGAGGAACAAATACTACTGCTACTACTACAAATATTACTGCAAATACTACTACCACTGCTACTGCACAGATCCTACGAATCCTATAAATACTTCTACTACTATTGCAAATACTGCTACATCTACTGCAATGTCCTCTCTATCTGCAAGGAATTATACTACTAATATTACTTCAAATATTGCTGCTACTACTATTACCCATGCCCTTTGTCAATGAGCATTAATAATGCTACTATTATAAATACTGCAAATATTACTGTTGCTAATACTGGTTAATAATGCTTCTGAACTTTCCTCTCTGTCTGTTAGGAATAATATTACTAATGTTAGTACTACTTTGTGACATATTGGAGGGTTTTTTTTGTTCCAGTGTAGTAGCCTCATTGTGATGTTGTAATATATGGTCCACTGTTTTTAACCCAGTGTCCATGTTGTGTCTGTGCAGCACTCAATGGTCATCGACTCTCGGAACTCCACCATTTTACCTCGATCCGGAGGTCTGCTACGCATTCACCAGGTCTGGCATATTAACCAGGACTGAACCAGGACTGAACCAGGACTGAACCAGGACTGAACCAGGACTGAACCAGGACTGAACCAGGACTGAACCAGGACTGAACCAGGACTGAACCAGGACTGAACCAGGACTTACCACGACCTGGATGTCTGCTGGGTGTTCACCAGGTCTGACATTATATATAGACTTCTATAGGTTTGCTGTCATATTAAAACAGACTATTTGCGAGCTGATGAGTCTGTAAAAGTTGTGATTGTCCTGTTGTAATATAAAATGTTTAACCCCTGTGCACAGGAACTAGCAGGCTACACCGGAGGAGATGCCAGTTTCCTGAAGGAAGATTTTGAGCTTCAGCTGAACAAAAGTCTTCTCTGGGACTCGGTGAGGCTTCTCTGGGTATAGACCCATTCACTTCATCTCAAAATGTTTCACTGAGCGAATAACTCAGTTCGCTTTTTATTTTGAGGGACATTGCTTTACTTCCCAGTGCTCCATTCTATTCTTACTTTTTATAAAAACATAGCGTATTGTCAAATTAGTTCAATAAAAAGAATAATACAGACAATATCTATTGTGTCTAAATGTGTATAAATATATAGTTGTATGTTTGTTTGCAGGTTCTCTCCCTGTCTCTGTGGGGGGGTCTGTTGCTGCCCATCGGAGACACACCCACCAGCATTGCAGACAGGTGGAGTTACTTTACGTTATTTAACTTCATTCATTCTTGTGTGGGGTTGTCCTATGGGTTTTTCATATTTCATACCAAATTAAAACTTAAAAGTGAATCTCCATGTGTTGTTAAATGATTTTTGTTAGTAACATTTCTTATTTTTTAGGTTTTATCTAGGAGGTCCCACTAGTGTGAGGGGCTTCAGTATGTACAGCCTCGGCCCTCAGAGCGAAGGTGAGACACAGCAGACACAGCTTTAGACCAGGTTTTCTCGTCTTAGCCCTATCTTAGCCCTGGGTTAACCCTAGTTTAGCCATTGTTCAGTCCTGGCTTAGTCTGGTTTAGTCCCAGTTTAGCCCTGGTTTAGTCCTGGTTCAGTCTTGGTTTAGACCTGATTTAGTCCTAGTTTAGTCATGGTACAGGTCTTATTTATGTCCTTGTGTTCCTGTAGGAGATTACCTGGGGGGCGGGGCATACTGGGCGGGCGGTGTCCATCTTTTCTCTCCTCTTCCATTCACACGGCGACGAGGTGGCTTCATGGACCTGTTCAGGACACATTTCTTCCTCAACGCCGGAAACCTCTGTAACCTCGATTATGGTAAAAACACAAGCCCTGTTATGGTCCTGGTTTAGGTTTAGTCCTGGTTTAGTCCTGGTTTAGTCCTGGTTTAGTCCTGGTTTAGTCCTGGCTGCATTATTTTTTTCTAGTAGAAACACAAACCTCAGCAATCAGTAACCTCAACTGTGATTCAAAACTGCAAACCTTCACTACAATATGACAATATATTATGGAAAACCACCACTTATGAGATTATTTGTTCATTTTAATTGATAGAAAACAATATTCAGGTAATTTATTTTGCTTGTTTTGACCAATTGTTTTTCTGATTAAAATGTGGATTTCAAAAAATACTCTTCCATCAGTCTTGCGTCTGCTCTAAACCACATGCTTTACTGACAGGACAGGACTGGCTGTAGACCTCTCCACTAAAAACACTCAACCAAATAAATAGATATGACTGAATCTCCATTTGACTCAAGTTAAATTAGAGATGCACTATGTAACTTTTCTGGTGTAGGGTTCGCCACCTGCGTCTCTCTACAGATGTTACTGCTGTCTGGAATTTTGCACACTATGGCATTAGACTTCAGTCACAGGTACTTTTATTGCTCATATACATTGAAAAACATTATTATAGTGATCGGTGTTGCCTCTGTTTTCTGACTTGACCAAGAGACATTAAATCTCTCTCCACAAAGACAAGAAGGTAATGTCATATTCCAGCTGAAGTTACATAGTGCACCTTTAATCACCCAGTCCTAATTATAACACTCAAGGCGGTCATTAATCTAAAAATGCACTCTTCATATAAATGTCAATCACTTTTAAATAGTTTTGTTTGACAGGAGTGAAGAGAGATGTGCTTGTATGAGCGTGTAATTGTGTGTTGTTCCAGGAGAGGGCCCTGGCGCTCACCTGCAGCGCCTGGCAGAGTGCGTCCGCTGGTCGTATGGACTGGGCATTGTGATGCGTTTAGGGAACATTGCACGACTCGAACTCAACTATTGCATCCCCATGGGAGTCCAGAGCGGAGACAGGTGAGGAGCAGAGAGGACATCTGACACAATCTGTAACACAGGAAGGGCATCTGAGGCACAGGGGTCCAAAGCGGAGACAGGTGTGAGCTGCAGGGGAGAGCTCAGGAAAAGAGGGCATCTGACACACAGGGTGGGCATCTGAAGCACTGGGAGTCCAAATTGGTGACCAGTGAGGAGCAGGAAGAGCATGTGACAAAATCTATAACACAGCGAAGGCATCTAAGGCACAGGGATACAGGAGGAAGGAAGTAATAACTCTATAAAATTATAGTAAAACTTATGTTTTCAATATTAATCTGATTATTGTGTCTGCTATTGCAACTGTAAATTTATAGATTTTTTTTTTTTACTTTTATGTCTTTTAGTTTAACATTTTAACATTTTATTTTCAGGATCTGTGATGGGGTGCAGTTTGGAGCGGGCATCCGGTTCCTCTGATATACTTTTATTTTGAAGGGACCTGTGCAGTTTTATTTTGAAGATTCATGTCAGCAGTTATCTGTCGGTCAGTTCATTTGTGTAAAATGCCTCATTATTTAAATTAAATACATGTCTTTGGAGCTGTTTCCAGTTTCTTTTTCTGAGGCACTGGGAGGGAATCTGACGTGTGTGTGTGTGTTGAAATGTCGCACTATTCAGAGAGGAGGTATGTTTCTGTCACTCTAGGAACATATGGGAAAACAAGGCTAAAATAAATGTGTCTTGAATTCAAACATAAGTAAGCTTGCATCTGACTTTCTCAGGAGGAGGGCCGCCTCCTGTTAGTTTCCATGGAAATATACCTATATAATATTCCTCAGTATGGCATAAAACTCATTTATGCAGAATGTTCAGAAGTATGGTTTTACCTTTCTAGTCTTCTCTTCGTCCATGTCCTACAAAGGTGAGAGATCCTACAAAGTGAGCCGCCTCCTGTACGGCAGGAGGCACTCCCCTTCTTCTCTCGCGCACTCAGAGTCACGTGACGCCCCCTGAGCTGCGCCTACGCATTAGAATCGCTGCTTTTAGCTTTAGCCTGTTAGCAGCACGCTGTTCTGCAGGAGGACGCTGCGTTTGTGCCCACTCTCCTCGCTCTTCTTCGGGTTCTCTCGTCTCTGCGCCGCCACTTCACGGAGCTCTCCTCCCGGACACGCCGCTGTCGGTCCCGCGGGACTCTGCAGGAAAAGACCAGTACAGGCCGAGCTTCGGAGGGTTTGCGGCGGTCATCGGTGCGGCTGTGCGCGTGTGGAGGCGCGCAGATGGCGGTCACTATCGAGGATCTGTACCGCAGCTACGGCGTGCTCGCGGACGCCAAGGACAACCTGAGCCAGGTCAGTTTAGCCCGGAGAGTATTCCCCTTATACCCCAAGGCTCCAATCCGCAGATAAACCCCTCTAACCTGAGTTATTCAAGTCCAAACGGCGCTTTGTTTTGGCTGCGTTTGTTGCATAACAGTGCTAAGCTAACTGCTAACAGCTACAATGAATGACCCTCTGCTTCCGCGGGGCCATTCAGGGTTAGGATTCATCACAGGACTCTTTATCTCATTGTTACTTTAAATTATGTATATTATATATTTTCTATTATTAGTCTACAAATTCATTCTGAAACTCGCCTCTGTTTTGTTTATGTAAATCTACTCAAAGGCCCAGGCTAAGATATAACTTTATTTTTCATTAGGGAATTTGCATTGCAGGAGCATTTTACCCATAAAGTATGATCTATTACCATTTACATGATTCTTTTCAAATATTACTGCCAGCTGCCAACCCTAGGATTGGAAGTTGCACTTCTTATAATTTCTTTTTAGATATAAAATGCATTTAACAAAGTCATTTCCTTTATTGTGAGATTAGCAGTGGTTGTCTTGCTATAACGGAAGTACTTTTATACTTAAAGGTGCATTTTGGAACTTTTCTAGTTTAGGGTCCACTACCTATTGAGTCCATGAAAATGTTCTTGCTCTTGCCTTTAATGTTCTACACAGTATGGGATTAAGTTAAGATCTTAATATTGCCACGAAGTTAGTGGTGCTACCAGACAAAGCTACAGGTAAGATATGTAGAAAGGTGATCCTGCACATAGTAAAAGTGCATGTTTTTTCAGTGAAAATGATCCATATTGAGTAGAGGTAATGTTCTTTGAAATGTGGGAGGGGATTGGAAATGTATAAGCTTTGCTTCATCCATCCCCTCTTCAAACCATGCAAGTTTGCTGCATCTATATTGTTATGGTATGTGAATTGTATGTGCAGGTTTGAAATAAATAACTAACTAAAAAACATATTTGTGGCAGTAGTGCAAAACTGTCATACAGATATATCAAATAAAACCATGTTTTAAAAAGTAAACAAAAAAAAACTAACAGCCTGATAAACTGCTGGGTCACTGCTGGTAAATAAATCCACCTCTCTAAACTCAGAAAAACAGAAAACACTAAGCTTAGTATTTAGCATCTTAAAATCTTTGTTGGTTTAACCTTCTATGTTGTGTGACATCACATTCTTGAGCTCTGTAAGCCGGTTGTAATCAAATAATGTTATACTGTGGAACATTGGAGGCAAAGCAATAACATCTCCATTATCATCTTAATCTGAAAGTTTTTATTCTTGTTTATATCATGTATGTTTTTTCCTCAGCACTTATTTAGTACCAATTCTGATACCACTGTATCCAATCTATTCTTTGGTATCGAAATCAAGTTTGAAATTTATTATTTAATAATGTGACAACACTATTGCAAATGTTTTTTAATAATATAAATTTTTTTATCATCCATACATTTTATCACATGTTTTCCTCCTCCTCCCCTGTCCATCAGCACAAAGATGCATACCAGGTGATCCTAAACGGCGTGAAGGGTGGGCCTAAAGAGAAGCGTCTCGCAGCTCAGTTCATCCCAAAATTCTTCAGTCAGTTTCCAGAACTTTCAGATGCCGCCATCAACGCTCAGCTCGACCTGTGCGAGGATGAAGATGTGTCGGTGAGAAACTTGAACACTCCTATATTGTCACAATAGCACATTTTGAAGTGCGATATATCACACTAGGAGCCAAAATGTCACGCCGTGGGCTTTATGTGCTGGCACCTGTCAGCCTATAAAGGGGATAGAAGAAGGTAGCACAGGTGCTGCTAGGTTGAGCAGTATAATTTTTCTTACAATGTCATGTGTAATTGTGGAGTATTAAAATAAAGTACTTTTGTAGTTGATTTGTATTTATGAGCCATAATTAACTCTGCGCTCAGTGTCTCAAAACTTATTTAAAATTCCCCACTAGTACAAAGAAAAGTTACACAATAAATTATGAGCCTCATAGAGTAATGAACAACTGTTGACATAGTAATTATTGTGACATTAAAGAATCATGTCGGCAAAATGTCTCGCTGCTTGAATAAAACTATTATTTCTGGAAAAAATGTCTCCAATCCTCTCCCATTATTTGAAATAATGAAGATTTTTGAGGTAATCATCGACTTTTGCAAACATGCACTCAGATTATTGGAATAATTGGCTCAATATGGAAAAGATTTTTTGACTTTGAACAAGTACAGTATAACAATGGACTTGGCTCTTGTACATAATGTTTCTGTTGTGTGTAAATTTGTATCTCGTATTTTCTTGATTGCATTCTGCTTAAATGCTAACATTGTATGCTGTTCCACTGTACAAGTGCAGTGAGTAAAGTTAGTTTCCATATCTGGTTGTTAATGTTTTCTGCAATGTTTCCAGATCCGGAGACAGGCCATAAAGGAGTTGCCGCGCTTCGCTACAGGAGAAAACATCCCCAGAGTGGCAGACATCTTAACACAGCTCCTACAGACAGGTTAGGGAATGTAATGGTTGTAATATATAACTATGCACTGCCAGTATTATACCTAATGGTCAGTTTCAAAGCCCTAAACTGGATATGTACTTTAAAATGTAGTACAGTATTTCCTAGATACTTTAATAGTGCCCCTACAGAAGGCTAACAAACATTAAAACCTTTTTGTTAATCTCTCAGATGAAGGCGTCTTTATTAAATATGTCAAACCCAAGAGAACAAATGTAACATCATGCCCAAAAAATAGACAAAATTTTTATTTTGGAAGTTTTTGTTAGAGTTAGAAAAACATTTGCATTTGAATGAAATTTGCATTTAAATTTTATATTTCCTTCGAATCATGCATGTCACGTGCTCCATAGTAAATTTACTATTAAATCTATCTTAGACAAAATTGGATCACAAAGTGGAACAGTGTTTTCTGTATGAGAGTAGAACACAGCTTAAATATGCAGGGTTTGTGTATTAAACATGTGTGAATTAAGCAAAATACAGCTCCAGTTATGTTTGTAATGAGATAACATTGTAACAATTCACCTGTTCTTGACAAACGAAAAAGCTACAACGCAATTTTAAGGACGCGGGAGGATCTATTCATGTCAGCGAGGTGAAACAGAGACACACGAAAAATAATGTGCTGTTGGCCTATCCGGCTTTTATTGGCATTGCCAGACACATGCGAGAATGGCTACATTAACTAATAACATTAACCACCACCCCCGCTTTGAGCGCACCCATTTCCAAGAACCCCAACACAAAACCCAAATCCCAAATTGCAGTGCAATAAACCAACGAAGAGCAGTCCGCCCAAGTCCACCACCTTCACCACAGCCGCCCCAACAAGCTTCACTGGTCCCCAAAAAAGTTTCCAAAGCTTTCACTCCGCTGCGCGGCAGCGTGACGTGGGTCTGTAGTATTTACTCACGCCTCCCCGCTCCGGTTTTGACACACAGTCCGGCAGCTCCTGTGGCAAAGTACAATCCCACCGTATGGAAACGTAATAATCCGCAAGAATACCGTGATAATATTCCAAATGGCGTAGCTCCACGACCCTGACAGCTCCCGGCGTGGGTCCCAGTTGGCGTGTAACGTCACACCCTTTGCGCGTCTCCGCGGGCACGTCCCTCTCCCCTTAAATCCCTGTGCATCCGGAGAGGGCGCAACAAATGGTCAGATATGGGCTAAAATAATAATGCCACATACATGGAAAGAACCATACACAATAGATATTGATAACAAATAAGCATTTCACCCAACTGAATTAATAGAGATAGGTGAGGACCTAAGTGGTCTTTACAACATGACAATTGTGTAAATGTTTTTTTTTTCTGGTGTTTTTTAGATGACTCTGCTGAATTTAACCAGGTCAACGCAGCTCTGCTTTCCATCTTCAAAGTCGATGCAAAAGGTGAGAATACAAGCTCTTGTCCTGTGGATCAGATGCTCTCCCTGGTCTGTGTGTGCCAGATGCCCTCTCTGTGTCTCCATGGGCTCTTATTCAGCGTAAAAGCTGTTAACTCTGTAGTTCAGACCTCTACAAACATCTTCTGCAAAGCACGGGATTCTTGAGTTAGTTAGTTCAGATTTCAGTTTCTCTCAGATGTGAAGACTCCCTACTGTTTTTAAATGGATTGGTTTTTCTCCCTAGGCACTTTAGGTGGCCTGTTCACGCAGATCCTTCAGGGAGAAGACATTGTTCGTGAGCGAGCAATAAAGTTCCTGTCGACCAAACTGAAGACTCTTCCAGAGGATGTGATGACGAAAGAGGTGGAGGAGTTTGTCTTCTCTGAGACCAAGAAGGTGAAGTGCTCATTTTCACTGTAAAACCAGACCTATCTCCAAAATTGACACATCAGAGCTGTTAAGTTGTTGTTTCCTCTCATCATTTACTCACACAAGTTGTGTTTCAGTGATTTGTGCATGTTTGAGCCATCTTTAATCACTTATAGTCTCTCATTGGGCACAACAACTCGGAAGTCAGCTGACTTGTTTTTTTATGAGTTATTATTATACAAGTCATTTTAGATTTAGAATATTACATAACCTAATAATCCTTGGGTGTCATAGATCATAACTATTGCAGACACAAGTACAAGGTCTTCTTAGTGTTGTTTCAACAAACCTCAGCATGTCTATTTCATCCATTGACTGTATCAACAGTCTTGACCTGCTCCCACAAAGAGTGTTTAAGAGTTTCTGATGTGCCCTGACTTGTCTTGGATTGGACTATAGTCTGTATTAAGAATTGGACTAAGTGAACGAGACGTCACCAGTAGCATTGAGCTCCAGCCAAATGAAGGTCACCAAGGCTTGCTGTTATATAGAGGCAAATTTGGAGCAGATCCATATTTATTATACATTTGGATTTGTGACTGCAAGTATAATAGCAACTATCATAGGATTTGAAGGGAACACAGGCGAAGAGTTTGTACTCCTGATGTGGGATCACCAGGGCTGCACTGAAATACATTTTGATTCTTTTAAACAACATGAATTCATTTTAACTGTTTAAACCTGGTTTTAATTGATATCCATGTATAGGTCTGAATACTAAGATATGTATCGTGGACCACTCACCCCCCAGACTTTCTGAAAAAATATATTTAACATTAAAAGCTCGAAAGCTCATGGCTAATCAGCTAATGGTACCTAATGACGACAAGACTTATCATTTTATTTAAAATCTGTTCCTTTACTTTATAAACAGCTATGTTCTTACTGTAGTAGTGTTGTTTCTTGTTCAGGTTCTGGAGGATGTGACCGGAGAAGAGTTTGTCCTGCTCATGCGAGTGGTCAGTGCTCTGCGCGTTCTTCAGACTGTGAACGGCCGACAGCAGTTAGTAGAGCTGGTGGTTGAGCAGGCGTTTCTAGAGCAGGCCCTGAACCCCTCTGACCCAGATACAGTGGACCGACTATTGCAGTGTACAAGACAGGCCCTACCACTCTTCTCTGTGAGTACTACTACTGCAAATACTTCCAGTGATAAAAGCTAAAGTCTTGTGAACCTGACTGTCAGACACACATTACTGTTTGTTCTGTAACAAAGCTGACATTGTTCTGTTGCTGTGTTGTTTGTGTTATAGAAAAACGTTCACTCAACTCGCTTCGTAACGTACTTCTGTGAACACGTGCTGCCAAACCTGAGCGCCCTGACCAGCCCTGTGGCTGGCATTGACATTCAGCTCGAGGTGAGTACTTAAAGCTCTCATTTACATTTCATATGTATTTAGACTGGAAAAAAAACTGTATCATAGTACAGTACTGTACTGTGTACTGTTAATTTATTTTAAAAGATTCTCCTTTTTATACTATAATTTATTATGTATTTATAGGGTACATTGGAGTACCCAATGAATACATTTGTGCACCACAAATGTATTCATTGGAAGCTTCTGTCATTTACCCTTCATATATGGTTCATACAGGAATGACATGACCTGTACACTTTTAGATTCCAGTAGATGTCTACCCCGTTCCAGTTCAGAATTGTATGCCTAATGGTGAATAACAAAATTTGTATTAATTATCACTTTAAATGTATCATTTTGATGGCTGACTTTGTGTGCTAATAATGAATAATGGTTTGTTTTATAAGCTGTAGCGCTTGCTATGACTCTCATTTACTCAATTTGCCACAACCTCTAAAAACAGTAGCTCTCTGGCATTATTTTTTTGTATAGGGTAGCTCATCGGAAGAAAAAGGTTGAAGACCCCTATCCTAGTGTCTACTTCTTGTACATTTGACCATTCATACTAGGGGTGGGCAATATCTCGATATTTTAAATATATAAAAATATTTCTTAAACTTGATATGGATTCTGACATATCGTATATATTGATATAATGCTTATATTCAATTCTGATTTCACCGCTTCGCTTGTTTGCCTTCTCTGTGGTGTGATTTTGCTCGCTTATGTCTCATTCACTCCTCACTACCGCCGTGAATGTCGAAAGTTGGTCCCACGAGCACCATGAAATTTTTCCATCATTTAAAGACAAGGCCATCAGCAGCACATCCTCATATTCCACCGAGTCGTGTCCTTTAGTCCGATAGAAGCTGAACCGCATGAGCGGCACAAGGAGTGCGCTTTTTATGCAAATTAGCCATGCGCGTAAACACATGTGCGCAAAACTATATTAAAGACATTATAATATCAAACGGGCTGATGTGCCTCTATAGTCGTTATACTTTATTATATTTATATTGTAAATTTTATTTATGCAGAAGATTTTAATCAATAATCCGCTGCAGTGTAATTTGTACAGCAGTGTTTGGAAATGTTGGGTTTGCTATGTGCAGTGGATTGTGGGAAACTTCATAGCTCCTTGCGCTGGTGAGGAACATGGGTCTGTTAAAATAAGGAACCTCCCGAGTTTCTTCTGCTAAAGGAGCTCATGGTTATTGTACGGTTAACAGAGTTAATGCAAAGATGAGTTGAGTTGTTTTATTTATGAATGAGAAGAAGCCAATATGTTTTAACGGCCTATTTCTTTTATTTTACATTAAAATTATTATTTATGTAATCAGGGATTTTTTGTAATCATAAATGTGGCAGAAGCACTTTGTTCCTACATGAACTGCCTACCTCTTCCACTTCAATTAAATAAGACCTTGTGGAATTTGGCGTATTTGTTTTTGCAGTAGTTTTGGGGGGTTATTTTTCCTATACAGATATCGAGATATATATATCGTATATCGAGATATATATTTTGCTCTATATTGCCCAGCCCTAGTTCATACATAGTTCATGACTCCTGAGTACCCTGGGAATACAGTTTTTACTCTCTTACTTTGTAGTTTCAAACTGGGAATTTTTTCACATGGTTTCACATATACAGTAATGCCTCATGTTAGTGTCACAGGTGACAGGTGAAGCTGCTGTCATTTTCTCTTCATATATACTAGTACTTCTCATGAGAATGACATAGGAGTACCCTGTGAATACATTTTTACCACGTTTGTGTCCCAGGTACTGAAGCTTCTGCGGTTTTTCACATATAAAGTTTATATAGAGGAATGGCTTGTGTGTATCTTAGTCTCTGCTCCAATGAATACATTTATTGTATCCCAGGTTCTTAAGATACTGTTGTTTCATTTGGGATGCACCGATACGATACCGATATTGAATATCTCCTCCAATACTGAAAGTTTAGTGGGATTGGGTATCTGTTCCATAACATTGGTTAAGCCAAAGTTATGGAACAGCCAGCCTTTGGTTGGATGTAATAAGACTATTTACTGACTTATTTTGGCCTAGAATGTCTAATGTCTTCATAAGAAGCTCTTCTGTAGTCATTTGAAGGATAAATAACCCTTGCATAACACAACTGGATTTTTTGTGTAATAAGTCAAGGGTTTTAAAGAAGTGGACTAAGCGAGTGTGACGTCCGGTTCCAGTCAAATGAAGCTCACAATGCTAACGGTTACAGGAGTATTTGGAGCCAGGCTCTATATTATGAGTAGGATTTTTTTAACAGGTGAAATAGCAGAGATAAACCCAGCATCATGTAGCGCGGGTTGATACGAGCATTTTAAGAGCAAAATGACAAGGCTCATTCCTATTTGGAACATTGCGGTTAGTGCATAGCCATGTCCATTTATATATACAGTCTGTGTCATATTCATCCCTATGTTTCATACAGTAATAACTCATGGTTGTGTCTCAGGTGCTGAAGCTTCTGGCAGAGATGAGTCCATTCTGTGGAGATATGGAGAAACTGGAGGCCAACCTGCACACACTCTTCAACAAATTGCTGGTAAACTGTCACTGAACAAAAAAATCTACTACAATTTTGGGGTCAAACACCTTTTGCATCTGCGAGGGGAGCTCGGGGAAATGAAGACGGTTTCAGCAATGTATTATCAAGACATACATGCACACTTTAGAATGTAGAATGGAAAGTAGTGTAAAGTAGTGTCTCAAACCAGATACTATTCAATACTAATGCTAGATACTAGTATTGAAACTAGATACTCATTTGAGCAGGTATTTATACTAAAAAGTCCCATTCACAGGACAGAAATGTACCTTTTCTGTTCTGAGTCTATTCCTTAGTGTTGTGTATGTGGTGTGTGTCACTCTCATAACTAGCTCTTCTTGTGTTTCAGGAGTTCATGCCTCTGCCCCCTGCTGAGGAGTCTGAGGATGGAGAGAACTCGAGCTCAGATGAACCCAAACTACAGTTCAGCTCTGTGGAGTGTCTGCTCTACAGCTTCCACCAGCTTGGCAAGAAACTGCCCGACTTCCTGTTAGACAAAGTGGACCAGGAGAGGCTCAAGGACTTTAAAATCAGGTATTAAATATGCTACTACTGCTACTACAACGACACTTCTCACGGTCCAGTGTCTGACAGCTTAATCTTGAACCCAAATGACACAAAATAAAATTATGAACGTTTTAGGTTCTTGTACTTTGTAAATGGTAAGTTATTGGGATGTAACCATATCCAAATATTTGGTGCAGTAGATGTTACCTTGCACAGTAAGATGGATTCTTGTCATATCTGAGTCTGAAACTCTTTATGAATCCATTTTGAGATAGTCCCACTCTTAAGTTTAAATTTACCAAGCAGCGGGTGTACCAATTGGAGCAGCATTGTGGTGTGGGCAGAGCCAAGGGCAAAGGGCCCAAATGAACCAAAGCAAACATGGTGACACAGACAGACTTTTATTCTGAAGGCTGCAGTACTTTGATATTGTCTTTGTGCTTTTATTTTGAAGGCTGCAATACTTTGCACGCGGGTTGCAGGTTTACATTCGTCAGCTGAGAGTGGCTCTGCAGGGGAAAACCGGAGATGCGCTAAAAACAGAAGAGGTATCACTCACTTTAGCTTCGATCCACTTTATAAAGAGTTTATTTCATTCAAACTAATGCATCTGTTTGTTTTTCAGAATAAAATCAAAGTGGTCGCGCTGAAAATCACAAACAACATCAACGTCCTTATTAAGGTGAAACACTGCGATAGAAAGTAAAATTGTATTTATTTTACCTGTAGACAATTTCTCTTTTCAGTCCAGATGGAATGTAGAGGTCATGGTTTGGGTCTGGTTTATCTACACTTAAATATCTACACTTAAATCTGGATTTAGGCTTAAATTATTAGTCTTTGATTTAGACAAAATGTCCAGGTTTTGGTGCAGGTAAATTTAGTCCCTGGTTTAGTTTTAAAGCATTGGTGGTACAGATCTAATCTATGGATGTGCTGTTGTTTTAGGACCTGTTCCACAATCCTCCGTCGTACAAGAGCTCAGTGACGCTGTCGTGGAAACCTGTTCAGAAAACAGAGGCTGCAGCCGCCACAGCGTCAGTACTACTTTGATTATTTATATATTTATGCTTTTAGAAGTGCCTTTGATAGTATTAAAACCAGATGCTAATGATACTAAAACTAGCATTGAGATTAGATTTTGAGCAGTTATCAATACTAAAAAAATGAACCTTTCCAGAATAGCTTTAGAATGATCCTGAACTGAACAACACTTCCTCATTCTGACAATAATTAGATGCAGACAGTGCACAACTGTCTTATTTTGACCTTATATGGCTGAGTCTGAAATTGAGTTTTTCTTCAGTCCTAAACGCTCTGCACCAGAAGAGACCGGAGCTTCTGCAGTGAAGAAGTCTGCTCCTCCTGCTCCAAGACGAGATGCCCGACAGATCTACAATCCTCCGAGCGGGAAGTACAGCGGCACCATCGGGAACTTCACCTATGGTACTACTAGTATATTACTAATACTACTATTGCAAACATACAATAGCACTACTAGTACTACTAACTAACTTTGTTAAAAATATGTTAATACATTGTTTTCGGCAAATGTAGCATTTCCAAAACTAGAAAAGCACTCAGAGAGCGCAGACCTCCGCCAAGGACTACCCCCATTTTTTATATAAATTGCGATAAAATCAGTCTTCTGGATCAGATCCAGATCAGCCTTTGGAATATGAAAGAGTATCCCATTGTCCATCCATGAGTCAAATTTCATGGGGTTTGGTCAATAATTAACCGAGATATTGAGAAACAAAATTTTTGGCCCCATTTACCACAATGTTAACTAAAATTTCAAAGTGATCCAGAATCCAGGATTTCTTCCGGATCACCCCCAAAATGAAATCATTTCTTCCTTTTCACATTTCCAACAAATCCTGAAAATTTCATCAAAATCGGTCCATAACTTTTTGAGTTATGTTGCTAACAGACAAACAAACAGACAAACACTGGCAAAAACATAACCTCCTTGGCGGAGGTAACAATAAAAGGTAACATGATGATCTAAATATGTTGTGTTATCAGGTAAATGACCCATAGAGGTAAAATATTGTGCATCTCTACTTTAAATGTGTCGCCTGTATATTGTTATCGCAGTTTTGTCCGATGCAATGATCAGTATGGCTAGAAAATAAACAGCGTAACAGTCTAACAACAGTCTAAATTTTAAGATGCCTGCTTTTTTTTTTTTTCAAATGCATGTAAAGGCAGCTTTTATTGTATGCTTTTCTTGTATAGCCTTGGCTTAATCTTTGTGGCATGCACATTTTGTTTTATAATTACTTATGCCAAATAGTAGCCTTTATTACAATATTACAATATTAAGTACTAAACAGTTTTTGTGCATCCCCATTTCAAAGTAATTCCTTTTGATTTTTCTGTTGATTTTAAAATGGTCTTTTAGTAGAATGTTGTTGACAGAGATGCATTTGTTTGCGTTCCAGAGCAGCGTGGAGGATTCCGAGGCGGGCGGGGACGAGGCTTTGGGAACAGAGGAAACCGCAGCAGAGGGAGGATGTACTGACCTTCACAATAAGACTCTACAAACAGGAAGAATGGACTGAAGCTTTCACAATAAAACCCTCCCGGACTCACTTCCTGTCATGCTTTTAACCACTTTTACGTGTCTGGTTTTAAATATGTCTCCTGCTCCTTGTCATCCCTTATTTTTTTTTACTTTTTGGTGATTTTCGTGCCGATATTTTTCTGACGCTGTAGTGAAAAGATGAATGCTGTTTGTGTTTGAGTTTATTTAAACCTTTTTTAATTCAAATTGGACGAGACTTTGTACAAATCTATGTCGCATTGGATTTTTATCATAAACTTGTACCGACTGTCTCCCGAGTGCTCATTTTATTCATTACAACTTTTAATATAAGAACCTAAATACACTTGAATCCCTTTAATCAAAGGAGTTTACAGCTTTAAAGTGCATTTGACAGCTTAATATATTTTTCTAGTAATTACTTAGTTTGGTGGGAAAGAACCTGTGGTAAGTATTTATCATAGTTCTACATCGATTTATGGCAAAAAGTTTAAAACGTACAAAAATACAGGAAGCTTTGCAGTGTTTTTTTTGTTTGTTTGTTTTAGTTATTTAGTTATTATACAAGTTTTGTCGTGCTACTTAACAGTTAAGGAATTTTCACTTTGTATGTCACATCTGCTGCCCATGTCCAACCGGGAACTCAATTAGAAAACTAGGAAAGACTAGGATAATTACTATATTTCACTGAAATGTGTAGTCTAACTTGTCAGATGCAAGTATCTGGTCTGGGAAAATGTTGTTGAATTTCTCATACTAGTACATTCCACTATTTGCATGTTTGGAGAAGAAGTCTTGGATTAGTATCTATGTCACTTTAAGTTCAATATTAAATGGACATAAAAGGATTCTTAAGTGTGCCCTTTCTCTGAGAGAGAAACCAGACAAGTTGCCACTTTGTTTTCAATCCCAAAGATTTATTATAAGGATAGCAAATAGTATATAGAGATGTACAGTTGTCCCTAATAAGAATCTACTGTCCTTACGTAGATGTTCAGTTTTGGTTCAGACCTGGTTGTGACCAAGATTTCCCTAAAAGCTACGGTGGACTACTTTGGTCTAACCACAGACTCTTGTAAAGGTTTTATTAAGGCTAATTATTATCATTAATATTCATATTTACATCATTATATTTTTATTAAAAAATTTTCATTATATCAAGGAGAGTTGACATTTGTACATATACAGGTGCTATTATTGTCATGCAAAGTGAGCCTTTTTATACACGGCAACAAAAATCATGTATTAAAGAGATCTATAACAAAGAAGATTTTTATCAATGCTGTCTAATCTGGTTTTGGGTTATTGACAAAAATATAATTATTTTATTAATATTATTAATATTTTAACAGTGCCTCAAGAATATGCTAAAATGTTCCTGTAAAAGTCCAGCCCAAAATGTAAATGGAGATTCGCCACAAGTGTGCAGAAATATCATTTTATGCGAGATTACACTAGACATCATTTTTAAATTGTTTTAATTAGACAATATACTTGCTATTTTAATTTCCATATCTCTAGGGTGACCACAACAATTACTATATTCACTTTTAATACATCTCCCATATGTAGTTTTGATATTTTTGATTCTACATAATGGATACAGAACACTGGCTTCTGCTCCAGAGGGACGTTCTACATTCTAATTGATAAAGCTCGTGTAAAGACTTTATTGCAAAAAGGTAACACATTTTTTAGTTTATTGCTCATTTCTGCTGTAATACTGTGCATTAACTTGTGTGTCCAGCAGGTGGTGCAGTGAGACCGTGGTTCAGACCTGGTCTGGTCCTGGTTTAGACACGGTTCAAACCTGGTTTAGACATGGTTCAGTCCTGGATCAGACCCAGCTCAGATCCAATTTAGTTCTGGTTTAGTAAGACCCAGTTAAGTCCCAGTTTAGTCCTGGTTCGGTCCTGGTTCAGTCCTAGTTCGAATCTGCTTTAGAACAGGTTGAGCCCTGCTTTAGTCCTGCTTTAGTCCTGGTTAAGACCTACTAGTATTGTAGTCCTGGTCCAGACCTGTTTCAGTTCTGGTTCCTACCAGTTTCTGTCGTGACCGGAATTCCCCTAAAAGCAGTGGTGGATCTGAGGACTGACTCTATAAAGGTTTATTAGTAGTAGTAATATTTTTTATTATTATTATATTATCAAGGTTGTATTTATCATGTTATGAACTACATTAAGAAGGTTTCGGTTTATATATACAGTCTATAGGTCTAACAGTGAGTGACGTCACGGGTCTACATGGGGTAACTCAGGGTGACCACATGTTCATATTTTGTCGTATGTCCCAGTTTTCATATATTTATTCATATTTCCTCGTATAAAACCATCACTGTTGATGTTTTTGGCTGCAATATAGTGTCCTATTATGAGATGTTTTAGCAATTATTAACTATATAAACTTTTATTTACCACCTCTATGTCGAACAACCTGTTCCATCTTTACTGCAGTTTTAGATAATCACGCAGTTTAAATACAATTCTTTACGGTTTGTGTCAAATGCACATGAATAACGCATTGAAATCAAATTCTGAGTGAAACAGTCAAGTGTAATATCTGCTTTAAATGAAACTGGTAGTCCTGTTTTAGTCCTGCTTTAGTTGTGGTATAGCCTGATTGGAAAATGTTTAGACCTACAATTGTGCCTAATAATGCGCAGGAATGGGTTAAATCAAAATGGAAATAAATGCAGCTGCCATTTTACACTGATAATAAAATGGCCGTATTAATAGGCTATAATGGTTCTAACTCGGAGTTTACCCGCATTTTCCTGTCCATACCCCACGGTCCGAACCCAAACCCTGAACGCGGCTGATTCTGGTCTGAGCTCCGTGCGCGCTCCCGTTCCGTGCGGGTTCCCGATGGAGCCGTGATGAAGCTGCGCACGAGCGAATAGAAACAGAGCCGCGCACGAGCTAAAAATATCCACCAACCAGAGTGTGCACGCGACAGCTCCACAGCCTCACGTGACCCGGACCGAACCCGGACTAAACCCGGACCAGACCCGAACTAGACCCGGACCATATTTAGAGCAGAGTTTGTCTTGGTTGAATCTCGGATAATCCCGGGGTTTCCCTGCTCTTTTTTCTCAGTTTTTTCTTAGTATATATCTGGTTTATTTTTTGTTCAGTGCTCTTTTAGTCGTGGTTTAGTTCTGCTTGGACTTGATTTGGACCTGGTTTAGTCATGGTTTATTTTTGGTCCAGTCCTGGTTAAAATCTGTTTTAATCCTAGTTTAGTCCTAATTTAGTGCTGGTTTATTCCAGGTTTAGTCTCTAATCAGTCCTCATTTACCCCTGATTTAGTCTTAGTTTAGTCTCAAATCAGACCTGGTTTAGTCCTGGTTCGTTCTGGTTTAGTCATGTTTTAGTCTATGTTTAGTTCAGGTTTGGTCCTGTTTTAGTCCTAGTTAAGGCCTGGTTCAGCAGTTGTTAAGTGTTTATTCAGTCCTGGTTTAGTCCAAGTTCAGTCATGGTTCAGTCCAGGTTTAGTCCATGTTCAGTCTTGGTTTAGTCCTGTTTTAATCCAAGTTAAATCCTGTTTTAATCGAGGTTTAGTCCTGATTCAGTCCTGGTTCTGTCCGGGTTTAGTCTTGGTTTAGTCCTGGTTTAGTCTTAGTTTAGTCCTGGTTTAGTCCTGATTTACTCTTGGTTCAGTCTGGGTTTAGCGCTGGTACAGTCCTTGTTTAGTGTTGGTTTAGTCCTGGTTTAGTGTTGGTTTAGTCCTGATTTAGTCTTGGTTTAGTCCTGGTTTAGTCTTGGGTTAGTCCTGGTTCAGTCCTGGTTCGGTCCTGGTTTAATCTTGGTTTAGTCTTGGTTTAGTCTTGGCTTAGTCTTGGTTCAGTCCTGGTTTAGGCCTGGTTTAGTCTTGGTTTACTCTTGGTTTCGACCTGGTTTAGTCCTGGTTCAGCCTTAGTGGTTTAGAGCAGTGTTTAGAGTCAGTGAAAAATGTGTAGTCACGTGGATCATGTCTTTTCTTTTGGTGCTGAATCTTATTAAAGGAAGTTACATCTTTATATCTGCACACCGTCCTGTGTCAGAGCGCCACCTGCAGTTCACTGGGCACCTCACAGCTGCAGAGTTTTGCAGAAGTTTTTTTTTTTTTTTTTTTTGTGCTGGAGTTTAGAGCGAAAGAGAGAAAGAAAGAGAGGAGCAAGAGAGGGAGCAGAGGAGGACACAGTGTTCCCAAAAGCCACAAGACAAATAACATCTACTGTGTGCCAGATGCCCTCCCACCCTTATGTATCCCTGTGTGTCAGATGCCCTCTCATTCTCCCTTAAAGCTGTCAGATACCCTCCCATCCTACTGCATCCCTGTACTGTTAGACTGAGACGGGGGCAGGTCTCTCAGTAATCTGCAGATGTTGAGGTGTGTCAGATGCCCTCCCACATGTTGTGAAGTAATAGAGCGGGAGAATGAAACTTGTCGCTGACAAAAATGATTAGGAAAAACCTGTGAATGTGATTTTGGGAGATTTATGATGAAAATACCAGAGAATGACACAGAATACTGACTCTGCTCCATTGTACTGTCTGAGGAATGGTACTTGAGTAAAGTACTGTTACTATGCACTATTGACATTTCATATAAACTACTACTACTGCTACTGTTAATGGTTTAGTTACTGTTAACTACTATATACTGCTCTCACGCTGCTACTGCTACTACTACCACTACTACTACAGCTACTACTATTACTACTACTACCTGCTGCCTCTGCTATTTAATTTGCTTCTGTTACAATAATAGAAACATGCTTTAGTTGAATTACTGGAAAGAAAAATATTATGATATTTGTTTTAATAATTGTATTGTATTTTTATGAATGAATTAACAAGGATACAGATATTGCTCAAATCTTATTGCAATAAAAAGTAGCAAAATTTTAACCACCACCAAAAATATGAATAAACCAACATTTTGCATTTTAAAGTAAGTTAAATAAAAGTTGTAAACATAGATGTTGTAGGTCAGATTCTGTAGATTCTGTTGTTTCTCAGATTTGTGAATGAGGCTGGGGTTCATTCATAAATTTGTGTCATTCACGTTTTCACTCATTCACAAACTCCAATATGTGAATGAGGCTTTTCTCTCCTCTCCCAGTCTCCTCTCCTTGTTTCCTATCTCCTTATTTCCTGTCTCCTTGTCTCCTCCCCTGTCCTCTCTTTTCTCCTCCCCTCTCCTCTCTTCTCTCCTCTCCTCTCTCCTTGTCTCCTTCCCTCCTCTCGCTCCTCCTCTCCTCTACTTTCTCCTTGTCTTCTCCCCTCTCCTCTCTTCTCCTCTCCTTGTC